TCTTCGTTAGCCGCCGGAATCAAGAAGAGGGGAGAGAAATCCGAAAGAGGAAACGAAACAAATGTTGCATATAAAAATGAGGAATAATGTGAAATGGAAGAAAGGGAAGAAAGGAGAAGAAGAAGAAGAAGAAGCAGAGCACATATTTGACGTGTGCATAATGGCCGAAACGGGATGCTCAACAGAAGGGAGCCTCCCCCTTCTTATCACTCTTTCTAATCTTTTGCCGCATTTGGAGCCCGATGACGTGGCAACGACAACCTGAAAGTGCAGAGATGGAACCTCGAAAGTGGAGCACACTGCAGAGGGCGGACCCGTCTGTTAACGCTTAATTTCACCCGTCGTCGTCGTTGTAGTCGTCGCTTTTTGTTTGATGGAAAAGGAAAAGAGGTAAACGGTGGGCTGACGTGGCAATGGAGACCAGAACGAAAAGATGTCGGCCGAGTTGGAGGCCCAAGTGCCGCCACAATGAAAGCTTTCTTCTTTTTCAGCGCGAAATTAAATAAAAGAAGGGTGCTCCTTCTTCGCCTCGCACGTTGAATTGTGCCGAAAAAAGCGGAAGAAGGAGGGAGAGTTGACACGTTTTCGCCTCCAAACAAACTCCTGGATAGGTTGCATTTGTTCGCTTTTCTGGTTTCGCTCCAATAAGTAGAAGTAGATGAGAGAAGGAAAGGGAAAGAAGATGGTTCAGACGGGAAACACTTAGAATCACGCTTGACAGGCTTCTGATTTCATTCGACTTTTGAGTATCATAGTTCTCGAACAAGAAGCCCTCAGATCATCCATGTCTGACTGCACAGTTTGCTGAGACTAATGTAATCTACCTTGTATTCAGCGTAAGATAACTACCAAATGAAAAAGGAAGAGAAAATAAAAGAAAAAAACTCTGCGGAAACCCTTTTTCCAAGGGCACGCGAAGTTCATAATTCATTCTTTCGAAGATGGTGAGAATCTTCGGAACGCCACTTTCTTATTCTTTCCGGCCGGACACAAACGTACATTCGGCGGGGCACTCAATTCCAGAAAGATCGGGTTGAGCAGGCTCTAAATGCTCGGTACGGGAGGCCGTTCGGATAGCAGGCTCCCCCAAATAACACGGATTTGTTAGGTGATGAAATGAAAGAGAAAAGAAAAGGGATTATGAAATTGTTTGCAGTGATGCAGGTCACCAAAAATAGCGGATTGACGAATGACTGACACGACGGCGACGGATCACTACGAAAAAAGACTCGGGTTTTGACAAATGAGCGGCCGGAGGGAGGGCGGAGACATCTGGAACGGAGCAGACCGCCCGGGAGACGGAACCTTCCGGAGCAGTCGAAAACACGAAGCGGACTTCTGACTGAAAGGCTCTTCCACCTGAACGAATCCTACGAAATCGGACACCTCCAATTACTATTATTATGCAGATCTATGTGGATTCTGTAATTCGAGCGATTCGCTCCTCAAAGTCAAGTGGTTGGTTGGTCCGGAATTTCGAAAATAAAGCCTCGTGTCTCGATTGGGGGGAAATAAATAAAAAAAAACGGAAAAAGGGGGGCGATTATGATTATGGTGTCGTCGTGGACGGCGTCAGGATGGGACGAGACGAGAGTGTGGACTCTGGAGAGAAGCAGACATGCCGACACCACTAGTCAAATCCAATTTATACTACTCATGTGCAAGTCTTTCTCTCTGGAAAAGTGAGAAGGATGGGATAGGAAAGATAAAAAGAGGCGAAGAACACATTTGACACCAAGAAGAGAGAGGGGAGAGGGAGCGGGAGAAGCAGGCAGCGGAACGAATTGGATTCGGAGAACGAGCCGCACCATTTGGAGTGTCGGAGAGCCCAGCTGTTCGGAGAGAACGGTGCTCCCGGCCACTGCGAAAGTTTGTCACTATTCCGAGGCCAAGATTACGGTGAGTATGAATTCAGAGCAACAGCGGAAAGATCAAAGGAAGGAAAAAGTGTATTATCTTTCGAATGAATCTTCAGAATGAACAAAAGTACTCAAAAGTTCTAGTGGCTCAGAATTCATAAGAGCTCCGTCAAAAATACTTTTCATAAATCAAGTGCCGCCGCGCCGTTTCCCTTTCGAATTTTGATTGGAAAACTTGCGCGAATGGCAGCGTCATTTGGCGTTCGTTCCGAGAATTTCGAAAAGGGAGAACGAGAAGGAGACGACGTCAAAACGGAGATGGAAACTGGAGATAAAGCAGCCGAGGATTGTGCTCCCGATGCTCTTTTTGCGCTCAAATTGGATTCAGACGAAGGGCGAAGCGAGAGGAAGAAGAAGTACCACTCAGGTTGCATAACCAAACACTTTTTTGGGAGATATCGAATTGGAATATTTGAGTGCGAATACACTTATGGACGACGACGTCTTCGGAAGTCTTGGGAGCAAGAAAAACGTTGGAAAAGTGGGAGTAAAGGGGGGAAAGTTAGTTCAATGAATAATTTAGGACTGGACCCGCCGTCTCTCACAACTGCTTTTGAGGGAGCGCTCAATTGTTGTGTCGGCGACCAATCAAATCTTGTTTGGACCGCAGGACCACTTTTGGCACCCAATATTGTCCAAGGACTGATTAATTAGGTTAATTGGTGACAATTTTGAATGTCAAAGAGCGAGAGAGAGAGAGAGAGAGAGAGAGAAAGAGGGAAAGGAAACGTGGACTGATGGTGGTAGTGGTGGCGGAGCCGGATGACACTGGACACGCAATTAGGGAGCGGGATGGGGGAGCAAACGACAAAGCGCCCCGCCGCGCAACTCTTGATTGCAGATTATTCCAGCTGGGTACAGAAGAAGAGAAAGAGAGAGAGAGAGAGAGAGAGAGAGAGAGAGAGAGAGAGAGAGAGAGAGAGGAAGAAGACTAAACATTTTTGCACTTTCACAAGAATGGTCCTTTTTCAAAGCAATAAAGATGAAGAGCTGCTTGTTCTAATTCTGGAGCACAGCCCGAGGTGACCATCTGCTCTTGATTTACGGGCGCCTCCGAAGAGCGCCTTCCTTCAATTTCACAGCTCTCGTCCTTTTGCGAATGGACCGTTCTGATGATGTTCTGCGGATCAGGTGGAGGGGCTTTCCAGCGGGAGCCGTCTCCATTCATGGCAGAATGAATAATAAATCGGACGGACGGGCGGTCGAGAATTGAATGACTTTCGAATGCATTCAAATGTGCAACAAAGGCTTTCTCCTCTGGAGGTAACTTGCTCAGTAGACGAGTGACGAATAATTACGGGAACCGCCTGGGACCGGGAATCATGTGGCAACCAGATGGGAGCTTGGGAACCGACCCTAAAAGTGCCCGGGAAGGAGAGCACGCATGCATTTTAATGAAAGTGTCGAGAAGCGAGCTCTGAGCGGACGAACGCATAATTGAGTTAAAGTGGAGAGCGACGCGCTATGACTGCTGATATGTGCGGTCCCGAGTAAACAGTCGGAAGCGGACTTCGGCTCCTCCAATTAGCTCTTTGTTTTGCTCCCCGCTCCACTCTTCTTCTTCTTCCAGTGACGTCATCTAATTCTGGCAAACCTCTGAAATTCTCGAAACCAATCGAAACCGACATGCTTTGGTTGGCTGCCGCTCGACCGACGATCGCAATCTCTTACACTTTCGATTCCAGTTCCCCTTCATAATAGAAGTAAATAAAGCGATTTCACAGTTTCCTTCTTCTTCTTTTTCTTCTTCTTCATCTTCTCAGATGTTCCTCAGAAGTTATCTCTCTCGGCCCAGTTATCATGTGCCTCCTATCCGTTTCGCCCGTCACCTGACACCTGGCCTCTTTCGTTTTTTCTTCGTTTCCTCCGTTGCCGCCGATCGAATTCGTGTCACTTTGCTTCCCGAAAACTTTTGCTTTCCTCCTTTCCGACCCTCTGTAATCTGTCCTTTGAAAGGATTAACAACACAAAAGAAAGGAGACATCCGGACGCATTCTCAAGTGTTTCAAGCCTTTAAAAATCTCCTTCGTTGCCTCCGAGAAACTGGTTCTCGTTTATCACATTATATTGATAGTTCCGCAAAGAAAACTTTTGAAACGCGTACGATATTGACACTCTTGCCACACAGTTTCGACTGTTTTTATACCGTTCGATTGACATTCGCTTCCCACTGAATGCCAAGAACTCTAAAGTTAACAGTCCCAAATGTGCCGTAATCCAGTTCGATATCAATGAAAACTTTCAAAAATTGTAGTCCCTTCCGCCGGCCAAAACAGGAATCATTCTTGACCTTTTCCGTGCGTTTTCTGAAGATTTCGAAGCGAGAAGAGTTCAATCACATGTTCTCTGTCACCCTGAAATCAGACACCTTCTTCTTCATTTTGCCGCTCGCCCCTCATCAATTTTTGGCCATAAAAAATTCCACTAAAAGAAGACGAAATTGGCAATAGATCACTATCGGGCCGCCTCTCTCTCTCTCTTTCTCTCTCGCTCCTTCTTCTTCTTCTTCCGACGTCATCCGCAACCTGTCGATGTCACCCCGCCGCGAACCGTCCGTACTCCCTTTCTCCGTCCGTTAATCTCTCTCTCTCTCTCTCTCTCTCTCTCTCTCTCTCTCTCTCTCTCTCTCTCTCTCTCTCTCTCTCTCTCTCTCTCTCTCTCTCTTCCACTTCTGCTCTCTTCTGCTCTCTTCTGCTCTCTTCCGGACAATGTCCGATGCCCTTCCATTGTAATTGTCCTCTTGACAGTCCATCCTGCTGCCGACGGGGTCGTTTCGCCCCCTCCGACTGCTTTTTGCACGGCCTTCAAACCCGAAAAACCGTATCTGAAATACTTTTCCCTTCGCTTTCTCGCTCTTTCTCTCTCTTTGTTCTTAGAATTTCGATTCAATGCCAGCGAACTTGTGAACTTGAAGATTGTAAACGCTCTGTTCTCAGTTTGAAAACCCACCGAGTCGCTGTGCACACACTTCGACGTAAAAATGCACACTTTGTCGAACCTAATTCAAATTTTTTCTCGATCATCGCAATCTGGCTCCTTTCACGTTATTTTTAGAAGTAAGAACGTGTTTTAGTACAAAAAATGGGAGAGACGGGCGACGATCAGCTAACATCGATCCGTAAGCAGCTCGAAAACCTGAACGACGCCACGGACGACATAAACAGCTATGAAATGAAGCTGGAGCACGTCAAGAAGCAATTCTGGTTCGTTGCCTTTTCCTTCCTTTATGACAGCAATTGTCAGTCATAAAAAACTGGATTTTTTGCAGCGAAACACAGTTGATCTTCAACAAAGAAATCAGTGGGATTCCGAAAAAGTTGGCTAAACACATTTCAAAATCCCGCCTATTTTTTGACCTGAAATCACGAGAACCGGACCTCCGAAGACGTGCTCAACAGGCGGCGGCGCTCTTTGAACGCCAGAAAATCGTCGTCGAAATGGCTCGTGAGCAGCTGTCAATTCTGCATAATTCGCTGAACAACAACCTGGAAATGGACGCCGAGAAGAAGTACATAAACGTGATTGAGCAACAACTCGAGCTGGTGAACGAGGCGGAATCTGAGTGTGCGGATGCGGAACGGACGCACGCCGCGCGGGTGCGCGACCTGCTTCAGATGGAGACGGCGTTGCGGAAGGCGTTGCAAGAGGACGGGTGAGTAACCATTAGCGCCCTACTTTATTGGTGGTAACATGGCGATTTGATGCCTATTAGCGCTTCTGAATTAGGCGGAAACAGCAATCCGTCTTTAGACCGTCGATCAAAAAGGCGCGCCCCTACTACGAACGGAAAGAAGTGCTGACGAGAACGATGAATTCACAAATCGAGCTTATCACTATTCTGGAGCATGAGGTGAGCTCTTCCCAACATTTGCGAAGTTAAAAAAATATTCTAGGTACAAGAAAGGAAAGACAGCTACAGTACGTCGATGCGAGTTCTCGAACAAATCAGCGAACAGATCCATCACGAGCGCTCTTCGCAGAACAGTCTCATCCCCATCGATTCGTCGAGCGAAGCGGAATCCGACGGCCTTTGAACTTCTCTCCCCCTGTACTTTTTCTCGATCTCGTCCATTTCTACTCACCTTCTCCCTGTCTCTCTCCACCCACGCACCCACAAAACAACTTCACCAAATTCATCCAATTCGGGTCAACTCAACACAATTCGCCGTCCGACGTCTCGTCTTCTTCTTCTCTAATGTACAGGTCTCTATTGTATTAGATATCTCTGTGTTTATTATCGTGCCTTCTTCTCAAAAATGTAATAATGAAGCTCAAGGAAGCCAATAATGCGTTTGCCGGTGGGACGAGGCGACGAATGCGTCGGCGTGAGCGCACGCGGCGCTTCTCGTCGGAGTTGCGGATCTGTCAAGTGCTCGGCGAGCCAATGTGCAAAGTTCACAGGTGTCCGAAGGTTGCAGTGGTGAGGGAGTCATTCTGAAGCGGTAAATCGGTAGAAAAAAGGGATCATCGCAAAACCAGAAATACCTCCGGGATGGAGGTGGAAGTTCCTCCCTGATCACCGGGATATCATCGTCGGAATCCCATTTGAAGTACTGCAAATTGTTGTACCGCCGTCCGAATCTCTGCAACGAATCAGCTCTTCTCAATGGAGCGCACTTCCCGTTGTCACCGTTTCGTTCCGATTGTTCGTCGTCTGATTCGTCCACAATTTTGCCGCTTCCTTTCTGATTTCCTCCTGTTCCTTCCTGATTTCTCTCGCTTTTTCTTCTTCTTCCACTCTCCGTTTCACTTCCTTTTTCACTTCTTCTCTCTTTTCCATTTTCTTTCTCAATTCTTCCATTTCGCTGTTTTCCATCACTTTCGGCTCTCAATTTCTACCGTAATCCACTCCTGAATGTGCCCTCAACTCACTTGGTTTCCGCATGTGTGGCCGAAGATCATCTTCAGAAAGAGTCACCGAAAAACGACGATCAAAAGAGGAAGAGGAAGAAGACATTGTACGAAAAGTTGAATTCGAATGCCGACTGGAGGGCTCAGCTCGGGCTCTCCGCCCTTCACATCTCCATGGTTTTCCGATGGATCTCCCGTAGCAATGCACCGAATCGGTCAATCAAGTTATTTATTCAACACAAGTTACCAATGATCATGTTTTGAGAAAAAATTCATAGCACAAGTAAAAACTGCAATCGGCTGGAGGTCAAAACAGTTGTTAGCGAGTGTTCGATTGTCTATTTAAGGTTTCGGAAGACGCCGTGCAGATCTGCGAAGCGGTGCCTGAAATTAGGAAAGATTATTTCAGGTGAGAGACGGATCCTTATCATACCGTGTCAGTGTCTTCGTCTTCCTCGGCCAAATCCTCCAAAGATGCTTTTCTTCCTCGTTTCGGTGTCATCGTCATGTTGGCATTCGAAGAGGTGCTGTTGCTTCTCGAACGACTTCCGGTCCGTCTCGGAGTCTCCGTCGTTTTCTCGGCAGCAGACGTTGCAGGTTGATCGGAAGACTCGGGGATCACCTTCAACGGCGTATTGCGCGGACGTCCACGCGCCTTTTTGGGCGGCTCCTCTTGCAGAGAATCATCTGCACTAGGAGTACGGCGCTTCTGAAATTTAAGAACAAATAAAAAAAAGGACAGAACCAGAGCATACCGAAGCAGCACGGCCGGCAACAGCGGGAGTTGCGTTGCTCTCCGTGGCGATCTTCGGCGGTCTGCCACGTCGCGGAGTCGCCGTCGGCAAAACACTTTGGGCTCTCGGAGCACTTCTGGCAGCAGAGGTAGCTGGAGTGATTTCATTAACCGAGGTGGTACGGGAAATCTAAAGAAAAGTTACAGATTTTGGAACTCAGAAGTAATTAACTGACCGTTTTTCTGTTTGCACTGATTTGTCTCACAAGTGCCGATCCACTCAGATCCGGGAAAACGGGGGCTTCCTCTGCCGGGGTGGCCGATCTGTCTTCCGTTTTCCGTCTCGCAGGAGACTTTCTCGTCGCCTGTTTCACTTTTTCAACTTCGCGAGCCGGTGTCACATTTCGCGAAGTGGTACGAGAACGAGTAGTACGAACAGAAGACGTCATCGGCTGCTCGTCTTGCGGCAGAGCTGCAGAAGTGGTACGGCTGCGCGACGATGTTCTCTTGACTGATGAAGCTCTCGTCGCTTTCGAAGTGTTCGCCGTCTGCTCTTCAACCGGTTCTTCTGTGGTGGCTAGACCAGTATCTTTTCTGACAGAAGTAGCTCTCTTCCGAGGCGTCTTCTTAACTTCTTCTTGCTCCGGCAACCCTTGTGTAGTTTCCTTACGGACCGAAGCAGCACGAGTTCTTCTCGAAGGCGGTCTGTCGTCCTCTTCTTCGTCCTCTTGAACCTCGGTTGTCTTCTGGACAGAAGCAGCACTGGCCTTTCTGGTTGTTGACTTTGGTTGTTCCTTCTTTTGACTGATTGGCTCCTCTGTCGGTGAGACCGATCTCGAATTGCGCGCACTTTTAGTAGCGGAACGGGTGTTGGCCTGAAACATCGATACGTTAAGTGATATTGAAATTAGTGTAATATTTTATAATTCAGTGTTGAGACCGGCAACACGTCCTAGCCACTTCTGAACATCTTACCGATGGTGGTCTCTCAAACGGATCGACCTCCGCCGGTTTCTCAACTTTTTTGACATTCTCTTGCGGCTTTTCCGTCTTTTCGGCGACAGCCTCTGGGACATCTTGCTCTTGCTCAGCTTGCTCTGTTTCAGCTTTCTCTGGGCCAGATTTCTCTTGATCAGCTCGTTTAGGCTCAGCATGCTCTGCCTCAGCATGCTCTGCTTCATCTCGTTCTGCATTCGCTTGCACTGGGGTAGCTTGCTCTTGCTCTGGCTCAGCTTGGTCTGGCGTCGATTCCGCAGGAAGCTCAGGAGTAGCGGGAGCATCAATGACGGGACGGACGATCTTCGGCAAATCGGCGAGTGGCTGCGGATCCTCCTCTTCTTCCACTTCAAAAGTGCGATCAAGGGGAATGTCTTCCGCCAATTCTTCAATCGACTCTTCCTCCTCTTCGTTGCGATGAGTTGCCACAGGCACGCAGTCCTCATCTTTTTGCATCTCGAAACTGCGATGGATTCCGTCTAATGGTTCGTGCCAGGAGTCCTTCTCCTCTTCTTTATGCAATTCTTCTCCTAAAACGTCGCCGATCTCTTCGTCTTCTTCCTTTTCCTTTTCTTCAGTTGTCGCAACCTGCGCAACTGTTTCTCTCTCATTCTGCACTTCAGCCGTTTCCAGAAATTCTTCTTCTTCTAGCTTTTCTCCTTCCTCTTGCACCATTTCCACACTCTCTGTAGTTTTCTCTGGCATTTCCTCCCTCTCGGTCAACTCGTAAGTCTCATCGACTCCGGGCGAAATGTCGTCCGTTCGAATCACGAATGTATCCTCCATTGGCTCCGCCGGGGGAATTGTTTCCTCTGATCTGTCCTCGAGCACTTCGAAGTCATCCTGAGCCTCATAAGACTTCTCCATCTCGATTCCATCCTCCTCCTCCTCGTTTCCACTCTTTTCTTCTTGTTCCTCAATCGGATGTACCACCGATCGCCTCGTCGTGGTCATCTCCTCCTCCTCCTCGTCTTCCAGAATCGCGAAGTTGAGTCCCTTAAGACGTGGCGCCTCTTCGTCCTCTTCCATTATCTCTTCCGTCGATTCGATGCTCTCATTGGCTCCTCTGTGAACACTTTCGTGAAAGCGGATCCGTCCGCGACTTGGTGACTGAATGGTTTTCGCCGTTTTCAGAATACTGTTTTGCGTCGGGACCGGCGGCAGTCTGTTCGTCGTAGGCGACGTCAAATCGACAGCCGCCGAAGCCGGAATCGGTCTTTTATAATAACGAGCAGGTGTCGCAATCATCATGTTAATCTCTGCATTTCTTTCGAGATCCGATGGACTGGCGACACTGGAAGCCTGCGTCACGTCCTTTACGACGGGCGATTCACAAGGTTGCTGTCGCTTCACTTGCTGGATACGTTTGGCAGTCTGAAGATAGCCTTATTAGATAGAATATATCAAGGTGCTAATAACCCACCGGTGGCACATACTGCACTGGCGACGTGCTATCCTGCTCGTACGCTTCGGATGGACGCTTCTTTCCTTGCTTATCTCCAAAACAGACAAACGCTTTTGGCATTTCGAGCCGATCTTTTTCCAGCTGCTTGTCGAACATTTCTCTCACCGACTTCTGGATTTCTTGCTCTTTCGCACTCTTTTGATGGCTTTGTCTTCCTCCTTTCCGCATCATGACTGGCATGAAAGAGCTGAGCAGTTTGTTTGATTCGATTGCCTCCGCTGACATCAGTTCGTACTTCTGGTTTTCGAAAAGGTACACTTGATAGAGCATTTCCAATTCTGGATCGAGAACTGGCACTGCAATAATAAATTACAACTCTCTAAACTCTTCCCCTTCCCCGCTCACTTCGTCTCTTCTCTCCTTCCACTTGCATCTTCATTCTCTGCTGGAATCTCTCCAGGTCGTTTTTTCCAATCGTCGAAGCCAAGTGGACTTCGCCACTCCACAACTGATCGTAAGTAAGTCCGTCATCTTGCAATGTGAATACTTTCTTAGCTCCGCCCTCTTCGTTAGTTAGAGACAAAGGCTGTTTCTGTTTCAGCGCCGCTTTCTCCTGATCCAAAACATAATAGATTTTCTCGAGATCCACGTCCAGCATCTGATTGGTCATGACTTTGATAGTTTCGACTGCCAGTTCCTTCTCGGTGTCTTCGGCGTGTCCCGGTTGAACACGCGTCCAGTCGATGACGTATTGGACGATGAGCTCGCGTTTAATCCGTTCCGAGATGTTCACATTGAGCACCGACTCGAGAAGATCGAGCGGGGTTGGCGGGTACCACTCGTCGTGTGGCATGTCGTTCCAGAATTGGGCATCAGATGCCAGGCGGTGCATGTTGCGAATGACCAATTGAATCGGGAGCGCCGTCTTGTTCTTCAGGGCGAGATTCTTCCTTTTCTCGTGCGACTCACGCATCTGAATCTCTGACTGATGGTTCGGAGGGACCAATCGGAACATGATGAAGCGACTGGCTAGTTTCGTGTGATTCCGCATGCACTTCAGAGAGCGCACCAAAGTGTTCAGTCGAGCTCCATCCTTGATGTTTTTAGAACACACTTTCAGAAACTCGTGAACCACTCGGAACAGCTTGATTCCCTGAACGACAGTGTCCTCAACGATCGGAGACAAGTCCTTTGTGATTCCCTGAAACAGAGAGACCGTTCCGTCCGAGACGATTCTCTTGTAGTCGACAGCCTCGTGCACCGCCCAATCCGCAATTTCCTTTTTGATTTTGTCGCTCAGGTCGTGTCGAGTGGCCAAATTGCAGAACTCCTCGATCTTTCCATGATAAACCATCGCATTCAGTACAATTTTCTGCTCGGTGCTCAATTCCGATTCGTTAATCTCAGCTGCGCTCGAGTTTGGCGATCCCGTCAGAATGCTCTTTCGGACGAGTCCGGCTGCAAAAATCTCGGCGGCCATCAATTCGGGAGAACGGATGACAAATGGCAGTTTCGATGCACACTTTTCAAGAATCTGGAAAAGGTCTTGTGTGTGAAAAACGTCAATAATTAATGTGTACCGTCTGCTGAATGCTCTGAATTTTCATCCAGTCGATTCGATTGTTCCGCACCACAAACACGCGGTCGTAGGAGAGTGAAGATGGATAGAAAAGTGGGTCAGCATCGGAAACTGAGCTTCGGAAACGGGTAACATCGGTGGAGTTGAGAGTCAGAATCCCGACGTCACTGACGTTCTCCGATGGAATTTCTGATTTGATGCACGACATGAAGGCACACTGCGCGAGCACAGTTCCGTCCGATGTGATCTTTCCCGGCACCCTCTTGTAATACCACGCGTCCACATCGAAAATGGCGGCCTCGACAAGGAAAACAGGTTCATCGGAAGCCGAGATGCTCAGCTGGCGCTTCTCGTACGCAAGTAGGACGTGGCTGCGATTGGAAGTGCATCCGAATGACTGGGAAACATTGAGGATCGAGTCCATCGTACTGTCATCTCTACGTCTATTACTGTATTCTCCTCTTTCGCAGACGATCGGATTCACCGACAGCCATCGTTCTCCGAATTGAAGTTTGTGCTCGAGAACCACGTGATACGAAGGCTTGTCGTACTTCTCCGCATCGTCAACTACTTCGAGCGTCTTGAACGACCCGCGCCACATTTGAATCATGATTGGATGGCGTGAAGAACGACTGAAAGACAGAGTATTTTGTGATGAAATCGGCATTTCCGTTACTCGACGGCGGCGATGAAATATTCGAATTTGTCCGGATCGTCTTCTGGCTCCAAAGGCGCGATCTCCCGAATAAGACGCTCATGGCGGAGCTCCAGGAAGACCATTATGTTTGACGGGTTCAGTGAAGCCGCCAGGATGGCACCCATTGAGAAACCGACCATAAGCGTCCGACTGCGGGGCATCAGAGCGAAAGCAGTGATGTAGACGGCATTTGCCGGATAGTCGCGGTATGCATCGCCTTCCTGCGTGAGCTGGAAGGTTCCGTCGGTAGTGTATCCACCTGGCAAAAAAAAACAGGGAATGGTTTTTGAAGGGCAGAACATACCCAGTAAGTTGATCTGGTGCCTTCGAGACGCTGTCGCGATCGGTTCGGCCTTGGATTCTGTCAATTGAGCCAGGAAACATTTCGTCTCTTTGCACCCGATCGCTAGAATATGAGGCCATTCGAGCAACGATGAATGTAGACCCAATGTCCCATTCTCCCTTCCTTCCGCCATGTCCATGCTCGAAAACAAAGTCTTGAGAGTTGTGATTCTGACTGGAACTGCCACAGAATGCGTCATTCTCATTGTCGGATTGTCTTCGTCGGCCACAAGAGCAACCACGAAATGTTCTGCTCCCCAACTCAGACTTTGGTCTTCGACACCGATGCAAATGCCGAATTGTCCATCTCAAAATAAACTGTTTAGTCAAAATATTGATTCAAAACCTTACCTTTTGCTGGAAAATAATCGACGTCAATGAGAGTGCAACCGTCGGGGAATGTGAATGAATGCGTGACGATTTCCCATTCGATATTGAACACTTGGCACACATTTTTCTTGAAATTAGCGATGTAGGGTAATTGCCGGCCTGAAAATCGAATACACTTAAACAGACTGAATTACGAACACATTACCGATTGAGTTTTTCAGAATTTTTTGCGTATCACCGCGCCAACACTCGTACTTTTGATACGGTTTGAAGATGGACGAACTCTTCATCCTGAAATCATTGTGCATGAAGAAAGACCAGCACGTTTGATATTTAGAAAACAATTTTGCACGGTGAAAAAAACACAAACACACATTTAGGGCAACGCGAATGGAAATCGATAGTTGGCCTAAAAAAATAAATTTGTAAGGGAATTATAAAATTTTGATATTTTTCCGTGAGGATAGGAAGAAAATTACTCTTATCGAAGCGAGAGAGAAGAAGCCAAGTTCAGTGCGTGCAACTACTGAAACTTGGCGACCGGCACCGTTTCGCGCCAATTAAATTCAAATTTTTCTGTTCACTAAACACCGTACGATAAATTACGGACTCGGGAATTTTTCTTTTCTGAAATTTTCCTAGGTTTTTTTCTGAAATTTTCCAGGACGAAAAAGGACACCTAGAAAAGAAATAATTTATGACTACACAGCTGAAAAGTCTCTAAAAATGTATAACCGAAAACAGTAGCCTGTTCTGCTGAAATGCTGGATGCTGAAAACATTAAAGACATGGGGAACACGGAGCAACACTTCGAACGCCGACAAAAAAGCGGTCAGTCTTCGAATGTTTTCGTTTTCGCAATCTGCTCGTTCTCTTCTATGTGACCTCATGGCCGCTATCAACAGGCGCCATTCTGCAGACCGCCGGTTATTTGATCGTCTGCGTCTGTCTTTTAGGCACCGGTGCGCGGCAAAATTTGAATTCGAAAGTTGGCGCCAAAGAGTGCCGCTCGTCTGTTCTGTCCTTTTCGTTTTTGTTTCAGTCGTCAGTTGAATTCCGATTCCTATTTTGGACTCCTCCGTTGGTTCACGATCGGAATCGTTTACACATTTTTACGTGTCACCTTCTCGTCTCAATACAAATGTTCGAAGCTAGCCGAAGGAACTCGGACCTCCTCTGGTTCTATTTTCATAGACATAGTTTTCCCTTATGACAAAGGCAGTCTGCCAGAAACCAATTCAATGTTCGTTATCCGCCTGGATAGTGTTCGTTTTCAAACTTCAGTTCCATCTCGACCTAATTCAACGAAGGCGAATTCAAATTTCGGCGCGAAACTCTGTTTGAATTTCATCTCTGTTCTGGTCAGCACTGATCCGTTATCAGTCGAATGTACTCTTCGTTATCAGAGTTTTCTTCATAAACACCGGGGTCTCTTTCCGATAACTGGCTGTTTTTGGATGGTCAATCTGGAATCTGTCACTAGTCATCTCCCAACCATCTCTCATTCTGGTGCGAAGAGGTTGCCTTGTTCCTGTTGAACACATTTGAATCCGTGTTCATTTGCATCATGGTCATCTGCTCAATGGGCACCTATGCTGCGATTGCTGACGTCACGAGTGACCCGTCCATCTGGCTAACGATATTCCGTGCAGAACGGAACAGGGACGTCCGTGACGTCACACACTCCGCCCTTCCCCACATGGTTCTTTGTGACGTCTGAAGGTGCAACACCCTGTATGAGGGCCCCGCCCGCTTCTAGGACTGTCAGGCACTCATTCCGTATTCCTTCCGTCATTCCGTCATCCTGGATAGTGACCAGGTCAGATGACTCCTGCATCAAATTTTTGTTCGTTTCGTCTATTCTTAAACTCACCTCCGCACTGTCTAGTGTTCAATGTAATGTGTTTTCAGCCTCGCAAGCACTAACAGCGTACTACCAATACCCAAGGAAGCATGACTCTCACCGAGATTCAGAATGTCGACAAGGAGAACGGCAGAGTCGTGGTGAGTGCATTCATTAATGGACCCGCGAGTTGGCGCGGCTGTGTGTGCACACACTGCGCGAAATTTGACGACGGCTCTCTTGATCCCAACACTTTCGCTTTTCAGCCGAAAATCACTTCTCGCGAACTGGCTTTAGAGAAGAAGTTGGAGAATCTAACGGTTGAGGAGAAGCCGAATGATGCCGTTGCGACGAATGAAAAGGTGGAGTCCACGTCGCAGGTGAATCCGCTCGACGCAGACGAGCCTCTGCTCCAGGACCTCGACAATCGCTTCGTGATCTTCCCGCTCAAGCATCATCAGATTTGGGAGTTCTACAAGAAGGCGGTCGCTTCGTTCTGGACTGTCGAGGAGGTGGACCTCGGAAAAGACATGAACGACTGGGAGAAGATGAACGGAGACGAGCAGTACTTCATCTCGAGAGTTCTTGCGTTCTTCGCTGCCTCTGACGGAATCGTCAATGAGAATCTGGTCAGTTATTTCAGAACAAAAAAGGTTGTACCTTCTTAATTACCGTCGTATTTCAGTGCGAGAGATTCTCGAACGAGGTGAAGGTCTCAGAAGCCCGCTTCTTCTACGGATTCCAAATTGCCATCGAGAACATTCACTCCGAGATGTACTCTAAGCTCATCGAGACGTACATTCGTGACGAAACGGAGCGTAGCACTCTTTTCAACGCCATCTTCGAGTTCGAGTTCATCAAGAAGAAGGCCGACTGGGCGATCCGTTGGATCTCGGACAAGAAGGCGTCTTTTGCCGAGCGTCTCATCGCCTTCGCTGCCGTCGAAGGAATCTTCTTCAGCGGATCGTTCGCTTCCATCTTTTGGCTCAAGAAGCGCGGACTCATGCCGGGACTCACTCACTCGAACGAGCTCATTTCCAGAGACGAAGGACTCCATCGTGACTTCGCCTGCCTCCTCTACTCGATGCTCCAGAAGAAGCTGACCCAGGAGCGAATCTACGAGATTATCAGCGATGCGGTCGCCATCGAGCAGGAGTTTCTCACCGAGGCCCTTCCAGTCGACATGATCGGAATGAACTGCCGTCTGATGTCGCAGTACATCGAGTTCGTCGCCGACCATTTGCTCGTCGAGCTCGGCTGTGACAAGCTCTACAACAAGAAAAATCCGTTCGACTTCATGGAGAACATCTCGATCGACGGAAAGACCAACTTCTTCGAGAAACGCGTCTCGGAGTACCAACGCCCGGGAGTGATGGTGAAGGAGGCGGAGAGACAGTTCGATCTGGAGGCCGACTTCTAATCACCCAAACATTATCACCCTGTCTCCAATTCACTTATTCTCTGTCTCGATCTCGTGTAACTGATCGCTGTCTCTGTACCATTTTATATGGATTGATAATTTTGAATACTCTGATTTCTTGAATAAAATTCGCGCTCTTCTGAAACGAATGGGATTTTTAAATGTTCATTTCAACGCGAATCGAGTCGTTCAGAAGTCGGCGTCTTCTTCCGATCCGATGGTGACGCACTCTCCCTGCACGCACTGAGTCAGACCCGAAATGGAAATCGGACAGTCGGCGAGCACGGCGCACTTTTCTGGAGAAGCCGAGTGGGTGGAAGAGAAGAGAACGGCCAGGATGCAGAGGAAAAACTGAAAATCGGGGAAGGGAATCAATCGGAAAGTGAAAGGGAACTCACCAGGAGGCAACGGAACATTCTGGACGAATGGACGGAATACGACGGGCGGCCACTCCGTTCCCTTTTATGGGAGAACGGAGAAAAGGAAGGGAATGGGAACGGGAAGAAAAAGTTTCGATGCGAAAGGAAGCACTCTTCTTGGCAAACAAAAAGATGGAATTTCGAACGAAAGAATCGGTTCGTGCTCTCAGATTCTGAAAAAAAAACGATTGTTCGTTTTGGAAACTGTCATATGAAAAACGATCAACTTCACTCATTTATTCACTTCGAATCCGACAGCAATAAGAAGACAGAAGGCGCGCCAGGAGGGTACGAGTGACAGACAATTCAGAAGTCTCACGTCGGCATTTCAGAAGCCGTGGCAATTCAAATTGTGGTTTAGTAGGCTTCTAGAATGGTCGGTAGAAAAAGGGAAAGGAGGAACAACACAAAAATGGAGAGAAAAGGATGTGAATGGGGAATAAATGTGGACGAACAGAAGAAGTTACCTCAATTTATTGATTACAAAAGTAGACGAAAATGGAACGGATGGGTCCAGAAAAAACAACTTTTGCGCTTTCTCTGGTATTCGTGTTCTAAAGTGCCAGATAAAAGTAAATGTGGGTGTGAGATTTAGAATCTCTGAATTTGGGAAAGAAGCAGAATAGACATCGCACCATTGCACAACGGAACATTACTGGATACGACGGTGCCTTGTTCTCTTTCCAGTTATCCAGAGACATCAACACATGCGACAACAGTTTCAGAACAGAAATCCAGAAAAGAGCAAATGAAATTGAAAGTCGAATATCGGAGAGAAAGAATGATTAAAAAACATTGATGTGATATTCGGCTATGGGCGAAAAATAATATAGATGGGCGGAGAGGGAAGAAGGAGCACAAATAAAATGGGAATATTGTTGGGATGAGGAAACGGTAAAGTCAGGTCGGAAAAATACCCAAAATGTGCGCGACACTGAACTCGACAGAGCATTCTTCAGAACGAAAAATGAAGGTCCGAATTGGACAACATACGGATGAGACAGGAGTAGGCGGGATAGAAGGAAAGAAAGGAAAACGTTCATCAATAAAAGGAGTTTACGAAAACGAGACATTTTGGGGGGGGAATTAGATTGGTTTTGGGAGAAAGTGGGGAAGCGAGGGGAAGTCTGACATTTAAAATCCTACTTATCTTTAAAAAGGAAGGGACGAACGCAAAAAAGGGAGAATCGCAGGAAGCGACAAGAATGACGGAGGTTAATTATAAAATGGCGGGCATCCGAAGATGTCGCCGGCGAGCTCACTACGTTTCCGAAAGAATGAATATTCGATCAACGGAACGAGCAAGCGAGAAGCTGCAGACGCCATGAACGATCAAACGAATTGAATAGAAAGAGGCGATGATAGTACATGACTTAACGGGGCTGGATTAGAGCAAGTTGTAAGATCACCCGAATCACTCTATTGAGGAGTGTTTCCAGACGGCGCCACTCCCCCTTGCACTCCGGATGATGGTCCTCCGGTGGCTCCAGCCGATGCAGCTCCTCCGGCGATAGCGTTCGATTGCGATTGCTGGGCCTTCTGCTTGAGCATCGTCCAGTCGAAAGTGTAGTCGTACTGAAAATTTTCGGTTAATGGGGCAGTCACTTCCATTTGAAATCAATTTCACACCTCGCACGACGCTCTTTCCTAACAAAACGATGTCATGTGGCGAGAGCCTCATTAAACCGGCACTTCTCTTCGTTCTACGAGGATTAAGTGAAGAGTATCTATCTTTGAGCAGCAGAGCTAAAGTCGCCGAACTGACGCTTTTTCTTGACCACATACCTGATGATTGAGCGTTCGGAACAAGATTCTGAACAACTGCCGCAAATACATGTAATCCGGCGACTCATCGAAGCGAAGTCCTCTCGTGTAGCTCAAGTACATTGGGAACTCGGCTGGGAAGCCCTTGCACAAGTGCTCAACGGATGTCGTCATCTTCTGAACGAAAACAGTCTTTCAGAGCGACAGTTACTTCAGCAGACTCAAACCTTCTCAGAAATCTTCTCATACTTCTGCTTCTTCGTCGCAGCCTTCAGTCCTTGCCATGGAAGCGTTCCACGGTTGAAGTACATCAGTACATATCCGAGAGATTCCATGTCATCTCTGCAAAAACATTGATTATGCTAGCCACTCTCAGCAACTTAAATACCTTCTCGACTGCTCAATTCCGAGATGAGCGTTGATCGAAGCGTATCTGGCGGTTCCAGTCAAGTTCTTGTCCTCTCTGTACGGGATGTGAGTTCTGGTGCGCGAGTCACGGTATCTAAATTAAACAGAATTGAAGTTGGCGCTTCTCACTCTATCCTCACTTCTTGGCCAATCCAAAATCGATCAAAAACAGCTTGTTGCAGTGGCGTCCTATTCCCATCAAGAAGTTGTCTGGCTTGATATCACGATGAATAAAGTTCTTCACGTGCACGTACTCGATGCGTCCAATCATCTGATCGGCGAGCATGAGAACCGTCTAAAAGAGTCTTCTTTAATAAATCAGTCATTTGGTCGCACGTCAGTTGTTGAATATAATGTCTTGTTTTTATGTCATCAGATTGGACAGAAAGGTTTGATGTGCTCTCATCAATTAGTCTATTCAAACTACCAAAAGTCAATACCATTTCGAAAAACTCAATAATAAGCGAGACGGGGGGAAAAGCACAGCTGGACCAGTCCCTCAGTTACCCTCGTTTCGCGAATGGAGGCCGTTGTTCATTATTTACACACATCACACTCCCGTTCCCTAAAGATCAGCGCCCCCTCAGTTGTCCCCCGCGCGTATCATGAAGAAGTGACATAATGTTGTAAGAACTGAAGGACACTTGATGAAAACGTCGTGTTGTGCGGAGACGTCTTGGTGCTGCAAACAAGGTTCTCACCTTCATGGTGAAGCGTCTGGAGCAGAAGTTGAATAGATCCTCAAGCGAGGGACCGAGCAAGTCCATCACGAGCACATTGTACTCTCGCTCTGTTCCGTACCTAAACGCAATAACGACCAATTTTTGGAGGTTCTACTTAGGACTCACCATCTGATGTGTGGAATACCAACTCCTCCTTGCAGTATGCGATAGACTTTGGACTCGTAGAGCAACTGAGGGTGCCGCGCCTGGAAATGAACGTGCGGACAAAGGAAAAGGAGAAAATTGGCGCTATCTGAAAAAGAGACACAACGGCCGCATTGGTAATGCAAGGCTGTGCCGCGTTATTGCGATAATGCCACATAGACGGAAATTCTGTAATTAGAGAAAGTACAAGCTTACCCTGTTGCTCTCCAGCTTAATGGCCACCTCCTCGCCGTTCGTCACGTTGATTGAGACATAGATATCACCGAACGAGCCGGATCCGATTTTCCGGATCAGCTTATATTTTGTCGCAACGATGAAATCCTTCACTGACATAACATTTGCCATTATTTACTCCGGCCGTGCTGAAAATGACGAAGATGATTTCTAACCTGCAAAATTTTACAAAATTACCTTTAGTAGCAGCACACGAAATGAGTGCACGAGGGCACCAGGTGGTTCAAGAGTGAGGATCTCAACCTGAAAAAACAAGTGGATGACAAATGGAACAATAGGCGCCAAAACGGACGAAACGCGATGTAATTCGATAGTAGCCGCTCGAAATTGGGAGATTTGGCGAGAAAAATCAATAGCTTTTGTAAACACGATAATTTTTAGAACTAAGATGGAAAACCCGTGACCGGAAAAGCTTTCGAACATTTTCGAAAGAATCAATGAATCATCCATTCGCCTACTATTTTTTTAACGACAACAGAGCCCTATAAAAATCGATGCAACAATTTTCATATTTTCTCTTTCTCCCTGGACTTCTTCGACGATGCCGGTGAAATAATCGGATAGCCAAAGCCATTTCACATCGATGAGCAGAAAGAATTACGAAAAACGAGCGAGAATCGATAGAGAAACAGAGCGATGAAGGTGCTGGGCAACGATTTCGTCAGTCACACAACCGGGAAGGCCGACCGCGACGCGAGGGGACGCGTCGCGGCTGCGCGCTAGTTCAAATTCGAGTCGGTCGCCTGGCGCTCTAGCTGGCACTCTCTCGCGAGGCGCCTTGCTTCCCGCTTTCTCTCATTTTGTTTCTTGTCTCGTTCCGAACATTTTACGACGGTGAGCGGTCTGCGTTCAATTTTCTTCGCAAACTACCTCTGATAACAGAGACCTGTCACTTCGAGAAAAATGATAGCGAAAATGGATGGCTGTCGCGACAAAGTTTCGTACAGAAGAGAAGTAGGAATCGATTGGCGCCGGCTCTGTTTCCGTCCCAAAACCTCCAAAATGACAACGAAAAAAACCGGTTTTTAAATTTTACACTCTGTTCTGTACTGTCGTCATCATGGACCAAGCGAAAGGTTGCTTTTTTGATAAATTTCAGAATGGGGGTGGGGCCGCATGTCTTCGACTTCAGACAGGACGAATACGAAAAAAAGGATTAGAAAATAAGTTCCAGAAAACTGTTCGCATGACCAATATTTCACGCAATATTGCACTGGCGCAATATCATTGATCTCTGGACAAAAAAGTGATTGAAAACTATCACTGTTATCAGTTACACATCGTGTGAGAAGCGGGGCGAATCGTGAAAGAGCGTGTTTATATTTGACAGACCAACTGAAAATTATCATTCCTCTTTTGTTTTTCACCAGTGTCCCTCCTCGCTTCCGAATATTTCCGCTTCTTCATTTTCTTTCGTGGAGGAATTATGAGGAGAAATCTTTGGTAGCGACGAGAGAAGCGAGAGCAGTGATGAAAATAGCGAGAGGGGGGAACGAGACGAACAGTCAGCAAATGTTTCCCTTTTTCTGCTTCGACTACTACTACAAGCCGACGGAAGATGGAGCGTGCGGGAATGAAAGAGCAACAGCGAGCAACCAAAACAATTGTGATTCACATTTTTGATTTGTACGTTTTTCAGTCGCTTTTGAAGCTCAGCTCCGAAAGGACATGGGATAGAATGCGTGGGTCTCGCCACGAAAACATGAGAAATGAAAACAAAAATGAGAAAGAGCACATTTATTGTGGTTGAAAGCACCAAATCGTATGTTAAAACCCGAATAAGAAATGATTAGACAGTGTAGTAGGGCGAGGCAGCAGAGGTTTGCAGTTCGACCTGCGATATCTTGTATCTCACTTTCTTCAGCCACTCCGTCACCAGCGGAGCTTCCAAGGAGGGCTGATTCTGGCAAGAATCTAGTTTCATTCTGAAAACGAAAGAGGAAGTTGGATGAGCAGAGACACTTCGAAACCTGAGTTGATTGGGGATTTGCGAGTGATAGGCAGTTAGGATGGGCGCCCACATCGAGTAAAGTTGGCAGAGAAGGGCCGAGTTGACCTGTTGGAGGGCTTGGATTGTGTTGAGGAAGTGCAGATTGACCATGTCGGCGAGCTGAAACCACACTTCCGTTAAGCACGCTTCGCTGCACATTTTCTCGCGACCACTCACCACTTTGGAATGACTGAGGAGCTGCAGGATTGCGGGAGTTACACGCGCCCAGAAGTCGATGAGATGGGCGAACGCCGTCGTGGAACTGTAAGTGGCCGCCCGTTCGCAGTAGACGGTCCACAGTTGGCACAAATGGAATGCATGGAACAGAGCGGACATGTGGACGACGGATTGCTGAAAAGAGAGAGAGAGAGAGTGAATTGATGGGCAGGGAAGGAACCTTCGACTGATCAGCGAAACCGGCGAGCACAAAGTGAATGTAATCAGCCATGTGCTGAGAGCATTCGATCGGAACGGGCAGGCACGAGTGATTGGCATGAAGGGCTCCGAGCAGAAGCCACGAGAGCACGCGTACGTTGGTGACACTGTCGGCGAACGCGCCCGGAGCAGCTTGTGTCACAGATGGAGGCGACATGAGCCACGGGATGAAGCGGATTACGGTACGGCAGTCGCGGGCATTCGATCGAGACATTTCAACGGCTGAAACAAGACATTGCAGTTGAATCTCTTCTCGTCGTTACCTATAGCTTCTGCCAATTTCACTTTCAGATCTCCGCCTAACGCATCTGAATTCGTCTCTTTCTTCAACTTTGCAATGACGTGCAAATCAGCGATAAAGTCCAACACTTCGAAGAGAAACGGACGGATCGCTTCGGAAGCGGCAGTGTTGAACTGATCGTCCAGCAGCGGCACCTCGATGTCTTCTCCGGCGTCCTGCAGAATCATGTTGGCCACCGTCACATAGTTCGCTTCCTGCATCTTCGCTTTGAACTTTATCGCCTGCATCAGTTCGGTGACGACTGCGCGAGTCACGCATTGTTTGTCTCGTTCCTGTCGAAAGCGATTATTAATGAAAGTTCAACGACATTCACTCCACTTACTCTTATCAATGCTCGGTTACAAGCTGTGCAGACTCCAAGAAGGGATTCCAGAGATATTTCAGCGCCGTGAAGGGATTCGGAGAGCCACTTGGCGAACGATTCGACAAGGGAAACGGCCGATTTGAAGGCGGAGAAGTTCTGCACTTTAAGCACATGACTCATGACTACAATCACATTCTCGATTTCAGCACGAGTTGGAACGGTCGCGTTGTCAGCAGAGATAGCGGTGTGATACCTCCGGAAGAAAGTTTCCATGTGACCAGTGAGGTTGCTCCAGTGGGAAATGTACATGTCGGTGGGAATCTCGACGGTGTAGAATGCGAGATTCTTCATAATCAGCCGCACAGAGCCTGGCCAGCTTTCGTCGAGATCTTCCATCAGAAGTTGGACAAAATAAACGGGAGAGAGCTCGTTGAAGTCGGCGAGAGAAAGAGCGACGACGCCCCAAAAAGCATCGGCCCGAGGGATTTTGGTGTCGAAGAGTTGAAGGCAAATGGCGGAAGTGGAGAGATGATGGAGAGTGACACGCAGCATCTGCTTGGCCACCGAACGGGAGTTTCCCGGCACGAACATGTCGGTCGAGTGCCACGGGTACATTGGAGTGTCAATGAGTCTCGTGACTGTGTAGAGGATCTTAAAAAGAATCGGAGCGGCCATCGAAGGTTCTCGATGAAGGAACGTCTCCAAGGAGATCAGGCAGAGCGAGATGGTCTCCTCGTCGAAGAATTCGATCTCCTCGTTGCAAATGTTGCATCTCAGAGTGGTACTGAAATACGTTCATTCCTAAATAGTCTCTCTTTCCCGTTGTTCTCACCTCTTTTTAATGTTTTCAATCGCACTCTTCTTCCGCTTTGCCTCCAGAATCGCCGTGCTCCGTTTCCGGGACATCGCCGGCTCGACGACGAGTCTCCCTGGCTCCACGATTGTCGGCTGCATCACTCGGACGGCTCCCACATGAATGACACCTTCCCCCGCCGTAGACGCTTCCTGAATCGTCGTCACTGTGAGACTCTCCGGCCGGATAAGTTCCGTCCGTGCCACGTCATCTTCTTCCACTTCGTCCCACGTATCTATCTCTTGCGATGGTTCCGCTTCCGAACACTCGTGAACATGATCTGAAAATGGAACGTAAATGGTCGGTCACGGAATTGAAAATTCGGCTCACTTTGCAACGTTTTCACTACAATCCCTATCAATCTGACAATGTTCTCACTGACCGGAAGTTGATCAAACCGATACTGAAACGATCCGATTAGAGGCAAACTTTCGAATTGAGGCAAACCTTGTAAAGTATGAGAATAAGAGAATGAAGCCACAAATGTCGCATGTGCTGAGTGAGAAGAGCCAGAGAGTAATTGGTGACATTCTGATCGGAAGCCAACTTTTGAGGACTCGGAAGATGAATCAACAACTGGGCTACGGTCGGCAGCAGCTGGTTTCCTGTGTGCAGATTCATGTCCAGCACTTCCGGAAGTCCACTGATGAATGCATTGCAGACTGCCGCTTTCCTAAAAGAAAACTCGTGTAACGGAAAGAAAACGAGAAGCCGTCATCTACCGTAATCTGGCAGGAGGTATCGTGAAGCACTTCTCCGTGCTGCTGTAGCCGAGCAGAGTGTTAAAGTGGCGGAAGACCAGAGACTGCTTCTTCGCATTCGCTTTCTCGTCGGTCGGCGTCGAGTTCTTGTTGCTGAGGAAAGTGACGAACAGGGAGACGACCAGGTAGACGGTGTGCCGTTCCGGGTTCTCCATGTCAACGACTCTGTTGAAGAGCAAGCACATGTTGCTCTCCTCGTCGGTGAATTCTCGCAGTCTACCGTACCCTCCTGGAAAGATCGGAGATCAACGGAACGAAGATTCTCGTGGAGAACAACAGAAATGAGGTAAATTGATGAAACTGAACGATCAACTAAGGAACCCCTTGTTCTTCTCAAAAGAATTTACCCTTCCTGAAAGTTTTGGTTCGTGTGTTTTGAGTATATTTCTTTGCATGCGTAGAAGGGGATTGAAGCGAAAGAATCGGGTGTCTAGAAGGGGCTGAGAAGCGGTGAAAAGTGCGTCAAGCCCTCGGAGGCCTGACCGATGCATACCATGCCCGTAGTTGGCGGTGACCGATGAATGCGGCGAGGAGACGTCTTCGTTCACGGCGACACTGGCTGAAATTACAGAAAGAGGAGAGAGTGTTAGAGGCGGAGAGGGCGCAGAGAAGACAGAAAAAGAAACACTGGACAATTGGCAGACCAAAATAATTGAGGAAAAGTGTTTGTGAGTGATGTGGAAACCAACTGAAACCGTGTAAAAAACAAGAGAAACAAATGAATGAAAAAGTTTGTGAAGAAAGAGGAAATGAATGAAAGAGCTAAGGAAAAGAGGGATGCTTTCACGTGCACATTCACATTCCGAAGGAGAAGAAGAAGAGATCCAGATGCAAAGTGTCGTCGTTCCAACGTGCAAAAGAGACACATACACATCAATCCGCCGGGAGCACCGCCCGAAGTCATCATAGACACGAGCGAAGCGGCTCCGAGTGCCACGTCCGCCGCCATCTCGCGCCATCGATTCACGACGCGCACCATCGTGACCACCTTCAGAATCTTGACGCGCGCGGAGAGCGCCGCCTCTGAGAGACGACCACGACGCCGCCAACGAGCCACGCGCGTCGACAAAGTGATATCTGGACAGAAGAAGAAGGGTGTCTAAAGGGACTGTTAGGAGGAAGGTTACAAAGGAGACACACAGAGGTCCGATGGGTTAGGATTAGTATACATAGAAGAGGTTAGGAATGAATCGAAGAGATCGTGTGGATCGAGTGAATGAGGAGAGGAATCTGGTTGGACCGGATCGGCTTGGGGCGACGTACCTGGATCCGACGGCAGATGGGCCAGCTGGTGCTTCATTCCGTCGTACTGCTTCAGATGACGGACGATCGAACGGGATGTGCTGGCATTCTCAATGGCCGTCCGTGCTTTCGAAACTTTCCGTTGATAGAGTTCAGACATCGGATCAGTGTGCATCAGATCTTGCACGAAGATGTTCTCCTCTGTTTGGCTGCTCAACTGACTTTCCAACACCAACGTCTCGAATCTTTGAATGAAAAAGTCGAAAGTGAGAGTGGTCTGGTCGGGCAGAAGGATTGACATCATCGTAATTGCATGAATGATCAACGGACGGTCCACTATGCAGTGATCGAATTGCGACTCGAAACACATGCACATCAGCTGAAAGCATTATGAATTGGAATCTTATCAGAAGCACGACGACACCTTCAAAGTGTGACTTGGCATCGCTCTCAACGCTATGATCGCCCTCTGCGCCACAGATGGATTTGGATCGTGAAGTGAAGCAATGAAGTGGTAGAAGACTGCGGAGAGGCAAGTCTGCACCACTTTGTTTGCCTTCACCGGCGCCGTCTTTATCATCTGAGCCATCACGTAAGCCTTTCCAACCGCATCAAAACGGACATTCCACTGGGGAGACGTGAAGTCCCGATGAACCATTTTCCAGAACATTTCCTCTCCGCACGGAAGAGTCATTGAGTGCAGCAGGAGATGCGTTGCCAGCTCGCCGACCTGGATGTAATCGGATCGAAGACGTGCCCACAACTTTGGCACCATTTGGTTCTCTTGGGTCCAGATCAGAAATCCCCGATGTTCCCTACGAGCGTTGCTGAGTGCTTCGCAATGAAGGCAAAGATACTTGATGGACGACATTACGAAGAACTCGACGTCCGGCTCGACGGCGGTGTCCAGACAGGAGAGTAGCGAGTGGATCATCTTCAGTTGGGAAGGTAACTGATCGAAACTGAATCGAAACCTTCCGACAGAAGTGATCCAGAAGTCCGTGGGCGGCTGCTTCTGAACGGGCGTCTGCGGCGTCTGGATGATCTGTCCCTTAATGCTCGGATGGACCGTCGTACTCGTCACCACCTGCCCCGTCTCAAGTGTTGTATCGTGTGTCACTGCTTCTGCCATCGCCACTTCCATCTCCTCTGCCGGAAGGATCCCAACGCACTCCTCCACACACTCCTCCCCCTCTTCCTCAGCTTCATATGCCTGTGCAACACACATATTTTGCAGGAGAGCACCATCCGGAAACAGTTTCGAGGGAGCCGAGATGCCTGGAGACGTTCCTTTGCTCCCGGCTTCCGTCAACGGAGAGAGCATGGAACTTCCGGGCCCCGTCGGAGAATCTGTGGTTTGTTCATCGTAGATCGCATCTTCATCGACTGTCGTCTGAAAGGTTTTCCATATGATTTTGAACTGGAAGAGCAAAATTGTACAATAATGGCGACTTCTCGTTTCGGGCACACTTTCTGCGTGATGTTCATAACCATTTGCTGGACGAATGCAGTTTGTTGGCATTCTGAAAACATCTTTGCAAAAGATTTTCCGTATTTAACATTTACGTTGGCAATCTGCGAACCCGTCCAACTCTGGATCGTGGCACGAATGAGGGACTGCTCTGATCGGAATGGACACGAGCAGTTGCATGCACTCGAAGAGTCTGTCCGTGAGCACCGGAGTCATTGACCGTTCCGAATCGTTCAGTTTCATCTGCAGGACGAGAGTATCCACAAGGACCACGTGCACGGACATCTCCTCTTCCTCCAGATCATTCTCCGAAAGAGGAGGGATCTCGATGGTTCTCAGCTTGATTAAGCATCGGTTGAAGTTCTCGAGGATCATGGCCAACGGGATGGTGATGTCCAGACGGGAGAGTTGCTGAAATATGAATGTGAGAAGATGAACAGTAGGAAGGACGTACATGAAGCCATTGCAATGCGTTGAACATTTCATCGTAGTCGTCGCCTCCTATCCGATCCGTCATAAACTGGTACACTTCGGCAGTTTCAAACGGGAGAGGACACAAATCCGGTTCGAATATCTTGCACAGCAGAATCTTCAGCTCTGGCTGGTTGTCCTCGGTGCAATCGTTCACAATGGCCTCCAGCCATCGTGGCATGACTTGTGACCACGTCTCCAGACTGATGACGTCATAAGGCATCATAGCGAGAAGCCTTCCGAGTCCCTCTTTAATCCGATCTATCACAGGCCGCCCGTCGAACTCCTCGCATTCCCCGCACAGGCTCGAAAGGAATACCGAATTGTGCACTCTCATTCCGGTGTTCATCCAATCGGAGACAAAGTCCGTCTTCAATTGTTCCAGAGATGAGCCCATAGAATCGTTGGGCAAAAGTGCGGTCGTCGCAAACCATTCGAAGACGTTCTGCATAATGTATCCGATGGCTCTTGGATCCGCAGATTCGTTAGGAGGACACAGCCCGGCCATAAGCCACACTCCGAACCGACTGAGCATCCGACGCTCGTCCGCCATTTTGTCGATCTAAAACATTCAATTGAATACTCTCTTCGCCCTCCGACCGTCCGTACCTCTTTTCCCATGGAAGTACCTCCGTCCAACTGCCTCAGCCACTTCGGCTTCTTTCCTTCTCCCTCGTTCCCCTCGAACATCGTCGTCTCCCTCAACAGCTTCACGATGCTCTCGACCGTCGGCCACTGATCATCCGTCGACCACACCACTCTGCTTCCCTGATGTTGCAGGTGCTGCACCGCCCCATCCTCATGCACCAGGGTACTGCAATCCATGCACAGCCTCATCGGCACGTGGTTGTGCCCTCGTGTGCATTCGTGTGAGCAGCATATCGTCACTGCCAATCTGGATTGCGATTGGCACTCTTGTCGTTGGCACGTGGCGTTCGAGGCGGGCATCGGCTGGGCAATGTGCTGCGTGACAACTTTCCGTTCGCCCGTCACTTGCTCGGCGCACTTTCGACACAGGAAGATCGGCGGCGAAGTGTCGGCGACGTCCGCGCAAACGACCGGATCGTAGCATCGTTTGACGCTCGACGACTTATCGGTGCAGCCAGTCGATTGACACTGCATGGTTCGCCACGCATGCACTCGGTATTGGATCGTTTTCCTGTGCAAGATCTGCGGGTTCGGAAAGGGCCAGTAGTGGAAGAGAAGGTTGGCGGCGGCCACTCTGCTCTCGCACGTTCCCTTGGCGATCACTTGCAGAAGGTCCTGGTAGACGTTCGAAGAGCAGTTCATTGCCGATTCGACAATCCACGTGTGCAGACTCGGATCGTGAGTCTGCTGCAGAACGAGCATCAGCACTCCCGGAACACTCAACTTGACGAATGTCTCATCGTTTATGGCGAACGGGAAGACGCAGTCGGCTAGCAGGTGCACAATCTGAAAACTCCCTCGTACTTGACTTTGGATGACCGTACGGTCCGTACCTGCTTGTCCAATTCTCTCGGAAACACTCCCAATTGACTGGCCAACAAAAGCGGTAACTGTTCCAGAGAATCCCGTTCCAAAAATATCATCAGCGCTTTGATTGTGTCTAGAATTGCTTCTCCTATTGCTGTAATCAGGAGAGTCTTGGCAAATGTGCGCGGGAAAATTCAGTACCTTGTGGTGACGTGGTTATCAGAGGGAAAACGTCTAGAAGGTTGACTATGGCATAGTAGAGGGCGGAATAGTTGAGGTTTGGATAGAGGTTCCATCGTGCCGCGTCCGATGAAAACCGCTCGCAGTAGTTCGTCTGGGTGGCCGGAAAGTCTTTGAGGAACCTGCAATTCATAATAAAAAGGTAAGTTTCATTAGATTCAAATCAACTTTCTTCTCGTTTACCGTTTGTTTTTGTGATTCCCAACCGAGCTTCTATTTTTAACAGAAAAGAGGGTTGGTTAATTACAAAAAAGACAGATTCGCTCCTATTTCCCTCCTTCTTCTTCCTTCTTTTGTTTTCCCACTAAAAATGGAGATTTGCAGCTCGTCAGTACTGGCTGCAACAACAACAAAAATGGAAGAAAAAGAAGGCCGACGGGCTGAAGTCCCTTTTCCGGTCGCCCAATTCAAAATTCAAATTGGCGCCGGAAAACGCGACGAAAAGAAGAGAAAAAAGAAGAGAAAGGCAACTCTCTCTCTCTCTCTCTCTCTCTCTCTCTCTTTTTCCCTCTCTCTGTCTATCTTTTCAAGACTTTGAAATAAAGAGAGAGGAGAGACGAAGAGTTAATTAAAATTTAATCGAATGAGAGTGGACGGGGCGCCCATCTTCTTCCAGTTTACTCTTCGCCCCGGCCCCCATTATTCTATTTTTTTTAAAGAGGAGCAGAGAAACAGATTGATAATTACGGCGAAAGGTCGGCGGGGAAATTGCGTTTTCCTAGACGGGAGGTGCGCGGGAAATGGGCTCACAGAGCGGTTATTTATGCACGTTTTGGAAGTGAATTGCACACGATGAGCCACGTCATTGCTAGGATTACGGTAGGGATGCAACTCCTCAAAAGTTCATTTCTGAAAGCCTCGAGTGGTGGCCTATTCTGAGTGCAACTCTTTTTATGGTACTCAATGGGCGGCCCGTTTCCTGAGTGGAATGGTCCTCATTCGCGGCCACTTCTTGCCCCATCATTCACTCTTTTTCCTCAGCTTTTCCTCTTCATTCCTTTTTGCCCAACTATTCATCATATGTTGATGTATCTGCTGGATTAGTGCGTGAAATTCGAGAATCTTCGCCTCTTCCCCGTCGCTTCGAATGCTTTTTTCCGCGCGAATACGAGTGCGACGGAGGAGGAGCACCATCTGTTTCCCATGAAATCGTGTTCTTTTTGTTCTTCTCAGCCTGATTGGATGTTCGGAAACGAATGGAAACTGACCCGATGAGTGTCTGCTGGAAGTACCGTAACGTCGTGATGATCTCTGCGTTCGACGGCGGCTGCTGGTTCGTCGAAAGTCTGATTTGGAACTCGGACAGCGTGCGGATCTTGGCCGAAACTGAAAACGAATCAGATGAGAAAGGTGACGTGGGAGGCGACTTACAAGTGTAGTACTTCAAGAGAAAAGCCATTTAATTTCCAGCCTCTAGCTACACTTTTCAGCCTACGAGCAGCAGCACAATGGTGCGGGTTTTGGACGGCCGTCCGGGCGGCTTGTGCTCTTGAGCGGAGAGCCCGCGAGCAAACACAAGCTCCGCCCCTTTTGGCGACGGAAATGCCCTCCAGTTTGCCGCCCTCTTCTGCCTCTTCTGTGTGCCTTCTGGTTTCGGTTTTCATTAGCTCTTTTCGCCTTTTCTCATTAACCAGTTGTCCTGCCCGTCACTTCTCATTTAAATACCACTTTACGGTCGCTTTTCTCCCACTTTTCTTCTTTTCACTTTCATCGATTCCAAGCCTAGCCGCTTCCATTCAGTTTCTTGTTTCACAACTTCATAACGGCCTGGTTCCCTATCTAATGAAACGATTATTTCAAAGAGAGACAGTTATAATACGGACAGGAAATTGCTTTTTGACAAAACGCTATAGAAACCATATTCTATTGAGTTCCCGGAAAACGATTTAACAATAGAAACCTCTGCCGTTTTGCTCTCTTCTTTTTCAGCGAAACTTTTTATTAAATTCATTAAAAAAACAAATTCTATCTTTTGGAGACTCAACTTAAAACTAGAAACTTCAAAAGTGTAGGTTGTCATCATTCTTGTTAATATAACGTCTGTCTGTTTGTTTATTTCTCTGTTTGTCCGTCCCCACGTTCATTTCTGAAATTATTTCATTTCTAAAACGAAAGTAAGTAGTTGTGACGGAAAAATGGAGAAATGAATACGTGAACTTTCAAACAGTAATGGGTCTGGGTTCCAAAAGTCTTGTGAGAATCATAAGATCATTCAATTTTCCCCGATATTTGAGCCTCCATTCTATCCGAGCTCTCGTGAACACACTGTGTTTGACGTGAAATGTCAAAAACAATACTACCGTTTTCCCGCTGCTTCCTTCATAATTCGTCCTCCCGTCTATCATGCACACATTTCAGACTCACAAGTGGCCGCGCGTGTGGTCGCCATGCTTCGTCCTCGGTTGTCCGTGCTCGTTGCTCACACATCAACGTGGCATGGGCGGACTCTGCAAAATGCGAACGGACTTGCCACTTCTCGTTTTAGTCAGTTCCGTTGTATATTTTTGTGGGCGGAGAGTGAGAGAGAGACGGGCGATTTTCGAGTGTTTCCGAACAAGAGAGTAACAGGATTTGGAAAAGGAAATCTGGAAGTGTTATGCATATCTCAAGAAGCAGAGCACCATAATGCGATAACCAGCTGAGAGGGGGAAATGGACGGACACGAGAGCGAGAGAGAGAGAGAGAAGGAACACTTTGCGAAGGGGGACTGTCCAGGGAACTCGTGTAAGTTGTTTCAATGAAAGGGAAAAGTTAGTTAGGGAAAATTACAAGCTCCACGACGTTTCATACCTGTCATATAAATACCGTAAATACTGTAATGTAGAAGGGAACACAAATACCGTTCATTCAAAGCTCCGCTGCCGGTGGAGTTATCAAAAAGCTGTCAGCTAATAAAATGATCATTAAGACATTTCGAACCTTTTTTTTTCAATATATTACTTTTTGATAATCTGCAGCTGAGATGTAGAGTCATGAATAAACGGTACTGTGATGCCATTCTATTAAAGCGTTCACGGTAGCTTCTAATGGGCATTAGTTGTGTTTTCAAGGTGGAAAACATTTCTTATGACTCGTTTGATTTGACTTTTCGAAGAATTGCGCATTTGGAAGTCCCGTACCGGAAAAAAATCTCCGCAATGTTTCAGTATTCTCTGACAATCGTGAGGCGAAACTTTTTGAGTGATTAACAGTGATAGCTTTAACGTTTTTCGGTCTAAAACCTTAATAACGAAACTGAGTGATTAACACTGAGAAGCAGCGGGCTGAGAATTCTGCGGAAGAACAAGCGCCTCTGTTTCTCAATTGGATAATTAGAACTTCTTTTTTTTCGCGGCATGTGACGGGTACGTAATTAGGGGTGTGCACTTGGCGAGAAAGTGGTCGAAAGAGTCGAATGAAATCAGATTTGAAATGCTCAGAGATTACTAATTTAAAGTGGATTCAGTTGGTTGATGAACAATTAGTCAATTGAAAAAACCCAACCCAGACAGTAACTTTTGCAAACGAAATGGAGATGATCATGCCGCGTCCAAAGTTAAAAAAATAGCGGGAAAAAAAGGCCGAAAATTTCCTTGAAAAACGGGATGCGCACAGCTGAACGAATATGACCGTACACCATAAAAAAACGACTTTGGTTAGTGGTTTTTAATTAACTTTGGACGCGGCATTAAGACGAAGAATGAGACAGTTAAATGTTGAATTCGAACAGGCCAAGATGAGAAAGATCAGATTGAATTATGATTTTAAATGAGTTTTGGGTAAGAAAATTCCGAAGTACTCATGAAAGACCCGAACAGTGCCAACAATCGAAGGCCAACTTGCAGAAGATACCCCAAACAAGCTCCGTCCATATGGAAGGATAGAGATCGGAGCCCGGCGGGAACATCGGAATGGTACCACCGGGAAGCGGCCTGTGTGGGTGGGGACGAGAGTGGTATACAAATAGACGAGGACGCGACGAAAAACGAGGAAGATGAAGAAGGGAGGGAGGCGAAGGGACCAATCAATACGAGTCCGTGCACGCGAAACGACGAGCGGCGCAGAGCCTTTTTCGACGTGCCTCTGCGTTTCTCCGTCTCGCGTGCTCCCTCGGCGCCGGAGCCGCGGACACAAAGTGCAGGCGGGCGGGTCCGTCGGAGAAGAAGGAGAAGAAGCAGTAAGCCCCCCTGGGAATCATTGTTTGTCTCCGGGAGAAGAAGAAAAAGAATAAGAAGACGGAAGACGAGCCTTGAGGAGAAGTTCGCCACAAGGTGACCCATTCGAGAAGTAACTGATGTCTGAAATGTGCCCGACTTCTTCTGATGCAATTTGAACTGCACGTGCAAAAAATGCACTTTGTGCACATTAGGCTTATAAAAAAGTTTGAGCGAGCATCCATTTGAGAGCTCATCCGAACGGCTCAACTGGCTCTCATGTTTATTATGCTGCTGATGCATCCAATTCTTTCCGTTTTGCAAGAATAAAGTTTTCAATCATTTTATACGGTTGTTATCAAACTGACAAACTGTTTTTTAATACTTATAATTGATAATTGTTTCAGTCGCCTTTTCACGGAATATCTCTCGATGCTCTTTTGAAAAACATAATTTAAACATCGCCGAAACGGGCGTTACAACGGCATGGAGCTCGCACGGAATAGAACTGTTATGATTTAGAACTCTTAACGTTAAAATACAACGGCGAGTTCCAAATCGTAACAGTTCTAGTAAATATTCCGTGCGAGTTCTATTCCGTACCATTGTAGCACCCAGGGCCCAGAAATGAAAAGTTCAATGGAGCGCATTTACATTACTCACTTGAGAACGTTTCGTTTCTTTTCGCACAATTTCCTTCATTTCTCAAGGTTAGAACTTTTCTGCGTTAGATCAACTTCTGATCTGTCGAAAAATAAAGAAGACCTTTATTGTATTCAGGCATGAGCTCGGGTAAACGAAACCTGGAAACAATAACAATCGGCGACTCGGACGATGAAATCGAGACGGGTCCAGCCGCAAAGAAGCCGGCTAATACATCCAGAACGAGCTCAAGCTCTTCGTCGATTGTTAATCAAAAAAGTACATGGGCTGATATATTCAGTAAAGTATGCGATATGCAGCAGATTAAAGCCAAACACGTCTTAATTCAGAAGAAAACAGAAGCATCCGCGGCATCTCTGAAAAAGAAAGAAGCGAAAGACAAAGAGAAAGAGTCGGAACAGCAGAAGCTGAAAGAAGCATTCCAAGAGAAAAAACGAAAAGAAGCTGAGCAAGAGGCTTCGGCGAAAAAGGCGAAAGAAGAAACACCTGAATCGCAGGACACCCAGGATCCCTTTGAATTCGTCGGTTCGTTCTTTCGGACACAAATGTGTAAACTGCTGTTTTTCCAGCTAATCCTCTGGCTGTGGGAACTGGGCAGCGTCTCATTCGTGGCCCGGAAATCATAGAGCGCCGTGACAAAGTGTTTCTTGAGCTGTTCCGTCACAAAAAATACCGTAGTCGGCTCCAGATGCAGGCGGTTAACTGCATTCTAAAGCGGAAGTGCGATGTGTACGTCTCTCTGCCGACTGGCGCCGGAAAGTCGCTCTGCTACCAACTGCCGGCCGTCGTGCACGGCGGCATCACCGTCGTCGTTTCCCCGTTGATCGCGTTGATGAAAGATCAGATCTCGTCGCTTCGGAAAAAGGGAATTCCGTGTGAGACTCTCAATTCTACGTTGACAACACAAGAGAGAACGCGTATTCTGAAAGATCTGGAGGGAAATAATCCGACGATTCGAATGTTATACATCACTGCGGAAGGAGCAGCGACCGACCATTTGAAGAAATTGTTGGGCCGATTGAATGGAAAAGATCTTCTCCGTTATATTGTCGTCGATGAAGCGCATTGTGTCTCTCAATGGGGACATGACTTCAGGCGAGTCAATTCATTCTTTTCTGATCGATTGTTTCTCATTTTCAGACCTGATTACTTGACCCTCGGCTCGCTGCGTGACGTCTGTCCCGGAGTTCCCTGGATTGCTCTGACGGCCACTGCCAACGAAAAAGCGCAGGACGACATTGTGATGCAGTTGAAAATGCAGCACGTTGAAAGTTTCAAAGCGGGAACTTACCGAGATAACCTTTTCTACGACGTCTGCATGAGAGATCATCTCAGCATGGCCCCAGAAGTCAGTTATTCTCCGCCTTCTTCCTCGAATGTTTTTGAAATGTTTTTCAGAATCACATGGCGTCGTTCATCACAAAATGCTTGACTATTAACTCAAAAGAGACGTCGAAAGATAGCTTGACAAAAGGCGAGAAAGGAGGAAGATCTCAGAATAAAAAGGAACTGAGCGGTTCGGCAATTGTCTACTGCCGATCTAGAAACGAATGCGAGCAAATGGCGAAAATGCTCGTGATAGCTGGAATTCCAGCACTAGCTTATCATGCCGGATTGGGCAAGAAGGACAGAAACGAGGTCCAGGAACGATGGATGTCCAATGAAATTCCGGTCGTCGCAGCGACAGTCGCTTTCGGAATGGGTATTGATAAACCCGACGTCCGGTGAGCATATAATAGGAAACAAATTTGAAAATTGAATTTCAGAGCCGTCGTGCATTGGTCAGCTTCTCAGAATCTTGCAGGATATTATCAAGAAGCGGGACGAGCTGGAAGAGACGGAAAAAGAAGTTATTGTCGAATTTATTACTCGAAGCAGGACAAGAACGCGCTGAACTTCCTTGTCTCCAGTGAATTAGCCAAATTGAAAGAAAAAGTTAGAATTTTTCATTGGTTCAACAGTTCAACAACAACTAAATTCTTCAGGCAAAAAAGAAGAACGCGGAGGGTGAAAAAGCAGAAAAACAGATCAAATCCATTCAAAACGGACTGTCCAAAATGTTCGAATATTGCGAAAGTGCCAAGTGAGCTCCGCTGTCTCTTAATCTTTTAATCATTCGTTTTCAGATGCCGCCACGTGGCCATCGCCAGTTTTTTCGATGACGCCGACTGTCGGCCATGCAAGACAAACTGCGATTATTGCAAAGATCCGACGAAAACGAGCAGGACTCTGGAATCATTCATGGTTTGATTCAGATGTCGTCGGCTAAAAAAGTGTTTTCTCAGAACAGTGGACCATCGACAGGCAGCTTATTCAACAGAAACGGCAGCGGAGGCGCCGGAGGATCAGGGTTCGATTCGGTGTACGGAGGAGGGAAACGAGGGGGAGAGACCGAAGACGAACTGCTGTCGGCTGCGAGCACGTCGAAGGAGGCGATGGACCGAATGGAGCAGGAAGAGGCGAAAAGGGTCCGCGGGATTATCAGCAACGAATTTGCGAAGAGAAGACAAGCGACCGCACCGAGACCGACTTCTTCTCGCAGAACGGAACCGTCGACGGATGTTACTGTGATCAAACCGGATCAGAATGCGATTAAGAATGTCATGTTAGAGGTTGACTGTCTCGTAAATCACTCACAAAACCGTATCTTTTCCAGACTCGCGAAAACTGGGTCCGTCATTTCATGCGAGCCCTCGAGTCTAATTGGATCCTCGGTCCTCCACCCGGAGTGACTTCGAAGACTTGCGCCGAACAGCTGGAGTACGGGATGTACTCGATTTCGAAGAACGAAATGACCTACAAGAACAAATGCAGTCACAAGGTGCTCAATTTGTTCCGTGTTCATAAAAGTTCACATGTACCTGCCACACTTTCCTATTCATGAGTTATTTTGCAGCTGGGAGAGATCAAAACATTGACGAAGAAAAACGAGCCGTTCCAGTATGCGAGCACGGCCATCGAACAGAATGGATTCGTGAAAGCTGCCGACCTGACATAAAATTTGCAGAACTTATCCTCGATTGTCATATCATTTTATCCTTTTCTTTTAATGTTTATATGAATTTGTCTCGTAATCTCCCTCGAAAGTACGTCCTCTTCAAACCGTAATCCCTCTTCTGCCCATTCATTCGCCCTTTTCCTTTTCCATTTTCCATTCAAGACCGGATCGCCAGTTCTTTTCCTCCTTAAATGTGTTTATCAGATAGTTCTCGCCCTCTTCGCTCCTCTTTTTCATCCGTCCCTCTTTTTTTGACCTTCTCATCGAGGATGGCCACTCGAAAAATGAACACGGAGGAATTGGGCAAGAAATGTGTCAAGTTGGCCTACCTATTGCCGCCCTGAGACCCCCGCCCGCTTTATTCGCTCCCCGATCCGGCCTAATACGGTCTCATGTTTGAAGACTCCCCCGATTGCAAAAGTCAATAGAAATGAAATGGAAATGGGCGAGTGGCTATAGTCGTCTGAAGGGTAGACCTATTACTTTCCGTGACTTTTTATCATTCCATGCTCCTCTCTTATCATCTTTTTGCCAGAGTTTTCAGTCTGTTTGCCCGTTTGAGTCGAAATTGATGTCATTTTGTACGTTGACGGCTTGGAAGCAAGTTTTGGAAAACAATCGAAATTTGACACCTTCATTACATTACGACGGACTTTTTTTTTGTAAAACAAGGACTCGATAGGATGGCATTCATCTGAATCTCAGCCGACGTCTTCTCGTTCCTCTTTCTATCATCACTTTTCTTTCCTTCTCCTCCGATTCCATTAGTAAACATTCTTTCCTATCTGTTTCCCCATTTCCTTCTTTTTGCCACACCTTCTATTGAAAACTCGGAGTAATGCTCCAAAAGCACACTATCACACCCACTGGGAATTCGATTGGAAGTGATCAAAAATGAGTGACAAACAAATATCAAGTAGTCATTTATTTCGGTTCCTAACCAAAAATTGACGTTTTCTACATATTTGGGAGGTCGCTCTGACTCATTGTTTGCCCTCTTTTTGCCAAACTTTTCCCTGTCATTTCAATGCCCTCACGCTCCACTCCTTTTCTGAATCAGCCCCGATTCGAAACGGTAGGCGCCTTCTACCCCGAACTTTTATGACGTGGCAAAACACTCGATCCAGCTGCTCTTCAACTGATACTTTTCCCCCTTTGCGCCAGTTTGTTCGTCTTCCGCAATCTGCGCGCACTCCGTTCCGCGTGCTTTCCGCGTGGCACATTTTTTGTGTGCTTTCGGTCCGCCTCCGCTCTTCCCGCCCGTCCGTCGCCCTCCGCGCCGCAGAATTAATGAGGCTGTTCGCGCGGAGAGTGACCGGTTTCTCTGCGTCTCTCTGACGCCAACGCTGTCTCGCTCGGAAATGAGGCGGGTTCGGGTTACCCGGGGTTTCGGGGAGGCAACAAGAAGAAGAAGAAGAAGCCCTGAGGAGGGACTGACGGACGGGGCGGGGACTGGCTGCGTCTCTTGGGGACAGTGATCTCTCGCACCCTCTTATGCCATTCTTCGGGCCCGGCCATCGTCTCGCTGCACCGCCCTTTATGGGTCCGTTACGATGACGTTGATCTTGTGATTCCTGTTCCGGAACAGTACTCTCCTGAGATTACTGTAGATTTCTTGAAAAATGATTTAATTCTCGAAGCCGGAACCCTCTCATCTTCCATTTTCAGCATGTCGTACGGCGGACACGACCCGAAAGGGTACGGAGTCGAGGACCTCGTGCTTCTCTCCACAATCGACCTGAAGAGTGTGGTTCTGAACTTGCAGTTGAGGTGGGTTATTATCCGGTTGTATAACGGGACCTCGTCTCACTTTCTCGGTTTCGCGATCTTTTACTGTCAAACAACAGAGGAGGGGGGAAGTCATTTGAATTTCGGACGAAAACACTGATTTATTTATTGGTTGGCGCCCCGCCCGGTTAAGATCGGGACAAAGAGGGGAAGGAAGCAGATGTGCGTGACGGATGGAGAGGTCGGAACGCATCAGAGATCGGACGGAGTATGCTAAGTAGAAGAAAGATACGGGAGGTCTTCTGATCCAGGAATAGTTACAAGTCTAGGATTTCCTTCAGTTGATAACGATTCCAAGCGGATCAAGCTTTTTGAAGGCTTTTGAGGCCTGAACTTTTTACAGTTTCAATATTCCGATCGTACTCAAACTTTGCAGTATCTCGGATCTAAGTTTCAGACCGATCGGATTATCTGGTCCGGAGATAAACGATTGTGAGGTGGAGTAGGTTGCATTTTGCGCAAAAACTTGATTGTTCAAAAAATTGTTCCGACGCAAAGCTGAGAAGGTCGAGTGACTCATGTCCCATTGGACCTTGCATACATGACATAATTCTGCGAACTCGCACCAGAGCTCTTCTCCATCTGCTCACGCCTCATTAGTCGCGGAGTCTCTCGGTTGGCGTCCACTCTCGTTGCCTCCAGAGACATATCTCGTTTGACAAATCGACTCATCAAATCGCAACATGTTCTCTTCGGTCGGCGGCTTCTACCACCCAACCGCCGTCTCTTCTAATCCAATTCGGAGTCGCGAACGAACGCGAAAACTAAAAGCGAGAAATAATTTCGAAATGCGCGAGAAGAAAGGGGACCCCGTGCGACGACGACCGCCCAATTTCGCAATATTCCATTTCCTCGCTCCGACTCGTACGGATGAATCACAGATTTCGAAAGAAGAGAGAACAAGTAATAAGGGTGGAAGAGAAACCAAAAAAGAGAAAAGAACGGAGAGTATGTTTGCCATTCGAATTAGGCAGATAAAGTGTGTAGAAAGTGTTTGCGAATCGCTTTACGAGACACTCTTCTGGCCTTGAGCGAAGTATGCAAACGAAGTGGGTTTCAGATTCCAAAAGGGACGCATCTACACGTATATCGGAGAGGTTCTTGTGGCAGTTAACCCTTACAGACAACTCGGAATCTATGAGAAGAACACTGTGGATCAGTACAAAGTGAGCAGACACTTTCGACGCTCTCCTTTAACTGGTAATTTAGGGGCGCGAGATTTACGAACGGGCTCCACACGTCTTCGCAATTGCGGATGCCGCCTATCGTTCGATGAAGAGGTTCGGAAGGGATTCGTGCATTGTCATCTCGGGAGAGTCGGGAGCCGGAAAGACAGAGACCAGCAAGATCATCATGAGATACCTGGCAGCAATCACGAATGTGCAACAGCAAGGAGAGATTGAAAGGTGAACTCTGGGAGGGGTCAGAGTAGAAAACGGAAGGTTTGCAGAGTGAAGAACGTACTTCTGAGGTCGAATTGTATTCTGGAAGCATTCGGATGTGCAAAGACTACGAGAAACGACAACTCGTCGAGATTCGGAAAGTACATGCACATCAACTTTGATTACGACGGAGATCCGGTCGGAGGAAACATCTCCAATTACCTTCTGGAGAAAGTTAGAACTTATCAGCCACTGCTAACTTCATCTGATTCCTTTTCAGTCTCGAGTGGTCCGTCAGCAGGAAGGAGAGCGGAACTTCCACGTCTTCTACCAGCTGGTGAACGGAGGAGATGATGGACTTCTCAGACAGTTCGGATTGACCAAAGACGCGAAACAGTACTACTTTCTTAATCAGGGAAAGTCCCACAAGGTGGCGTCTATCAATGATTCTCGGGACTTTGCCGAAGTTCAAACTGCTCTCCGTTCCATCAACACTTTCGAGAAGCAAGACGTGGAGAGTGTGAGTCCATCCGTTCAACTTCTGATGTCAATACTCTTCTTCTTCTTCTTCAGATGTGGTCGGTCATTGCCGCTCTCATCCATCTCGGAAACATCCGTTTCATAGACGCCAACAATTCCACTGGAGCTGTTAGCATATCCGAGAAGACTGCCCTTCAGAACGCCGCCCGTTGTCTCAACGTGACTCCGGATGAATTGGCAAAGAGTTTGTCGTCGCAGGTGGTCGCGGCTCATGGAGACATTGTCAAGAAACAGCACGATGTGAACGCTGCCTATTATACGAGAGATGCTCTCGCCAAAGTAGGTCGAAATCTTGACTTCATTCTGATATTGTCTCTCTCTCTTTTAGGCTCTTTACGAACGTCTTTTCTCCTGGATGGTTTCCAAAGTGAACGAGGCGATCAGCGTGCAGAACAACTCTCGATACAGCAAGTCCCACGTCATCGGAGTGCTCGACATCTATGGCTTTGAGATCTTTGGAACTAATAGGTGAGTTCAAGAGACATTCGGTCATAAAAACGAAATTGAAATTGGCAGTTTCGAGCAATTATGCATCAACTATTGCAATGAGAAACTGCAACAATTGTTTATCGAGTTGGTGTTGAAGCAAGAGCAAGAGGAGTACGAAAGAGAGGGAATTAAATGGGTCAAGATAGAATACTTCAATAATAAGGTATTCTTTGCTCTCTTTCCCGTCACCACATGCACTCTTCTGAATTCAGGTGATCTGCGACCTCGTCGAAGTGCCCAGAACTGGAATTCTCTCGATTCTCGATGAGGCCTGCGCGAGCATCGGAAACGTCACCGACAAAGTCTTTTTGGGAGAACTCGACAAGAAACTCAAGAACCATCAGCACTACACGAGCAGAAATTTGAAGCAGAGCGACAAGTCGATGGGATTCGAAGAGTTTAGAATCACGCATTACGCAGGGGACGTCACGTATTCAGTGATGGGATTCATGGACAAGAACAAGGACACGCTGTTCCAGGACCTCAAGAGACTGCTCTATCACAGCAAGAACCGACTGATCAAGTCCCTTTTCCCGGATGGTTCCAAGTCAATGGCCGAGGTGAACCGCCGTCCTCCGACTGCGGGATTCCTTTTCAAGAATTCGATGAGTGAATTGGTTAAGCAATTGGCTCAGAAGGAGCCTCATTACATCCGGTGCATCAAGCCAAACGAAGAGAAGAACTCGAACATTTTTGATCTTGAAAGAGTTGAACATCAGGTCCGTCTGAGCTTTTTCTTGCTTCCTTTACAAATTCCTTCGTTCAGGTCCGTTATCTGGGTCTTCTGGAGAACGTGCGTGTTCGTCGTGCCGGTTTTGCGCACAGAATGCCGTACGACCGATTCGTAAATAGGTACAAACTGATCTGTCCGAAGACGTGGCCCAATCCGAGAAGAGGCCAACAAGTGAGAGACAGTTGTGTGCAGATCCTGGAGCACGTCGGATTGGCTCCGGATTGTGTGCAGGGAAGGACGAAAGTATTCATCCGCAGTCCCCAGACGGTCTTCCGACTCGAAGAGCTCCGCACCGAGCAGTTGCCGTCAGTCGTCACTTTCCTGCAGAAGGTACGTCATCTGCAACTGACACGATGCTAATAACGGACATGTCCGCATAGCACTTTCTGTCATTCTCAAGCAATGTTTCAATTTCAGATGGTCCGTGGAGTGCAGGCTAGAGAGCGGTACCGTAGGATGATGGCCGTGAGAAAGATCATCGGAGCGTACCGCAGATACAAACTGAAATCTTACATTTGGCAGTTGATCAACGCTTTCAGGTTGGAGAATTCAAGATGGTTATAGAAGATTATAAATCAGATTACAGAGATGTCCGCCGAAAGCCTGACCTCGGAAAGTCGATCCGATGGCCGACTCCCCCGTTGGTCCTTGCTCAGTTCGTGACTCGGCTCCGCGTGATGCACCAGAGATGGCGGGCCGCCACGATCCTCTCCCGAATCCCGCCGCATCTCCGAGCCAGTCTTCCTCAGAAAATTGCCGCTTTCGAAGTGTTCCACAACAAAAAAGACAACTGGGGATACCCGAGAATGTGGAGAGGAGACTATCTCTCACAGGTGACTTTCCCTCTGCCACGTGGCATCATTGTGTTCTTCAGCAAGACGAGATGGATCCTCCGGCTCTCGTTCCCACGTACCACGACGGAATCCAAGCTCTTCGGCAGAGCCATCCATTCGGAAAAGTGCTATTTTCCACGTACATTCAGAAGTTCAACAAGTTCAACAAGAGCTCTCTGCGTGTTCTCGTCGTCACCGACCGGTTCGTGGCCAAGTTGGAAACGAAGAAATTCAAATTACTCAAAGAGCCGATTCCACTCCAGACGGTAGGTAACACATAAACAAGCTCGTAAATGGCTTAATGCCTTTTAATCACAACCCACTGATTTCTGGTTTTTGCAGATATCGCGAATCTCGGTGAGCGCCGAGTCAAACGGCCTGTTCGTCATCCATGTCGGCGATAACGACATCGTCGGATGCGCCAAGAACACGCGGGACGAAGAGAGAGTCGGCGAACTGATTGGCACTCTTCTCGCCCATTACGACAAGTACGAATCGTCTCCAAATATTGACACAATTCTCGGTTTTCTTCAGAATCACCATGCGCCGTCCGCCCATCATTATCCAGTCGGCCGTCGTGTGCACTCTCGGAGGAAAGACGCGCACGATCCGAGTCTTCGACGCCGACAACAACAACGTGCCGCCCGTGTTCAAGAAGAACGGAAACGACGTGGATCTTATCTGCCATCAGCTGACTGCTCAGGTCGCTTGAGGCTTCTCTACCCCGCCGCCGCCGCTTCTTTTCTGATATTTGCCAGTTTGATACACACGGTTAGCAGCCTCCCCGCCCACTTCGTTCTTCACTTCCTCTTCCCTCTTCACTTCTTCAGCACCTCGCCCCCAAAAGTGACATTTTCTAGTCTCCGTTGCTCATTTTATTTAATCCTTTTCAATCTAATAAATCCGTAAATTCATGATGTTCTTCTCGTCTTTATTGACGTCAGAATCCCGACGGATTCGTATTCGGAGTCGAACAAACAGCACAGGTCATGCAATTTCCGGCCGCTTCTTCCAACCCACCCACTTTCTAATTAGCCGTGTCCCTCTATTTCTCCCTTCTTCTTCTTCTTTTCCTTCTGATCGTCATGCGCCTTGACCGATTCAATTATCTCTTGGCTCGCGGAGCTCCGAGAGCCCCCGGGACGCTCCGCCCCCGGTCGAGTTCATTTCCAGCTCTTTCCTTCCGACGACGCGTTCATTCAGATGGCTTCTTCACGCTTTCTTCTGATCTTTGTTATGGTTGGAGCGACCGCGACTGCCACGTGGCCAAATCCAGAAGGTAGGAGAAGATTAAAAAGCTTCTAGTTTTGTAAATTTCCGTTGCTTTCTCTTTTCGCAGAAATCACGACTTCCAGGTGAAAAACTGAAATGCAACCGCATAATTTTCTATGAATTCTAAAGAACTTGACATTTTCCTTCCCTTTCATTATTAAATTCTGACCTCCCTTCGTACGCATTCTTCACTAAAACCAATTTGGAATTCTGTTCGCAGCTCGAACGTCGTCGTCTAGTGCTCCCCGCTCACCGACAATAACATAATAATGACTATCCATTCCCGTTCCTTCAGAGACTGGATGCTCGTCCGGAGACGGATGCGAGGAGGAACCGAACAACAAGTTCGCGCTGCTTTTCCAGCAAATGTTGGCCAGGCAGAGAGGTGAAGAGCGAATAAGTAATCAGAGTGAAAGGAGGGGAAACGTTTTTAGAGACCAACACGGACTGCCAGCTTATCGAGGACTGTCCCGAGGGATTCGAATGTCTGGGAGGCAAGTGCCGATCCGCCGGACCGAGAAGAAACAAAATGATTAACCTGTACAGCAGATGGTGATCCTTGGGATCTCCATGACATGACTTGTGAATAAACTGTTCATAGCAGGCTTTAGTATTCAACTTCATTTCAAAATCAACAAAGAAATACAAGAGCGGTGTGCTGCGCTCAGAAGTCCTCGTCCACTGCACTGTCGTTTATCATTTCTTCGATTTCAATCGAAGTTTTCGCCACATCTTCCTTAATAAGATCGCGAATACGATCGAGTACGCTCGGCGGCAGCCATCCGCGATCTCGTACTTCTTCCGGGCTCGGCGGTTGTTCAGCTTCCACAATTCCTATCAATTCTTCCACGGCCTGCGGCAATCGGACGTCCGTCACACAGTACCACATCTGCCTGACACGTGGCAGCTTTCCCTGTTCGTACATGTAATTCACTGGCTCAACGACTCCGTCGCCGGTCGGAAGGAAGGTCTGTGACCGATCGGAGGACACTTTGAGACGTTGCCGTTCCGGAATACTGCCGTGTTGTCGGAAAGAAACCATCAGAGTTTGGTACAATCCGCCCTCCTTGTCCTTCCTCGGATCGTACCCGAATTTGCACCAGAGACGGCCCCACGGCCCACTTTGAATGTAGAATGCGTACTTCTGGAGGATGCATCGGAGAAGATTATCATCGAGACGAGTACGGTAGACCACGCCTATTCTCGTCCACATTGGCCTTTCCTCGAAGAGTTCCCGGAGCAACCGGTGAGGCTCGTCGTGTTTGCATCGGAAGAGGGCGTCGTCCACGGCTTCTTGTGTGGGAGCCAGAGGAAACTCATCGGTGGCGAGCACAGTCACTGAAAGCGCCTTCCTTTCTACTCGCAAATCTGGAAAGTTACTCGTCTCTCTTTTCTTCTTCTTCTTCTTCTCTTACTCTGTCCGTATCCACTTCGAGCCGCCTTTCTCGTCTTTTCCGTATGATCGGTTTCCCGTCCCAAGATCTTCGTCGACGGAGTTAAATATCTGCTGAATTGGTAGGGCGGCAGGAAGAGCGGTGTCGACTGGGCCTGCGATTGAGTCCACCAGCAGAGAGCGGAGGAGATGTCGGTAGGAATCAAGGCGGGTATGAGGTCCTCGAAACTGTCTGTTCCGATGCGTTTCTTCAGTGGAAGGTACTGGAAGTCGCACATCACATCGAACGAGTAGACGGTGCTCACCTGAAACTCGGCAATTGCAATCCATTGTCAACAGAGCGCACTTACCATTCCGAGGAACTCAGTCTTTACTACACTCGGATCGCTCTTTTTCCGTTTGATCTTCATAACCAAATGGAGCGTGCCGGAAGTGACATTTTCTTGCGTTTTCCGTTCTGCCATTATACGAGAAGTGAACGGGTTGTCGGGAGTGTGATTCAGTTCCAGAGCGTGATTGTTGAAGTGGGCGGAGCTGATCTGCTGGATGCCGCCCATCGTTTTCAACGCATTTTCGGTGCTCTTCACTATTGCGGGATACTTTATCAAAACGAGCTGCTTCTGATCCTTCCGCTTTTGCTGCGGGACTTTAAGAAAATCTGCCATCATTTTCGGATCTGGATCTGCATTTTCAAATAATTTCAATTACACGTGAAGTTCCGAATAGCCTTTAATCAAACTTCAGAAATAAAAATGGATAAGAACCACGCAACGACATTTTGAAGACAAATATACTGTTTACTAGTTTATTGATAAACAAGGCTTTTGAAAATGAGTTATATTAATAAGAATGATTATACAATGCTCTGCATATCATGGTCCCGCTCTTCGGAAGGCCAATCCATTTGATCTCGATTCTGCAATTCCGTGTATGGCCACGCACGGAACGAATGCGTCTTGACGCCGTGCACAAAATTGAACTCTTGGAAGCAGGAACGACAGAAAAAGGTGAAGGTCAAGGGAAGAAGCTCGTGCTGCTCGACCACGAATCTGAAAGGAAGAAAGTTTCAAGATAAACGTAGGAAGTGAAAATCACTTACTCAACATGACTTCTTCGACAAATTTCACACCGTCTTTCGCTTCCCTTTTCGAACAAAGTGTACGGATACTTTTCCAGTTCTTTCGGGTCCGATTCATGCAACAGTCTCAGATCGTGGAACACCAGAAGGTGCTCACAGTTTCCAGAATGCTGGAAGACGTACGGCAGACCTAATCTGCATTATTCGAAAATTAGATAAACTGGAAAGCGATAGTACCTCAATTTGAGATCAGAAATCTTGACGCCTTCCATTTTCTGCGCCTCGACCGGGTCGAAAATCTTTCGTTGTTGCATGAAATTTCGAATTGGGCTTTAATTGAAATAAATTTTACAGAAAGCATTATGAACTACTTACAAGGAGATGTCCTGCGCATTTTCAGCAGCTGAATCCACATAGAAAGTATCATGAATGAAAATGAACGAGGAGGGATATCGGAAAGCCGTCGACATATCCAGATTCGGCGGCTCGAGCTCCACGCCGTTATCTAATGGGACTACGGTATCACTCATGCAACACTGAAAGCAAATTATTTGATTTCGAATGGAGTCATCGAATAATTTTACCAATTTTCGGCGGAGATCAAAAAGGGTGGTATCTCCTCGAAGTAGGAACTTGCTCGCAGGTTTCAGAAGCCGAGAACTGCGTAGTTCCATCGACTGGAGCATGCGGTTGTTCGGGAAAAGCGCGTCTACAGTTATGACAAAGTCGTCGGCGCATTTGGAAGACATCGAGCACTGCGGACGGAACAACTGCAATAAATTACTCTATTCAAGCCATTCAGGCTGATTTACGTTCGTGTTTTCAGCGCCCTCCAGCACGTATTTGTCATACTTAAGTGACGTCACGTAAGCAGATTTGCGTTGTCTTGACGAATTCATGAATTCGTTTCTTTTCACAATATTTCTGAAAGCTTGCGGTGTCACAGTCAGCTCCAGAATCGACTCACTTGTGTGTGAACAGATTTGATTCCTCCAGAAGTTTCTTGTTGCCTTTCATATCATCTAATCTTCGAGTAGAAACGTCTGTCGAGCTTTCCAGAAACATGTCCAGGCTGAAATATAGCACCAACTTAAAAAACGAATGAGCTGGAGTAAAATCTTACTTTGAAACTTCATCAATAACTTCTGTTGCCTCCTCTTCCGTTACGCCGTCAACAGACGTCAGGTTGTCGTACCATAATTCTCTTTCCTTGTCTTTTTCTGTTTCGAACTCAGTCCCATCGTCACTTCTATCGATCGTATCTGGAAACTGAGATTGTGAATATTTTTGTTTCTGGCGACAATATTCCGAACCTTCTGCAGTTTCTCTGCATTCCAGAAGATCTTCTTTGCATAATTGTAAATCTAGAAGCGGAGAAGCGTACCATTGGTCGTCTGATTGAAATTTTCTATCCATTTGGAGCAGGAAACAGTGAACTCTTCAGTTTGAATTTTCTGACTAAGTACGGTCGACAATTGTGTTTGCATAACGTTTGCAACACCGCGACGCGCAAATGCAGACCCATCAAATCGAGACGCGCGGGAGAAGTTCGAGCGGGAGATTTTGAATTTTCTACCGATTCTAGAACGTTCCTATTACACAGCCGCCTAATTTGTGTTCCTTCTGGTCGCGTACGCTAGAATTGCTCATTCGTAGTGTTATTGTAGCTGCAGTTATGCTCGATTCCCTATGCTGTTCGTTATTTTCTGGCCTAAAAACTGAGATTAGTCATTCGTTTTTGCTCGGATCGATGATATTTCTTTTCTAAAAATCCAATGTTTCGAGTATTTCACTAGCTACATTTGTTTTCTAGTATAGATAACAGAATAGTCGACCTATTTAGAGTCGTAATCCCTATAGTCAAAATCTCTTCCGAAGGTCACTTTATCTCGAAAGCCATTATTATGTCCTTGCGGTCAGCTCAAGCGAAGACAGATACGATCAATCATTCGGCAGTTGGTTCTGTAGTACTTTTGAGTAACCAGATATCGTATTTGCACAGCTTGGCTCTATCTCTGTCATGGTCATTGTATCCTTTTCCGTCACACATTCCGGCGTGTTTTTTAACTGCAATAGCGACCAGCGAATTTTGTTTGCTATTCGGTTCTGTCCCTCTTTATCAGTGTCGACTGCTCCTTATCAATTCTATTTCCAGGCGTGTCTGTCATGCCATCAATTTTTTCTTTTCTGCAAAGCGTTGTCCTCCGGCCGGGCCAGGCGCGTCGAACCGCCGATGAGATGGATGGCCGGGGCACATTTTCAAATGTGTTGCCGGGCGGGCGCAGGGGCACTGACGGCCTATGGTCAAGGCCGTCACAAAGCATTCGTCGGTGGCGAAACGGAGCGGACGCAAAGAGAGATGACGGGGGGACACGGGCGGCGCCAGTCTGTGTTTCTCTCTTGGTATAATGTGTCTCAGCAAAAAGAGCGAGCTCGCTGCCCCATCCCACGCCCAGTAACCCAAAGACCCCTCTAGTATTCGCTCAGAAGCGGGCTCTTTCGAAATTTCGCGTTTCGAGGGAAAAAGCGTCTTAACGCTTGCATTCATAGACATCTTTGTTATTGTTGGGATGCCAGCGCCAATTACCCGAGAAAACGGCGCGATCCGTCTTCTTATGCTAAATTGTATGGACTACGGTAATTGACCTTTGCGCGGATGATGGCGCCTGTGTAGCGACCTCGATGCAAGCCGATCTGGTTGATTGCCGGTGCCACGTCATCTTTCTCTCAATTCCACGGCCGTCGGTTCGATTTCCATCGCATTGAACTAGTTTCTGCCTTTCACCCTCCTCGGTTCCCTCATCCATTCCCCATTTCGTTACACGCTTTCGTCTGCAGCCGTCAATCCATTCGGTTCCCATAGGATTACTGCGCCAAGCAACCAGTCGCACCAAATTGCACCCGATGAAAAGCCATCTGTGTCTCTGTCGTCGTCCGTATGTTAGGCTGCCGCTGCTCTAACTCACTCGTGGTGACACGCAAAACAAATGGATTAAGCTGAGTGGTCCAGCGAATTGATGGCTATAGGCTGATGCTGGTGGTAGTAGGTTGTTTCGCAATATATGTACTCTGTCTGCACGCTCCATTCGCTCTCCCCTCTTTCTACCCATATCTGCATATTTCGCAATCGTCGTGTTTCTCTCCGCGCTTGGGCCTACTGCCGCTGCTGCGGTCTTTAATGCTAGTGGCCGACACACGCCCCGCGTTCTCGCCATTATCGATCCAAGTGCACACAGGCGGAGACCCCGCCTATTCTCCCTTCTATCCATCCATCCCAAGGGTTGTCTCTCTCCTGTACTGCATCCTTTTGTTCTTTTTCTCTCGCCAGCGCGGTTTCTTTTTTTGAGCGATTATGAAAAGAGTGTCCCGCTCCCTTCTCTCACTCCGTTTCGTTTATCAAAGAATGCACCTCGCAGTGTTTCGCAATCCGGATCGCATTGAAGAAAATTGACGCTAGGCAATTTTATCCACGGCGTGTTTTCTTTTCCTTCTCACTCCAAATCGCTCTACGTGATTATCAAGTTCATCTTTCTGAATTCTAGCAAAATGAGAGAGATCGTCCACGTTCAAGCCGGACAGTGCGGAAACCAAATCGGATCCAAGTTCTGGGAAGTCATCTCCGATGAGCACGGAATCCAGCCCGACGGAACGTTCAAGGGAGAGTCCGACCTCCAGCTTGAGCGTATCGATGTCTACTACAACGAGGCTAACAGTGAGGAGTAATAAGAAGTTTTAACAAATGATTTTCATATTTCAGATGGAAAGTACGTGCCGCGCGCGGTGTTGGTCGATCTCGAGCCAGGAACCATGGATTCTGTCCGGTCCGGACCTTTCGGTCAGTTGTTCCGCCCTGATAACTTTGTGTTCGGACAAAGCGGAGCCGGAAACAACTGGGCCAAGGGACACTACACAGAGGGAGCCGAGCTCGTCGACAATGTTCTCGACGTGATTCGCAAGGAGGCCGAAGGATGCGACTGCCTTCAGGGATTCCAGCTTACCCACTCTCTCGGAGGAGGAACCGGATCCGGAATGGGAACCCTTCTGATCTCCAAGATCCGTGAGGAGTACCCGGACAGAATCATGAGCTCATTCTCGGTTGTACCATCGCCAAAGGTGTCGGACACTGTCGTCGAGCCATATAACGCCACCCTCTCCGTCCACCAGCTCGTCGAGAACACCGACGAGACCTACTGCATTGACAACGAGGCCCTCTACGAAATCTGCCACAAAACCCTAAAGCTCATTAACCCGACCTATGGAGACTTGAACCATCTCGGTATTAAGTTCAACTAGTACTTATGGTTTCTAATTTGACGTTTTCAGTGTCCTTGACTATGTCTGGAGTCACCACCTGCCTCCGCTTCCCAGGACAACTCAACGCCGATCTCCGCAAGCTGGCCGTGAACATGGTGCCGTTCCCACGTCTCCACTTCTTCATGCCAGGATTTGCCCCACTCTCCGCCAAGGGAACCCAAGCATACCGTGCCCTCACCGTCGCTGAGTTGACCCAGCAAATGTTCGACGCCAAGAACATGATGGCCGCTTGCGACCCACGACACGGAAGGTACCTCACGGTCGCCGCCATGTTCCGTGGACGCATGTCCATGAGAGTAAGTCACTGACGAGGAACCAAACAGAACTAAAAATGATATTTGCAGGAAGTCGACGAGCAGATGCTCAATGTCCAGAACAAGAACTCCTCGTACTTCGTCGAATGGATCCCGAACAACGTCAAGACTGCCGTGTGCGACATCCCACCACGTGGACTCAAGATGGCCGCCACCTTCGTCGGAAACTCGACTGCCATCCAGGAGCTCTTCAAGCGTATCTCGGAGCAATTCACCGCTATGTTCCGCCGCAAAGCCTTCCTTCATTGGTACACTGGCGAGGGAATGGACGAGATGGAGTTCACCGAGGCCGAGAGCAACATGAACGACCTTATCTCGGAGTACCAGCAGTACCAGGAGGCTACCGCCGAGGACGACGTCGACGGATACGCTGAGGGAGAGGCTGGAGAGACGTACGAATCGGAGCAATAAGCAGCCAGCCACACCTGATAAGAACTTTCTGCGCATTCGCTTTTCTCCGTTTCTGTCTCACTTAAATGAGTCCCTCTCACTAATTTATTTGCTTTTTTATGTTATGATGGGACTTCGGTCTCGGAACAGTTTGCCTCTGAGTAAAGTGAATGCTATGAAAGTACGTTTGAAACTCGATTTTCTGTGTCCTTTACTCGGTCACACAACAGTGCTAGACCCGAAAACCCATTTGAAGAGCTTTGCATTAAACCCGAAAAGTGCTCAAATATTTGTATTGTGTTCGTTTTTAGGACAGCGGCGCTGCCCGACATCGATTGAGAAAGCGGTCAAGAAACGGAGGGAACGAAAGAGAACCTTAACGAATTCATTGAAAAAGTCATTGCCTAAGTGAAACATAAGTGGTCGGAAACCTTCCGGATTTCCGATCGATCGACGAGCTATCCGGTTGGCTGATGACGTGGCCGATGAGCCAGTCTTCTCCGATCCGATCCTCCACGAGAACACATTGACCTTCGCGGATCTGAAATGCAAAGGAGTGGAAGGATCGGTGAGGGAGTAGGTTCACCTGTATCTCATCCGCATGTTTCGGTTCGAAATCATAAAGAACCCGGCAGATGGTGGGATCATTTCTCTGTTGACCCGCTGAAGACGTCGTCGTCGTCGAGTAGAAGCCGTCATCCGATATCTGAAAAGGAATTGAAGAGGGAGAATGAGAGAGAGCGGGACAAGTACCTTTTCGTACTCTTCGTATTCATTGCTGCCACGTGGCGAAGGGTAATTGGAAGTGTCAAAAGAGAGACTCGGCGGCGGGAGCGAATTGTTTTCACCAGAAAGCGGAACTGTGAGGATGGTCATGGGCAAACCCTGAAATCGGAAAGGAAGAAATTGAAAGGAGGTCTCAGAACACACCGACTTGTCCTTGATCTTGTGCTGGAACCGGGCGAGTCTGTGGAATCCCCGATTGTGCCCTCCGTCCACTATGTTTATCGAATCGTTCACTTTGTAGTACAAATATTCTATGAATTCTAGAACACTCTGAAAATATTTTGAATTTTCAAATCTTTTCAATATAATTCTTCGATTACCATTTGTTTGGAATTGGAAACCATCACATCGGCTGTCTGATTATTGTACAGTCTCTTCAGCTCTCCGTCCAAAACTCCCGAAACGCGTTCCAGATTCTGGCGACGTCGAGTTGAAGACATCACTTCGCCGAAGTTCTCTGCCTGAACACGGAGAAAAATTCCTTGGTTGAATAAGTGAAATTCACATGAAGGTCGATGAGCGTGACATGGTTGACTGCCGAAGTGGACGGCTGGATCGTCTGGATGTAGTCCTCCGGGACCGAATCCACTGCCAATTCCAGGTTATTTGAATGCCGTTCGAACATCTGAAAACGAGGGAAGTTTTGGGAAGTTCATGTTGCAGTACCTGCTGCAGATTCGGTCCCAACGTCTCGATCTTCCTCTTGTACCTGCCGAGCGCCGTCTGACAGTGAGCCAATCTCTGTCTCTCCACTGCCTCCATGCTTTCTACTCCCTTCCTCAGAACATTCTCCGTCACTCTGAAATGCTTCTCTTTTTCCTCTCCGCTCCCTCTTTTCTTCGATCCTCTCACCTCCTCTGCTTCTCCAAATCCACCGTCTGCCACACGTAATCGTCCTCGTTTCGTACCATTTGCTCTCTGTACTTTTTCTTGCGCAACGAGTACTTCTCCGGCTGGGCTTTCTCCTTCTCCGCGGCCATTTCCGTCTTCTCCAGCTCCTTGCTCAACACGTACAAACTCCGTTTCATCTTCGCCGTTTCGTCCTTCTTCTCCTTCAACTTTCGAATTTCCCGCTCCACAAAGTTATCCGCTGCTCTGATGGTCTTTTGTTGGCTGGACTGCACTGATCTCAGCGGTTGGACAATGTCTTCGGTGAGCGCGGAGCCGAGGTTACTGTGGATTGTCGCGTGGATATCGAACTGCTCCGCCACGTTGGTCCATCCTTTATCGATTCCTCTGCAATCCAGCTCCAATTCACTTCCAAACTTTTTTCCGTTCCACTTACGATTCGGCACTCTGTGTCAGTTTGTGCAGTCTAATCGAAATCTTCTTCAACGTCTTCGAGTACTGGAAATCGAGGGCCGCCTTCTCCTCAAACGCGGCCACAACCTCCGCGAGCAGTTCATTATTGTTGCGTATCAGGTCGCGTAGTTGGCGGAAATTGCTCGGAGTCTGCAACAAAAACTTCTCTTTCATCCGGCTTGTTTACAGTTTCCGGGTGCAGCACTCTGCGCATGTTTGCCGGAAACAAACATTTTGGAAGTGCGCTCCAATGAGAAAAAGAAACACTGGGAGAGAGCACATCACCATGGCGCCCCCGAAGTTAATGTGAAATCGAAACAGAAGAATTCATTCATACGACAACTATTCCTTTTGCTCGCCGAGCCCTCTGTGATTGGTATTACACATGTTCTGCTCATTTTAAGTTGAAAAATGAACCGAGATGTCTAGTGCCGCTCACTGAACGAGCTCCAAACTTCTTGTAACTCACCGCGAACTTGTCCACCAGTGTCGTATTCGACATTGTCGGTAACTCGACGAGTCCGTTCAGACTGTTCTGCCTGCTCAGTGAGCTGTTCAGCTGGAAGACACTCCGCGAAATGCTCCTCCGCAGTTTCGACATTCGAGAGTTCATTCTGACCTAAAACAGGCGCTTTTGAAGTGAAAGACAGTGGCAAGTCCGAGGAAAAACTGCGAAAAAGATGACGAGCTTTACACAAAGTATAGGTTTTCAAACGAATGCCACCTGCTTTCCACTGACTTTGTTCCCTCCACTTTTGTTTTTTTTTTTGAAAGAGGATTTCTCATATTTTGATCAGATTGAGAGAGAAACAAATTCGGGTGAATAGAAGGTCAGTGCTATCGGAAGTTGTGATCGATTAAGGTCGCACTGAAGAGAGAGAGAGAGAGATGAACATGTCGAAAAGAATCAGACGGGGATGATGAGTCAGCTCTCCCAACCAATTCCTTATCGATTCTCGATTATATAAAAAAGTAGAAACTTTGATAAGAGTGTGGGAGGCAAAGTTTCGGAGAAGAGATTCGATATGACATGTTTGTTCACTCGAATCATCTACCGGTAATCAAACATTCGAATCGTACGCGGAACATGACTGTACTGTACTACACAAAACTGATTGCATTCCATGCAATTCCAAATTCAACCCGAAATTGTCTTCGAGGAATGAAGGAAGGAAGACGGGGGAATGAATAGTAAGTGTATGGTCGGCTGGTCGTTCTTCCAAACATCTCTGCGTGTCCGCGCCGTTTCACGCTCCCTCGGCCGCTCCGGCAGCAGCCAGCGGGCTTGAGCGGGAGGGGGCCGCCCGTCGACTGACTGAATGCAATAACTGTTGTTAATTCGGTTGGAGGGGACCGACCGGGCAAACCGAAACGGAATGCGAATGCCAAACGATCATCATCATCATCATCACTGTCAACAGCCCGCGTCGGCATTATACGCTCATTATCTGTACTATCTTCACTAACACAACGGCGTCCAATTGGTCACAATGATAGCAAAAAAGAAGAGGAAAAAGCGGAGAGGGAACGGATGCAAAAGAGAGAGAGAGAGAGAGAGAGAGAGAGAGAGAGAAAGACATATGGAGCATCTGTGAGCTCTTTCGAGGGAGACAATGCGTGTCGTGTGACGCGGAATACCAAATGATTGGCAGCAGGACATGGCTCCAAGAGTTTGCTCAAACGTAGAACGGTCTCAAAATCAACTCAATCTATGTCTGAGTTGTCACGTCAAAGACAATCTCGAGGAGCACACAAAAGGATTGAGCCAATCGCTCATGTTCGACAGAAATTGTTCCAAATGGAGCTCCTACAATTTCATCCCGTGGTCGCTGGGGGTGAGTTCGGTACAGACAGTCTAGAGGGCGCGATCATTCCCGCCGGTAGCCAAGTGGAAATAAATCGGCGAGAGCTCGAAACCAAGATCAGATTTATTTGTTTTCCATTTTGTTGTTATCGAATTGCAACAATTTCAGATCCTCGCCAACTTCTCGCCAGTTTTCAAGGCAATGTTCGCGAAAAACTCCTTCCGCGAAGCCACTGCTGCCGAAATGGTCATTGAAGACGTGGATGCGAAGGTCTTCGAAGTAGTTCTCTACTACATCCATCGCTATGATATCGAGATTTCAGGTAATACGATTTTACCGCGAAGACGTAAAACGCAAAATGTGTTTTTCAGACGGAGATGTGGAAAGCGTGCTTCAGGTCGCCATTCGATACGGTGCGAATGTGATGAAGAGGAAATACTTGAAGAAGAAGTTGGGAACTGCCAATTTTATAACCTTCTGGAAATTGATGTAGTCAGAAAAGGTTTTAAACGGTCGAAATTCATGCGTGACAACATTCGGAGAAATGAGAAACAAGACTGGAGAAGATAAGCTGAAGGTCTTTGAGTATTTTATTTCAAATCTAAGGAGTCTTCCCGGAATCCTTCCGGCACATTTATAACAAACAAGTTCCAAAGAGGAGTCGGAATGGCAGGAATAGAGTCAATCAACAAACTTGTCTGGTTTCACGGACTCCTTCCGCGTGAAGAAGTCAAGCTACTGCTCGCGAAAAACGGAGATTTCCTGGTGCGCATGTCGGAGCCCTCTCCCGGCCAATCCCGGCATCTCGTCCTTTCCGTCATGGCCAACCAGGATGATCCGAATCGCGACGGCGCAATGCACTACGTGATTCGGACGAACGACGGACGCTACTCGATTACTGACAAAGACTCGTACAACACACTCGTAGACCTCATAAATCACCACAAAACGGCGCGGATCAACGAGGAAGTGGTGAACAGTCTACTGATCAATGCGATTCCGCGACAATCGTGGGAACTCAATCATGACGACGTGACGATGACGAAGACGTTGGGCGAAGGAGCATTTGGAGAAGTTCGTCTCGGCACTCTTAAGACTCCCGGCAGGAATATAGACGTGGCTGTGAAGTGTGTGAGTGAAAGAGCGCAAGCATCGTTCATCACCATTCCTCCTCATTCGTTTCAGGCCAAACTGGACAAATGCACAAAAGAGCAGATCAAGGAGATCACGACGGAAGCGCGGCTCATGCGCAACTTCGACCATCGGAACGTCGTTCGATGCTACGGGGTGGCGGCCATCGATGAGCCGCTTCTGGTGGTGATGGAGCTGGTGCAGGGAGGTGGACTCGACAGTTACCTCACCAAAAATTCGGTATTGTGGCCCGAAAAAATGGATGTAATTGGGCAGGTGGCCGCCGGATTGGCCTACATTCACAGCAAAATGATCATGCATCGAGATATTGCTGCTCGAAACGTTTTGTATGGAAATGGAACGGTTACTCAAAGTTTCTTTGTTTTTTGACTAAACACACGCTTATTTCAGGCAAAAGTCTCTGATTTCGGTTTATCGAGAGTCGGCGCCCAGTATCAGATGGATCCGAATAAAAAGGCGCCGATCAGATGGCTGTCTCCGGAAACCCTCCAGACGTTTCTCTACACCCAAGCGACCGACGTCTTCTCGTTCGGAGTGCTCTGTTGGGAAGTGATCGAGAACGGAACGATGCCGTATCCGGGGATGTTGGTGGCCGAAGTGCACGCGAAGGTGGTCAAGGAAGATTATCGGATGGCCGTCAATCCCGCTGCTCCGGAGCCTTTAAAAGAGCTTATTGTGAGTGAGAAGACCAGGTTTCCCATCTGATTTCCGAGTCTTATTTCAGCGAAAATGCTGGCTGCGAGATCCACTCCAACGCATGACGATGGAGCAAGCTCGTCTGTTCTGCGCGACGTCCTCGTTTACCAGCAAAACGAAAGAGCCCGGATCGGCGGTGAAGCAACGGTCAATGAGTGTGGAACGCGCCAAAATGATAGGATTGTCGGATCCGCGTAAGGAAAAAACTGGGTTCGGCAATCCGAATCGCACGAACCGCCGTCTGCACAACAAGAAGAAGCTGCCGTCGTCCGCTCCGCCGTCGGCCGGATCGGGAAGTTTGAGCAATAATCGGAGTCTCTCGTTGAAAGTGACGTCGTCCGGAAAGGACCGGAAAAAGGAGGGAGGCGGAGAGCAGAAGAAGAAGCACAAGAAGAGGGAGTAGGACAGCGGAGGAAGCCGGTAATCCATTGAAAAAGGAAACTGAAACTGAGACCCATTTTCATAGTATTTTATTTGAAAATGAAGGGGTCTCATTCTTGATCTCATTTTGTTATCATTTTAAAGTTTAACTTTATTCAAGACAAACGAAATAATTATGCTGTCTAACAATATTTTAAAAATGCTGGAAACCCAATGGAAAATCGGTCATACAAGCTCTCTAAACATACACTTTTTTGGTGAAAGATGCGCTTAATTTGTTTTGTTTTTGTGGAGATCTCAGGAATAAAATAAAGTCGTTTCGGTGATGAGTAAAAGAAGAAAAAAGATTGATGAAGGTCACCAGTTGTCAACTCGTTTTCAAGAAATCAGAGTAGATTTGAGACATTACATGTGAACGGAGGCACTGTATCGGACGTGACTGCTAGGCACGTGCCAGCGAGATGGGCGGTACTGAAAAGACGACTATTGGGGCGAGGGTTACGGTCGCTCGCTTCTTACCCTGATTAGTAATTGGCCGCTTGTGGTGTGTGGGTTGTAGTAAGCGTACGCCAGCCAGGCGACGAAGCAGACTAACAAAAGAACGATGAGCGTCAACGTGGCAGTTCCGCCGCCCGCTTCCTCCTTCTTCCTCTTCTTCAGCGCTTCGTTCTCTCCGGATTCCGTCGACTTGTCCGACGTTTTCTGCTTGTCCGTATCCAACGGAAGCACCGTCTTCTCCGATCTCTCCGGTAGCGGCTTTTGTCTCACCGGAGCATAGTCCTCCTCGTCGTACGTCTCATCCTCATCATCCGTAGTATCACAGTACAATGCCTTGCTGCGTTGATAGCAGTTTCCCTCGAACCACTGTTGACGGCGGCGATGAAGGCCGGCCTCGTCCGTGCAGAACGGACCGCCGTGCGTCTTTTTGGCGTGACACCACAGACAATTGAAGTGGGGGATTGAGGCATTCGTACAAGAGTGACAAGTGTCGAAGGAGATGCAGGCTGGAGTAAGGATAATGGTTGGGAGACGTGCTCCAAAACAAAACTCACTTGGTTGCGCCTTCAGAATTACGACCGTGTTGGAGACGATCTTCTTGGCGGCCAGCTCGATGCGATGGTACTCGTAGATGACCCTTTTCGGCGCCGTCGACTGGTGAAGATTGTGTTTGAACATGTAGGCGTCGGAGATTCCCAACTTGACTGGGTGGTTCGCGTCGGAAATGTTGGAGATGTCATAAGGAACGTCTCTGTAGATGAACACGATGTCTCCATTTTTGTGAAGGATTGCTTGGAAAGTGAACGCATCTGGAATGATTCTTTCGGTCATTTTCTGCTGGATTCCCCTAACTCACTCTTCTCCTTGTCCTCTTTCAATTGCACATTCCTCCACTCAACAACGAACGATTCTCCGTCATCCGCGTAAACGATATTTGAATTCTGAACAGGATTTTTAAAAGGAAATTGTCCCATTTGATCAAAACTCACATTCAAATAAGTGTGGAAGTTGGCCATCAACGGAGCAATGTACTGCGTGGCGGCCAGCCAGTTGTGCGTGTGATCTCCGATGTAAATGAAACCGCCCGTTGCGATCGTCAGGTTGGCCATTTTGTGGCCGTAGAACGGGAATTTGAACTGGAGGCGAGCACCCTAAAAGTTAGTGGTTCTGAAGAGAATTGAGCAAGAGCCGACTGACCACTGCTCTTCTGTAACTCTGGCTCAGAAGTGGATGACTCGTGTTTCCGACCGTCTTCGGCTTCTTCATAAATTGCTCCACGTTTACCCAATACTTTTTCAGTTTCTCCTCGTCTCCAACATACGTTTCCGCTTGATAATATTGATGATCCACCTAAAATGAAAGACCCTCTCAATTATTGTCTCGTCTTCGGAAGACATCATGCGGAAAGAAGGGATGCAATTTATGGAAGGAGCATGCAGGAAAAGAAAGAAACACAAGAAGCAACGAACACAGAAAACGAGAGGAGAACGTTTATTTCTCGAGGCCACCGAAGGATCTCCATGCTTTCATGCTCTTCGTTCTCACCGAATCCTTCTCCACATCCACGTCTGGCGGCACCGTCACAGTTGCCGGATCCGTCTCCTCGTCTGATTCCTCCGACGCCACACTTCTCTTCGGAATCGGAGCTGCTCGCCGAGCACGTCTGACAGGCGAAAGGGGAATGAACTCTTCTTCGGTGCTCGGGCCGGAAGTTGAGGGCTCAAAGTAGCGAAGTTGCTCGGGGATGCGTTCTTGTGAGACATCAATGTTTTGGGCTGAAAAGGGATGAACGGGATTACAGTAGGGACGGAAGGATCGTTCTCACCGTCACATATCCTGAGAATTAAAATGAGTGTCACGAAGATTACTGTACTCGTCGATGTGCTTTGTCTCATTTTTATTATATGGCATTCACCTGAAATATATTTGAAATAAGCATCACGCACAAACAGAAGAGGATAATCCGAATCAGCGATAAACTAAAAGGAAAAGAAGAAGAAGAAGAAGTTTCCAAACTTCCTGTCAGTGAGATTTTAGGAAGGATTACATGCATTGCATAGCTCTAATCGAACAATTTCTTTCCTTTCTAATGCGTACAAATTGGATGTGTATTCGAAGAGACTCAGCCTAAAAAGCAGTTGTAAGTTGCTTCCAGTAAGAGGAAAGTGAGCAACAAAAAAGTGGAAAAGGAAGAGAGAGAGAGAGGGAGAGAAAGGCGTTTGAAAAGACGTCCGCGAAAGTGCTCTTTCGACTGCTCAAGAAAGGATATAAACGAGCGGACGAGGGCAGACGGGGAGGGTAATTGGCTTGACACGCCAGCATCATGTTTCGGCGGGATAATTATTGGAAGGCTAACTGGTGATTTATTGGAACGTTGGAAGCTCGCTATCGGGACATGATTGTCGTGTGGCGGAGGAGAGAACGAGTTGTGTTCAGTTTCCATCAAAAGAATGATATTTATTGATTCGACGACCGGTCAACTCTCTTTTTGATCGACATGCCTCAATCGGTTCGTTGGTCTCTCTACGCAACATTCATGAAAAAAAAACGGCTGTGGATTGAGATTGCAGATTTTTAGATATGAATGAGTGTTTTTTGTGGGTTTCGGGAACACGAAACCCTACAATTAATCCGTCTGACGGGCTCTCTGAGCTTTTGGCTCCATTCTGAGTGTTCAACTTTAGTTGTAGCTTTCTCTGCTCGAGCAACGAATCGCATGTATGCCAATGAGTGAAAATTGATCGTGAAAAGATGAGGAATCTTTTGGAACTTGGGGAAGTGCAAAAAGTTACTGGTAATGATGTATTGGCCTGTTCAAACAACGGTAATTCGAATGACCACCCGTCGAGAATTACGCAAGCTACTGCCGACATCGGGGCCAACTGTCACGTTGGCGCGTTTCTCGTGCCGTTGCAACCAAGCTTTCATCGGATTCTGCTCAATTTCAAAGCTCTTCTCCCTTTGACGTCATCTGAATTTTCTATAAAAATAAAGTTCAAACAATTTTGATCAATTTGACATACAAAACTTACACATTCGTGTCGATACTAGTCAGGAAAATGTTATTCAACCGTTTCGAAATTCCCAATTTTTCCGTTTATTTTTCCGAATCAGTCAGAAACGATCGCATGTGTAAAATTTCGCAATTTCAGTAACTTGGGCTTGCAATGACCGCATAAGTGCAAACCAAACACGCTTCCATCGAGACCATCGAGGAAGGCGTCTCTTGTTGTGTACAGGTCTTCTTGTTGTGAGTTTCAGATAAACTGTAACTGGTTAACAAATTGATTTTACAGATTTTGTTGCGTTTTCTTGTTGAGTTTGATTTTCGATAACTTATTGTCACTATGAAGAGATCAACTGCCAGTGCTCCGAGCATCTCGCCTAGACACGGTAAGACATTTGGTCTCTGAAGATTATAAATTATTTGATCCGTTTAGAAGATGAAAATGATGTGAAGAAAGTGAAATTGGAAGACGTCAAAGAGTCAATTGCTCCGACTGGTCGTCAAATCATCGAGCAGTATCTTAAGGGAGATGTGGCGGCTTCGATGACATACAGAAAGATTTGCAATGCGTTGGAAACTTTTGAACAATGGGAGTCGGAAGTGCCAAAACTCCAACTCCTTGAACAGTTCTTGACTATCGCAGATGCTATGGAATCCAGAACAGAGACACTCATCAAAAAGCTTCTGGTTAGTCATTGATGCATTCGATTCCTTTAAACCTGAAAGCTTACAGAAGCTTCGGTGGGATACGATTCCTTCGTCAGCTCTGGAAAAATTCCGAAATTTCCTTTGCGAACTTGCCATTCGTCACCTTTGTTTCACGGAAGACGTTTATTTCGCAGTCATCGAACGACTCGTCCCTATGACTTCGGTCCATCCAGAAACTGGCGTCGTGACCTTGATTCTCACGGAACAAGAACAGAAGAAACATTACGATATGGCTCATCACATCATCTCCAGCATTGTTCGCTGTTTTCCACTGTAAGGACTATTTCGGAACTGTGCTGATACTAGGTTATCCAATTGCAGATCCTCGAAGACAGTGTTGAAATGCGTGAAACGCTCGATGCCTCACTTCACTCGTCCGCCTGTTACTGTTGCCGGATACATGAGAAACCTCATTTTGATGCAGAAATACGTTCCAGCGAGCATCGCGAAAGATATCTGGGAATGCATGTTTGAGAGACTCACAAAAGACGACGTGAGACTTCTGAAACACAGAAACCCTGTATGAACAAGTTCCTTTCAGGCGCATAATTGGCAATGCGAAAAGAGCGAAGAAGACAACAAAAGCCCACGCCTATTCGCTCTCAATGATGAGACGCTGATCCAAGATGTCGAGAACGCAGTCTATGAATCGGAGAAAGTCACTCCTGAGCAGTTGGAGCAAAAGAAAGCAGACCAGATGATTGCGTATTTGGATTCTGTCTGCACTGACATCATTACGTACATCGGGAGCGAAGAAAATATTGAAAAAAATGAAGACGTCGACAGCTCATGGCTCCGTTCGTTCAAAATCACTGACGATAAGGCGCTTCAGCCAGAAAAACTGTTCGACACCTTCCTCGAGTGCCTCGAATCTACCATGCTCAATGCAACACACGTCCAATACGTCTCTTTCATCTGGCTCTATTTCTGTTCTTTGAGGGCAGAGTACGAAGAAAGGATTCTGGAGCACTTGTGGCAAATGACAACGAGAATGCCGCGAGCTCCAGCCGATGCGAGAAAGAGTCAAGGAGCAGCCGCTTATCTGGCGGCCTTCCTGGCGAGGGCGAAGTATATCAAGAAAGAGTGAGTTCTTGGATTCGTCACAGAGATAAGAACGAACTAATTCAGAAGTGCATTCACATGGCTGGAGGAGATATACGCGTGGCTTCGTCACTACGTTGATCAGTTCGCTTCTGGCAGCTCACAAATTCTTCCCGGGCTGCAAAGACACGGCACATTCTACGCAGTCGCACAGGCATTTTTCCTTGTGTTCGCATTCAGATACAAAGACTTTGTTAGAAATCAAGGTATTCCATCGTTATACGACGCTCGAAGAAACTGAAAAATGTTGTAGAAAAGTTGGAAACGATTCGTCGTTGGGGAATCGGGCGAGTGGTACATTCACCCCTGGATCCGCTTCGTTTCGTTGCAAAACCAGTTGCCAGATGTTTCTCTGCCATTACAAGGTGAGTAATCGGTCAAAGTCCGGGAAATGCCCAATATTTACAGGTCTCTCCAATTGGTTTATTGTAATCACATCATTCCGATCGAAGAGGTGCAGAGACCGTTCGATGACATGTTCCCCTTCGACAGTTATCATCTCAAAGTGTAAGTCGCTTCTTCAGTTCGTCTGTCTTCATGGTTCTTTTTCAGAAGCAGTCAGTTCGTAGTCCCTCTGATGAGGAAGTTCTCTCCGTTGGCGGAAGACCTTTCCACTCTGACGAAGGCGCTTTGCTGGAATGCAGTTGCCTCCGAAAAGCCGGAAAAGTCATCCGAAGCCGTATCCAGCACTGACAGTGGCCTGGACTTCCTGGACGAAGAAGATGTTCCGTTGACTTCAGGTACGCGAATCCCTTCTCGAAAACCGTGTGCTCACATGCGCTTTTTCAGGACTCCGCGAGCGTACCCTTTCCTGCGGACAGACCTCTCTGATCAACTACTCGGCCACTCCAGGACTCAAAACTTTCAATGCTTGAATTTTTTCACATTTGAATACTCTTTTTCTATATTTTTTTTTGTTGATTTACTTCACATTTGTATTACCTCTTCTCCCTACGCTTTTCTTTGTATCTGCGTCTCTTTCCCACACTCTCGTGTCCACTCAGTAAATTCTATTGTAACACCACCGTAGAAACCGAAATTTTCAAGTTCATTCATTTTACCACTGTCACTAAAAAAAATAAAATGCAAGCTTGTGCCAGTCTCAGGAAGTAGGTTCTAATTAGCGGAAGAGATATTTTTAGATTTATTTTCACCTGCTCCCCTTTACGTCATCACTTTCGGCAGGAGAACGCTTGTTATTGTCGCGCCGATTACGCATGTTGCCATGGGAATTCGGCGTTATTTTGGGAGCGGATATGAATACGAAAGAATACGAAATGAGAAAAGCGGGAGAATTCGAAATGAGCGACAAAAAATGGGACCAAGAATTATCAGTTCACGAGAGACAGGACAGTATCGTGAGATTTTCTCTGAATCACTTCAATATTCTCCACGAAGAAGTCCATTCCAGTTGCGTGAACACGCGAGCCCTGATTCTGATTATCACCCGTCCTTCTCTCCGTCTCGCTCTCTCCTTCATTTCCACCTTTGCTCCGTGAGCACATAATCCGTATTCCCACGTCGACGGCGCATGCTCCGGCTCTTCTTCATATCAAATGCCATTCTCTCTCTCTCTCTCTCTTTTTTGCTGCAACTAATCCAATTCGTGTCACGTCTTCTTCTTTTTCTAATAATATCGGATTAGAGAGGTATCAAAAGGCTCTCCTTTCGCCGAAAACCGATTCAGTCACGATCTCGGTGGCTCGTCGGACGCACGAAATCTCATAAATAATTATGAATAAATTAGACGTCGCCGTCGCTTCGGTGTGGATCGGGGGCGGAACCGATGCCACGTCATGAGCATATGCTTAGCAGCAAGAGCATCCTCCTCCGAGCTGAGCTCTTTTACGAGCAGTAGTCGTGGCTCCTCGCCAACTGGCCGTCCGGCCGGCTCCGGGAAGTGTTGGTATATCCGGCGGTCCGGGGGCCAATTGTTGCGTCTGGCGCCTGTGCGGATCGCGTGCTCTTTTCTCCCGTTCGCTCTTGTTTTCAACTCTTTTTCCCATTATTCCGACTTCTTCGTGTGGCCGAAGTCGCATAAAAAGAGCAGCAGCTTGCTCTTTCTATGTTTTGTATACTGATTAGCAAGCCACGCCCACTTCAACGTCACAAGGAAGAAAAAGAAGGAGAAGAAGAAGATAAAGAGAGCCCTTGAAAGCCACGCCAAGAAGGTTTAAGTGGGAGTAGAAGTCATTGCGGAGCAAGATGAGCTCCTAACCTAATCATAGGACCAATCAACGGAAATTTTCCAGTAGGACCTAATTATTTTGTAATTGGTTTTTTGCTGGAAACTTGAAAAAGTCCTCGTACTCTCTTTGATCTCTTCAGTAGAAATGAACAATCCAGATGATCTTCGTTGAGCACACTCGAAGGAGCTTTGAGAGTTTAGACGAGACTCGTAACGATTTTATGCATTTCTTTTGAATCCGTTTCCTTTCCGAATCTCGTGCGCGCCTAGTCATCCAGATTCAGAAGTCTGTATTGTTTTCCTGTCTCCTTCTCTCTCTCTCTCTCTCTCTCTCTCTCTCTCTTTTCCTATATTTATCCGGCCCGTGACGTAATCCTTTCCCCCTTTGACTATAGGCTTTCTTCCGCCTGTCCTTTGACGTGGAAGAGCCCGAAACTCGGTTGACATGCTCCAATCTGACAACGCCTCGTATCTCTCGCTTCCTTTCTCTTCTCGCACCGAAAAAACCCGAAATACGGATCCGCGTCATCATTTGCGAACAAGTGGTGGCTGATTGTGTCGACACTTCACACCCCGTTTGACATTATTCTGTTTTTGTGCCGCCTTTTTTCTGTCCGTCGGCTCCGCGGAGCATGTTGAAAATAGATAGCCGGCCGCGTGAGTGGCTGCAGAGGAAATCCCCGGCTCCCGCTTCTTCTTTCGTATATCGCCGTTATCTCCGGTCGGCAGCGTGTCAGCTGGTCCATGAGCGATAAAAAATAGATTGATCGGTTCAACCTTCGAGTGATTAGGCGACTCTTCGGAGGATCCAGAAGTCTTCCGGCCAGACATCAACCCCCACTCTCCCATGAGTTGTTTTTCGAAAACACAGAAGAAGGTGCGAAGGTTTCTCTTACTCTGTTTTCTTTCGGTTGACGTTGGTGATCGACTCGCTAACCCCGATCAGTTGGGGGAATCTGGTCCCCTGATCACTGCCGCTTGCTTCTAGAATTTCAACTTTATCTCTAGTTTGCTAATCCCCTCTGGAGTGCACTATGCTCAGCCCCTCCCCTTGGCCCCGCCCCTTCTTTCCCATGTTCATCGCGCCCCTTCAACTCCTCATCATTTTCGTTTCGTTCCTTTTGGCTGCTGACGTCAGTTGCTGCTGGAACCGACCCAATCGTCTTCTCAGAATTTGCATGCATTGATGAATCACATCCGCGCACACTCACACCAAGCCCCCTTCTCTGTTTGTATCCTCCTCGCTTCTGACTGGCGCACAAATTGGCACCTCTGTATTTTTCAGAGCCGTAGCTCACGTGTGCTCCGCGCACAGCTCAATTAATAATTCCCTTTCCGGTCGTGGACACGTGTTTCTCTTGTGTTTGTGTACTTTAACACAACTTTTTCTCTCTCTCTCTCTCTCTCTCTCTCTCTCTCTTTTCCAACATAATACCATCGGAAATGCATGAACGAGACGGCCTCCTTTACCTCATTCATTCCTGATTATTTTCCATTGTTTCTATTTTCCACCCCACATTGCCACGTCACTGTGATTTCGTTTCCAGTTTCATAATCGGTAGGTGATTGCTCACCCGTTGGGCACACACGAGTCTCTCGTAGGCCACGCCCCCTTTTCAAAGTATAAACCAAACGAGTTATCACGCGATTTAGCACCTTCGCGTTGTTATTCATCCTCAATTGTTTTTCCTTTGCCGTCTGCACCGATATCCAATTTCCCCCGTCCGTCCCAAAACGTTCATTTTCTGCTTTTCAGAAAACTTCCTCATCACACGCGCAAAAATGGGAAACGCCAAGTCGACCGACTCGAATCCGAAGAAGTCGGTGCGCAGGAAATCGGCGACCACCCCGAGTACGAGGTACGTGTCCGATGGTCCGACCGACCGACCCACTCACTCGTTACGTCACGGATATAAAAATAACATAGTGGTCTCGACGCGGCGGTGGTGCAAGAGCACTTTGTAATAAAATCGGCGAATTGGATGCGAGAGAGAAGCGGAGTGGGGCATACAGCACGAGAAGAAACTTGATGCTGTGGCAGAGCATGAATGAACGGATAACGAGAGAGAGAGAGAGAGAAGGATCAGTGGCTGGGAACGGGCGATAGTATCTCTGGGGGATATCACGAACTAACTCCATCTACTAACATCTTCTCACATTCAGATCTTCCAGCAGCAGCAGCCGTCCGTCGATATCTTCCCAAGGCAACCGAAAGCCCCTTCTGAACGCCAGCCAACGTCAAATCATCAAAGGATGCATGGACAACTCGAAGGACGACGTCGGAGAACGCATATTCCGGAGGGCTCGCGACGACTTCAAGCAGTTTATAGACAATCTGAGCAAGGTGAGAGAGTAATCGGAACGAAATGGACCGGAGATTCGGGGTTGTTTTCAGGCACAGCGACACGAAAACTCGACTTATTTGAAGCAGTTTTTGAAGGGAATCGTGGAAAACTTGCAGGATATTGATGAGATTAACAGGTACTTGGAAGACTAAAGAAAGAAGACGAGGTTCCGATTCTTTGCAGACTGTCCGAGGAGTTTGGCTGCAATCACGTGCAATTCCGAGCCCATGGCTTCAAGCCAGACTTCTTCGCGTGCACGGCCGACGCAGTCACCAAAGAGTGCATCATTCTCGATCAGGCCGCCCATCCGACAAGTGAGACTGCCGCCGCCTGGTCCCTTCTTTCTTCGCACGTCTTCTCGGCGGTCAGAGATGGGTATGTACGTTCCGGAATCTCTGAGACTAGGACCCCGTTGCAGGTACTACGCGGAGCTGCGTCGCCAGCGGAAGAGCAGCAATGCGTTCCGTGCGCGCGTGTCCGTCGACGTGGTATCGACCGGAACGGACGACGGAACGAGTCTGTCGAGTGCCACCAGAAGGTCGCTCATTATCACTTGACACTTCTTCCTCTTCTCACTAATTCACTAGTTTTAGATCTAACTCGCCTCAGGAAGAAATAGCCGAAACTTTCGAGAACGCCGAGAATAACTGCGTCGAGACGTCCGGCAATTTCCTCGCGCCGCCTACGGTTTACTAAAATCTTTGAACTTTCCACGTGTTTACGCACATTTTTGTACACTTTTTCCGGTTTCCAGCACTCTAACTCCGTCTTCTTCTTCTTCTTCTTCTTCTTCTTCTTCTTCTTCTTCTTCTTCTTCTTCTTCTTCTTCTTCTTCTTCTTCTTCTTCTTCTTCTTCTTCTTCTTCTTCTTCATTCTCTATTCCACCTCTTTCTTCCTTCCGTTTCTATATTTATTTGGCCGTTCTCCCCTATCTATTTGTATCTTCGACTGATGATTATTGCTATATTATTTTGTACTTCATTTTTCCACAAACAAAGATATCCGGATAATTTCTTGTTATTGGGGACACTGGTTGTGGGAACAAATCGGTGAGAAGCCACGTGATTCGCTTGTTGTTCATCAGGAAATTGATTTAGAGCAGTTGGAGGATGCTCATTGATCTGGGAAGTAATTGATGGAATGTGGATGGTCCGACAATTCTTGGTTTTTGGACGCTTGAGCTGACTGCTAATCCTACAGGAACAGTGATATATAGGTCCAAAACAAGAACCTCACTCTCCAAAGCATCTTTGAATGATGATCTCTTCCTCAATTCCAAGAATAGAAAAACAGGAAGAAAGTTCCCGTGCACTCCAGACGTCTAGTCGTTCTAATCGTACGTTTGACAACAATTTCAGGTTACTCACTCTTTTCTCAGATTTGTTTTCTCTGAAGTTCGCACCGATCTTACAGAAAACCGAAAATCACTTTTACCGTACACCTTTAAACAGTGGTTCACCTGTGCGCTCCCTGTTTTCTGAAAAATTGGGGCCGACTTCGGACAGCCAAATCCAACAGATTTCATAGATCTTTTTACTTTGACCGCACGGCATAATCAACAATATCATTGCATCGGAAGATGATCGGAGCATCTGGAGCCGTGCGAATGACCTTCCTTTGTCTTTGCCTCCCGCCGCCACATGTTTTCCGGCTCCTGCTCCCTCTTCATGTTCTCCCTCTCATTCCAGCACAAAAGTAATTCGAGAAGTGTGAGTGGGAGTGTGGACGTCTTTCTACTCCCTCGTGCGCCAGCATGTTGTGTTGCAGGCCGTCGTGCCACCCATTGCGGCCGCCGTCCGTCCGTCCGTCCGGCGACTCGTTCCGCGAAAACAAGCCTCACGGGCGGTTCGTTCGCACAAACAGGCACCGTCCTGGCGCCAGAGACACTCGCTGTTCCCCCCGGCAGTCTCAGCCGTTTTTTCCTCTGTTTGGTCTCGCTCCTCTCGTCGAAATGCGCAGCGTGAGCCGTCCGGGAGAGAGGGTGCAAACGGAGGAGCGCGACGAGAGAGCGTAGAGACAAACACGTACACGGGACGGCACCAACCGACGGGCGCCGCGCACCCCATGGCAACACGGGCGGAACTGCAGTAAACAAACCGTCTCCCAGTCTGTTTCCTCTCTCGTTCAGGTCGACGGCGCCCCCTGGAAAGAGCACTGCGCGGAGAGCATTCGAAATATTGTGTGAGCATCTTCTTTTGCGCGCTGCCAAAAGAGCACGCAGAAGGGAAAAGGAAAAGGATTGGGCAGAGAAAAGGAGACAGCGGTGGCGGATGACTTTGGTTTCCATTGAGAGTCTCTCCAACTTGGCCACGTTTTCCTTCCAGAAGACAAGTGAGCAACCGTGCTCCTCCGGACCACACTAAAAAATGCTCATAGTTTGCCGCAGCTACTTTTTTGATATAATCTCCGGGGAATCGTTCCGTTCTACCCACTTTCTTCTCGTCTTTAATCGTTCGCACCTTGACTCTGTCTGCCGACATACCTCTCCTTTTCCTCTTCTTCTTCTCCTCTGCCACGTCATTCTTATGCATCGTCGCACGCCTTCTTCGACCCTCCTCTTACTCGGCCCGCTCCCCGTCTTTCTTGCTTTCACGTTTTGTGCGCCTGTTGGTTGCATGTGAGTCAGGAATAAATACCGAAAGACCGTGCCACGACGGCTGCAACACATCTGTCGTCCTCCGAAAAAATGGGATGCAGGATGAGGCGTGTTAGAGTGGGAAACGAATAAATATCTGGCAGCTTGCACATCGTTTCAACACAGCAAAACGACAATGAACAGGTGTTCATGACGTCATTAAAATAATGTTTTTGAGAGCGAATATTTATTGACACATTAACAATTTCAGATGCTTGCCAAAAATTGGCCAATGTCTTTTGATTCCTCCTTCTTTTTTTGGGTAACCAGTTTGCAAATTGTAAACGAAGACAATCTTGATGGCAAATTACGAAGAATCTCGTGACGAAGACGACTAGATAACAGGAAGATGCTATCGTTTTGGCTCTAAAAAGTTCTAGAAGCAACCTTGAAATCAAGTTATCTTTCTCTATTTTCGAAATACTACACTTGGATCACAAAGATCACTCCATTCGTATTCCTAATGACATAAATCCCTTGCCGATTAGGATTATCATTATGTGCGGGCGGGAGTCGGAGCCACCGCGCTCCTCGTGCTTTTCTGGGAATCCTGTGCAAATTGAATTTGTTGTGACGGAAGAAGATAGAGGGCGAGAAGGAGACGAAGGAGAAGGATGCAATAACAAAATACGGGTGGTCTCCGCGTCGTTACCTCACCGTATTCATCCGAACGCCCATTCTTTCTCTCCCCCCTTTCTTCTTTTTTCCTCGCGCCGCGACGTCGATGTGTCGTTTTTTTGTGCCCCTCCGCCGTCTCCCTCGCCACCAACAACCCTTCGGCAGCCGCGCGCGCCCGCTCCCTCCTCTCGCTTTCGCTCTTTCTCTTTTTTCTTTTCGGCCTCTCTTTCTTTTCCCACTCTATTCTCCACACATACAAACTTAACAGTTTATGTACCACACTAGAACATTTTTGCGTGCCTCCGGAGGCTCCGCAAAATCTATCTGTCATCATCACTGCAGCTCGGCTCTTTATCATCGATTTTTGTTGTTATCTCACCTCTTCTATTCATTTTTTTCTTTTCCTCGGTTTCAATTTCGCGCTAGAACGGCTTCGCTCAATCGGAAATCAAAACGAAACGACGTGTTTATTGGGGCAAAACTGTGCGCGTTTTTGTTGTCATGCATCGGTTTTCTTATCAATCTCGCGCCCTTCCCGTGCCCCTCTCAGTCTACGGTTGGACTCGCAAGCAAAAGGAAAATGATGCGGAGGGTAAACTCGCTTTCTTTTCTTCTTGGCGCTGCTCAGCAATTCGAATCGCTTGAACGGCCGTTCTTTTTTGAGCTCTGAAACGGTTTTCTTCCTGGATTCGTGCTATGCGCCTTTAATACCGTATTCCGCTACGACAAAATTTATTGGGCCGTTTTTTTCCGTTTTCCTCCTCTCTGAAACGCTGTTTTTCTATGTTCCTGTAAAAACTGAAATAACAATATTGTTTATTGCTATCGCTCTTGTTTTGTGCATAACTTGTCGCTTTGCACACTCTCAATTGGCGAGACTGAGCAAAATATGAAATTCTAATTTCGAAAATTTACCTAAACATGATTTGCACGTTTCGCAATATAAAACCAAGCACACTTCCAAAGTGATGAGTATGACGCGAAAAAATGCCCAGAATCTCAATGTAAAACTACAGTATTACCTGCTGGCCGCATTAGCCCCATAGAAGTCGCGCCCACACCGTTCCCACCGTAATTCGTCTCCCGCATTCGTCCTCGCTCATTTCTGTTTTCTTCCAATCGACTGTCCGTTCTCTCCTTCTTCGCCAGATCGCGATTTCGGTGCTGCTGCCTGCGCACTCGCAAAAATGTTAATGTTCATTGTTTATGTATGTGTGTTCATTGGCGCCGCCCCTCCGTGTGCCCCTGCGTCCTCTCCTCGTTCCTCCTTCCCTCTTACCTCCTCCCGCTTCGGCCGCCGGTTCAACAACGTGTGTGCCCTCGGAAAAAGACCTTGAAAATACTGATTCAGTTTCGTTCCCGCCGTCTTGCAAACATTACCCACAGCGATCAATTTTCGGCATTGGTGGCGCCTTTTGCCGCCTTCTGCACTTGAAATAAAAACATTTTTATCACTGAACGAAGTGTCAAAATCCACTTTTGTCAGGTGATATGGGTCATGTTACTGTAGTGATCATGTGGAACGGTGTGTGCATCGACGTGACCAGTTTTGATGATAGACAACACGAAATGACGCAAATGATCAGCAAGTATGACGGCTTAGCGGTTTATTTTCGGAGATTTCGTATCCGTAGTAACGGATGTGAAGAAGAGCCGAAAAGGATTGAGAGAAAGAGACGATTTACGTTCTCAACTCATTTCCCTTTCGTAATACTTTCTGAAAATTACAAATATGCTTTGCTCAAGTATTGAAATATCGCCAAAGTCTAGTGCACTTCCACTCTCCCCCGAGGATTCGTTCCCTTTCATCTTTTCTCTCTAAACTCGTTCATTAGTGCTAACTTGTCTTCTAATCTACCTCAATTCCAAGTTTTTTCCTTCTTTCTCTCTCGCTCTCTTTTTCCCACACTCTTTTTGTTTTTTCTTCCGTTCCATTTTTCCGACGTCTTCCGACTCCGCCCTGACTTCTCTTTTGCCTCTTCATATTTTCTTCAAAACGCAAAACGAAAATAAGAACTTGTCGTTGCGCTGAAAACAAATCCGTTTTGATTTAAAATTCGCTTCTCAGAGTCTCGATCTCAAACTGCTGTGTGTCGACTCGTCCCGCCGGATCGCTCACGCCTTCTAGACCGTGTAAGTTGTTTCAAATATGTCTTGTTTCAGTCCAAATCTCACTCCATCTTGCTTTCTTTTTCTCTTTTCTCCGCACAATTTTATGGCCGACTTCGATCGTTAAATCGGCGAACTTCTCGCCGCTTCTCCTTCCTTTTCTTCTCCGTTTTCGCCTCCCGTGCCAATCGGTTTCCTCTACTTTTTTGTGTCTCTCTCTCGCTTGTTTTTGTTTTCCCGCCCGTCTTTTTTTCGTTCTCTGCTTCTCTCTCGCTCCCTCTCACTCTCCAGCACACACAAAACAACTGAATAGTCATGATCAGAGGAGGCAGAGAGATTCGGAGACGCATAGACGCAGACAACAAGACAAGTAGCTGGTTATCATTGGGACCCCATCGCCAGTGCCCGCCAAAACATGTTTTTCGTTCTCTTTTTGCCCATGTCGCGTTCGTTTCGGACTGCTTCGCACTGCAAAAAACGACTGGTACATGTCTAGAATTCTAGCCATTCTTTCTCTGTTTCTCGATGTTTGTCAACACTCCGAAAGAGGTGTAGCCAGTCACAGCCCCGAGTGTCTTCTGATAACGAACCGATGCCACTTTATCATCTGCAGAAGCAGCAACTTCGCGAGCATTTTGTAGGAGAGAAACGGACGGGCGCTCTCCTCTTTTCGTTGACCAAATCGGGCCTGGCACCGAGGTCTTGTGATAAACAACAACAAGGAACGCGCGAGGTGTTGACTATTCAAGACAATGTTTATCAGTCGGCTCCTCGTCGAATATGCTGGCCAAGCAAAACTTGCATCTGGAGCTTTTCATACTGGAAGTGAATATCATTGTCCCACCCAATTTCCCATGATCTTGCTAAACTTTTCGATCGCTCTTCGTTAGTAGTCCAATTTCATCTTTATTCATTTCGTTTGATTTCGAAAAACTCAAAAAACCCATACGCCACTGCATTGGCAAAACAACTAATTATCGGTGTGATGCTCCGTCGTCGCCAGGCTCCGCCCACTTTCGCCTTTCCATACATAATTCACACGTGGCGCCACCCGGTGTCTCTTTCGCTCCATCCTGGCGGTGTCCGCGCCGTTTCCGCGTGCAAATAAACAAAAACAACTCGAAGGGCGGTGGTCGGCGGGGCTCGCGGAGTCGAGTGCCGGCCTGTTCCGTCTCTCACTCATTCGCTTTCAGATAAGCGGCTCCGCCCACTTTATGTTTGTCGCTCTTCCAAACGAACACTATTTTCACAAGTCGCTCCTCTATTTTTGATTTGATCATACATGTGTAATTGACGGAAAACAAGACAGACGCACAGCCCACAGAAAGAGAGACCAACTTCGCGTCCTTCCTTTTGCTACCAGTTTGATTGGCCACCCCCTTCGTTTTTTCGTTCGTTCCGACGTCGATGAGGCCCCACCCTGAGAGAGTGATTATCGATCGAATCCTCTGATTTCTAGACACCTCCCTCTCTTTTTCCCGGCGTCTCTAATAGTGTTCACCGTTTGTTTTTATTTTTGTTATTTTGTGGGTCGGTCGTCCACCTCTCTTGCTGCCTCTCCTGTCTATCCTTTCCTGGGTTTTTTTCCTTTCTCTTCTTATTGTTCTCGCCCGTAATTAATTTTTTTTGCAGAGGTGTAGTGGTCGAAAGCAGTTCAGTCTCAGCAGCTATCAGAATCAGAAGCAGATCAGAAACCAGTTAATCCAGTCGTATATCCCTCAAACAGTGTACAAACAAGATGACTACCACAGCTACGGGAGCATCAGTTCGAGAGACTAGCCCAGCGGTAGATGGACACGAGGAGGCTCGTCTCAACGCCGACTCGGACGACGGGTCGCACGGATCACAGGATCCGGGCAAGATGTTCATTGGCGGGCTCAGCTGGCAAACCACCGCTGGTGAGTTAAAGACGGCAGAGTAAACACAAATAATTGGGGGAAACTAGGGAAGTTGCGCACATTTTGCAAAAAGTTATTTGGAGGAAATCTGGACGGATTTTCTGCTAGGGGATAAATTGCCACGTCACAAAAAAGGCTCGAATTGTGTAAAGTAAAATATTATCAGACAGGGACTCGTTTATCATATCAAACCCAATTATCTGGCCGTTATTTATCGAAACAAACCTTAAAGTCAACAAACCACTTTTTAAGAACCAAAACATTGTGGCTGACCACAAACTTTATTTGAGAACTTTTTGGTTTTCTGCGCCTCCACTCACAGTATCCATCTCTTCCGAAGTTCTCGTGTTTACCATCCCACCACTAGCTTCCTCCCCCGTTCTGATCTCTTCCGAAATGGCCACCATTCCCCGCTTCCCTCCATTCCAAAATGCGTTGTTTTCGGTCTATGCGAACGAACTGGTACGGTATCTCGACTGGGAAGGGAAACAATGGGCGAGAAGCAAAACAACTTTGCAGAAAAGGGGAACGAATGTCTGCAATCTTTGCTTCAACTTGTTCTTTTTGCAGAAAACCTCCGAGACTATTTCGGTCGATTCGGGGAGGTGAACGAGTGTATGGTTATGCGGGATCCGGCCACGAAACGGGCCCGCGGGTTTGGATTCATTACTTTTGTAGACCCATCTAGCGTCGAGCAGGTAAGACGAAAAGACGCCTACACATTCGTAGCGTTCACTTGTTCCAGGTGCTCAACACCCACGACCATGAGCTCGATGGGAAGAAGATAGACCCGAAGATTGCTTTTCCGAAAAGAACCCAAACCAAGGTTGGTGGAACTGATCTATTAGAGGAGAGATCCGCACCACGCCACGAGTTCCATCCGAGAAAGGTGCATTTAAGATATTTTGAAAGAGAGCGAGAGAGAGAGAGAGAGAGCGAGTGAGAAGCCATTAGATATCCCCTGTTAGAGTTTCTATGGGAGTTCATAGTAATTGAGGGGCAATTAGGGCGGCCCATAGGTGAGAAATGGGCAACGAAAAGTGACGGAAAGTGGGGTGGCAAGACGAATGGAAAGGCAGAGGGTGAATGCCTTTTGACTTTTGCGAACGCTTCGAGAACACTTGAAAAGCTGTACGACACGGTCCCCGATCGCGATTCTTTTCTAAAAACCACAGAAAAGTTCACCGGCCGGCTTCGACCACTACATTTTCTTGTTTGGCACCGCCACACTCAAAAATATGTATATATGCAAATGCGATTGTCGAGAAGAAGCGCTAATTCGATTTGTGACTCTGCCGAGTCGTCCGTCTTCGTTCGGTCGGTGCTGGTGGGAAAGGCCGACCAGATAAATCTCGGCGAATTTCCGTTCTGGAGCCCCATCCCTCGCAGCGCATTCTTCTCGCGCTTTCTTTTCTCATAAACGAAATCGTTTTGTTGTCGGACAAAACAAGGTGTTCAATGGAGCGCGCATGACTGAAAACAGACGCATCGGAGCTATTTAACGGTGGAAAGTGAGTGATGTGGCGACGACAACAGGAGCAGAAGACGGAGAAGAAAAAGAAGGGGCGCTGAGTGTACACAACAATTCGGTGGGTCCCCCCACCTAATTGCAGGCTTATTTTATAGAAATACCCCCTTCTTTTCCTCGTTTCTCACTACGTTAAAGCGACTGTGTCAGACGCACATTCATTCCTTTTTTCGCATTGTTCCATTGGTTTATAAATGTTTTTGAACATAAATCAGTGCAAATGATTATGTTCGTGAACACGAAAGCGACGGCGGTCCGCTCTTTTCTCCTTCAATTCGAAATCCTTTAAAGCCCCCGCTCACTCTAGACAAACGGAGAAGAAATATTGGTTTTGAATTGAACGAAGATTTCATTGAATAGGAGGAGACGCAGCCCAACTTTTTGTTAACTTGCGTGATAGATGGGAGATTAAAGCGATGGACGGGCGAAGAATGAGGCGGGGTTTGAAGGCGATAAGAGGAGAACAGTTCAGAATCCGAATTCTGCGCCGCATCACCTGTCTCCACTCTGTTCCGTATAGCCCATTCGGCGCTTCCGAAGAGTGCATTTGGCAGTTGATCGGTGCTCTTTCTCCCTTCACGGCTTCTTGCCTCTTCCTCCCAATCCATCCACTTTCACGACGAGCCCCATTCCGTCACATCATCTCAAATTACACCCCATCACACCAAATCCATGTCAACTTTTGTTTGCCGGGGGCCTCCTCCTCCGGCGAGCGCGACGGCACGACGACTTCCTAGACGAGCGAGGACGGCGGAAAGTCGTTGAGTAGCTACCTACAGGAGCAAAAATAAGCCAAGTAATCCGTCACTTGGAAGCCTCTCTTTTCTCCTTCTTCTCCTCACCGATTTGGCCTCTTTTTGTCCATAATGGCTCCTTCCCGCCCCCTTTCTTCTTCCTTCCTTCGCTCCTTGGAAGGACCCGTTTGGGGCGGTCCATCAGGTTGAGAGCCGGAGGACCCTCTCTCAAACGCTCTCTTTGCGAGCGTGCCGCGCACCCCTTCAAAAGCTCAAACCACTTTTCATTCGAGCATACACAAGCAGGGCTGCTCCGAGAGCATATTCACGCGTCGTCGTGCTCTTCCTTACTTACTTTTAATCGGTCTGCAACCCCCCGCTTCCCCCCTTTCGTCCTCACCTCCGCCGCTCTTTTCGTCTTCTTTTCTTTCGGCGCCCAAACTATATTATACCCACTAGACGTTGCCCAATCCCAACGAGAGACTGTTACAAAATGGCTTACGTGGCATACGGTGTCCCACAATTGGCCGCCATACCATCGGTAGCCGGCATTGGAGTACGTGGCGAGATGACGCAGAGCTGGTTGCTAACTCCTAACGGATTGCAGCTTGTCACCAAGACAAAGAAAGTGTTCATCGGGGGACTGTCGGCGACGTCGACTCTTGAGGATATGAAAATGTACTTTGAGACGTACGGAAAGGTAGAAGACGCCATGTTGATGTACGACAAGGCCACACAAAGACACCGAGGTAAGTCGGGGAAGACGCAGTGCATTTCCATTTCATTCACTTCAGGCTTCGGATTTGTCACTTTCGACAGCGACGAAGTAGCCGACAAAGTGTGCGAGATTCATTTCCACGAAATCAACGGAAAGATGGTGGAGTGCAAGAAAGCACAGCCGAAGGAGGTTAGTCTTGCGGGAAACGGAACGAATTCGCATGTCTGGTGGAGCCATTGTTGCAGGTGATGCTTCCGGTCCAACTGAACAAGTCCCGCGCAGCCGCCGCGCGAAACCTCTACGGAATGCCACCGGAGACGTTGCTCGCCTACGCCCAATATTTGCCGCGATTCGGAAACAATCTCGTGTACCCCAACTTTGGAAATGGTGAGTGAATCGGTCCATGGGGAGCCGCAGAATGGGTTCGGGTCTGATGAAGAGAGAAAGAGAGCGAGCAAGAGTGGATTGGTTAAGTTGATAGGGGTCCATTAAAATGTACGACTAGAACTGTTTTATATCTCCACCCAACATTTTTGCATTCTTCAGATATACTTTCAGTATTCAACAGTATTCCGGGCGGCTACTCGGGCCTCAGCACCCCAGGCGGCTCCTCTAACCGTCCTCCTCACCAATTTGACGCCGCCAATCTATACGGTCTGAACAACGGAGGACAACATTTGGGAATGGAATCGCAGCCGCCGATGTTCATGAATCCGCAAGCATACCACAGTCACAACAAGTACTAGAGAAACCGACGGCTCTTCCTCCAACTTCTTCTTCTTCCTCTTGCATCCTATTCTTCTCATCTTTTCTTCCCTTCCTTCTTCTTTCTCTTGTTTTTCGTCCCATCACCATCATCCTTCCTCAATCGCGTCTGTTGTGTAACAAAATGTAAAAAGTGTGAATAAGTACATTTGTGAGAGTCCGGTCTCCTCGAGCCGGCCAGATAGACCATGCTAGACTACTCGCTTTTTTGCTCGCTCCTCACCATCGTTCATCCCTTTTCCAGTACCATCCAGTGTTCCGTTCCTGAAAGTAGAAAAGTGTGATTCAATCGCTTCTAGATGGTTTTCATAGACGCCCCGCCCCTTTCTTTTGCATCCGCCCCACCGTTCCTCGCCCATCTCATCACCATTTCGAATGTTTCTCTCCGTTCGTTTCTCCGTATTTCGTACTCAAGTTTCTTCACGATTCTGCGACGATGGTCCTTTTCCTTCCTTGATTGTAAATGTGCTCCATTGGCAATCACTTCGTCGTCGATCGTCTCAACTATCCTCCTACAGTTCAGTATACCAAGTCCCATTCACGAGGGAATTCCGACCAAACTTACTGTTCCCGCTCAATTAGCTAGCTGTACCACTATCATCTTTGTACTTTTGTAGCAATCTCTCTTTATGGGACTTGGAACTCTTTTTTTCTTCTACAATTGCGCAAAACGTTCTTTTTAGAATATAGCATCATGTAGCCCTCCCGACACAATTTATCCGGAATTTGTAGTCGTTTCCGAAGTTTTTTGCACATTGAACCCGGTGTTCGAAAACTGAATCTTTATGTTCCCCGTGTCTTTTCCACCCTTTTAGACCGTAGTACTCTCTCTTCCTGTTCATGTAATCTTGCCGACTTTCGTTTCGGCACACTCTACCTTTCCTTCTTTTTTCACAATACCCATCTCCTTCGTAATTTTTCCCCTTCATTGCTATAATCTCCTCTTTTTAAATGTATTTTTCTCCTTCTTTCTCTCTCTGTGAATTTACTTTTGTTTGCACACCTGAACTAATCCATCTTTTCCCGTATTTTATTTATAAAAAGCAGCGTCGAGCGCGCCCCGAACTATAGCGAATCGGACTCATCTCCCCGAAAAGTGCGAGGTGTTTCCCGCCATTTCGGACGAATATGCACACTTTCTTGGTGGCCAGAAACTCGTTTTGTTTGTAACACCTCCCATATACTCTTTTTTCGGAATTTGTCCAATTGCATGAATAACCAATAAATGGCATAAATGTTTAACGGCTCTAATATTGTATTGTACACGAAAGGAACCGATTATCGTCGAGTCCCCCCGTGAGAATTAAGGGCAAAAAGGTTTTTCATATTCATAAAATTCATAATAAAAGAAATACAAACGAATTGGTTCAAATGCTATTAATGGCGGCCTGCATAATTTCTTCGAGTTTCGCCTCCATCTCCTTCATTTTCTTCGTCTCGAGATCGCCCATCCGGGCCAGTTTTTCCTTCTTTTCCTCGATATCCGTCTCCAGAGCCGTCTTCGTTTTCCTCATTTCGAGTAATTCCTCGGAAATCTGACGAACTGCGGCCAGCTGGCACTCGAATGCCATCTTCTTCGCCTCCTTGAATTCCGACTCCACCTTCTGATAGTCTGCGAGCGTCGGTCGGTTTTTCAGCTCCTCGAGTTCCCGCCTCGCCTCCTCCACACTCTCGGCCTCAGCCAGTTGTTCGGCAATTCTCGCATTTTCCGTCTCGAGTTTGCTCACTTGCTGATCGTACGAACGGTGACAGTCACTGGCGAACGAGTATCTCAGATTCAGGAATCGCATCTCTGACTTCTGTCTCGCGACGCGCACCACGTCCTTCTCATCGTGACTCAGTTGCGACCAGACTCCGCTTCTCAGAATTCGCATCTTCTCGGCGCCGACATTTTGCTCGAGCGACAAAATGTTCTCTTCCGTTTTCGTCTTCTCCGTGGCAATGAGTCTATCCAATTTGGCAGCTTCTGGAGGAATTTTTTCATTTTCATCAGGAGTCAGCCAAATAATGTTAGTGACTGCTGGATCAAAATTGGGCATCTGGTATGGCACTTCTGGAGTGGGCGGGGCCGAACTAGCATTGACAGAAGCGGCAGACGCAGCACGTGGAGTCAGCGGCGAGCGAAGAGATGTATTCTGGAAGATAGAACTTGAAGGTGAAATGGTAAGAACCAGGGAAAACGTACCATTGCGAATATATCTCTTCCGGACAATGACTTGACGGTATCATTCATGACTGAAGAGTTCAGAACAGACTGCTGATTCAATTGGAGCGATTTGCGACCGCGACGCTCGCTGATGGCAGTCATGTTGGTTATCATCGAGTTCTCAAGAGCCACCCGACGAGGAGATTCGAAGCGCGTCGACTCGTTGAGCAAAGAACGGCGACGGCTATGAGCAGAGCTCGGGAACGACAATCCGAGATGGCTCTTCTGCGAAATGTTTTCGATCGTTTCGCTGTGCGTTCTTTCAAGAATGCTCTTCTGAGTGATCGTTGTCATCGACTCGTTCACAGAATCCTCGTGGATGCTTTTCTGTGACTTAACTTCCATAGTCTTCTGTTGCTTGTGCTCTTCGTCCTCATAGTGCATGGTAGTTTCCTCGTCTTCAGGTTCTGCAGGAGACGTCCGCTCTGCCGACTGATTTGCCACCGATTGCAGTGATCGGTAAGAGAAGTCGTGAATGCTCGATAAGTCCATCATCATCGAGCTCTGCAGCATATTTCGTCCCTCCTCCTTCCCTTCCAAGACGCTTTCCAATTGAGCTGAACTCTGTTCTGGGATCGTAGCTGGCTTTGGAGTTTCCGGTTGCTGCACACTGATATCCGGATTATAGACATTCGAGATATCCATGTCATGTGGCGCCGCACTCGTCTTATTCAACAACTTCGGCTGCAAAAAACCATAATCAAAATTTAACTGGCTATTTTGGGTTACCGTCTGGTTGGCCTTCGGAGCGACACGAAGAGGTGTCTCGGGCGGCTGCGTGATATCCATTTCCATATCTTCGTCGTTCGCAGCAGCTGGGCGGCCTGGACTCATTACGTGGAACATTCTCATCGTTTCGCTGGCTGCAGGGATCGGAGCAGCCGATATGTCCATGCTGGCACGCGTAAAGTTCTGAATATTGGTAATATCCATGTCTTGGGGAATGGAATTCGTAATATTGAATATGCTCATCTGGAAAAAATATTTTGGTTGAATTCAATTATTTGTTTTGTTTTTTCAATACCGTATCGTTCGCATTTCCTAATACATTGGCAGCTGCCGCCGGAGCCGGACTTGGTCGGACTGCCGGCACGGACTTGTTGGCGATTCTCGTTGGTGTCGCAGTGATGTCCATCGGCTCGTCCATGTGAACCGATGCATCCGCCAATTTCTGCTGTTCGAGTGTCATCTCCATGTCCACTTCTCCGCTGTTGTCCTCGGCAGGAAAAGCGGGAATGACAGAGGGAACCGCGCCTTGTCCGTTGTTCGGAAACATCGAAATGTCCATTTCGTAGTTAGAAGTAGTCGAAACGTTGAAAATGCTCATCTGAATAGAAGCGATTCAAGTTTCCGATGAATAGATTATTTCTTACCGTATCGTTGGCTTGAGCATTAGCCGTGCGCGCCGGGAGCTGCGGAACTGCGAACAGTCTGCTCTGATCGACAGACATATCCCTCGTCTCGTAATCAGTCGTGTTGAACATGTCCATCGTCTCTTCTGCGAGATTTCTGTGCTGTGGGACCGCGTGCCGCTCAACTACTTGCTCAGTGACAGTCGTCCTTGTCATTTGTACAGTTTCCACTGTGGTGAGGTTAAACATCTGCATCGTTTCGTTCGGATCGTTCTCCTTCACCGTCTCCAGCGACATATCGGCAGTGCCGTTCAAGATTAGGCCGTTTCCAAATAATCGAGGATGTTTCTCTGTGGTTGTTTCAGACGTGTTCCTTCCGGGCCTGAAATGTTTAGTGTGAAAAGGCTGCGAGTTGATAACTGTATTCAAATAACTTGCGTTAGAACTCCGTCCGAATTTATCGACGTGGAAATCTTCTCTTTCAGGGGACTCTCGTCATAAAGTCTACCGTGATCTCGGTCGTATTGCCTGAATTTCTCTATTACAGCTTGACCTTTCTATAAATAAAACCCACTGGACTTGTTTTGTGTTCAAAAAACTGACGCGTCGGTCACGCGCAATTGTGGTCACGGAAAATCCGGGCGCTCCGTTTCCGTTCGTCGTTTCGTCAAGAGGATCCAGTTGCTGTCGCGTCTTCAGAATTGATGATCGACGATTTTTGCTGTTCATTGAAACTCTGAAACAGATTTTTACGACAATTAACTGAAAATAGGCTGTCTAATGGAAGACAAACGCCACTAGCTTGGATTTAACGGAAAAGAAAAATAAGAAGTGTCCAGCCGGTTCAATAAATCTGGCGCTACAACAAAGTAGAACTCGCAAGGTCTCGCAAGGAAGGGAACTTTTACGATTTGGAACTCGCAGTTATATTTTAACGTTGCGAGTTCCAAAACAGTTCCATTCCGTGCGAGTTCTATTCCGTTGTAGCGCCTGAAAACGTGTCGTCATTTAAAAACTGTCTTTTCGCGCGCAAAAATAGTGCGACGGAGCGCAATTGCATTACTACCGAAGCAACAGGCTCACAGTCAGTTTACGAAGGCCCGACTGAACAATTTGGCAAAGTTTTTAAAAAGATAAAAAAACAGTGAACTATAAAAAAGAGAATATTTTGAAAGTGTTCGGAATAAATCAGCTGCAGGCGGTGACGGTTATCGTACGTTCTCGAGTGCAGCCGACATGGTTATATAACCATGTCGGCTGCACTCGAAATATATTCATGATCGTGGCTCTGTCAATATGGAACTCAGAAAACTACTCGAACACTGTGAATAACCGAAATCCTTAAAATTCTCTAATCTTTGGCGGTTGCATTTTTCGTTCCTCCGAAGTTCGTTCCTATCAGTTTCCCTCTCGCTTTCTTTTCGTATCTTTCCCTCTCTACCGGCGACTGATCGATTTTCTGTCGACTTGAATAACTTGTTCGGTTGTATTCCGTTTCTCATCAAAAATGGAGATCAAGAAGGTTAATTTGACAGACTACAAAGAACAAATTTATCAAATTCGGCAAAAAGTGAGTATTGTCAGTTTATGATTTTCTTTTGACAGAAAGGTTTAGGTGTTTATCGAGGAGCAGGGATGCCCGGAGCACACGGAGTGGTCGGAAGAAGAAGAGGAGAATTCGGTGTACTTTCTCTGCTTGGAAGACTCGAAAGCGGTCGCATGCATTCGAATTCGAAAAATGGGCAAAGGACTGCTGAAACTGGAGAGAGTGGCGGTGCTCAAAGAATGGAGACAGAGGGGAATCGCTTCGGAACTCGTCAGACAAGCCATTCGGGAGTTCCAGTCCACTGCTCCCAACTGCTCGTTGTACGCATTCGCTCAGTCTGCTCACATCGAAACTTACTTGGCTCTAGGCTTCGCAGTGCTTTCAGAGGAATGGCTGGACGAAAGAAGCGGGCAGATGCACCATACAATCTTCTGGTCGACGCCCCAATCCCGGGAAGTGTTCCTCAACAATGCGTGAGTCGATTATCTTCTTCGCTTTTCGATTTCACCCTCTTCTCCAGGAATCTATCAAACTCTGCAAACTGTGCAAAATGGGATATTCATCATCCGAGCGTTATTCGAAGGATCCGAAGTCTCTGAGCTCCGAGAATGTTTGCTCAACGTCCGGTCGCCGCTGGCATTTCATTTCCTGTTTTTGCAGTATTCAAATAAAGAAGACAATACTTAGCAAAAAGGGATCGAAATTTCATTTAGTTTGTAAAAGTTCTGACCGAAATAGTTTGAAATCACAGAAAAGTTTATCCCGTTTTTGAAGTGTCCGTAGTGCTCATGGTCATTCATCAGAAAAGATAATCGTCGCCCATCTCGAACTCGTGCATTTGTGGAGAGTTCTGGAAATTAAAAATTAGAGTTTCGGATGGGAATCTAACGGAGGAAAGAGTACCGAAATGGTGAGAAGAGCAATGAGACTGTCGGCGAATGCGGTGAACATGATGAAGAAGAACAGATAGAACCTCTCTTGCACCGAGATTCTCAGGATCGAACACGGATCGTCTCTGCACGTGGATTCTTGGAAAGATCAGAAAAAGCGTCTTGAACTCACTTATAACAGTCCTTCCCTCCATCGTACGCCATCAAAACGATCGCGAAGACCATTTTGACAAGTGTGAGGGTCATCTCGAATCCCAACATCACGAATACGACTTCTGTGAAAGTAAATGGTTTTTTTGTATACACGATTCTAAGATCTTACTCAAAGTAGGCCGGATTCCATGATAGATTGTTATTCCGATCAGCGCAAACTCAGCTACTCCGAATGCGAGAATTGTGAAGAAAAAGGAACGATCGAGCAGGATTTCTGGAAAAATCAGGATTTGTTCAATCGGATTGGGTGTCAAAACGAACCTGATACGATGAGAAGAACGAGATAAATGATGAAAGTGACCGATTTGACGGCTATCAGAAACGAGGCGAATCCGAGCATCGTCGTCGTTTCGCCGGGAGCATCTTCATGCTCGTCCACGTGTGACGTCGAGGCAGTCCATCTGAGCAAAACGGAAATGGAATACAACTGAGAACGGATTGGGTTGCACAAAGGTAGTCCCGACTTTGGGCAGAAACCACAGAGTTTTTCGCATGTTTTGCCCACCGGAATGTTTACCATTTTTGTGCAAAAAAAAGAGGTTTGCGGACATAAAGTGCATGAAAGCTCTTGTCAAAAACAACTCACTCATTGTCGACGAGCGTCAGTGTGGACATTGGAGCGGACGGGGAAGAATGGCAAAAAAGGGAGGCCTAGCACTGTTTCTCGCATGAAAACAGACGAAGAGTGACCCGTTATTTGTCTTTTCCCCTCCGCCCTCTTATCTTCTTTGCTCTCTGCACGGTCAAGAGCGCATACCCGATATTGTGCGTTCGCAGATTCGGAGAGACCTTGACAACTCCATACCTCGGACTCTGTATCGTTTGATACTCCATCGGACTCGTTTCCGTTTCCGAAACCGTTCTATTCGTGGCCGATCCGTCCGTTCCCGAGCACTCAACACTTGTCGTTTTTCTTGCCATTTTTGAAAAAATAAAGTAAAAATGAATGAGTTTTATCGCGTTTTTTCACGGAGAAAAAGTGTGTTTATCATCATCATCATCGAAAACTGGTCGGAATGAGAACTGGGTGGAGAGAGGACGAAAGAGGAAGGCAAAAGAGAGGAACAAGCATTCGGGAGGAAAAGAAGAGATTGCCACGTGTCAGATGACACAGATGTAGTTGTCGGAGCGAAGACTAAAAAGGAGACAAAACCGTAGGAAGGAAAATTACAAGAGAGAAGTACCTATAGTGGAAGGGGGACAGAGAAAAAGAGAGGCAAAAAAAAGGAGAATTCTCGTGACTGATTTGGACGGTCAGAAAAAGGAAACAAATTGGTATCTGTGGTGGAAGGGACGATCATCTGAAGAGGTGGCAGAATAAAGCAAAGGGGGAATGAAAGGCCGCATTCAATGCCTACTATCAGCGGATTTAAGAACAGAATATGTACAAGAGATCGTTGGAAGCGGGCTCTGCTCGTCGGTTACGAGTCCTTCTGCTCATCCCAACCGTTGTCCTTCACCATGTGCGCCAGCTCGATTATGAACTTTCCCTCTTTGTACTTCTGACTTGATTCGAATGCGTGCTCCTGTAATGGACTGTAAGTGTTCTCTAGTGTGAAAGTATCACTTACATATTTCCATCCCAACGTCGTCTTGCAGATCTCGCAAAAGATGTCGGCGACGGCGTGAAGACCTGTCAGCAGCACACGCTCCTCGGCTGGCCCGCATCCCACATTGACACTGAAAGAAGAAGAACGACGGCTGGCTGACCGGTGATCTCCTCTTTCTTACACTGCGTTGAACAGGTACGCTTTGCCCTGACTGCCCTGGAAACTCTTCGAAATGAGTTCCGAATGGGCGGCGAGGTTGGCTCGGCAGTGGATGCAGCTGTAGCAGCGATCGCCGGGCGGCAAGTAGTGCTACAAGAGGAACGGATCGACAGGAAACTGGATGAGAATCGGTACCTGGAACGTCTTCTGCTTCTTCGGCGTGTTGTGTTTACTCGAGTTCTCAAGGACCTTCATATTCTGAAAAGAGAGTGATGTTTGGAAGGAACGAGAAGAGCGTGAGAAGGAGAAGAAAAAGAAAAGAAGAGAACAATAATTATAGACTCATTTTGTTTGCATCGTGTATTTCTGGAAAACGAGCCCACATAGTCAGAAACAACGATGACGTGGCGCTGTGCTTTGGTCTATTTCAGGATATGAGCACAGAGGCGACGTTAGTTGTTATCAAATCGATGAGAAGAAACAGAAAGGATAGAGATAAAGTGCAATGAAACTGATATGTTTGAGTTTGAGGTTATCGAACCCGATGAGGTGGAAAAGTCGAGGAACAGGTGTGTGTAAGATACACGTTTGTTCGAGATTGAATGATATAGGCAGAAGAATTCTAGACAGAAGAATCAGGGCTTGCAGGAACTAGACTGCAAACAAGCATGATCAAAATCCGTAAACTTAGGTGTTTGCGCGACCGATAGAGTGTGTGCGCAGAGGAGGAGAGAAAGCTGGAAGAGAAAGCAAGAAGAGTTGTTGTGTGTACCAGAGGGTACACAACAGAAACTGTAAAAATATTTCATTGCAGAAGAAATGTTCACAAAGAGCGGGAAAAGGCAGAAAAGCGAAGAGCCGTGCGTCCGACCATTTCGAAGAATGACGCCGTCCGTGCCTTCGGTCCTGCGAGAGACGAGAGGAGGCGAGAAACGACGGGCACGCGACGGCTCGCACTGCGAATGCACTAAAAGGACATCGGACGAGGCCGCCGATGAGGCGACAGCAGAGGCCGTCTGATATATGGACGGGCGCCAAGCGACACCTGCGTCAGAATTTGAAACAAGGAAAGTAAAGTGCAATATCGTCTGGGCCGTCTCCCGAGGCCAATAGGACAAGCCACTTTATGTGAACATTTTGCTGAAGTTTTTGCACTGAGGAGGTACTGAAGGAGCTGCTGCTGTCTTCATTTCAAACGGGACGAGATGCGTCGTGAGGGAAAGATTCTGCAGACATCTGATTAAAAGCTGATCTCATCCAAAGGGACGGCGTGCAAGCTAATCCGTCTCTTGCATCACGAGGCTATGAATACATTTGGATGTGGTGAAGTGGATGGTGATTAGACAGATAAATGATGAGTAACAGACGCACAGAGTCTATTTTCGGATCCCAGAGAGGCGAGTGACTATTTCCAAAGGATGTCTGAAAGTTGTCGGCTTATTCTGAAGGTGATAAACTGCCTCCCCCGAACATGCATTTCATTCCTTCCGTCAATTGACATGGCCTAGTGGGTCATACCTCCAATCACCTGTTCTCCGTGCCTCTGAGACGTACTCTCCGCGCGCGCACGTGCAAATGACAAACAGGAAAACGAACTGAACGAAGATCAGTCGAGTAGGATCTATACGAAACCGAACGGACGGCGGCCCGAATCGAATAGCAAAACTGCGGGCCGAAGGAGGCATAAAGTGGTCAATTGCACACAGCATATTCGCCCCGGCCAGTGTCTGCCTCGAAAAGTCGTGTCAGGCGACGAGAGCGACGGCGCCACGTGGGAGACGCAGCCACGCAGACACTCACAGCTGATTGATTCAATCCTCTGCGGCTGCACCCGCTCAGGCGGATGGTCACAGGGCGGCACGCACACATTTCGTACCTGGAACCGATCGGAGGAAAGGGAAAAAGAGTTGGGTGGCTGGTCAGCTGCGGAAAAAGAAAGAGAGAGAGAGAGAGAGAAAGAGAGAGAGAGGGAGGAGAGGCAGTCACGCGCGGCGGTTTGAAAAGAGACAAATGGAGGCGCTTTTGGAAGGAAGAGATTCGGACGGACGATTGGAAAACTCTTGTGACTTGGTCCCGAGGTGATGGAAAGCACGCGGGTGGTCTACGCATGCAACACTGGGTACGGTAGAGTCGACAGTCAGATCTTCGAGCAAGCAAGTGAGGATGAGATGATGATCGGAAACTTCGGAAACCAACCACCCAGAACGAGTGTCTAGTCGGTTCACTATCGCTTTCATTTCGGTCACGCACACAAACTGATATCGTCCGTTCACGAACAAGACGAAAGCAAAGAAACGTTGAAAAATCATGTGTTGTTGTCGAAAACGCGACCGACTAGAGGGCACAGACGGAGGAAAGAGTCAATAGATATTAATTAGAGTCAGCGAGGCGAATGCGGGGAGCATTGATTTGCGATCGGAGCATCGGAGCCACCTTATTTTGGAAAGCAAGGCGAGCTTTGATGCCGGTGAATATCAAGTGGCGGGAATGCTCACCGACTTGACATTGAATATTTTAATATTTCTTCGAGAAGCAAATTTCAGAATTCTCTGTGACGTCAGGCGTTTTTTCGACTGTCAACTGTACGATTATTGTTTTGGAAACAAAAGTGATTGCATGTTGTTGATATTTTTCTGTGCACACAAAATCAAATATAAAACTCGTTTCGAAAAAGAGAGAATGGTGGTGCTCTTCAGAAGAGGGACAAACAACTGGAATATCATCATTCGGATTTAATAAAAAGCTGACGGAGTCTGTCCATTTCTTTCTTTCTTTCTTTCTCTTTTTCTCTGTTTGTCAACGGAGAGATTAGGAACTGAACACGTTAACTTCCGAACGGTTTTGAGAAAAAAAGCGGCCGCTCGTTCGGGCCCAGTTTTAAAAAGTCTTGTATATATATATATATATATATCTCATCGGCGGCGGCGCGTTGTTGTGTTTTGCAATAACAAATGGAGTGAACGGAACGAATATTCGTGGTGTGAAAGGGCCTGGCCGCTGAGCTCGCGGAGCCCGCGGTCATGAGACACAAACACGCTTTGCACTGCACTCCGCCCGTCCGTCCGTTTTCCTTCTCTCTCTCTCTCTTCTTTCTCCTCTCCTCCTGCTTCTTCTCCTTTTGGGCCGTTTTTCCACGAAAATTTGTACGCGGGTGGTACCAGTTTTTGTGGCAAAACAAGAAAGGAGGAGAGAGTGCGCACTACGAGGAGACGCAAGGAAAAATGGACGGGATGAAGAGGAGGAGAAGGATGAAGAAGAAGAAGAAGAAGCTGTAAACAATTGAATGCGAAATGGATGATTCCAAACAAGCCTTTTTGGTCGGCGCATCGGGACCAGATAACGGATTGTGAAAGGAGGTCAGAAGGAAAAGGAGGAAAGGAAACGGGAAAACCGAGACGGTAACCCGACCCTTTTTGCCCACTTTTGAACGTTTTGGGAAGAAAAGGAGACGAACTTACTGAATTATTAAAAACAAATAACTACAGTGGATGAGGAAGTAAACAATGCCCGACGATGGGAACGAATCGGGGTACGAATTTGAAGTTTGCAGTCTGGAACACCTCGATACATTCTCGGTTAACCCACGCTACCGTAATCCTACATGCTCTTCCTGCTCTGAAGAACATCAAAATATAACGAACAATCAGTGGGCGAACAAGGATCAGACATGCATGGTTCCAAGGAAGTGTTAATTCATAATTCGCGATCAGAAGATCCCCGCCCTTCAGATTACCCACGACAAACAACGGCGAGAATATTAGATTCATCTCCAATCTTTCTCCATCAAATGGTGGAGTTCGTCAAATAATAATAATAATAATAATAATAATAATAATAAGTTCATTGTTTTTTGAAAGTGAATCGCCGCCTCGTCTCTTTCGCCATTTCCAGCTCATTTCCGAATCTTCAGCCGAAGAGCACGTGCTCATGTTGCATTCTCCCCCTCCTCCGCCATTTTATCACAAAAATTGATCTGAACCGAAGTAAAAGGGGAAGGAAAACAATTAGAAAGCGGTGGGCAACAATCCCAGGAGACCGTTCAGAATCCGTACATCAGCTCTCCTCGCATTCCGTACTCATTCATGTTCCACCACCCACTGCTCTCATTTCCGTAATTGCTCACTAATCTGTGCAGGATTTGTTCCCGCGTCTTTTTGTTTTCACTCGCTTCTTCGAAGAAGAGTGTGTTTTTACAGGTGAAACTAACGGAGACGGGAGCATTTTGCCCACAAAACATGGCTGAAGCCGTTCTCTTGCACGATAATGTCTCGCGCAGTTGCTCAGAGAAACGAAACGGACCAAAGTCCATCTTGAACTTTTTCTAAGTTTGGACACACATTTTCATCGGCTATATTTCTTTGATTCGCCCACCTCCGCCAGATGATTTCCGTTGCTCCCCCCGTTGACCCGCATCTGCACAAGTCCCTAATCACACGAGGGATCAGATATTTCCGGAAAACATCTTCATCCACCCCATCTCCCCTCTACATTTTCCCATTTCACCATCTCCGTTTCGGTCCGTCCGAAGAACTATGGAGAGTGATTTCTGGCGCGTCCAGATAAGGCAAACGGACAGAAACGGGCGCGTGTCTGGAGATTCACAGGAAATTAGTTCCGAGCTGCTGGCTCCAATTTTCTTTTTGTATGTACGCGTGTGGAGTTTGATTCATGCCCGAATCTTTTTCCGGCATCAAAAACATTCTAATGAGATGGTGCGCTTGTGATCGCCTTCTCAAGTGACCTGTTATCTTTATGTCAGCATCTACGCTCCATTGAGAGACACGCACTGGAGCGTGATTGCATTCCAATGAAACTCCCACCCGGAACTCTTTGAACGCGGACGTACCATCCATCACTGTGCACCACGTAACCATCAGATATTCATGACTTCTTCACCTTTCGCTCTCCCGTTTTCCTCCTTTTCATTCATTCCTTTTTCCGTATTCCCGATCAGTGTGTCCGCATCATTATCTCTCATTCCAAGTGCTCTGCCAACCGAAACCCCCTCCAAAAATTGCTTCCTTTTCTCCGCCGTACCAAATTGCTTGTGCTCTCTGAGCCCGTCCCTCCTTTTATAGTATTTGTGAATGTTTTTCGAGACCAAGGAATCAGGAAATGGCTGCAAATGAATGCAGATTCTGACTAATTGCTCACGAACACGTTCTCTAATGTTGGCACTTTCAATGAACCTCGGGACGAGTTGCAACTAAAAAATGTCGCAACTTTTCGTCATAATCAGATCATTGCTTGCTTCCAGTCCGAGTCCTCGAACCGATTAGTCACTGAGCCCATCTTCAAGTGTTTTCTTGGTTTTGCGATCGTTCAGAAAACAGAAAACAGAAAAAGGTGCTACAAAACATTGTGCAAATATGAATCTCTGTTTTTTCTATTCCGGATATGTTCTGATGTCAGTCAATTGACTTCCTGATCAATTCGAATTTCTCTGTAGAAGGAATGCTGCTCATTTGGTAAAGAGCTTCTGCTTCGTGGGGGCGAAAAGTTTCAGTTGCACGCATAGGAGATGAGGGCTTCTGTTCCCCATCATCCGCATCATCATCATCATCATCATCGGATGCTCCTCAGATCCTCTTCATTGCAATATTCTGCTCTTTTCAACTGTACCTTCTCCTCTGGCTCATCCATCATCTACATGAATGGCCGATGACAAATTTAGAGAGAATGTAGGAGGATTCGATTCATCGGCACCATTCATTCATAATCATTTCCCTCTTTCGCTCTCTCTCTTTCTTTCACAATTCTAATTGCATTAGGTGGCACAGCAGAGCCGTTTGCGCCTATTCTTATCGCCTCCTCCCACAGTTTCATGACGATTTGCCCGCCTCAGACTGAGGAAGTTTCTCTCCCGCCAACTCATTTTAATTACACTTCTCGTTTCGTCGGTAAACAATGAGAGAATGAAGTGTGTGACGGAGTCTAGCGTTGCCCTCAAGTATTAAATGTCTCCACCGGATTCTGAAGCCGACGCCAACACTTCACAAATCATTCGCGTCATTTTTTGGTGTCTTGTATCGTTTTTCCATTCAAATTCTCATAAAATGCCTGGAAAGTACTAAGAATAAATATCGATTCATGTGACTTCATGAGGCTGAGCACAAGAACCTTGGCAGTCGTTAAAGTGTGAGACTCGATTATTTTGGTATTCCAAGATTGCGCGGTTCCAGAAACCGATGAAAACTAATGCAACAACTAATCCAAGTGACCTTTCGATTCTGTTACGAATTTCAATTAGTCGAGCACTATCATCAGTTCGGAACATCTCCTTCCACCCGCCGCATCACGTCATTCGTATTCCTCGTCGCTTTTTTCCAGCTCTCACTGCGTTCCATTGTTTTGGGCACCTCCGGTCATTAATTTTTCGACCCAGAAACCATTATTTTTCAACTTGGGTCCCTATTCCTCTTTTAGACTCTTCAACTATACACCTTCTTCTCCTTCTCTTTCTTTCCTAATTCATTTACAGTCTTTCTCTTCCCGCTCCGTTCCCGCATTACCTAATTAGTGAGTGGATGAGTGCTCCCGTTATGTTTTTGCTCATTCCCATTCCCATTCTCATTCTCATTTTCACTTCGCTGCTGGTTATGGAAAACGAGGAAGAGTCGAGTAAAGTGGTTGGGGGCGGCTCGCGGAGCACTCTAGTTTGAGAGAGAATTAGTCATCGACGACGTCTGTAAATGTTCAAAACGTTCCAAGAATGTTGCACAATTTGTCTTCCAATTACTTTTTCATGAATTCCTGAGTGCATATCAAGTTTTTGTGTCCCAACTCTTCTGCCGTCATCTTCTTCTGCCAAAATTGAGCACCATAAAGACTACTCAAGCGACTATAAATTGAATTTCTTGCTCACAGGCGGTGCGTCACTCACACTTCCCTCCGGGCACCAGCCCCATCCTCTTGTTTCTCTTTCACGGCGACATTCATTCACAAATGTTCTCTTTTGCTCTCTTGAATCAGATGACGTTCATTCGAAGATTGCTGGGAGACCAGGAGAACTTCAAACTTTTCATAATGTTCGAAAGTGTTGGAAATTCGAGATCTGTTTGAACCAAAAACCGTTCACCTCTGCTAAAAAGCTCGAAAAACTGAAGACATGTAAAAAGATTGGAACTCCTGGAATAACTTGACTGTGGAGAGCTCTCCGAATTTGAATCAAAGTGTGCTCAACAACTTCTTCGAGTATGCTCGCAGTGTAGTTTGTCTTCTTGCGTCTCCCGAAACGGGAAAACACAACTGACAGTTTGAGTTTCTCCAAGTTCCGTCCAAATGACTTCATCCCCCGTCCAGTCCGATTTATGGCCTTCTCGTGCAAAAACCGAACAAATGTCACATGAAATAAAAATCGGCGTGGCATATGTAAAAGTCCAAGCGAGCCTCCATAAATATGCAAACGAAAGTGAAGCGGAGAACAACGACGGTTTTTTCTGGATGACGGAGACAACTTTTGTGCCTTTTTTTTGGTTTCTTTGTGAGCCTTTCTGAAAGGCGTATTGTCTCTTTTTGAGCCGCATTCTCCTGTCGTCTGCTCCTGCTCCGCACCAATTATGCCGTCCCTTTCTCCTAGAACAGAAATTGCTCCATTCGAACAAATATGTTGCTGGAGTCCGAAAGGAAACGATCATAGACCTTTTCCGTTGAAAGTCCGGCGATCTCTTGTTCATAATGTGCTCGAAATAGAGTCCGATTCTGACGTCACATACTTATCGTACTATTGATCGGAAAGATCACCAAAACAAGAGCGTCTTCAAAAACAAAGTCTTCTCTTCTTCCTCTTCCTCTTCTTCTTTTTCTTCTCATTCCGACATACGCCTTCTTTCCCTTTTGTGGATTCGTGCACTTTCCGCCGCCAACGTCTTCCCCCAATTATGGATAGACACGCCAACCCTCAATGGAGCTGATATTCTGAGGAAGGGGCGCCTCATTCAATTCCCCTCAATGAAATCAGTAAATTTCATTTGTTTCACTTCCCATTCTCGGAACGTTCGCCCACCGGTTCGGCCTGAAACTCATTTATAGACATCCCGGGGAGTTCGGACAGTTTTGAGATCTGTTCTGATGTCTTCCACGTCACGAACTCAGAATGCCCCCACTTCCCTTGTCCATTCTCTAAAACATCTGCTCCAAATCGGCCGGTTAAAAACTCGCGTGCGTCCGTCCTTTTTCTTCGTCTCCCGAAATCCGCATTCCGAAATCGCATTCCAATTTCCAATTTCGTCTAATCGCTGCGCGCTCCGCTCTGTAATAATTCTTCTTCGTGTTTACGACCGTCGCTGGTCCCTTCGATTGGTGATTGAATGACGCCAACCTCTTCTTCTTCTTCTTCTTCTTCTCCTTGGTTTTGTTTGCTCCTGGGCCTTCAGTCGGCTCCACCTCTTCTTTCCCATTCATCGCATCGTTTTCATTAAGTTTCTCCGTCGTTTCGTCAGAAAAGAAGGCGTCTGCAAGCACAATTTGAATGCATAGATTCCAGTAACTCCACAATATCCGAATTTCAACTTCTTCTTCCTCTCTCTCTCTCTGTCTCTTTCAAAACACAACAGCTGAAATGTCGATCTGACACGCTCTTTCTTACGTAATCACTGCTGATTAATGTCGTCGTCGACTCGACATCCATTCGTTCTTTTTTCAGTCCTCCGCTGATTCATAATTATTTGCAGGTAAAACAGGCGGCAATGTGGTGCATCGTTCTCTTGTTGGCCGTCGTCGCCACTTCTGTCCACGCCCAAAAAGGTCTGTACACTTTGTTGATCTCCAAACGCTCGTTTTTCACGTTCTTTTCTTCTTTTGCATATTTAATATCACTTTGAAAACGTAAAAGGTCTTTTCATCTTCGGTCCGCTCATAAAGGATTGTTTTTCAGAAGACGAACCGATCGTTTTTCTCGTGCGAGTGCCCCAATTGGAAGATTTTGATGATTCCTCGCTTGAATCTTTCTACCACCCTAGAGGTCAGTCAGGGGAAATTGCGGCAGTTCCGGTCGGAGGGGAAGAAGAAGAAGGAGAAGCACGCCTCCGAAGTGAAATTGAAACTTTCTTCTTGCTTCCGGAAGACTTAGATTACTGTACTTCCTCGTTTGCAGACGTATTCACGAAAAGAGCAATTCCGTTCAATGGCGGCATGTACGGCAAGAGATCGACAATGCCGTTCTCCGGAGGAATGTACGGAAAACGGTCGAGTGTCGGACCGATTTATGCTCAACGACGGGCCGCCATCCCGTTCTCCGGAGGTACGAAACCGAGAAGAAGTGCCCCGGATTACTGTAGTCTCTTTCAGGAATGTACGGAAAGCGTTCGGTTTCGGTGAGCTATGGGAACAACGAGAACCAGATCAAGCGAGGAGCGATGCCGTTCTCGGGCGGCATGTACGGACGATGATCCTTCGGTTTCTCCACTGTTTTCCCTTCGAATCTCTCGCTCTCTCTCTATCTCTCTATCTCTGTTCCTCTCTCTCTCTCACTCTCTCTCTCGATCTGATCTTCCGAACTGGGGATATGAAATGGCTTTTATCGAATAAAAAGTGCGTTAGGATCGACAATTCACGCATCTGACACTCGACCCAAGCGCTCCTCAACTTGTTGTTTTGCATTTGAGCGGTTTTTGTAATAAACTGAATAATAGTATGGTCTGGTCTTGGGCAGGTTGCATTCACGAATCCAAAAGAACAAGAAACCACAGAGTCGCCAGACTTTCTCCACCTGCTTCCACGCACATTCCAGATTCCATTTCACCCAGATGTCCCCTTCTTCTTCTTCTTCTCTTTGAATATTCCACTGCGACGACGCTGCTCCACATCTGCCACATGCCGTTTTCTTCAAATTGGCGCCCGGCTCAAGAACTAATCGCATTGGCACCTGAAGCCTGCGAACCTATCAAAATGCGATCTCCATCGGTTTGTTTCCGTCGACCAAACGCGGGGGAAGCATCTTCTCAGTTTAAAGAATCTTCCCGTCTGCGTTTCCCGTCTCTCCGTCTGTGCCCTCTCGTCTTCGCACACTCTCTCCTCTCTCAATTTCAGGCATTTTTGTGTGAGAGAAGAAGCGGGGATACTTCCGAGAGAGAGAGAGAGAGAGAGAGAGGAGTCCGGGAGCCCCGGGAGCATTTGTTGTTGTTGATCCATTATCGCCCATGTGCCCCCACTGGATCTTCCTCTTCTTCTTCTCCTTCTTCTCTTTCTTTCTTTCTTTTCATCGTTTCGCAATCGCCTACAGTAACCGATCTGATCAAATCGAAAGCAACAAGTACATGAATGACCGTGTCTGCGCTCTCCGTTATTTGCCCATTCTCTCCGTCTGAAAATACGCAAACAAATGGTTGGGGAAGTCTCTGTTTGAAAAGGTTTTCCCTTCGTGCCGTATCTCATCCCCGCATCACTAAAGTTACTCCGAAATCTTGAGAACTACTCGCTCTATTCCCTGTGCTGATAGTCTATAACTTCACAAAAACTCTTTACTCTACTTCTATGGTTGCCTCTCGGAAACTTGATCGGATTCTTGAAGATGGTCCCGGTGTCGGCGATCCGGGCCATCGGTTCCAATCTGAGCCCACTAGGTAAACTGAAACCTCTGCTCTTTTCTCAACAGTCCATTCGGAAATCTCTTCGGTATAAATAAACTGTGTTTAGAGCCAACGCACTCGCCGCGGCTAAACGGCTTCTCGACGATTCTCGTGGCCAATCGTGGGAGCAGTTAGCTAGAAAGTACACGTTGGGTCTTGCAGCGGCTCCGTGTGTTGAGAGGTGAGTGGGGAGCGACGAGGTAAACAAGTGAAGAGGAGCGGCTGAGCAGCGACGGACGGCTCTGGAGCCAAAGATAACCAAAGCGATGATATCTTTTGAGGGGGACGGGATCGCTTTCGATAAGCAACATTGAGCAGACAGACTTGGTGACTCAGGCTGTGTTGGGATACCACCAGACTGCGAGATCTTTTAGAGAAAAGCATGACTGTGTTCAACTTTCAGATTAACCGAAGAAGAACTCGACGAAAGTTTCGAAACAATGCCAGAATATCACAACTATCGTTTCAACCGTAGCAGATCCGTCGATCTCAGCTCGATTTCTAGGTTCATTTCCCGCGTCCGTTCATTCGTTCACCTTTGATTTCAGGGAAAAGTACCTGTCAAGATGGTCCAGAGAGAACACCCCAGTGGACAACGAAAAGCGGTTCGCCTCGCACGTGCGTCGCAGCTACACGCCGGTCCGTGACATCGCCTCCGTCGAGCACGTCAACGACGGCAATCCGCATCGTTCGCGCACTCCGCTGGCCGCCGTTACCGCTCCGTATCACACGAACATCCACTACCGATCGGAAATCGAACCGTTTCGAAAGTACGATGTGTACGGGCTCAGAACTTGGAGCTATCCCATCTACAAGTGAGATTTCCTCTTCCTCTTCCATTTCTTTTTTTCTGACGGACGTCTATTTGCCACTGCTCATAATGTGTAACACGCGAGAAAAAGTGACGCGTCTCAGTCTCTGAGAACATGTTTCCGACGGAACAGAAAAAACAAGAAGAAGGCCGTCTTTCAGATACGTTTACGGACGAGAGGGAGACTACCGAAGACCGTACTCGTTCGACCGCAACTACGGAACGACGCCAGCCTACACACCGCCGCAGTTGAGTGCAGAGAGCCGTCCGATCACAACGAGACGAGGGTGAGCTTTTGGAGGTTCGGCAGTTATCGGAGTTCTTTTTTGGTCCTTTCAGATACTCTGGCTACTCGTATCTTGCCAATGAGACCCACTTCGACATTGCCAGCCGTCCGAAGAGCTTGAGTTCGTACATGTACAACACAAAGTACCTGGGGACAACGTGAGTGCTTCTGAGTCCATTCCTCCTCACCTCTTCCGTCCATTTCAGTTCTGCTCCTTGGTACTGGTCGTACTACGGTAACAGTCATCTCCGTCACTTTAACAGTTACCGCCCACACAATTACACGAGCTCCACTGCTAGCTGGTCCCGCTACTACTGATTCTACTTCTTTCCCTTCTTCCCCTTCTTCTTCTTCATCGAACCGATCGATCCTTTCCTCCCCCCTGCCACGTCATCGCCCCTTCCCCCATTTTTCTTTTTTGCGATCGACACAAAAACGTTTTCGTTTCAACTTTATTTGTATAAACTCATTGATGATTGACAAAAGAATAGAGTATTTTATACATGTTGATAATAATGAAATCCTTTTCTCTTTCTCTATTTGTGCACAACTGTACTCAGCGGGGCTTCATTCACAGTCAGCTGGAACACATCTGGCCGGCTGTAATGGCCGACGACGTCGAGATCCATCTTTCCCAGCGCAATGTCCGAGAGGTCGAATTCAGTGTAACGGACGGTCTCCTGCGAGAAATCTGGCTCCACGAGCACGGTCCCCAACGGATCGACTGCACAGGATCCTCCGCGAATGAGCACTGTGTCATTTCCATACTCCTTCCGGAGAAGATGGTCTTCCGGATAGGCCGAGCTCTTCAGGTACTGGCATGCGGAAACGACGAAGCATCTTCCCTCGAGTGCAATTGTTCGCATTGTCGATAGCCACACATCTCTGTCGTCCACTGTCGGTGCCAGATATATTTGAATTTCTGAATACATCCTCACCATTTTTCATTCCACAGACTCTCTAACTGCTCACCTTTGTTGTACAGGGTCATTCTGTATAACGGCATGTAATTCTCCCAGCAGATGCAGGCTCCGATCTTTCCGACACTCGTTCCGAACACTGGCATCGTCGATCCGTCCCCCTGGCCCCACACGCATCTTTCCAGCGCCGTCGGCAAAAGCTTCCGATGCTTGCCGAGGTATCCTTCGGGCGAATAGAAGAAAACGGAGCAGTAGAGAGTGGATGCTTCCTTTTCGACCACTCCAATCACCACGTGCACATTGTTCTTAGCTGCCAACGTCTCCAGAATCTTCGACTCTTCCCCGTTCTCTTCGATCGCATTCTCAAAGTATCTGAAGGTCTGTTCTTGCTCAATTCCATGGGCGTTCCTCACCTTTTGAACTCTTTCCGTCCCTCCGGAGTCCTTGTTCCCATCGTTATCCCAAAATTGTTCCATTTCGGATAGCCTCCGATGAATGCTTCCGGAAATAAAACCAAGTTTGCTCCGTTGCTCGCGGCTTCTTTCACATACTTCGTCACTTTCTCCAGTGTTCTCTCCTTGTCATATAACACAGTTCCAGCTTGGATTATCGCAATTTTGGGCATTTCTGCAGAATTATTATCATTTGGGACGAAAGAGATCAGCTAAGTAGGAGGAAAAACAGACAAATGACAAAGTGGGAAAGGACAGAAACGGATGGAGAAAGAGAGAAACTATGAAGTGACCGAATGATGACAAATGATAGTGATATGATAAGTGGATTCGAGTAGACTGATCGAGGAGGAAAATAGAAATTGTCACGTAGGCGGGATCAGACTATCAAGTTCAAAGAACTGACCGCCTGGGAAGACTACAGTGATTCATGATCCCTTTTTCTCGAGAATCATTTTTGAACATCCGCGCAAGTCTAGCGGAATTTCGGAGCGTCGTAGAAAAAATGCTTCCTACATTTTTGCGTTATTGTCGGCTTTACAAACATTTCAGTGGCATTTGTAGATCTGAAAATGACAGAAGAAACCGGAGAAGGATTCTACAGTTTTTCGAGTCACGAATCCCGAGAGCTCTCAGAAGAAGACGCAGAGAAGCTTGCCAAACAGGTATTCTAATCAATCATTTGAAACAATGAAATTATTAAACTGATTTCAGACCGATGCCAATGAGTTTAAGCGGAATAAGCTAGAAATCGAAGCACGGAAGAACTGGGACAAATTTTATCATCGAAATAAAGATAACTTCTTCAAAGATCGACACTGGAGCGCCGAGGATCTGAAGATCATCTGCCCGGATATCGATTTCGATGTAAGTAGATGGAACTGTCTACTAATATGCTAAAAATTATCATTTTCAGGATGAACTGAAGTATCTGGAGGCGGGATGTGGTGTCGGGAACATGCTCTTCCCTCTTGTCGCTGAACTTCCCAAACTGAAGCTCTTCGCTTTCGACTTCTCTGATAATGCCGTCAAATTGCTTGAAGAAAGAGCAAAAATGTTAGGAGTAAGTTCTCCTGCTACGTCATATTATTTTCGATAAATATTTTTAGTTAACAGTTGCCACATCAGTCGTCGACCTCTCAATTCCATCGATTTCATCGCCGTTCGACGAGCAAGTCGATCTGGCCACCCTCATTTTCGTGCTATCAGCTATACATCCGGAGAAGCACAAGATTGCCGCTGAGAACATGAGAAATCTTGTAAGAGTAAGTTACCAGCTCGGTCGCCGCTTCTGAAATATCATTGTCCTGTAGATCGGAGGAACTGTCGTGGTGAGGGATTACGGAGTGAACGACCACGCGATGATCCGATTCGGGAAAGACGCCCGTCTTGGGGAACGGTTCTACGTGCGGCAGGACGGCACAAGAGCCTACTACTTCGACCTGGAAGAACTCGCGAAACTGTTTGAAGGCGTCGGATTCAAATGTGTTTTAAAAGAATACCTCCATCGGATAACTATCAATCACAAGAAAGGGCTGAAAGTGCCGAGAATCTTTGTACAGGCACGGTTTATCAGAGAAACGTGAAGTCATGTTCCGCCGTTGTTGTTCTTGTTAACCCAGACGTCTTTATTGTTGATTCATAAATGTTTAAAAAAAATTGCTACTTTTTTGAATAATGTACTCTGTCGATCTCTCTCAAAGTCTTCGCAGCCATTTCGGGAGAAATATCCCGCTGTTTCTCAGCGAACACTTCGTATCCAGCCAAGAACTTGGGAACGGTGGCCGAGCGGAGAAGCGGAGGGAAAAGGGAAAGGTGAGTTTGCCAGTGAGAGCAGTCTTCCGAGAGGAAAGAGCCCGTCGGAGCACAGGACCAACCCATCATGTACGGAAATGAGCACTCAAACACGTTGTCGTATCGGATGAGAAGGGCACGAAGCATTTCGGCCAGTGACTGCTTCTCCGCCTAGAATATCAAGTGAACTGGAATTCCTTTGAATTCAAGAGAACCTCGGTCAAATCAGTGAATCTTTGGACGTGTCTGTTCGGGAGAAGCATCGTCTCGTACGGCCAGAACGCCCAGAACGGAACGAGCCATGTCCAGTGCGCGTTCCGAAGGATTATCCGCTCGTTCTTGACGATTTCCTGCTCCAAATAGTCGACGAGCATCACTTTTCCATGCTTTTCCAAGTATTTCTGAGAAAACTTTAAAAATATTGGCTCAATATCGACAAAATTACTTTCTGACTCTCGTGTTTCTTCGCCGGAAGAGTCGGCAGGTAATCGCTCGCCCAGAGCTGCCCGTGCGGATGCATATTCGAGCATCCGACGACTGCTCCGCGGTTCTCGAATATCTGAACCCACTCGTATTTGGCGCCGAGTTCCACGTACTGCTGGTGCCAGATATCGACGACCGCACGGACCTGGAATCACGGGATTGATGTGCAGAACGGATCGAGTCGGAACCTCGCCTATGTCCATCGTGGCGAGGGTTAACTGGCTGTCCGGATGGTAGCAAATCACTTTGCAAGTTCCGCGCACTTCTTTTTGCTTGAATAGGTTGCCGTCTTCTGAATTTGAATTCGTTTAATCCGATCCGATTGTTCCCACCTTCTCTCTCGGCACATTCTTCGAATTCGGTGAACGACGGAAAATCGTTGCTGAACACGTAAATGCTCTGATATTGTTCGTTCACAACTCCGGAAGACCGGGTGCCCCCCGGGGCCAACGGATTCTTTTCGGACGGCTTCGGATCTTCTGCAGATTTCGTTTTCGACGTCGCCTTCTCCGTTTTGGCACCTTGCCAAGGTCGGTTGATCCGGTTGACCGCCACAATTATCCACTCGTCAATCAGTGGATTATAACGACGGAAGTTGTTTTTTTCCATTCTTAATTCCATTTGTGAAAACAACTTTTGACTACAAGAGAATCAATGAATGAATCGATAACGAATAATTCGGGAATTACACTTTGTTTGGATATCAATAATTTATAACAGACTCTGATAATAAAACGTAACCACATGATGCATGAAATATATAATCAAGTGTTCACACCCTGTCGACTTATGCAAATGAACAGGCATCAGTGAAACTTTTGGGAGGGGAGCGCATTTGTGAATACATGAAAAGATCGACAAACGGGAGAAGAAAGAAAATGATGATGACTGCAAAGAAATTAAAAATTATCAGAAAATGATTCTAATTTTGAGCGAGCAGGAATGTCTAATTGAAAAGAGAGAGCACATTTCGTTAATTACTTCACTTTGAGTTGCTTCATCTTCGGCTGCTTCGCTTTCGCCTCTCTCTTTAGTTCCTTCGCCTCTAACCTCTTCTGTCTGTCCGGATCGTTCTCGTCCATCAGCTTCTGCTTTCTCTCGCGAGTTTTCTCCTCTCTTCTTGCCTGAGCGGCTTCCTGTCGGAACTGATGAGTCTGCTTCATGAAAGCGTCCTCGAACTCCTTTCTTCTTCTCTCCGCCTTCACCTTTGCATCCTTGCTCAACTTCAGCTTGCGCGCTTTGTCGATTAGGTAGAACACCAGGTTCAGAACCTCGGCGACAGTTTCCTCGTCGGTTCCCAGCGCCTTCATGTTCAAAGACACGTGCATGAATCTCTGAGGTTCGGGCAGTTTTGTGTAGCTCTCTCCTTCAGCCGGTTTCGGTCCAGTGTACTGATCCGAAATGTGAATGAATTCGATAGCGTCCTCGTGTTTCTTGAAAAGAGACACAACTCCTGGCTCCAGAATCGAGAAGACAACTTCATTTTGATCGGCGTACAGTTGCCACGAGGCAGGAAGATTGAATTGTTGGGCGGTCTGCTTTCTCTCCGAGACAAAGCTGTTCAGATCGAGCATTTCCTTAAATTGTTTAGTTGCAATCTTCTTCTCTCCGACGGCGAAGATCAGAGGATCGCAGTCGGGAGACGACTCCAAGCTGCACTTGATAGACATTCTGTCGATTGTTGGCTCGAACAGATCAATGACGCGGGATACGAGATCTTGTCGCTTCACCATTTTCATCTACAACGAGAATTATCAATTCAAGCATTTGAAAAATGTTATTATACCTGCAAATACAGGCTGTTGACATTGACACGTCCTGTGCACCAAGCGGAAAACGTAGAATCGGTGTCTCTCTTCAGGCCGGACTCCAGCTTGTCCAATTCAGTGGTTCCGTCGTCGCCGACCTGCAATAACCTTCATTTTTGTGCTTTGGATTCTTAGTTTCCTACCACAGAAAATTGTTCCTCAAGCGCTGGGCGGCACATTTCGAAGACAGTGTGAGCAATGGAAGAGTTGGTTGTCTTTCCGATGAGATAGTTGAGTAGGTAGATGGCAATAATCAGCACAACAACTCCTTCGACTTGGTACGAAGCCCAATTGGATCGGAAGTGAGCAGGAACGTCGGTGAACTTGAGTGGCTCAGGCGGACGGTCTCCAGCGTCTGTTTCGGCCGGATTTTCAATTTCAACGTGCTCATCTGGCTCGTTGCCTTCAATTCCAAAATCTTCGTCTTCAAAATCGTCTCTCTGAATTAATTTTATCATGTTCTGGAATATTTTAGGATCTAATACTTGAACTGGTGGCTCGACTCTTTGCGGGGGCACTCGCTCTTCATGCTTCTCAATATGTGGTGAGTCAGTCACGACTTCAACGAATTCGTCCTCAAACTCGGCGAACTCGTTGTCATCGGAAGCTAGTGTCGACCCGATGCACAAAGTGGATAATAATATCGCAAACGGTAATATCCAGAATAGTTTCATGATGTTGTTGGCAAATACCCGAATGAGTTTCTAAATCTGAAAAGGAAAAAATGAAAGCAAATCAGAGAGAAGCCCGGAAACGACGACTAGTACAACTGCAAAAATCGGTAACCCGCTCAGCCGAACTCCGCCCACTTTTGCAACTGCGGCACTCAGAAGAGCAAGGCTGCCGCACGTAATTGTTAAGCAGATGCATTTTACGATTCTGCTGCAGAGTTCTTCGCTTTCCCCCCGGTTCCAATGTTCCCTGCAAAAGCTTTCTAATTGCTTTTTGTGTTTCAAAGCTATTTCTTCGTATTAATCGTAATCGATAATAATCGCATTCCAGTGGAAAACAGGAAACAGGGGTAATAGGTATCAAATGCCGTCGAGGTGAAAGTGCTAATAAGGCAGCTTTTGCAGAGAAACACACTAATCTTCATTTTTCCGCCGTCTTTTTGTATTTTGATTGTGTCATGATTGTTTTCCCCTAATCATTTTTTTCGATTTTCACTTTGACCGTAGTTCCGTTTTAGTTTCAATCCTAATACTTCTTCACATAGATTCAAAAAATTTCAGAAATCATAAGTTTTGAAACCAAAAAAGCGGCTCTCTTTCTATCCCGACCCTTTCCGCCATCAAAAGATGTCCGTTGAGTGATGATTTCTCCCCGGAGGACCCTTCCAATCTGTCTCTCTCCCTCCCATACTCGTACTACTTTCCGCACTCACTCAGCACGGAAAAAGGGCTGCAGATCGGCGACGAATTCAGTAAACAATTGATCTATATTCTATCCGTCTTCCTCCGTTCATCCGCTTCCCATCAAAAGTACGTACCAGAGACGACCCGTCCCTCTCCTCAACACTCCTGTGCCTCTTCCGATTCCGCGCTCTCTAGGCTGCCATTAAACACACAAGGGCAAAGGGACGGACTGGCGAACTGCCGGACACATTGTGCTGCTGAGAAGGCGAAGGGTCTACTAGTATATGTATGCACCAGATGTCCTCGTCATTTTCACTCGTTCCCACCCTTTTCCCAATCTATCAAATTGTTATCAATCCGACGGATCGATGGGAGGCGAAAACGATGACTCAATGTCGTTTTTCGATTTGAAAACACCGAATGGCTAACGCCCTGTGCATGCCTCACTGTCTTTCGCAAGTACTTTCCTGGGTCAGCCAGATGCTACCCGTCTGCTCTGCTCCAGTATCTTTTGCTCTCTTTTCGAAATGCTCTCCACTCCCCTGCCATCCATTTGATTCCATTTCGCAACCCTCGGTCTCTGATGTCTCCGGGAGCTCATCGAGCCCCTTCCTCTTCTTTTCTTCTGTGTCTTCGTAGGGCCAGCAGGTGTAACTCTCTCGTTACACTCCGGGCATTTCTCGCCATCGCCTACACTCTCTCGTTCCGTTGATGCCAGTTGTGATGATCTTGCCGGCCGGGAAAAGCCTCCCGACACTCGGTCCATCCGCCCACGTTCCGCATTCGGGGCACGCTTTTCTTTGACTACTTGCTACGTTTATCGATTTTTTATCATTTTCTTGATCTGCTTAATCATTTGGAAACATATCTGCTCTGTTTTACATATCTGAACACCATTCCACCATTCGTTCCCTTTGCGGACTCTATTGTACTCCACTTCATAATGCTTGTTCCGCCCACTCATTCTCACCTTCTCATTCTCAATTCTCTCTTTCCTGAACAAATAAGGTGTTGTTTCCAGTTGAACCTACTAGGCATCGAATGCCGCCTCCAACATCTCTACTGCTCCTGGCAGCTCTACTCCCGCTCAGTCTAGCGGCCAGCGATTGGAAGACCGGAGAAGTGACGGGAAAAGTCGTCGAAAAGTCCGATTTCCCGTGCTACAGTCTCTCGCGTGATAACTACACCTGCTCAGCCTGCATCCAGTTCCATGAGTCATGTGCGTGGTGCGGAGCGCCGGTGAGTCATACATATTTTTCTGGCAAGTTTAGAATGGGTTTTCAGATGTTTGATGAAAAGAAGCCATACGCCCGATGTGACAACAGAGCGAAGCTTCTGGAGCACGGATGTCCGGACAGCTATATCGAAGATCCGACCACTAAATTGGATATTGTCGAGGACAGCAAACTGTCCGATCAAGGACAAGTTGAATCAGAAGAAGAAGCCGTCCAAATCAAGCCACAGGAGATGTACGTCGAGATCAGGCCAAGTGAGTAAAAATAAAAGAGAAACAGCTGGACTATCCACTTGTTTCAGAATCCCGTGTTCGCTTCAACGTAACCTATCGACAAGCGGTCGATTATCCAGTCGACCTCTATTATTTGATGGATCTCTCTTACTCCATGAAAGACGACAAGCAGAAGCTTTCGGAGCTCGGAGATCTTCTCGCTGAACGAATGCGCACAGTCACCAAGAACTTTCGTCTCGGCTTCGGCAGCTTCATCGACAAGAAGCTGATGCCGTTCATCGATCCTCGCATCGAGAAGCAGCTATCTCCTTGTCCAACTCCCTGTGCCGAACCGTACGGATTCAAGCATCAGATGTCGTTGACGACGAACACTGCAAAGTTCAAGGCTGAGGTCGATAAGGCCGAAATTTCTGGAAACTTGGATGCACCAGAAGGAGGATTCGATGCCGTTGTCCAGGCTCTTGCTTGTAATGTGAGTTCATTTCTATTGCAGTTTCAGAACAACACGTTTTTCTTTTCAGAAGACCATCGGATGGCGTGAACGTGCTCGTAAAATGATCGTCTTCTCGACGGACGCGGGATTCCACTTTGCCGGAGACGGCAGACTGGCCGGAGTCGTCGAGCCGAACGACGGAACCTGCCACCTGGATAGAGAGGGATACTACACGGAGACGCTGAACCAAGACTATCCATCGATCGCTCTTCTCCATCAAATGATCAAGGACCGCAAGGCCAACGTCATTTTCGCAGTTACCAAGAACAACCAGGATCTGTACACGCAGCTCTCTAACGCCCTTCCGGACGTCTCTTCGTCCGTCGGAGTACTTGCCAATGACTCGCGAAACATTGTCGATTTGATTGAGAAGGAGTACTTAAAGATCAGTGAGAAGATCATTATGGTCGACAACGCAAACGCATCGGAGGGTCTCAAGCTCACGTACAGATCTATGTGCCTTGAGTAAGCAAACTCTTTCTTGATTAAAAACTATTATCGATCTACTTTTCAGTGGAACAACCCTGAAAGACACGAATGTTTGTGAGGGAATCCGTGTCGGAGATGAAGTTCAGTTCGAAGTAACTCTGGAGAACACGCATTGCGTCGACAAAAGAGACTTTGTTCTGCGCATCGGACCGTCCGGACTCGACGAAACGCTCATTGTGAACGTGAAAGTTTTGTGCGATTGTGACTGTGAAAAGCAAGATCGGATTGTGACAAATGCGGAAGAGTGCCACGGAGGGGACATGGTTTGCGGAGTGTGCAGATGCAAAGGCGGAAACGTCGGAAAGTTTTGCGAGTGTAACCGACCCGGAATGAGCACTGCAGCACTCAACGAGAAGTGTAAGAGGTGAGAACTCCTTTTGAACCAAAGCGAACAAACTAACCTGCCTCTTTTCAGAACAAACGAGTCAGCAATCTGCGAAGGCCGCGGAGTGTGCAACTGTGGTCGGTGCGAGTGCAATCCACGTGCCAATCCGGAAGAACAGATCTCCGGAGAGTTCTGCGAGTGCGACAACTTCAATTGCCCTCGTCACGACCGCAAAATCTGTGCCGAGCACGGAGAATGCAATTGCGGAAAGTGCATCTGCGCGCCTGGATGGACTGGAAGAGCCTGCGAGTGCCCGATCTCCACTGATTCCTGCCTTTCTGCCAACGGAAAGATCTGCAACGGAAAGGGAGAATGCATCTGCGGAAGGTGCCGTTGCTTCGACGGTCCAGACGGAAACCGTTATTCGGGAGCCAAGTGCGAGATTTGTCCGACGTGCCCGACCAAGTGTATCGAGTACAAGCCGTGTGTGATGTGCCAGCAATGGCAGACTGGACCGTACAACGAGACGAGATGCGATCAGTGTCCGTTCAAGGTCATTCCGGTTGACGAGCTGCCGAGTGAGTTTGTTGTGTCCGTAGGGACGTCTTTTCGAGGAAGCTCGGACTTCTAGTTTGAGAGTCTATTAAGAACTGACGAGTATCACCAAAGTGAACTCTCGATTATGAGTCATAACTGAGTGGATTCATTTACAAGACTTTCTAAAACTGGGCCCGCTGCGCGGTCCGAGCTAACGCTCGAAAGCGGCTTCGTCCCGTGTTTGTCTCAAAACTGTTTGAAAGTTCACGTGTTCATTTCTTAATTTCTCCGTAACAGATTTTTCCGTTTTAGAAATGAAAAAATGGCCGGAAAATCGGAGAAAGAAAGAATGAAGCGGACAGACCGCGCTAGCTTTTTATTAAATAAGAATGATGATGATGATGATGATGATTACCCTTTCATTCTAGAATTTTTCAGCTCTGAATGATACAACTCCATGTCAATTCGTGGATCCAGCTGACGATTGTACCTTCTACTATCTGTATTATTACGACGAGGCAACGGACAACGCGACAGTCTGGGTCAGAAGGCACAAGGATTGTCCTCCACCAGTCCCAGTTCTTGCCATTGTCCTGGGAGTCATCGCTGGAATCGTCATTCTCGGAATCCTTCTTCTTCTCATTTGGAAGCTGCTCACAGTCCTTCACGACAGAGCAGAATATGCCAAGTTCAACAACGAAAGGCTTATGGCCAAATGGGATACTGTAAGTTTCTGAAAGCCCACGACTATGGGGAATTTACTCATTTTCAGAACGAGAATCCAATTTACAAGCAGGCGACAACGACGTTCAAGAATCCAGTGTACGCTGGAAAAGCGCATTGATCATCAAGTAACTGCTCACCGAATTTGAACTTACTCTGCTCAAAACGAGTATTTTTCTTTCCTGTAATTTTAGCAATAATTCTGTTTTATCGTTTTCCCCTGAAATCTCGCTGTTTTAATGTTATCCGGATATGTTTTCCAATTGCAATATACTCCATTTTCATACGGATTTGCTTCTCATCTTTTTTCTTTTCACCACTGCTTTACTCACTCCTCCATTGCCTTTTCCCCCCTGAATTCTTGTACTATTTTTGGTGCTTTTGGATCTTGTCATTTACGTTTTTCTATCCAGAAAAAGCCATTTTCTGACATAAATATTTTCAGCCTTATCTATTTCCATTTCAGAAAACCAATCAGGTCGTACTTCTCTGATCAGAATACCACCTGCAAACTGTATCTATCACGTTGAAAACCCCCGAAGAATAAACAAGTTTCGGTTGTTCACGTGAAAGAAAAGAGAGTAGAGTGGGAAATAGAAGGCCGAAGTGCGAGACGCAAAGAAAACAGCGAACTTTTGGTTTTGCACGCAGACGGAGCGTCAGTTGGCCGCCCGAAGGCCGCTTCTCCTCGCCTTTTCCTATTTCTGAATCGATGCGTGTCCGTCCTTTTGCTACATTCTGCAGAGATAAATAAGCGAAGAGCTTATAAATATCCACAAAAAGAAGTGGCCGCCCGTCTTGACACGCGCCAAACACATTTTGTTGACTGTCATACGACCGCGAAGTTTTGATTAGATTCTACTAGTCAGCCCGCTATGTTACCTTTTGTTGAAAACGTTTGGATAAATCTTCTAGCTTTGTTCCGTTTCTCGACAGATAAAATGAAGCAACTTCTCCGTTGTAACATACTTCAATAATGCATTTTCACAGCCTTGAAATCTTGTTTTAAATTGACTAGGTCAATTCTCACTTGTATGTGAATTCGTTTCCCATCGACAATGCTCCTTGAAGCTCAGAAAGTACAGCGTTAGGCGCTGCTTACGTGCAGAAACGTTTCATGTTCGCGATTCCCCTCTCTCCGCCGCCTCTTTGTTTTTGACAAACTCATCTTGACATCATTGACCGATTCACTTGTGACACGACAGCGTTTACCCTATTCTTTCCGTTCCCATAATCCGTGATTCTTTGCAGATCATCGTCGGCGCGATGTATCTTCAACTGCTCAAACCCACCCTCGCCCGGTGTTCAGTGCGTCCGTCCTCATCGGGCGCCTACACCCGATTCCCCATTGACGAGAAATGGGCGGCGATGGCGAAGAAGGCGATGAAGGGAAGAGAAGCGGACACTCTGACCTGGAACACTCCGGAAGGAATTCCAATCAAACCACTTTACTTGAGAGCTGACAGAGAGTGCGATGCGAGCAGAAACGTCGAGCTGCCCGGACAATTTCCATTCACTCGCGGACCGTACCCGACCATGTACACACAGAGACCGTGGACTATCAGACAATACGCCGGATTTTCGACGGTCGAAGAGTCGAACAAGTTTTACAAAGAAAACATCAAGGCAGGACAGCAGGGACTCTCTGTCGCCTTCGATCTGGCCACTCATAGAGGGTGCAGAAATGAGAAAAGTATTCGAATTATATAGCTGTTCTGTTTCAGATACGATTCGGACAATCCGAGAGTGTTCGGAGACGTCGGAATGGCTGGAGTGGCCGTGGATTCGGTGGAAGACATGCGTCAGTTGTTCGATGGAATCAACCTCGAAAAGATGTCCGTCTCGATGACGATGAACGGAGCAGTCATTCCAGTTCTTGCCATGTACGTCGTGGCCGCCGAAGAGTCCGGAGTCAGTCGCAAGCTGCTCGCGGGAACTATTCAGAACGACATTCTGAAGGAGTTCATGGTGCGTAACACGTACATTTACCCGCCAGACCCGTCTATGCGAATCATCGGAGACATCTTCGCTTACACTTCCAGCGAAATGCCAAAGTTTAACTCGATCTCGATTTCCGGATATCACATGCAGGAAGCTGGAGCTGACGCAGTTCTCGAGATGGCCTTCACCATTGCCGATGGAATCCAGTACTGTGAGACCGGACTGAATGCCGGGCTCACCATCGACGCATTCGCCCCCAGACTCTCGTTCTTTTGGGGAATCTCCATGAACTTCTACATGGAAATCGCCAAAATGCGTGCCGCTCGTCGTCTCTGGGCCAATCTGATAAAGGAGAGATTCCAGCCGAAGAGCAGCAAGAGTATGATGTTGCGAACTCATTCGCAGACCTCCGGATGGTCTCTCACTGAGCAGGATCCGTACAACAACATCATCAGAACCACGGTCGAAGCAATGGCCTCAGTGTTCGGAGGAACTCAATCACTCCACACCAACTCTTTCGACGAGGCGCTCGGTCTGCCAACCAAGTTCTCCGCCAGGATTGCCCGTAACACGCAGATTATCATCCAGGAGGAGAGTGGAATCTGCAAGGTGGCGGATCCGTGGGGAGGATCCTACATGATGGAGTCGCTGACTGATGAAATCTACGAGAAGGCGCTCGCAGTCATCAAGGAGATCGATGAACTCGGAGGAATGGCCAAGGCTGTCGCCTCTGGAATGACAAAGCTTAAGATCGAGGAGGCTGCTGCCAAGAAGCAGGCCAGAATCGATTCTGGCAAGGACGTGATCGTTGGAGTGAACAAGTACCGATTGGATCATGAACAGACTGTCGAAGTGTTGAAGATCGATAATGCCAGAGTACGAGAGGAACAATGCGCCAAACTGAACCACATCAGAGCCACCAGAGATGCCGAGAAGGCCAAGAGAGCCCTGGATGCCATCACTGAGGTAGTTCAACTATTGTTTATTTCGAAAACGTATTTTTTTTCTTGCAGGGAGCCCGTGGAAACGGCAACTTGATGGCGTTGGCAGTGGAGGCGGCCCGTGCTCGCTGCACAGTCGGAGAGATCTCTGATGCGATGGAGAAGGTGTTCCAGAGACACGCCGCCGTCAATCGTCTCGTTTCCGGTGCTTACAAGTCCGAGTTCGGAGAGACTTCCGAGATGTCGCAAGTGCTCGAACGTGTCAAGTCGTTCGCTGATCGTGATGGACGTCAGCCACGTATCATGGTCGCCAAGATGGGACAGGACGGACACGATCGGGGAGCCAAGGTCATCGCCACTGGATTCGCCGATCTCGGATTCGACGTCGACGTCGGGCCACTCTTCCAAACGCCGCTGGAAGCCGCCCAGCAAGCTGTCGATGCCGATGTGCACGTCATCGGAGCTAGCAGTCTGGCCGCCGGTCACCTGACCCTCATTCCACAACTTATTGATGAACTCAAGAAACTTGGAAGACCGTAAGTTGCTCCTAAATAAAACTATCTCCCCATCTACCAATTTGCAGAGACATTCTCGTTGTGGCCGGAGGAGTCATTCCCCCACAGGACTACAAAGAGCTCTATGACGCCGGAGTTGCTCTCGTCTTCGGACCGGGAACTCGGCTTCCAGCATGTGCCAACCAGATCCTTGAAAAACTTGAAGCCGCTTTGCCTCCGGTTGCTGGAAAGGCGGCGACCCGCTAAACACCACTAAACACGAAGTGTATTATTGCATTTTGATTACTTTCCAACTCCCCAAACCCATATTTTCTCTCAATTCCCCACATAGGTAATGTATAATATTATGTGCAAAGACTAACCGGTCGACACCCCAGAATTCGTATTGCCCCCCGCACCTCTTCGTATTGCTTTTTACCTCGTTTTTGTGTGTGTGTGTAAGTTTTTCCCCGTAACCCATATTCCTGTGCTATTTTATTCTCAACAGACTGACTATATAGTAGACATTCTAGTTTGACTCAAAATAAAAGTTATATGTACACATTTACATGTCTAACCTCTCATTATGATAAAGCGAAACGCTCAGAAAAAAAGAAAGGAATAACCGGAAATGTTTTGGGTGCGTGGAGCCGGCTCGCGGGGCCCTCAGAGCCAGTGTTTTCTTCGGTTTTTTCTCCATATTTTACAGCTTCTCAGACTGGAAACGCGATATAAACTGGCAGCTAATGGGCTTCCAGAAGCCGTCCATCTGACCTTTTGGACTGCCCCTCCTCCGGCAGTAATTACTTTTTCGGGTGCTCCGCGAGCCGATCAACGGAATGCTAATGAGTTGGAAACGGCGGAAAAGAGCATGATGCTCATCATACTAGAAAGAGAAGATACATTCATTCTTCCACTATCTACTCTCCTTCTTCTTCTTTTCTCTTTTTTTTCGCGCGAATTTCAATTGCGCGTCGGGTGCTTGAAATTAGATATTCCAGAGCGGAAAAAGAAAAAACGACGTTGAATTCAAAACTAAAAGAATCGATTCGGACGAGCAGGAAGAGCTGAAATTAACTGGAAAAACGGTCACGTCTGTGGTGAGTCATCCTTTTCTATTTTTAAGACGAGCATGGAATCTCAGAAATCTCAAAAATTTTCCATGTTTAAATTCGTCATCCCGCCACCACAAAAAGCCTTTCGAGTAACGAGTTGGAGCAATCTGTGAGCTGCTCCGAAAAGAGCGCATCCGGCTCGGAAATGCGCAGTTTCTGAGCTGATAAGAGCCGCTCTTCAACCCGAGAACCTTCTCTCTTCTGATGGATTCCGCCGCCGACTCCCCACGGAGGTGTTTGTTATCCGGCTCTCTCCGTCGGCTTCTTCTTCTTCTTCTTCTTCTTCTTCTTCTTCTTTGTTGATCGTTAATCACATATTCATAAACTCTCGAGGGAGAACCTTGGGAAACGAGCAAGCTTTTCTGTGCTCTAATCGTAATTTATTGCATGAGCTAGGTCGATCTGAAAGCGAAAAAAGTGAAGCACGTCATTTATCAGAGCAAAAATCACCTGTTTCTCGGTTATTTCTGTGCCGGCCACCAAGTTGTACTCACATAGACGACTACTTCGGGTCTCTAGGAGACGTTCCCTTCGCTTCTTCTTCTTCTTCATCTTATTTTCCTCTTTCTTCTTGCTCTTCCTAGTCCATTAAGAGTTTGTCTCGAGCGCACATCTTCCGGACGCACAAATCCGTACGTTTTCCATTCATCTTTCCGCGGACCATTCTCTTTTCTAATCCGTCTTACAAGTATCTTTTTAATCTGCTCCAACGGACCCGTTATCATCTGGAGCCGATCCCCCGGGGACTCTCTCTCTCTCTCTCTCTCTCTCCGTCTCTCTCTCTTCCACCTGCGACGCCTTCAGTCGCTTCTCTCTCAGTCGCGAGTCTATCGATCTCCGCGACGCCGTCGCCGTCCATTCTCTTCTGCTTCTTGTGTGTTTTCGGCGGCAACTGGAAGAAGGGCTCCGTTGCGGAGAGAGAGAGAGAGGGAGAGGGAGAGAGAGTTCAGCCCCAACTTGTTCTTCTTTTCCTTCTCCGTCCTTCGTTTCTTTCTCTTTTTTCCCATTGGACCCTCAGCTTATACATGTATATGCTTTGTCGTCTTCTTCTTCTTCTTCTTTCTTCCGTCGCCGTCGTCGTCGTCGCGGCAAAAAGAAGGAAAGAAGAAGAAGAAGAAGGAAAAAGAGAAACACGGAAGAAGAAGAAGGGGGAGAAGAGCCGCGAATGTAGTCGTCGAAGGGCTCGTGATAAGTTGGCAACGAGCCAACAACTCATCCGCTCTTTTCGTTATCATTCTAATGATCCTTTAGATGAATAAGGAAGAGCTGATCGAGAATTTTCAGTTTGACTTACTCGTCTTGCCGTCCCATTTTCACAGGGTTCCTACGAGAAACAGTGATAATTATTCAATCCGAGGGAAGGAGCAAAGTCGAGTGTTTTGAGAGAGAGAGAGAGAGAAAACCGAAAAAGAAATACTCTCGTTTTCCCTTTTTGCCACCCGCTTTTCGAGTTCTTTGCAACACCGGAAAAGACTTTAGAGAGAAGAGAAAAAGAAGGAAAAGTGAGCGAGGAATGGATTCTCGACTACGAATCATTTGTATCCATTCTGACCCTCACACAAATCCTTCTTTGGGCTCCGAACATCTTCCCATTCCTTTTTTGCAACATCATCTCTCTTCCTCTCTCTCTCTCTCTCTCTCGTTTTCCATTTATGTCCCCAGCTTTTCGCCGTTATTACCCTAATCTATGCTTCGAATCAAAAATGGATGGATTTTCGGATTTCCTCTCCCGACGCCCTCAACGGCGTCTGCTTCTGTCCCAATCCGTCGATCCGAACCGACCTAATCATTATTCGTGTGTGCTCTTCTGCAGAGCCAATGCAGAATCAAAAATTCCGCCCGTCCCCCCACCACGGGGCCTCTCCCCGTTTTCGGCTTCTCTCTGTTTGTTTTCCCCCCTTTTCTCCGCCACCAAACCACTCGTTTTCAGTCCGATTACAGCCGGTTTCAGACCGGAAAAGGCCTTTCGCTTCCCGTTCGAGCCTTTTCCTGTCACTTTCGTCACCTTTTCCTTTCTTGATGTCACCTTCGCATAACCATAACAATATGCGGTTTTATCGAAAGACAAGAAAAGGGAAAACTGATAACGTGAAATGACCGTCCGAGGGCGGGACAATCACGTCATCCGGATGGATGAGAAAACGAACGAGACAATGAGTAAGCACGACGAGTTAAGGAGGTGTACTTAAGATTAACACTTTCCGGAACGGTGCCCTTTTGGAGTACTGTAGGGTCTCAAGAATAGTGGAACGGATTACCAAAACGGTTTCGTCCAAAAGCCATCATTTCTCTCTCGCCAAACTCATTTATCTGCAAATGATTCTCTTATCTTATCACCCGAGTTAGGCCAATTGGAGAATGAGAAAGAAGCAGTCAAGCGTCCTCCGATTCCTGATTTGTGACGAACAGTGTTTGCTGCAGAGTTCGAGAGACCACACAAATTAGGAAAAACGAACTAGAGAGAAGAAGAATGACATCGAAGAACAGTCTAAGCAGCTTGGAGATCATTGACTTCTGAAGTATAAGTTGTCTGTCCTATGACGTGGATTCACAGTGTCTTCTCGTGCGAAAAATGATGCAAACTTGACTCGTACCTCTTCTGATCCGACCCACATTTCGTTTTTTCTCTACTCTGCACTTTCGCCTCTTTCCTACGTAAAACGTGCTCTAATCGTCCTCTTCTTAACACCTCCAACCGCCTGATAACTGCCTCCTCCCTTCCATTGATTTATGAGTTTGTGTCCCTCCTTCTTCATCTGAAAAACTATTCACTTCGCTACCAGCCCTTTTCTCTACAATAAAACCACCTGAATCGAGTGGTCGGATTATTCATGGCTGGTTCGTAATCCCGCCCAATTTTCGACTTTTTCGATAGTTTCGAGGGCAGGATTAGTTTCCTCCGTACTCTTGAATTCGTGCCTCTCTGTCCATGTCATCGCCACGTCTGAAACGGTGAATCGGGTTGAAAAGCAGCGAAAAAGTGGAGGGAATTTGTTAATGAATATGTCGATTTTCAGACCAATCATTCCTTCCGAACACAACCTCACACACTCGAACAGCCTAGTGTCCCAGGATGTTGGCGCACGACGGCAGTCCCTCAAAGTGAGTTGTTCGTGCCTCGAAACGCAGGGAATCGTCCGATTTTCAGAACGGAAAAGCTCGAACAATGATGGGAGAAGAGATATTGACGGAAAGAAATCAGCTGTCCCGACAGGACGCTTCGTGCTTCAGAAGCCCCCGAAGTCCGTTAGGAAGGTAAGGTATTCGAGGAGAGAGACGGAATTCTGGAGCCATTTGAAGAGCCCTTGAATGGAAACAGAACTTGATTATTCGAGGGAGATCCTAATTGCTCAAGGATCGTAGTAATTGAGAGGGTTACTGTACGTTTGAAGTGACTTCTTACTAGAGGTTCCCTAGAAGTCTCTAACTTTTCAAAAATTGTGCTCCTTTCTGCTGGTCTACAGTATCCTATCCGTTTCTTCGATCGTCCAAACACGCTTCTCAATTGGGAAGCCTCCCCCACAAACACGAATGAATGGGAGCAGTTTGCTCAACTCCTCATCCGCCCGCCGTTTCCGTATAATCGAATCCTTTCACTCCTCCTCGCTTTTTTGTTCTCTGTCTATGTGCGTGTGTGTGTGTGTGTGTGTGAAGTACGGTTTGTGGTCTGATGCTTCAGAGCACTGACTCACCGGGTCACTCGGAACGGACAACCGGTCCGTCGACGGCGGGACAACTGACGTCACGTGCCGGAACGAACGAATTGTGGCAATTATTGTTGTAGTAAATACTCGCGCAGACAGTACTTCATTCTGTTTGTCATCATGTCACAACAGTGAGTCATGGTGCATCGGTGCAAGAAGACAGAGTTCAAGGGGAGACCTGCCGAAGGGGAAAAGAATGAAAAAGGCATATTGGGTTGCACTGTGGAACCACTCAAGGAAATGAAGTGGCGAAGAAGGCAGCAGATACGTTTTTGAGCCCGGATTGCATCGGATCAAGACTCTCGCTCCCTCTTCCTCCTTCACTTCTTCTTCTTCCACTTCTTCTCAGACGCGTTAATCCCATTATCAAACCTGTCCGTCTGGACAGTCTTTTTCTCCTGCAAAAATGCGTAAGATTGCGAAATGCTGCTGCCGCCGCTTCCCCCAGGGTCACTCGTACCGGTGGCCTCTCTGTGTTCACTCCGCCCTCTCCGTCTGATTCTCTCCTAATTACCTCTCATTCTCTTATCAGTGCGGCCGGGTTCTAAGGGAATGCAAAGATCGGCGAAGCATGAGGCGCAGAGAAGCAAACACTTGCCCGCCTCTCCCTTTTGTGAAACGTAACTGTGGACGCGCACACACCTAGAGACACCCGCACGATACAACCAAAGTGTATCAACGAAGGTGAGAAGCAGCAGAAAAAGGAAGAGCAACAAGAATCTCCTCGCTCTCCAATGCTCCCTCCCAAAAAACCCCGGGCTCCACGGTCCCACAATGCGCCGTCGCTGAGCACGACGTCCGGCCAGAGATTCCCTCTGCGACGGAGTCTCAAAGTGGCTCAGTCGCTGCCGACGGTGCCTTCCGAAGACGGAAAAGAGGACGATCTGATCCTTCCCGAGCAATCCGTTGACTTTGACTTTCGCGATATGCAGCACAGATTTCTGCAGGCGCTCATGAATGAAGGCATCAACGACGGAACCAGCTCGTGAGTTTTTTTTAGTTTCTGACTTGATAAAGAGTCTATAAAAATTAACACCTCTGCACTGTCTGCTTGGATTGCACAAAAACGCTGAATGAAAAAAAGAAGGAGTGAGATCAGGATGCTCTCCCTCCTCAGTTAATACGTGTTTTGTTGATTGCCAGTTCTAGTACTCAAACATGCAATTACAGTAGCCTGTGCCACGTCACACAAGTTTCATTTGATTATCAATAGATAGACAAGCCCACACACATTTAAAGAAGGCGAACATAACATGGCAAACAAACAGTTTTCGTTCAATTTCTTCTTCTCAAACGCAAAGCATTCTTGCCCGCCCGCCCTTTTTCCCACGCACTGAACCACCGCAGAATGTCTGGAATTCATCGAATAATGCGGCGTTCGTCGCCGATTTTCAACAAAAAACAAAATGATTCCGTTTTTCCGTGTTTCTCCCTCTCTCTCTCCCTCTCCCTCTCTCCCTTTTCCTCCTTTCCTCTGTTCCAGCCGGAAAAGGAAGGACAACAATGATCTGAATCGGATTTCGTTACCAGTTTTTGCCAGCAAAATTTTGGAAAATTTGAAATTCAAATCGGTCTCGACGGCTCGTACGTCGTCCCCCTTTCATTCAAAAATCCTCTATATTTGTTCGTTTGCCCACATTTTATTTGCTTTCTGAAAAGTTTCGCAGAAAAAGAACGGAGAGGAGCGGAGAGCACAAGGATGATTTCTTGAGTCATCCTATGCGAAAGTGGGCGGAGCCCTGTTCTGAGCTAATCTGATCTGGAATGAGGTTGAACACAAAAGGACACAATCCCTTCGTCTTCTTCTTTTTTTGCGCCTAATCCTAAAATAATTTGTTTTCTCTTTCTCATCATCATCATCATCTTCTTCTTCTTCTTCTTCTTCTTCTTCCAATTCCGTCCGGCTGGAATCATCTCTGGAAAAAGATGGCGTCGATTTTCCGCATTACCGCCTTTTTCGCTCACTTTTTCGCCGACCATTTGTGACTGAATTTTAAAGAGAGCACGCACGGAATGCGGAGAGAGAGAGACAGAAAGAGCACCAACTTTTTATGGTTTTGAGCACTCGGGCGTTTCCTACTTCTCCAATTCGGCCCCAAAAACTTTCAAGCGAGTCCATCCAATTTAAGATTTTTATTTTTATTTGTCGAGAGAAAAAACCGAAACGAAAACGCTCATTTTCGAGCGAGCACACCGAAAATACGCCAGAATAATTATCGGGTTTTATTCCTCCTCCACCCGTTTAATTATGAGATCTCGCTGCCGTCGAGCATTCTCCTCAATTCCACCGCTTCCGTTTTCCCCATAATTAGAAGGAGGCCGAAGAAACTCTACACAAAAATTCGATCCTTTTTGTCAAATTTGGCTATGGTCTCACTTTTAAAGATCCCGTCATTTTTTCGGTAAAAATAGGTAGTGATGTGTTCACAAAAAGTGAAATCATTTGATCTGAAAACGAATGATGATAAACTGCAATTAAGAGCACCACCAATAAAAGGACCGGAATCGGCCACGAATGATTTCATTTCGATTGAAATCACCGAAATCCCCCAAAAGTTCGGTTCCCTCTGGCTTCATTTAGTAGCCTATTTCTGGAGGGCTCCGGGTCGACAACACTCTCAAATGGCCCGCCGTTTCTGTGTTGAAATTGGCCTGATTCCGGCACGCGAGGCGGGGATTTTCGAGCGAATGAATCGTCTCTTCTCGTTGCTCTCCGGAGCAAAACATTTGGATTAAATATCCAAAATTGTCTTGCGCTTCTCCGTTTGAATGTCTGTGCCTCTGCACTTCATCCAGCCTCTAACTGCCGGATGCCCCCTCACAAATTCGCGTACACACCGCTCATGAATGCCTAATGAGAGAAAAGCGAAAAGAGCAGAAGGAGCCGACCCTTGTCCTTTTTCTCCTTATTCTGTTTTCTTCTTCTTCTTCTTCTTCTTCTTCTCTTCCTCCCCCTTGTCTCTTAGTCTTGACGTCTTCCTCTTTCTCGTACGTAAACTCAAATCCGTCCAGAATCCTGGAGATCGTCACGCCGCCGACCAGTGGCGGCGTCGGACAAGCGCCGCCGAAGAAAATGAGAAATATTCACAATCTGATCATAAAGTAACACATCCATTTCAGCCCCTGACCCGTTTGAATCGACCTAATCCTGTGATATTTCAGAACTGATGACGCCTTCTTCGAGCTCGACGACGATGATTTGTCGGTCGGCAGCTCTCCCGGTTCGCCCACGGATCCGCCTTCGATTTCAGTCCCCCTCCCTCCCAAATCTGCGCCTCCGTTCCCTGTGAAGGTTTTCAGAAAAGGTTGAAAGTGAGTTTCAGTTCCATACTTTCAGACAACCCCTACAATAAATGGAGACATGTACCCCGGTTCTGAGACTGGCACTCCTGTTATGCTCTCAAATGGGTCCCTGACTGCTCCGGCTCGCAGGATATCCCCAGCACATTCTACAGTATCCGTCAGCCTCGTGAGTCATTTCCATTTCCATTCATCTTCATTTCAATTCAACCTTCAGATTAATGAAGCCCGTCTGCAACAGAGTCTCTCGACGCCCTGCAACGGGTCCGAAGAGGACGGAATCGCCCAGCAACGGAAGGATTCCGAGTACCGTCGGTTCAAATCGGAAGGATCTTCGGCCGGAGCAAGTCTTCCCGCCGCCGAGGGCAGCCACATGGACGAATTGTCGCCGGTCGACCAGAGATCCTCCTCGGGGACCACCCGCTTCGCCCTGATGCAACAGGATTCGGTCGTGAATCCGGCGGTCATCACGAAGCAATCGAACACGGAGCAGGTGGCGATGATGCACACTCTCAAGACAAAACTGTCCAAGTACCAGGCGTTTATGGACAGGGCATTCGAACTTATAGACAAGAATGAGGATGAGAAAATTATTGAGGTAGATGACATTCTGAACGAAAGTGGATCATTTTCGTGATTTCAGGGATGCACAATATGCATAAAAGTGATGAAGAAGTCCTGGACGACTCCGAAAGTGTCCTACGATCTCGCGAATGCAATGTGCGATTATCTGCGAGACAGAGATTATTTCGATAAACTGATTAAGATGTTTATAAACACGGGTCCGCCCAATTCATGCGACCAGGTAAAGCTGTCCTGCGGGAAAGTTCTGGAAGAATGTATGAGCAGTGTCAACCGAGATTATGTTGTGAACAAGGTATTTAAAGAGAAGAGAATCAGTTCCAGTTTGACGCCGCTTTTCTTTCAGAACTACATGAAGAAGATTCTGATGGCCGCGATGAAGTTGACGAAGACTCCGGAGCAGCAGAGACTGAGTCTCAGTCTGATGGAGAGCATGTTCAAGCACAGCAACGTCGTCTCCTTGAGGTGAGCAACGGGAAAAAAATTTATTAATCAACAAGTAAAGTGGGTTTCGAGTTCTATTGATAAGCCGGCGACTGCATAATAATCGGCTGTTGCTGAGGGGCGGTAATCACGACGGGCTCCGCCTTCTTGCGCGTCAGAAAAACAATGAGGGCGATGACTCCGAGGATGAGACTGCAGCAGATGCAGCCTCCGCCGATGAGCAGGATGAGAGCGACTCCTGCGGTGGCCGGGGAGATCGTGCTGGTGCTTCGCATTGTGTCGCACGAGACTGTGGTTTTTGGACACTGAAGAATTAAAGTGCATTGAGCAACTTGAAGACGAGTTCACATTAGTCTTGAAGACTGAAGATGGCCAGAGATCAGATGCACAATGAAAAGCCTTCCGGTAAATTCTCAGTGTCCTATTGGATTCGGCCTGACCGTCCCGCCCTTTCTAAAGTTTGCTAGAGCACGGGAACTTTAACTTTCGGCAGTTGGTGTGAATGTTTTCGATTCAAAACAATACGTTGTTCATTAGGTTCGAATAGTTCAACAAGTAATTTAAAGAGTGCTCCAAGTTCCACTAATCAGCCGGAGGCTGCACTAGAATCTGCGGTTGGCCGCCCTGCACAATGATCGGTTCCTTCTTCCTGCGTATCAGAATGACGATGGCGGCTCCGGCTCCAATCAGCAGACTGCAGCAGACGGCGCATCCGATAATAATGAAGAGCAAGACGGCACCTACGGTTGCCGGGGAAACCGTACTAGATGTCGACATTTTGCGGCACGAAACGGTTCTTTTTCTCTTGAACACTGCAAATCTAAACTGAACTGGAGAAAAGAAGGAGAATGGGAAGCTTACATGGGCCTCCGTGTATCTTGTGAAGACTGAAGATGGCCAGAAAAATGTCCAATAAAAGAAACTTCCGGAAGTTCTCTCAGATTTGGCCTGACCGTCCGGCCCGTCTCAAAAATGGAATAGAGCTGGGGCACGGGTTCTTCCAGAAAACGATTATGATTCCAACAGATAGCCAAGATTCATTCAACAATAGTTAGTTTATTAGCAACAATCGAAATCTCCGAGTTTGACGCTTCCGAATTCTACTGAGCCGTGTACTGAGTGCTCCCCGGGGCTCCAGTCTGCTGAGTCGAATCCAGCGTGTATTGAGTGCCTCCAGTGGTCCCCGTCGTTCCCGTCGTCCCGTCCGTGTCTTCGTCCCTATTCCTCTTCTTCTTCTTCTCACCCTTCGTCACCACAATCGGCGCCGATGCTTGAGTCACAATCACTTTTTCTCCTTTTCCACGGGAGCACAGATAGACAACGAGGGCCACGCAGGAGAGCGCAAAGCACGTGCTGCAGACGATGATGACGATCAGGAGGAGGCCGCCCAATCCTTTAATGTCAATCGTGGTTGCAGGCACTGTAGTGTTCGACATGTTTCCGTTTTCTTTGTGAGGCTCTGGCCAAGAATCTCGGGAAGTGATGGATTTTTCTGGTCGGTCCGTTCTTTCCGAGTAGGCCTGACCTCCCTGCCCTTTCAGAAACACGAGCGTGCTAGGGCACGCATGAAGTAATTTGAGCGGTATAATACTAATCTTCACAATCACTTAATTTGTGATCCCTCGGACAAGACAGGAGAGAAAAAACAGAAACATATTTTCAGTTTGATTGAATTCGGAGCCCTCGATCACATCATTCTCACCTGCAAACGAGCGACTGCATGCCCAGAAACCCTCCGACACGCCGCGTTCGGACTCGCCAATCTCGCCCTCTACTCGTGTTTCGAGGGAAAGAAGAAGATAATCCAGCGAAAAGTGCCCGATTGGCTATTTTTCCTGGCCAGTCAAAAGGACGACGTGACCAGATATTACGCATGTCTGGCGATTTGCGCGTGCGCCAGTGTCAAGGAACTCGAGCCGGCTGTCACGAAATCAGATGCTCTCAAATTGGTGGAGCCTTTCCTGAACGCTCACGAGACACCAGTTTTTGCCATAGAACACAGTAAATATGCGCAAGGAAGGCCGAAAGAATGGCTGGAAAGGTAAGGGTAAAACGACGGAACGGTCACCATAAAAGCGCTTCAGACTGTTGCCGATGCTCAAGTCGTGTCGTCGGGAAGCTCGCGGACTCGCTGCATTCCATTTAACCCTCGAGGCGACCATAAAGAAAGACCAGAACAAACTGGACGTCTTCCAAGTGAGTGTCCCTTTGAAATGTTTGACGAAACATGTCGAAATTCGGCAAAAAAGCGTGTTACCCACACTTTTGTCCGCCACAATTCGGCCACCACAGACACACATTGATAGTGCACTGATAAGTGAATCTGAAGCTAAGTGAGGCGTCGGCCGTATGGTTTGTGACGCGATCTTCGCGTTCATTCGTTTTTTTTCGCCGGAAATACGGAATGCCCTTTCCGTTCAGAACTACACACTCCAATCCGAACGAACTGTAAACAACTGCATACAGTCGCGTGACCGGGCCTCGGTTGGTGTAGTCGATCTTGATCTTGGATTAAGAAGAACAGGCTTCCGAAGCACTAATTTATCCATTACGCAGCTACAAGACTACGGTAATCGGCGGGATACTTCAAGTCCAAAAATGTTGCTCCGGATCATTTAGAACGCACTCCCACTCTCTGTTTCATTTCTTCCGTGGCAATGAGTAGGAGGTAGTTGTTGCTCTTTATCAAATGTTCAAACAAACCACTACTAATACTTCCCCTTCTGTTGTGTTTTCCTCCGTTTTTCCTTCTCTCTCTCTCTCTCTTTCTCTTTCTCGGCTTCTTCGCATTCCAACCTGCATTCCGATCTACTCTTTTCGATCACTCATATGCTGATTATCATCGGTCCTTCCGTTCCGCGCGGAAGTTCGTTCCGCGAGCCTTCCATCTGTTATTGTTGATTCCGCCGTCGCCGCCACCTGAGGACGTATGAATCACCGCTTCAAACACAATGTGTGTGGCCGATGACGCATGTGCGAAGAATGATTCGAAGCGGGGAGATGCCCCCGGGGTTATGAATAAAATCCGAAATATGAATGAGGCATTCACGAAACATTTCGTTATCGGTGACGTAGTTCGTGTGCTCCAGGAACTATCACACCACTGATCAACATCACCATCATCATCATCATCATCATCATCATCGTCATCGTCGTCGTTGTTAACATGACCATCATGGCGCCATTTCAGAGCAAAAATTGCAACGAAAAGTGGAAAAGTCATGCTTTCTTATCGGCACCCGCCCTAGATTATCATCTTTCTTTCGTAAAATGCGTGCGGCTGAGTCAAAAATGATCTACTCGACCGTCCCTTTTTGTCGACCGATAAGGTCGTGAGTCGGCTTGCGATGCGGATGCACACCACAATACGAACTTTGTCTACGTCAACAGTCTTCCATCTGCTGACTGCATGACCGCTTCGAAATCCGGCTGATGACGTCGAAGGGTCGTCAAAGTAAAAAGCACACAGCAAAAGAGTACAGTAAGCGACCGGTCCCGTCAGGTAATCCTTTCGTCTCTTCTCTGTCGACGTCGTCGTCGTCGTATTCGTAGTTATGCACCGTAATTGGCACTCGGGCAATGATGACGTAGAACGAGGACGCATTCTGAATCACACCTTCTGCAATTGTTTCTTAGAAGAAGAAGAAGCCGAAGAAGCCGAAGAAGAAGAAGAAGAAGAAGGAGAGGAAGACGATTACTTTCCCTTTCAGTCCTCCTTCGCTGAATACGTTAACGGGAGGAAAAGGGACGTTGAACCGAAGAATCGGACTGGATTGGGTTTGCAGGCATTTGCAGGACAGGAAAGATTCAAACGGACTGACTGACGCAATAAATGTGCACACGGACCCCCCAGATGGATTGCGTCAGTTGAGCACAAAGAAAGTGTTGCGTGGATGGGATAGAAGAAACCCGAGACGAAGATGCGATGAACTGTTTGGCTGGACGTGGCGCAATGTGCTTCACCGATTCAAGAAAGTGCAGGTGTTCCGAGGTTGAGTCGGTTGCGTGGCAATATTTGAATCCGTGCTCCGTCTGAGCACAGTCCCTCCTTTTTGTTGTCTGTGGTTGCGGTCGGTTCTTCCCACGCGTGCGTCCATCAATCCGATCACGTAGATCACGCGAACGACGAGGACGGCGGCGCCAAGTGACTCGGCCGAGACACTGTTTTGTTGTTTGTATGTAGCCGACCTCTCAACACAAACAGGATGCCAGATCCCTAAGAGAGTTAGGGTTAATACCCTCTGGTTTACACCAGACACCCTCTCTCTCTCTCCCTTCCTCTCTATTTTGGGCCCTCCGCATCGCCGAAAATAGAAACCAGTTCCCAGTTCTTCTTCCTCTCTGAGTGCCAATGTATCAGAGATCGAAAAAACAGAAACAACACTCGTCCCGGGAGTGATCTTTAGAAACGTTGTGAGATTGTAGCAGGCTGTACTTCAATTGCTGGGACCGTGTTTTTTGTGTCGGCTACACAATCATTAAAAGATCTACAGAAATTAGTCTGATTCGAGTGTCGTTTGTCACGTACACAATCGTACTCTGTAGCCATGTGCCACGTGGCACTTCGGAGGCAAAGTATCATGAAGATTATGATGCTGATGATGAAAAAGAACAAATATTTGGCACACCACTCTCTCAATTCTTCTTTCTTCCCCATTTTGTCCATTTCCTGGCTCTTTTTTTGCCCGGAAGAACATACAAAAACCGGTCTTCTCCCCCTTTCCTTCTGCTTTAGCGCTGACCTTTTGCGGAAGCGCTTCCGCGCGGAAACGTTGCGGAAAACGACGAAAGTATTGCGAAACATTTCGCATTCTTGGCTACCTCCCTGCAAAAGAAATCATGATAAGAATGGCAACGGAGGCGTTCCGCGCGGAAAGATGCTAAAGGGACGTCGACTAACCAGAAGTGATAAGATGATAAACCACGTGGAGAGAGAATTGCATCATGTTGGGAAGAGGACCAGTGCCCGAGTTTGGATAGTTGGTTGTTTGATTCTGAAGGGAGAGAAAGAACACGACGAGATCAGAGGCCAAAACAGGGTACGAGGATTGGGGACACGGTGCTACAACACGAGGTTGCGAAGGCTTAGAGTCGGATCGAACAGAGTACGAACTGGATTTCGGGTTCTTTGGAGTCGTAAAGAAGTCAGGTCACATTCAGAATTAACAACTGTTCGGCAATCACGAATCGGGTAGGCAATGAAATGCAGTAGCCTCAGGAGGGCTTTCTTCTTTCTTTCTTCCTCTCCCTACTTCCTGCTCCTCGTTCATTTTGCATCATAAAGGAAAGAGCGACATTTACACATTGAAAGTTTCGTAACCTTTTCGCATTCACATACTTCATAGTGATAAACTGCCTGGTATTTTCCGCCTGAGAAATCAGTCCTAGGTTCAGCGCGCAGTGTGCTCTCCTCGCAAACATGTGCTCTTGTCCTCCTTCATGAGCAACTCAACAACAAGTTGTGCTCATCGTCAATGTTGCTCCGACGACCTTTCCCATTCTCTTCTCCTTTTTCTCAGCGCTTCCCGTCAAGAGACGCAGACAGAGTGAACAGTACGGGAGGGGCGGGGCTTGTCGGAGGTGGGAGGTGCTGCAGGAGACCTCCTTCCGTCAGTCAGTCAGTCAGTCAAACAGTCCGTTTCGAGACATGAGTGCCCTTGTCTCCTCACCAATCATGCCTTCCACATTCAACGAGAACGTGGCCCCCGAGTGCCGTCGGAATCTGCTTCCACGCTTCGGCGCCACCGCCCCCCGTCCCCGTGCCGCCGTTACTCCGGTCGTCAGGACGCCTTCTGCTTCTTCCTATTCTGATTATTTCTGTTCGCCGTCCGGATCGGCCATTCTGTCCAGACCCTCCAGTTTGACCGACCTTCCGATTCTTCTGAAAGACGAAGATGACACTCCGAACCTCGAATCCACCTGCAACCAGTCGATTCTCGCTCACCTCAAGTTCCACGAGGGTCTCCTTGGACTCAAATCTCCCTTGAAGACGTCGTTGAAGAAGTTACCCCCGAAAGCGGCGCTTGTGATCCGTCCTCAGATGTTCTTGAACACGAGAAATCCTATGGTTGAGCGGTTCCGCAGGTCAAGGACCCGCCAGTTCTTCAGCCCTTATGCAAAAGTGAGTTACTCCTTCCTTCCCAGCTCCAAATATTCTTCGTTGATCTTTCCTCTCGTCTGAAAATAGAAACTTCTTCCCTTTCAAGCCAAGTTTCAATTTCAATTCCTCACTGCCGCCTATCAGCTGTCTTATCATTTTCCGCATAGATAGACGCCGTCGCCCGCATAGTATATTACAGTTTTTGTTGAATTCTTGACCTTGTTTCTTTGCTATCGCCGTATTATTGACTAGATCACTTTCGAAAAGTTGCGAAACCATCACCAGCACCAACCGTGGCGGTTTGGTCTTGTTTTGGTCTCTTCCGACTGGACAGAGCCCGTGCAAACAGACACGCAGCCTCGTTTTTTTTCACACTTCGATCTCGTCGTTCCCCTAAAACCGGATCCGACGATCCCATTCGGTGTTTGAGTTAGATGACTCATCCCTCATTTACATTCCATAAATTTTCGCCGCCGCGCACGTTTTGACACCTTGCGCGCATGCCGCACAGAGAGTGGGCGTTAAGATGATTCCGCGAATTCCATTCCTAGCTGACGTCGCTTCATACCGTAGTCCGTAGTTTCGTCCTCCCACTCGTTCTCTTCTTTCCGTTTTTGAACGAACGACCTTCTTTTCTCGTTCCATTTGAGCCGTTCCCACAGTAACAATGAAATGAGTAATCGACGGTCGCATTGCTGCGAGATTCAAATGGTAACCGGCCGACCGACCAATTCATACTCGTGTATGTCTTGCCGGGGCTTACTTGCGTCAAGCCGCAATCTGCCGGAATTGCGCCATCTTTTATATACAAACAGACACGGACCACCAATAACAATCCGACTGTTTTCCTCTTTTGAATCTCTTACATATGGCGCAACCTAAGGTCAATACGAGAGTGGCGCAATCAGCAATTAAGAGTCTAGTGGGCGGGGCTATTAAGTGGTCCGTTTTGAATTGGTCCGACCTCTAGATATGTCTGTCTCAAGGCCATCATTCATAATTGGAATTTCAGGAAATCGGAGCGATCCAAGCACTCAAGGAAGTGGCCTCCTCTCCCGACGAAACAGCCGCCAAGTTCGCCTCGGAAGCACTGACCGTCATCGGAGAAGAGGTTCCCTACAAACTGGCCCAACAAGTGCCCGGATGGACCTGTGCTGATGTCCAATACTGGGTCAAAAAAATTGGATTCGAGGATTATTCCAGCCGATTTGCCGCCGAAATGGTCGACGGAGATCTTCTTTTGCAGCTGACCGAAAACGATCTGAGGATAGACTTGCATATGGTTTCTGGGATTCATCGGAAGAGGTTCCTCCGCGAGCTGCAGACTCTGAAAGTCGCTGCCGATTACTCGTCGGTCGACGAATCCAATTTGGATAACTTCCTGATGGGACTGAGCCCCGAGCTCTCCGTCTACACCTACCAAATGCTCACCAACGGAGTCAACAGATCTCTTCTTCCTTCGCTCACCGACGAAATGATGCAGAATGCGTGCGGAATCACCAACCCGATCCATCGGCTGAAGCTGACGCAAGCCTTCGAGAATGCGAAACACCCGGATGACGTGGAAGTGGCGATGCTCTCCAAACAGATCGACGTGTTCATCTCGTACCGTCGAAGCACCGGAAACCAGCTGGCCAGCCTCATCAAGGTCCTTCTGCAGCTCCGCGGATACAGAGTCTTCATCGACGTCGACAAGCTCTATGCCGGAAAGTTCGACAGTTCACTACTAAAGAACATCCAGGCGGCGAAGCATTTCATTCTGGTGCTCACTCCGAACTCTCTCGACCGTCTTCTCAACGACGATAACTGCGAGGACTGGGTGCACAAGGAGCTGAAGTGCGCATTCGAGCACCAGAAGAACATCATCCCGATCTTCGACACTGCGTTCGAATTCCCCACGAAAGAGGACCAGATCCCGATGGACATCCGCATGATTACCAAGTACAACGGAGTCAAGTGGGTGCACGACTACCAGGACGCCTGCATGGCCAAGGTCGTCCGATTCATTTCCGGAGAGCTCAACAGATCGACGCCCACTCAGAAAGAAGTGAGTAGTGTGCTGCTCGTTGCGAACCCTCCGCAATGCGCCCTCTTTCAGATGCCGACGATCAGTCGGAAGACGACGAGTCAAAAGTGGCAGACGAACATCCGCACGGGCGCCTCTTCCCGCAGCATTAACAACCAGAGAATGGAGCCGCCGACGCCCACTTGTAAGTGAACTCGCCTCGGGCTCTCGCTTGCTCACTTCCAATCTCTTAGACTTTTCAGTCACCCCAACCGGCTCGCAGGAACGCGGATCCGTCCGTCGGAAGATCCAATCGTCCGTGTCGACAGTATCCGATCGGGTCTCCTGAAGGCGTCGGCTCCTCTTCCTTCTTCTTGCTCCTCCTCCTTCTTCTTCTTCTTCTTCTTCTTCTTCTCCATCCACTTTTATTTATCATCAATGTCTTTCAATTCCTCCACAAAGTTTTAATTGCCTTATGTACCCTAAAACCAAAAAACCTCAAAAACTGTTCCAAAACTGGAAATTCAAATCGTAGAATCTGTGATTTCACTCGCCCTGCAAATAATAATTCTGTAATAATAATCCCATTGCGTATATTTATAAATCCCGAATATAAGTTATCCGCGGATGATTTCCAAATCATTCCGTTCCCGATCTCCTCCGTTATTTTCTGTTTTCCCCAATGTTACCTTCGTTTCCTTCTTATTATTCGCCTACGTGTACTAGCCGATCCAAACCAACTCAGGAATCCTTTCAATCCCTTTAACAATTCTTCCTTTAAACTTCTGTTCTCCTCATCTTCCCCAACCGGGTCTTATCAAAACTATCATTCAGATTTCTATTCGTATGAGTTCAATAAAGATTTTCAGAACTCAAACAAATGTTAAATTAACGGCTTTTCAAGTCACGAATAGTTCCTTTTTAAAAACAGGAAGGAGCTGTATCGACACGCCGATGAACAGAACAACCGGAAGACTTTCTAGAACCCTTTTCTTATCACGAATAACTTTCAACATGGTGAAGAGAGGGACTGCAGGACAACTTGCAACAATAACAATTTATTTGTAACATTTACAAATTTAAGCCTTGGCCTCAGCCTCGGCAAGGAAGTCGCGCTTGAGTTTTCCCATGAAAGCACGCTTCTCGGCCGTGGTCTGGAAGCGACCGTGACCAGTCTTGGAACTGGTGTCGATCCACTTGAGGTTGATCTTCTCGTGGGCGACTCTCTTGGTTTGAGTGATAAGCGACTTGCGGAGGGTGATGAGACGCTTCTTTGGTCCGAGGATAGCTCCGCGAAGCATGACGTAGTCCTGGTTGACAAGTCCGTATCTTGGGAATCCTCCCTAAAAATACAATTTTGTAAGAAGCTATGAGTCTCGATAGTATGTGTTCTCAGAGCAAGTAACTTATGTCGCCATACAGAGTACGAATTGCAGACTTTCTCATCATAGAACGAATAAACTAGCTTAAACATCAAACAAACCATTGGGTTGATGGTCTTCTGGGTAAGATCGGATTCGGTGGATCCGTTGTTCTTTCCTTCCTCAGTGAGAGCAGACTTTCCGATGCGGTAGATCTTGTTGTTGACGATGGTGCGGTGATGGAATCCCTTCTGTCCAGCACGAGCGACGGTGAACGCCACACGGGATGGATGCCAGGCTCCGATACAAGCGACCTTGCGAAGACCCTTGTGCGTCTTGCGAGGAAGCTTCTTGGTGTGCCATCTGCTGGTGACTCCCTTGAATCCATGTCCCTTGGTAACACCAATAGTGTCGATCATCTCGTCCTGAGCGAAGACAGTGTCGATTTGGATCTGCTTCTCGAGGTGCTCGCGGGCCCAGTCAACCTTCTGCTCGATGGTTCCTCCGTTGACTTGGATCTCAACGAGGTGAGCCTTCTTCTGGCGACGGTGGAGGATCTTCATCTAAAAATAGGACATGAAACAATTCTACAACACAAATACACGTTACCTGAGTGTGAGCGATCACACGGATGGAAGAGCAGTACTTCTTCAGCTTGGCGAAGTCAGACTCGATCAGCTTCTTTCCGTCATCGTCTTGCCACTTCTTGGCGTACTTGGTGAAAGCCTTCTTCTTAGACTTAGCCCTGTAGTTTCTACGATTACGAACGAAGTGCCTTTCAGCGTTGAGGACGCTTTAGCCACTCTGTTCGTTGTCCTTCATGTACATAAGTACAGCGGAAGGCAACCGATTCAGAAACGCGACTGCAAATACACAACTTGGAATCACGAAACAATACAATAACACCGGCAACGACCATCACCACCATATGAAAAAAAGAAAACAAAGAATGTAACTAACCAGTTCTTGTAGAAGCGGCGGCGAGCCTCCTCCGACAAGTGCTCGGCCCAGATGGTGGTAAGGGCGCGTGGTCCTTGCGGGGTGTCGACGTATCCGGTGACTCCAGCAATAACCATTGGTGGGGTCTCGATGATGGTAACAGCCTCGACGACCTCCTTCTTGTTGACCTTCGATCCCGGCTTGTCGACATCGCGAACGATGTGGGTCATACCGGCCTTGTATCCGAGGAAGGCAGTCAGATGGATTGGCTTGCTCTTGTCATCCTTCGGGAAAGCCTTTATTCTTCCGCGGTAAGTACGGGAGCGCTTCTTCGGGGTGAATCCCATGTGTCCATGTCTCGGGGCCGAAAACTTTCGGTGAGACATTGTTGTACCCTGAAAAACGATGAAATATCATTTGAAAAAAGTTTGAAAGAGAAAAAAATCAAGAAATGAAATTTGGCCTAAAATCACAAGCACTCGAACACTAAAATACTGAAAGCTTAGTTAAACACAACTCAAAATAAAAGGCTTGGCAAATCATTTTTAAAATTTTAGGAGAAAAATCCATAATTTTGGGACAATTTGACAAAGAATGGACAAAAACGTGAAATTGTGTTTAGGCCAGCGAAAAAATGGGTCTCGCGAGGCGCACACTCGCCGCACACTTGTGCGTCGGAAACACGCTCCCGCGAGGCATATACCGTAGTCTGAGAGCGTCGAAGCGCGGCAGTTCAAATACATTATTTAGGCCAAAGAACTACGCACGTCATGACGTGCGTAGTGACGCGTCATCAGAAAATGCGGTTTCGACAAAAAATGAGTGTATTTAGTAATTAGTTTTAGAAAGCGCTTTGGCACTTTTATTGTAAAAGATGAAAAAGTATTAAATTCAAGAGGGGGAGAATCGATTTTTGTCCTGTGATCACACACATGTGAGCTATGACAATTCAAAACAAATAACATTTTAACCCAAATGTCTTTACTTTTTCGCACAAAAATAACTTATCATATTCATCGTTAACAAAGCCGAAAATTCCTTAATTGGCCTCAAATCGACTTCACAATTTCTGCTTTCCCTTGTCAACAATTCATGAATTTTCGACAGAAAGTCTTCCACTTTGAGAGTCATCATTCTAAATAGTCTGTTTTTCTTTTGTTGTTCGTTTGCTTGTCCAGTCACTTTTTCATTTCTAAAAAAAAAGTTCATGATGTTTTGAAAATCAGAAAACGGTGGATCCGCGTCCGGAAGTTTCCGAGCGTAAACTCGGTGGGCTGAAGATTGAAAGTCTTGTTCTTGTATAACTTCCAATTTGATTGTTAAAAAAGTGCGCATTCGTTGTTGCAGGCAATCTTTTACTTCTGACGGGTTCAATAAATTACTGGGGGCACAGAGAAATAAGAGAACGGGCACTGGAATCAGTTTCTACACGGGAGAAAGAAGTGGAACTAATAGTTACAAAGAGAAAAGGGCGGATTTTTTACAAACATAACTAGAGGGAAATTGGGTCATGATTATAATTCAAGTTAATGCTGGGTTACAGTAAGAAAAATATTACAGCTAAAACTTTTCAAGAAGATCATTTTAATGGAATGTGAGAAGTTAGGCTCTCGCAGAACGTCCCGAGATGAGTTGTTTGATGACGGATTCGTCAACCAAAGTGGTCGTGTCTCCGATTCCGCTTTCCGATCCTTCGGCAATCTTGCGCAGAATACGACGAGTGACTTTTCCAGAGCGAGTCTTTGGAAGTCCAGGAGCCTCCTGAATAACGTCCGGCACGGCCAGAGCTCCGATCTTTTCGCGGACCATCTTCTTCAGTTCGGCCACAAGTTTATCGTTGATCTTCTCGCCGACATTCAGGGTGACGAAGGCGTACGGGAACGAACCCTTGATGTCGTGCGGGGCCGCAACCACTGCCGCTTCGGCAACCTTCTCGTGGGCCACGAGAGCAGACTCTATCTCAGCAGTCGAAAGAAGATGTCCACTGACATTCATGAGATCGTCGACTCGTCCGGTGATCCACAGATAACCGTCTTCGTCTCGGCGGGCTCCGTCTCCGGTGAAGTAGTATCCGTTGAACGGGGCAAAGTACGTCTTCACGAAGCGTTGCTCATCTCCGTAAATACCACGCATCATTCCCGGCCAGGCACGGTCGAAGCACAAAGATCCCTCTCCCGGTCCTTCGATGACGCGTCCTTCGGCGTCCAACAGCACGGGCGAGGCTCCGAAGAACGGCATCGCAGCAGCTCCCGGCTTCATTGGAGTGGCTCCCGGAAGGCAAGTGATCATGTGTCCTCCGGTTTCCGTCTGCCAGTAGGTGTCGACGATGGAGACGTTTGAGAGTCCGACCTTCTTGTACAGCCACATCCACGCGGCAGGGTTGATCGGTTCTCCGACAGTTCCGATGACTTTGAGCGTCGCACGAGAACTGCTGAAAATGTTAATTTTCTGAGTGAAGTCCTTGTTTGATAGTTGGTTACCTCTCAAGCCACTTGTCCCCAAGAGCCATCAGAGCACGGGCGGCAGTTGGGGAAGTGTACAACTTCGTGACTCCGTACTTATCGGTCACATCCCACATACGCGTGGGCGTTGGGTAGGTCGGCACTCCCTCGTACCAGATTCCTTTGAGTCCGTTCATAAGTGGTCCGTAGAGAAGGTATGAGTGTCCGGTGATCCATCCGCAGTCAGCAGTGCACCAGTAAACGTCATCTTCCTGAGCATCGAATGTGTATCTCGTTGTCGCGTACGCATATGTCATGTATCCGGCCGTCGTGTGCTGAATTCCCTTCGGTTTGCCCGTTGAGCCGCTGAAAAGAATCGTGTTGAATATTCTAACGCCTTTTTTTCTTCCCACGCTTTCCGATACTCACGAGGTATAGAGAAGGAAAAGCGGCGACTCGGCGTCCATCCATTCGACGGCAGATTCGACGCTCTCGCACTTCTGCATCTCCGTATCGTAAACAACTGTGATTTGAGTGTAATCGGCCTGAAAGCGAAATTTTTTCTTTGATTTGGACTGACGAGATAATGATCACCTTGGGAAGCTCGACTCCTTCCGGTTTAGTCACTCTTTTCAAGTGCTCCACCATAATCACGGCTTCCACTTTGACGTCTTCTTGGGAAGCGAGAGCGACGGCCGCGTCGGCAATCGATTTGAGGCCAATTGGCTTAGCTCCGCGGAAGACACCGTCGGCAGTGACTAGCACTCGGCAACGGGCGTCGACGACACGGGCGGCAAGGGATTCTGCGGAGAAGCCAGCAAAGACCACGGAGTGCATAGCTCCGATCCGGGCGCAGGCGAGCATTGCAACGGCCAGTTCAGGGATCATCGGGAGGTAGAGGGCGACGACGTCTCCTCTTTTGACTCCGTGGGATCGGAGGACGGCTGAGAATCGGACGACTTGTGCGTGGAGTTCCTTGTAGGTCATAGTGGAGGTGTCAGTAGGCTCATTTCCTTCGAAGATGTAGGCGATCTTGTCTCCGAGTCCTCTTTTGATGTTCCGTTCCAGGCAGTTGTAGGAGATGTTCGTTTTGGCGCCGTCCATAAACTTGCAGTACACATTTCCGGCCTTCGAGTCGAAGTTCCATTCGAGTCCTTTCGAGGTTCCTTGCTCAAAATACAGTTCCGAAGCGACAGTGCGCCAGAACTCGTCGGAGTTTCCAATCGAGCTGCGGTAGAGGTCGTGGTATGATTGGAGTCCGGACACGTGGGCACCAGCGAGAAGAGGAGCTGGAGGGTAGAAGATCTAAGAACAAATTATACGTTTCTCTATGAACAAGATGATATTCTTACGTCCTCCTCGAGGCCATCGGCTTCGTTGGCCAGGTTGAATTTGACGCGAACGTCCGACATTTCGGAAGAGTTTCGACTGAAAAATGAGTCAGTGATAAGAGAAAGTGCGGCAAAAAGGAGGTGAAGAGGACGGAGAGAGCAAACGAAATGGCGCCATAAACGGAGGAGCGGACAAAGAACAAGCACTGGCTCGTGATGGTTTGTCGTGGGAAGACGAGAAACCGGGGGAAAACTCAATAATAACACGCAGAAATGTAATTTTGTCGTTCTTCTTCGTTCTCGTTTTTCACCACAAAAACAGAGACGTTTGTTTAAATTCAGAAGACTCACGTCTTCCTTCTTCTCTTATTTCTTATTCTTCTTCGGCCGGTCTTTTTGCACTGTGAACTGTTCTCTGATACGAAATGCCGAAGAACGATCAGAAACCGGGTTGATCAATAGGGTCAACGGGGGCAAAGAGAGAAAAAGAGAGATAGGCAGCTGCCGGCGGTCACAATTGCTTAAAAAATGGGTGAACCTCAAGGACGGTTCAGTTATTTTGGTCAGAACGTGCCAATTTTGCGCGCGACCGCGGAAATTTAAGGCTTTGTGTGACTGGGCAATTGCAATTGGGTCTGCGTCTTTAAAATTGTAGGTTACGGTCGATACTCTATGTCCATCAACTCTGGGAACTCGATCGCAATCTAATTAGAAAACTTTGCAATCTAATACGAACTCGTTTGAAATAGAATTTTTTTCAATTAGATTGCAAAATCTTCTAATTAGATTGCAATCACTGCAATTTTTCTAATTAGATTGCAATGTTTTCTAATTAGATTGCAATTTTTTCTTATTAGATTACAATTCAGGAAAAATATATTGTAATCTAATACGATTTTACTGGAACTTCAATTAAATCTGATTAGATTGCGAAATAGAGCATTTTCTTATTAGATTGCAAACTCTTCTAATTAGATTGCAATCGAGTTTAAATTTCATCAACTGTTTTTGTGGAAATCGGCAAGGAGAGAAGCAGTAAAAAATATTCTCGGTTAGGGGTTTATGCAAATTCTCGGCAGGGCACAAAAGAAAAGTTTTCACATGACTCGGCGAAAAGAAAGCAGTTGGGAAAGTAATTTCGGAATTCGCATTTTATTTTGTAAAAAGAGTTTTACTTTTACTTTCGCGAATAATTTTTGTGCGCACTTTGTAAAAAAGAAATATCTGAATAGACTATGAATTAAGTGCCACGATGTGATTACAGATTAGATATGCGTGAAACCTTCTGTTGTGTTTGCGGTAGGAAGATACAGATCTGGGCGCCAGCACCCCGGAGGGATGTATGCATTGCGGCAGAAAAACGGAAAAATGGGAAGAAATCAGAGACGAGAAAGCGTTTCGCTCCCTTTTTGGACGGGACGCGGCAAGTCTCCCTGGATATCGGAGTGAATGAAGAGTGCGCAGAAATGAGAGAGCGCAGAGATAAGCGATGCAAGAGCGGAGATGGCTGCCCGACGGGCCGGCCGACTGAAATAGAGGCACCGACGGAGGGGCGGGCGCTCGCTTCTCCGTCCTGGCTCCTCCCACTTTGCCCGTGGAGCGCACTTGCCCTCTCTGCGTTCTTTGATGCCTCACCGGCCCCCGACCCGCGAGATTCAAATCGTCGCTTCTCTCTCAATTCTCCGTTTTAAAAGCACTTTTCAGCTTTCAGATGACAGATCTCGCTCTCAAAATCACGGAGACCGTTGCTAGATTACAAAGAGAACTGAAATGCGGAATTTGGTAACGAAAATCCGATCATTAGCGGTAATATTGGATATTTACAAAAAAGTTTCAGTTATTCGACGTTCAAGGATCCGATTTTGTCTACGTGTTATCACATGTTCTGTCGGACATGCATAAATGCGTGCTTCGAAAGAAAAAGGAAAGTACAGTGTCCGATTTGCCGTACGACACTCGACAAAAGGTGCGAAAACCAGAGCAAGAGCCTCAAGAAATAACGTTATATCTTCAGAAGTTGTCGTGATTCTTACCAAGTAACGATGGCTGTGCAGAACTATCTGAAGCTGTCGGAAGTGTTCAAAAAGGAAGTCGCGAGCGACTCCTTGTTCACTTCGTTGCCTCCCGAAAAGATGTTCGTCGAGAGCCAGATCCCTCTCGACGTCACGATCATTCCGGAAAACGACGGAAAGAGATGCGCTCCCGACTTTGCCATACCTATGCTTCCTGTTCGACGGAGACGACCGAGCCGACCGAGCATTCCGTCTGTTCCGTCTCCCGGCCCTTCTACGTCTTCAGCTGGCGCTCCAGATCCAGCTCCCGAGCCTGAGCCGTTTGTTAAGCCGCAGCCACCAGTACGAGAGCCGGTATTCGAGGTGCCAAAACGGCCTCCTCCGCCGAAAATGATCATGAAAGACGCGGCGTCAACAACGGATCCGTGCGAGCCGACACGCGGCGAACTGGCTCTTTTCAACATATCGACGTACATAAATATGACTCGGGGTGAGTGAAAAACACAGAAAAGACCATAAAAACACATCAAATTACCATCATTTTACAGATTCTCTACCCGGAATAGAAATTGACGAAATAGACGCACTTTTCAAGTTGATTCCATCCATTCGTCCGTTCATTGAAAAGGTGTCAGAAAAAATGTAATGGGAGCCAATTATAAAATAATTATTTGCAGAATATGGAATTATTGATGCACAAAATGGGAATAGAAGTAGCAAAAGACAAGGAGAACTTGGGCGAACAAGCAAGTCCAGCCAAAAAAAGAGTCTCTTTCGGTCGTGGTCCCCTTCTGCTAAGCCCGGAGAAAAATGTGGAAGCGGGGAAAGAAGAAGTAGAAGTGAAAGAACCAGAAGAAGAAGAGGATGAAATCGTGGAAGATTCGGAAGGAGAGCAGAAACCTCCAGAAGCGATGGAACAGGCGGAAGAACCTCGAACATCCCTGTCAACGGCCGAGGCAGACCAAACCGCCCCAGCGTTGCAAACCGAGCAAAGTCGGATCGACGAAGAGCTCTCCCACGTGCCGAAAACGATCACATGCTCCAGAATCCACAACGACGTGGACGAAGTAGTGGGCGCTTTCCATTGCTTCAGAAGCATTCGAATACTTGTTTTCTTGCAGGAACTCCTCAGTGACTTCTATCACAAGTTCCTGTCAAATGCCTGCCGTTTCTCTGACGACGTGAATGCACACACCACTCATTTAATCATGATGAATAGTGGTCAGTCCTCCGTTTCCCCTTCTTCATCCCATTTTCCCGTTCAGAAGGCCGCTCGATCCCCCAAAAGTCGACTGCATATCTCCATGCGATCGCCCGCAAATGCATCATTGTCGGGCGTCAATGGCTCGTCGATTGTCTCAAAACGGGGCTCATTCTTTCCGAGGTATTTTCTATCTACTAAAGAGCACACACGATGTTCCGAGCGGTGGTCTGATGTTGATTTGCTCTGCTGATAACTGCTGCACAAACTTCGTCGATAAAATTCACGTGAAGCGTTAGGGGAAGCTCCAGAAAAGCGGCAGAGCGCACTCAAAAACCTTTCCGCTTCGTCGGTTATCTCCATGTGAGAACGGAACAAAAACAGACTGTTCTCTGATTGCAAGCAGAGAACGATCAGAAATGAGGTGATGGAGGGCGAGAAGAAGTGAGAAGGGAATTAAAATTAACGGGAACTGCCAAGTCTGCAGGAATTTAAATTGTTTTCCAGGAGAACTACACAATCACATCTTGCACTTCCGTGATTCCTTCTTCCGATCCCTCTGCTGAAATCGGATGGCTCCGATCGAGAAACGATGCAGAAGGGAAACTGTTCTCCGGCTGCCGCTTCATGATTCTTCGCAAGTTCACAATCAATCCATACTTTGAATACAAGGTGAACATTTTCTTTTTCTCTTTCCAATTAAGTTTTTCCAGCAACTGATCGAACTGGTACAGCTGTGCGGCGGCGAAATACTCGGATCGTACAACAATCTGTCGCCAGAGAAACTGTTCATCGTCTTCGCAAAAGATTCGAAATCGATCGACGAGTCGGTGAACATGGAGCGAGTGTACAAGTGCGAAGTGGTCACGATGGAATGGGTCCTCGACTGTATCAGCGAGTACTCGATCCTTCCGACCGACAAGTACAAGGCCGTCGAATGGACGAAAAAGTTCGATGAAGATTGAATATTTTATTCTTGTTCCAAAATTGGGCCCAAAGTACGAGTAAGAGTACGGGACGCATGCCGAATGATAAATGTAAATTATGGTCGGAACGAGTTTAGAAAACATTTATATAAAAATACAGATTTATAAATGATAAGTTAAAGAGAATATTGAAAAGTAATCACATTTTGAATGCGTTATCAGGAATATCGGGGAATTTGTTCTTCCACACAAATAATTGGAATTCCGTCTTATCTCTTTTCAAGAGAATCGTCGCCAATGTCCCGTCTTCTCTTTCAAAATCGAGACCTTCCGAGCAGTTGATCACAGTTGCAGAGTCTCTGGATACTCTCACGAAATCTCGACTTCTTCTCCTCGGATCCCACGCCTCCAGACACATTCCTTTCAAAATGTCATCATCCATTTTCGTGTTGTAGAGACTCAGCGACAGCAGTTGTGGATTTTTACCGTCCCTCCACTCATTGACGTAACCTTGGAGATCAGAAGTTGTGAAACCGCATTGAATGATGATTATGTGCTCGCATTTCAAGTTCAGAAGACTTTGCAAGTCAAGAAACGATCCATTGCGAATCGTCAAAGTGTTGCAATCGAATCTGAAGCTCTGATATCCGTCCGGAACTGACGAGTGGAAGTTCAGTGTGTGGATTCCTTTGAAGTTTACCAAGAAGTAAGCGAGCTCCTCCTCGGACAGCTCTCCTCTGTCCACAGTAACCGAATGAGCATCAATCACTCCTGCACACTTTCGGAGCTCTTGAAAGCTTCTGAATGGATCTCTGAAGGTTACACTGATTCCCTCCACACGGAACGTCTCCAGAAGCAGTTTGCTCAGACTCTCCACTCGATTCTCCTCCTTCAATCGATCGTACCGCTTTCCGTAATTCGACGTGGATCCGCTAGACCGCGATGTCATGAAGAATGAGTATCCGCCGCCACTGTATTCCGCCGACAATTTGTCGACCTCTGACATGAACTCTATTTCGAGTTGGGAAAGTGGAAGACGGCACATTTGGACGGCTCTCTTTGCGGACAATGAACACTTGACGAGCTTCACACTGAAACTGGTGAGAATAAAAGAAAAGAGTTGGAAGGAAAGGAAACTTACAGCTGGAACAGACTAAACAGTTCGAATGTCTTTTTGCCAGGAAGGATGGAGAGATCAAGAAGGGGGAAGGAGTTCATTGCGACGGGAGATGGAATGAATGGAAGGGACGGAGGAAAGGACGGAGGATGGGGAAGAATCGATAACACCGTGTGAGTTCGTTGGAATAAAGTGCGTTACAGAAGGGGGTACGCAGTGGGACAGAGCAGAAACAAAGGAATGACACAGAAGGACAACAGGTGTTAACGGACGGAGGCGTGCAAAGGCGGGAAATACAAATAGTTGACAGGATATTTCGTTCAACCATCTTCAATATCGGGAAACATTTTGAGGGCTATTTTGTAGTGCAATATATTCTACTTGATTCTACTTAAATCCAAGGCAGTTTTTCTCTAATTATAGGAGACGTGAGATCTGTAGATCTGTCCAAAAGTGGAGAAGTTCTTGGAACAGGGCATCCACCTCAAGTTGATGCTCGAGATCCCTGATCATCCGTATCGTTTTTCGTAATTCGACGTGGATCCGCTAGACCGGGATGTCATGAAGAATGAGCATCCGCAATTCAATTGCCGATCTTTCATTGGATTGGCAATCAAGTCAGGCTCGGCTCGGCATATCTCTGCAAGAAGGAGGCGTGATCGATTGCCATGGAAAACACAATATTTCAGAACACTTCGCAAAACACGCATTTTGATCACTTGTAAAATTTCCATTTCCGTTCCTTCTCTGTTACACACAAGAACTTTTTAATTTTGTGCACACATAATTAAATGCATACTATGGGGGCACCGGATAGAAAGGGCGCGCTGTTCGCAAACTGGCCGAATTTCTAAACCGCGAAGTAATTTTCCCACTGAAAACGTGGCCTAACTTTTCAAACACGGCCCCGAGTTCGCTCAATTTGCACTGCAAAAAGAGTTTCTCAACAGAGCGCCATTTCTGTGCGGTGCCCCTATAATATCAAAACTTTTTGAGGACATCGAGTTGCTCCGTATGAAGGTTTTCTTTTGTTTTGAACATTTCCGACGTTTTTGCTGCGACGTGAAAATGCCGGCTTTCATTTGCTCCCATTCGAAGCGGAGCCGGAACTTGTCTGGGAGAGCTTGTGGGACCAGTTGCTGGCAGACGGACATCTTTTGCTCCATGCTCGTTAGCCTGTAGTTGCTGTATCACGTCTGCATTCTTCTGCAATCATTTGTTTTGAACATTGAATTGTCAGAAATCACTCACGGCGACAAGCTTGTAGCTGATAGTGAGCAGAGGATGCCCATTATCGAACGAGCACGCTCCTCTGAAACACCCGACAGCTTTTGCGCCGATATCGTCGACGGACCTGGTGCAGGAGGTGCACACGAGCATTCCGAAACGATAAGTTCCATTGCGTTTCTCATCTTGCCAGTCTTGCGTCGTCAACGACTCGACCGAACCGCATCCAAGACACGACTTCATGTCGCCGATAGTTGCTGCACTGGCAGAAGATCCACGCGGCTTCGCACTGATCGAGACGCCCATGTACTTCAGGTAGATCCCCTGAAAACTTTGAATATTAACAAATTGCACGGTTCTGCTCACGGAGCTGCCTCCAATCGGAGGAATTTCGATGAGCGGCGGAGGTGAAAGGACATATTGTTGTGCTGAGAATAAGGTAAGGGCTTCGCCCATTGATTCCATTTCGTCGTTGAATGTCACCTATATCTCCCGAGCTAAAGTTTTTGAGTGCCCTCTGCCGCTTTTCTGGAGGTTCCCCTAACGCTTCACGTGAATTTTATCGACGAAGTTTGTGCAGCAGTTATCAGCAGAGCAAATCAACATCAGACCACCGCTCGGAACATCGTGTGTGCTCTTTAGTAGATAGAAAATACCTCGGAAAGAATGAGCCCCGTTTTGAGACAATCGACGAGCCATTGACGCCCGACAATGATGCATTTGCGGGCGATCGCATGGAGATATGCAGTCGACTTTTGGGGGATCGAGCGGCCTTCTGAACGGGAAAATGAGATGAAGAAGAGGAAACGGAGGACTGACCACTATTCATCATGATTAAATGAGTGGTGTGTGCATTCACGTCGTCTGAGAAACGGCAGGCATTTGACAGGAACTTGTGATAGAAGTCACTGAGGAGTTCCTGCAAGAAAACAAGTATTCGGATGCTTCTGAAGCAATGGAAAGCGCCCACTACTTCGTCCACGTCGTTGTGGATTCTGGAGCATGTGATCGTTTTCGGCACGTGGGAGAGCTCTTCGTCGATCCGACTTTGCTCGGTTTGCAACGCTGGGGCGGTTTGGTCTGCCTCGGCCGTTGACAGGGATGTTCGAGGTTCTTCCGCCTGTTCCATCGCTTCTGGAGGTTTCTGCTCTCCTTCCGAATCTTCCACGATTTCATCCTCTTCTTCCTCTGGTTCTTTCATTTCTGATTCTTCCTTCCTCACTTCAACATTTTTCTCAACAATAGAGAAAAATTACACCGTCCGACTACAAGCTCAATCCGTTTATGCATCGTTACACGACAAATCCTGGAAAAAATTGTGTTCATCGGTTCGAGGCATAATGAAAATCGAGAAGAATCATAACGCTTATTTTTCAAAGTTATGAGAAAAACCTAGCAGCGAAGCCCGCGCAGCGGTCCCAAGTTTCAAAAGTCTTGTAGGAATGTAATGATACGGCCAGTTCATTATTAGTTTATACAAGTACGAAAAGATCATGACTTCATAAATGAGTATCATTTGAGGTACAAAGGAAATCACAAAGAATAGGAAAACAATGAATAGCATGGTACAGCCAGTTAATAATTACTTGTTAATTCCCCTCATCATCGTCTCCAACTCCTCCATACATCTGTGCATTCGTCCTTTGATCGCTTCGCTGCTTTCAGTTATCAACGGAGATTCGACGCGTGGAGGAGGGAATCTAGGTGGGGAGGATTGAGTGCTTCTGGAGGACGTCATCCGAGAAGTTGTTCTTCTGAATCCGTCCTCGTCATCGTCCACATTCCTCACTCTTTCCATACTGATCGTGAGCATCGGCACATCAGTTGTGTATCTGTTCATACGAGTCACATCCGTCATTTCGAAGAGCGCCTTCCGGGTGTTCACAACTGGCAACGGAATAGTCACAAATCCAAGAGGACTGTCTCCAGAAACCCCGTGATGGTACACTTTTACGACGAGATTGCGACGCTCCGAACTGACAACGAATCGGGCCGTGAACTCCCATCGGGGCTCCCGAGAGTGCGGAACAACGCGGGAACGGAGGTCTCCTTCTCTCCCGAGCACCGAAATGAATGAAGATGGACTCGTGACGCGGCCTCTAGAAATAACTCATTGGCCTACAAAGTCTTTTCGATGTTTGCTCACTCATGGTCCTCAATTGGCGGAAGTCCGGTCGCCGAGTGCACAGTCAGCTGCATGTAGTACTTGCTTCCGATGCTCACTTCCTCCACAACATCTCCGACCGTTGACGCTCCGTACGAGTTGGAAACCGTCTTTGTGATTCTTTCAATCGGTTGCTCAACCTCCTGAACAGTCGGTCTTCTGATGGCTTCAGGACGAACAAAAACGGAATCGGATCCAATGGAAGAGGAAGAAGTCGGCATTCGGACTCTTATTTCCGGCACATTCTGATTCTGAATTCTTGGAAGTATGATGGGTGTCGGCGTGGACGTGGAAGTCAGCGATGACGTGGCGGAATGCGGTCGTCGGCTCGCTCTTGGCCCTCTGTTCTCCCGTTCTTCCTCTTCGAACCATCCCATACTCGCCGAGCTGTGTGCTCTGCATCTGCTGGAACATCTGGAGCGAGTCCTTCTGCCAACTGGATCCCGATGTCTGTCGGTCACTACGAACGTGTCTTCGAGGCTACGATCACCCCGAAGAGATTCCAATCTTTCCATCAACGACTTCACCCGACTCCCCAAGTCAATTCGAATCAGCGCCGTCGCTTCAAAATCGGGTCCAACAAAGTCGAAATCACGGCAAATCATGTAGGGCGCGACAAGTAATTCGTACAATGGAATCGAGCATTTCGCGAGTGGGCGGGTCTGAAAATGATCGAAGATTTTGATTGAAATTGATTATTCTCTTACAGTGTGCTTCCCATTGACGGCCATTTGAACGAGCAGATGGATTGTGAGCCGGGACCTTTGCCATTGAGCAACCTGATCTTCGTGCATGCTCAGTAGGACGACTCTCTGCAATCTGGAGCCCTTTGAAGACATTTCCGTTCGATTACACCCACCTTGTGCTTGAATTCGATTCTCGTCGAGGTCGTGTCTTTTTCGGGAATTCTCACGGTCGCTTTGAGTGCCTTCGATACGACGTCCAAACAAGGAAACGAGTATTCTAACTGGAATCTGAACGGAAACAAATTTTTACTTATTTCAGATCTTTCTTTGATTTCGAACCCGTAAAGCTGCCTGGAATTGTAAAGCTTTTGAATAAATTGATTTGTCGACGGAAGGTTAATGTCATCCAATTGAATCCTGATGAACGAGAGCTCTTTGAGCACATTCTCGAGCTGAACTTCGGCAAATGGATCTGAAACCCAGCTTTCAGCTTTCTAATATTTCATTTTCTCACCATGGTGCTTCTGAGTTCTAGATTGTCCTTCATCTAGCGATTCTACGACGAGAGGACCTCTGCGAGGCTTCATATCTCTGAAACCGTTTATTTGTCACAAACTCACGAGGAAAACGTACAAATATGGAATAGGTAAACGAACCACGACACAACGAAAGTGCGAAAAATCGAGGACTCAAAAGGAATTTCATTCTAAAATAAAATACCGCACCATTAATTACACGCAGACGATAGCAAAAGGAAAATAATAATAAAACGTTTGGATTATTGATTAGTCGGTCAATCAGGCACTGTTGGAATGAGGACCGGTAGTTCGAAGAATTGAAATCACAGCGACAAACACTAAAAGACATGGGTGAAAATGAAAAGAAGAAAAAGTTTCTATAGAGGCAAAGATTTACAAGTATTCACACACAGATTCGTAAAAATGCTGATGGCAAGTGGGGGGAGGTACAGCTACAACAACGACATTAACTACGACGACGACGACGATTCAGAAGACCTCGTCCTCTTCTTCTCCAGTCTCTCTCTTCTGCACGTCCCATTCGTCGGCTTCATCGGACAATGAAGACGTTTCCAGACGAGCATCTGGAGCGTCAGCACCGCCTTTTTGGCGGGAAGAAGTCTCTTCGAATCGGATTGTGCATCTGTCGTCATTCATCTCGTCATCTTCATCGTCGGTTTCTAATATTTCGAGATCATCGTTATTATCGTCGATCTAAAACTATATCGTTTTTCCAAATGATATGTGAACGGAATCTAACGGAAGAATTAAAAGAAGGTCGTTGTTTCGGGTGTTGATGTTGCTGTTCCTCCGCGCACCGTCAGGCGGAGCTCTCCGTCGGTGACGTCGTCGTGATAATGGCGGCTGGCTCTTCGACGACGCCTTCTACTATTTCTGGATGCGTTCCTGCATTAATAAGAGAATCCATGTCATCCGGATTGCCGATATCCCACTCGTCAGGAGCTGGAAAAACATTTACAAGTCGATTTCATGAAGGAAAACATAGGTGTTTTGAGTTGAGCGCCGGCAGTTCAGGACCGGCTAGTGGAACGGGCATGGTTCGGAAAAAAAATCTGGCAGTCGTAAGGCTGCCAGATTTACGCGGACTGTAACAGGTTGTCAAGTTGTTCTAACTGTCTGAATTACTTCCATGGGTCATATTTGTTCAGTTTCCATTCATTTCAACCCACTAGGATTCCTGAACATTTTTTGAAAATTGTTTTTATCCTTTTCCACGGGGGCTCTCATGGTTGGCGCTGGTTCGGAAATTTCACTCCGACCGCCAGGTCGGAAAAATGTTTTGGCGTTTCTCAGACATTCTGCACATATAAAGGAAAACCTACCATCCATCTGGAAGAGTGCTTCCTTTCTGTCCTTCTCCACGTAGAACGACGCTGCCAGGAAGAAGGCTCCAGCGAAAACGAGCATGAATGAGGGGAAGTAGAGTGCCTTCTGTAGGGCGAAGAAATGTGCCGCTATCGAGATTTCATCTCCACGGAACCAATCAGAGAGCACTCCAACAATGTACGGGGACGTCGCATCTCCGAATGCATGAGAAATGAGAGTTTGGACGGCGAGGGCAGTTGCTCTTCTATTCGCTACAACCACATACATCAGAACATCCACGTTGACCGCCCAGTTGAGACACATGGAGAAAACGGCGAAGAAGATGAGGATGAGCGACGCGTTGACACTGTGCTCCGCTATGAAAATTGCCAAGAAAAGGAACGGCAGAGCGGTGAACATTGAGATGGCGCACACGTAGACGTCGGCCTTCTCGGATGCTCTATTGCGGAAAAAGGAATTTCCATTCTTCCAGGCACGAGAGATCAGCGATCCACATGTGACTCCGAACAGACCTCCCGCGCAGGTTATGATACCGAAAATCGTACTGATGCTGGAAAAATAATGGAATTTGGCATTAAACAATAGATGAAACCCTCACCGATCTCGTTCATCGTCGGGAATCTTCGCTTTTCTTTCGATAGTTCCGTAGGCGTACCCGATGAAATTGGGTGTCCACCAACTCATTGTTCCGACTGCGAACAGATTGGCAGTGGCGGCAAGTGTGGTAAGTTTGAACGTAGGACTGAAAGCGTTACGGATTCTAGATGTAATATCGGAGAATCCACATACACTGTCAGGAGATACTTTATGTCTTCCAGCAAGCTCGCCTTGTCCTCGTTCTGCCTGGCCCCCTCAGAGCCTCCTCTCACTGGCTCCTCGAGCAAAAAGATCATGAGCGCGAGACACGCAATTCCGATGAACGGCGAGAAGCGTACTCCCCACTGCCACGATTCAGTCGCCGTTGAAATCTTTGATCCGGTGATAAAGCCGAGACCGCTACCAACGGGAATCGCAAAATAGAAAATCATGAAAACGCGACTTCTTTGCACTCCGCTGAACAAATCCGAGAGCACGGTGGGCGCAATGGTTGCGTACGAAGCCTCTCCGATTCCGACAACTCCACGGCAGAGCAGAAACGCATAGTAGTGCTGAAAACAAGATTTTCTCTTTTTTGTTTTTTAATTCGAATCTCCTTCGTTCATGCTTCGCAACCGCGTTCTTAATTGGTGCACAACACCTGCCATCGGCCTTCCCACTTCTGCGTCTCGCCGTTCCGTACACACTCCGTTCAGTGGTGCACTCTACGCACCGCCCATATTCGAACGCGCCCAATTCGTGCAGTCAACCTTCATTCGTTTCCCATTCGCTCTTCCCAGCAGGTGTGCCCATTTTCTCTCATTTTTCTGTTCACCCTCTTACCCCTTCCTCACAGAACGTTGACGCGAACACGGCCAAGATCCAGATGCTAATTCCTGTTATCATCAGCAGTTTTCGGTTGTATCGGTCGCCCAAATAACCGAAAAGTGGTGCAAACACCATGTAGAATGCGATAAAAACTGTCTGAAATTCACAACAATTTCTTTAGCATCTATTTGGAACTCACTTGCAAGAAACCCTCCTGTTTGTCGCTCATGTCGAAGAACGGTTTTAGTTTAGACAAGACTCCCACGATTGTGTATCGATCCATGTAGTTTAGGAGATTCACAAGCAGCAGAATCATACATGCCATCCATTTTTTCTTTCTGTTGTCGTCAAGAGCAGGGCTAACTGCAAGAAGATCAGGATTTTATCGATTTTGTCTCAGCTGATCACCTTCCCGACTTGACTCCTCAATTTCATTGGGCATCCGATAATTTTTAAGCTGTCGAAACAACTGAAAATTGAAGATTTGTTCATTTCAAGTCTAGTTTTTCAATGTTGAATGTTCAATGAGTCATGAAAATTATAATGGAAGTGAGCGCTGACAAACAATAGTGCAAGCGTGCTCTGTCGCACCCATTTGAATTTGGCGGGAAAACGAGGTGAAGCGTTGCGGTCGCGACGCGGTCGGACATTTTCGAAACGCTGTCGTTGTCACATTCACGACTGCTCTTTTTTGGAGCTGATTTCTCACCTTTTTCTCGTATAATTTCGAAAATCTCATGGTTTCAAAATATTTTGGGCGAAAGAATTGTGTAATCACTCGTCTTCTGCGGCTTCCACGTCATATTTAGGCACACGTTTTATTGGTCGTCGCTTAGCTCATTTGTCATCATATTTCTCATTCTTACTCACTTTCAGCGGAACAATCATGCCGCGCGAAGATCAAAAAGTCTATGTTGGCAATTTGCCAGGCGATGTTCGCGAGAAAGAAGTAGAGGACATCTTCCACAAGTACGGACGTATTAAGTACGTAGACATCAAGTCCGGACGCGGTCCTGCCTTCGCTTTCGTCGAGTTTGAAGACCACAGGTGAGTAAACCTTTAAGTGTTTTGATAATATTCAACATTTCTTGCAGAGATGCTGAGGACGCAGTTCGTGCTCGCGATGGTTACGAGTTTGACGGACGTCGTATTCGTGTCGAATTCACTCGTGGAGTCGGACCTCGTGGACCGGGTGGTCGTCCGCTCAATCAAGGAGGACATGGCGACTATCATGGTGGAAGTGGAGGTGGTGGCCGCGGTGGAGGAGGACGCGGGGGACCACAAAGAAGAACGGGATACCGCGTCATCGTTGAGGGTCTTCCACCAACTGGATCGTGGCAAGATTTGAAGGATCATATGCGTGAGGCCGGAGATGTCTGCTACGCTGATGTCGCTAGGGACGGAACCGGAGTCGTTGAGTTTACTCGCCACGAGGACGTCAAGTACGCTGTTCGCAAGCTGGACGACACCAAATTTAGATCTCATGAGGTAAGTTCATGAGTCCATTGCAACTAATTCTACGTTTTGTTTTTACAGGGAGAGACCGCCTACATTCGTGTTCGCGAAGACACATCCTCTGGATCGGGAGGAGGCAGCGGTGGTGGAGGAAGAGACCGCAGCCGCTCTCGTTCCCCGAGAGGCGAGCGTCGTGCTTCGCCGAAGTACTCGCCACGTCGTTCGCGTTCCCGCTCTCGCAGCCGTTCTCGTTCGCGCTCTCGCTCGGCTAGTCGCAGCCCATCTCGTTCCCCGTCTCCGCAGTAACTGCTGACCGATTCGGTTTCGGTACATCATGCAACAAACGGTAGCGTTTTGCAGTTTCAGTGTCTGACAAGCTCAATATCGGGGTAACCGTTTGAGTCTGTTTCGAACTTACATTGCTCTTATCGTTCCCACTTCCAATACCTACGTTCTCCTGTTCACATTTTATACCTTTCTTTTTTATCACACTTATGAGAAAAAAAAAGCTCTCTTTGTTTGGAAACTCTTACTATTTAAGCCCAATCCAGTATTCAATTCTTATATAATAATGATGTTGCTGTTGGAACCGAGAATAAAATGTTACGTTTCAGCCTCCACTCCGCAATTCAAACTATGGAGGATAGGAGGACTTGCTATCTGCTTATGCGGGGATCACTAGGACCAGGGAAAGGACCGCGGGGCGATCGATCAACGATCATTCAAAAGAGGGGAGAACGATCGATCAACGGTCAAACGAAACAAACTAGGAACCCGGAAAGGAATCGGGAAAGTTAACCCCGGGGTCACCCAGTGTGCTAGTAGATTAACGTCCCTCCTTTTGTTCATACCGTCTAATCCGCCATATTCAAGCATGTCGGATTTCATTTGAAATTCGGTGTGCTAACGAATCAGCCAGGTCAGTTTCGATACGGCACGTCATCGGTTGGGAGAAGTTACCAACACCGCCCAATAATTTTTTACACTTTAAGTAAATATAAAAATGTTAACACTTATTTTATAATCATTTATTACAAAATAACAATGAATAAACCAAAACAAACAACAGTCAATGAAGTGAGGGAGGGAACCATTAAAAGGAGAGGTCAAACACTCGTAACTTGGCATCGGTCGAGGCAACACCCAGTTTACGTCCGCTTTTAGAGAATCGTAGACGAAGAACGGCCGCATCAATTGGAATTGGATTGGCTCCGAACTTCTCCAACACTTTTAATTGACCTTCGCTCCATCGCAAAACAACGAGCTCTCCCGTCTGGAGTCCTGCCACGATGACGGGTCCGTTTGCCGCGACTGCGGTGACAGGCTCGTCGAGTTTGATGGTTCCCTTCTGCGAGGCTTCTCCGTTCTCTTCTTCCCAAACAATCACTTTCTGATCTCTGGAAGCAGTCACGAACTGTCGGTCATCCAACCAGTCGCACGCCCAAATGATTCTGGAATGCTGTTTCCCCGAAGTCCAGACGCACGAGTACTCGTATCCATCCACTGCAAAAAGGTGGTAAAATAGAGGCTTTGCGAAGTGTTCCCTGACCATTTCCCGTCTTTTCCTTGTAAATCTTTGCAGTTCTGTCTCGACTGACTGTCAAAAGGGAAGTTCCCGATGGGTTCCATGCGATTTGAGTGACTGTCAGCTGGTGGCCCACAATACTCGCCTTCTTCGACCAGTTCGTAGTGTTCCAGAGCATCACGACGGAGTGTTCCACGTGGCTTGACTTAAATAACATTTCCTCGAATCTGTTCCTACTCGCTTATTCTCACCTTGCAGGCTGTAGCGAGCACTTTCCCGGATGGATTAGCCGTCACTGCGTACACTTCGTATCCGTGTCCGTATAATTTGCTCTCCTCCGGCCAAAGAGTATTCTGCTGGAGAGTGTCTTCCGTCGGAGCAACTATAACAAAAGAAGATTGTCGAAAAGAGGAAGAATGCCCAGATCGTACATTTGAGAATAGTGGGTGCCGCCCGGAAAGCGTCCTCTTCCCAGTGTTCTCCGTCGACCGTTTCTCCCTCGATCATCGGTTTGTTCGACAGTCCGAGAGCCGGAACACATGCACCGAACTCTGCGAGCGGACTATCTCCAAAGGATTGACTCGTCGGAACTCCGGTGATCGATTCGAGACTGGCCACAAAGGACTTTGGAGCACGGAAGACTCTGAACACTTTTTCCTCTGCGCCAGATACGAAAACGGACGGCGAAACGAGGGACAGACATTGCATGTCGTGTCCGTGCACTTGCGGACGAGCCACTTCCAGATAGACGCCCTGAAAATACTGTTGAAAAGAGGAAGCATAATCATTTTGAGTACCTGTTGCTGACTTTTCGCAAAGACTCTAGTCGTCTGATCTTGTCCAACAGAAGCCAGGAACGATGATTCTTCTCCGTCGGCACTCTTCTGCCAATCTACGTCACGCACTTCTCCCACGTGTCCTCCGGTCATCGGAAGTGCCGTCCAGAACGTCTTCTGCTCGTCAGAGGACTTCCAAGCGTGCAAACCTCCAAAATACGAACTGCTCACGACGAAATCGTTTTCTGGTTTCAAAAAGACAGCAGAAAAGAATCCGGCCGCTTGCCCGCCAACTATTCCCAATCGGACGTCGTCTCTCCACAGCTCGTCGAGTTCTCTCCAAATGATGCACGTTTTGTCACTGCTGGCGGTCAGAAGAGTCTTTCCGTCGTGGCTCCACGTGGTAGAGTGCACCCAGTCGTCGTGGCCTTGCATGACTGCGTGAGAAGAACATCGGAAAGCAGAGTCGCGGAGGGAAAAACGGTTAGCGGAAGACGTCAGCTCATCAGGTATGTCTTCTGATTGTTTCTCGTCAATTTCCGTCTCCGGCTCAATTGACCACAGTCTCACATAAGTGTCTTGTCCAGCGGAAGCCACCATAAGATGCGACGGATCGTCTGAATTCGAATAAATCTATTTTAATTAAACATTCAGTTTTTGGCGGAAACTGACCATTGAATGCGATAGAATGAATCCAGTCTGTATGTCCAGCGACTGAAATCAAACGAGAAAATGATTTTCTGTCTTCTGATTCTCCGAATAACTCCACAAATCGTTTTGAGGTTCCAACGGCGAGAAGCACGGCGTTCGGAAGGGAAATGGCATCAAGACAGAGGGCGAACGCTTTCTGATCCAAATGAATGGCTGCGGAGTGCGACAGTTCTCCGGAAGACGACGTCCACCATGCTTGGAACCCGTTTGCTGATTCCGAAACCTAGAAAGGATATAGTAGGTTTTGGGAGACGTCTATTACTCACCCAGGCAGCCGCAATGATCTGTCGTTCATCTTCGACGCATCCGCACACACTTCCGACGCTTCCAGCACACCCGGAGAGGTCTGCCACGTACTCGACACGTTCATGAGATAGTTTCCAGATCACAACACGAGAATCGACACTTCCCGTTACGAAATGATCAGCGTTCTCTCCGGATTTCAGCCGCTTCAGCACTGTGATCGGTTTTTGATGGCGGCGTTCCGAAAGGCTCTTGATAATACCAACTTCGCTTTCCGTCTGCAAGAAACAGTTGTTTTATTCGAAAAATATTGAAATTTTACATTTGGAATTGTTTGAACGGCAATTTGAAGCGCGGAAGCGTAGACGACCAGAGGTTTCGATTTGCACGCCGTCAGGCAGTGGGATCTCGGGTTGACACTTGCTGATATGAACTCTTCCGTGATGCTCATAGTGATCTGAAAATAATGTTATTAGATGATTGTATTTCAAGCATAAAATACAAAAAAAAGTAAATTCTTTGTGAGGGCCTAGTTTTAACTTTGAAAGTTTCTCGTCCCCGCGGACTAGTGGCCGTGGCCGAGAATTCAGGCTGAGACCAAACATCGCTTGCTGATACGGCTGGTTTAGCACAGGTTTTCACTCGTTTTCCGCGCGGAAACCGTTTTATATTTCATTGAAAGCCTTCTCGCCCAGTCTATATCTGAAATACTTTTTGTTTCAGATAAAATGACTCAAGCGCCGTCAGATACGAGCGACCATCAACGGTTCGACGAGATGCTTCTTCATCTGGAGCCCAGAGGAGCTCGTGTTCCATACAATGTCGTCTACGATCAAGACAGTAACATCTGGGTGAGTTAACGATAAAAAGAGTAATATCGAAAAACCTGGGAGCCTTGCAGGTAGCTTCGAAAGGAGGCCTGTTCAAATTCGACGGAAAGTCGCTTCGAACACTTTTCGAGGACAAAAAGTTCTTCAAAAAACAAGCTCCATTCCCACAAGTTCTTGCGTACAAAGATAGAGTGAGTGTAGATTCGCTGTTTCCGCAATTGCTCTCGTCTCTTCAGATAATATACACATCGGCCGAGCACTCCGACCAAACGACGATTCTGAAGGTTATTTCGCTTAACGGAGACGTCGTTCACGAGTCATTCATCGACGGATTATGTAAGTTATCATAATTTGTGTATTTTACACGTTTCATGAAAGCTTTGCAGTGATTTCCATGACAATAACGGACGACGGCGACATGTACATTGTGAAATCAGCCGCTGGGCACGGAAAGAACTCCATTCTCACGTAAACATTTGTCCTATTTGACTCCACTTCTAAGGCCTTTATAAAAATTAAAAGACTTTTGAAACAGGGGAAAACTGTTCGTCGGAAGTTCACGTGTTCATTTCTCAATTTCTCCGTCACAACTATTTTCCTTTTAGAAATGAAAGTGGGGACGGACAAATAGAAATAAACAAAGAGACAAACAAACAAACAGAGGGACAAACCCGTGAAGAGTTATATTAATAAGAATGATTATAGAACGCATTTGGACTGTCCTATTGGCTGGGACCTTGTTATCGAAACAAAGCCTGGAGAGGCTTTCTCACGAATTTGTGCCCTCGACGAAAAAACGCTTGTTTCTGTTATTACGGACTTCCCAATGAATCCTTATTCAAAGTGAGTTCGTACTTCATTCGGTTTTTCAGTAGTGTATTTTTCAGACAGAGAATAGCCGTTTACGATTTAGAGACGAAGGAAGTGATGGCGACGGGGGCAGAAATGGGAAAAGAGTCGGGACAGATATACTTCCCTCGTTTCATTAAAAAGCACGGAGAAGGATTCATTCTTAACGATAGATCCGGAAGATTCTCAGAGTTTACCAGAGACGGAAAGTTCGTGGCGATTCGAGCAGAAGTGGACGCGTATTTGTCAGAAGGATTCGATGTAAAAGATGGCGAGGCGCTGATGGTTCTGACCGGAATGGTACTCGATCCGAATCAGCAACTCATTACGGACGATTGGCTCGAAACGATCAAGCTGGACGGATCCTCGTGGAAGGCTGAGAGAGCCAAGAAAAAAAGGGAAATGGAAGCAGAAGCCAATAAAGTGTAGAAATAGATATTTTCAAACGTTTCCCATTCATTCTCAGTCACGTTTCACTTCGTTCATTCCGATAGCTTTCAAATGAAAAACTGTGATTTCGCTCGTTTCCCTTTTATCGTTTATTTTGCTCAATATAAGATGCTTAGCTCAAGACTCAAAATCTTCATCCTCATTAGCTCGCCCTCAATATATTTACTGCTCGAAAGGAAAGACAATTCGAGGAACGAACGGCTACAGTGGTGTCTGACGAAAATGTGTTTGCACTGATTGTTTGGCACGATGACAAACCATAAATATCTCTCTTAATCTTTATTATTATTCCGAGAAAACTTTTTGGAACTAGGGCCCGGGCCGAGCTATCTGAGTACTTGTTCATTTCTTATTTTCGCCGCCACTACTATTTCCGTTTTAGAAATGAAACCGGACAAAGAAAGAAAAACGTAAGGTTTTTATTCAATAAAAATGATCACTTTACGTTCCCTTGTCTTCTTCCTCTTCTTCTTCTTCATCGGAGGAGTCCATTGTCTTGCCTTCCTCTTCGTACAATTTCAGAAGTGTTCTCTCTTTTTGCTTCCGTTCCTCAGTCACCTTCTCCAACTTTTCCATCATTTTCGTCAATTGAATTCTGAAAGGAATCCTTTTGTATTCACTTCCAAACACACAATTTCCTTACTCTTCTCTCTTCGAAAAGTTTTTATTCTCATCTATTTCCTTCTGTTTCTCCGCAATCAATCGGTCCATTTCCGCAATTTCCTTTTGGAAGTCCTTGACTTTCGACTCGAAATTCGCATACCTGACGACGTCATGATCAAAATACGCAATTATTCACCGAAAACGCTCAAAATCACTCAATTATTCTTGTTTTTGTGCGGCGGGGCCAAAGTGAGAAAGGACTGACTTTCCGATGAAGTTTTGAATGGTTTCCGCGTGGCTCTTCACTTTCTCCGACTTCTCGAGCGTCTCTTCCAACTGAGCACGCTTCTCGGCGATACGAGCATCCACTTCAGACAGGTAGAAATCAATCGCATTCGGAGTTGTCATGGCGGTTGGCGAGGGGAAAATGAGAGGGGAAAGGGAGAGAAAGAGCAGGAGGATTCATGGCTCAATGAGCATTCAGAAGGGTACGGAGTGACCTCGACGGAGCACAACACCTGAGATGCTCCTTGTTTTGAACAGAAGCGGAATACGAACCCGAATTCACTGGTTGCACGGCTTACATTTGAAAATTGGCCTCTTCGGAATACCATGAGAATCTCGAGCCCGTCAACCCTTTCCAACACAAAAATTTTAACTGATTCCATTTTTATTTATTGAGAAACAAGAGAGAAACATGAAAAGAAGAGAGATCGCGAAATATTTGATTCACACCACGAACTAAAGTCATCCGAGAGAGCGCCATTTATTACTTTCCGGCCCACGCGTAGAACTGCTTCCTCTTTTCCATCGACGGTCCTTGCTGCTGTTCAGCGGCGGCGGCGGCGGTGGCGGCGTCTTCGAAGAAGTGAACCGGAGCGGACGATCGCTTTCCAGCCCATGCGTAGAATCTGAAAGCAGAACGGGAGCATTCTGGCAAGTCATCGAAAAGAGAAAGGAAAGGGAAGGCAGACGGCCATAACTCAACGTTCTTTTCATTTGTGCCCCCGACTCAGATGTAGAGGACACAAATTGGATTCGTTTGTCAATGGAAACATCGAAAAGAGAGTACAGTAGTCACGGGGGACCCCCCTGGACGGACCCAATCACTCACTGCTTCCTCTTGTTCCTCATTCCCTCCTCGGATTCGATGGAAGCTCCCCTCTTCGCGTCCTCCCAAGAGTAGAATCTTTTGTACGCCTGCAAGTTTGACCCGGTTCTGATCCGAAAACTCGAATTTCGTGCACTTCGGAAACCTGACACCCCCCCCCAGCCTTCCGTTTTCACCTTTTCGAGGTGGTGTGCATAAACATCATCATCAAAAAGCAAGAAAGGAAAAGAGGAGTCCGGTTGCAGAAATATTCGGAGAGATTTGCTGCCTACTCTCTAATAATTCATTATGGGAATCTGGGCTATCAGAGAAGCAGCGAGAAACAATTCGCGGGGGTCGGGTGATCGGATGAACTCACGGAGATGGGAGCCTCGAGCTCATACGGAGACTGTGGCTTGCCGGAAACGGACACGACGACAAGAAGAGCTGCGAAAAGGCAGAGAGCCGATGGAGCCAGCGACATGATTCGGAGCCCGGCGATTCGAAAAATGAGTAGCAGCTGAAAAGACTATTCGATTCGGGCCCTGCTCCGCTCAAAGGAAGACTCCGCCCACTTCGAACAAAGCCACGCCCTTTTTTTGGAAAGGAACGTGGGTGGGGTGTGGAAATGAGAGAGATGGTAACCAGGGAGAGACGGAGGCAAATAGAGTGATGACGTCAAGGAGGAAGAAAGAGAAAGACAGTTTGAAATATTCAGGAGGTAAGGCAGAAGCCAAGAAGTCGGAAGGGAAGCGGAAATGGGATTAGAGAGCTATCTCGGATTCATTTGCAGACCAAATTATGAGAAAAAGGGAGCAAATTTACAAAGTTTTGGTAATTTGGTGGGAAGGGAAAGTGATGAGTGCATTATTCATTCGGAGAACAACACCAATGAGCCGGAGCAGTTTCACATTTCATATTGCATGGAACCTCTTCATCTCGCAGAGCACAGTCATACTCTGACGACTCCAGAAGCTTCGGAAGTCTCCGTCTGGTCGACTCCAGTTAACGTCTTCTGATTTATTTGTCACACGACCTCCTCGTTGGCCGCGCCGTCATTTTCCCATTAGCTGCTGCTGATTTACGAGTTCCGGCCGTCCGCTTCTTTTTTTGTAAATATGGTTCAGCTACATTACACACTTCCGAGAACAGCTTCTTTTTGTTCGAAGCTGAAAGCCTTCTCTTTCAGCAGTCCTCTTTGTTTGCGAGCGGGACAAACTGACGGATAACAACTTTAATTCCAATCCATTTTATTGGTTGAGCAATGCGCAAAACGAGCAAAAGTGAGAATGACGGAAGATGTCGAGGATAAATTAAAAGTCGTAAAAGTGACGGGGACAAACCGTTAAAGTGTGCGGCGGAAAATGAAATTGCGCAGGAACCGCCACAGACGTTCGTGCAGCATTGCAGGGTTTTTCGAGATGGACACGTCGACGCACATCGAGATGCCGGCCGATTGACGGCAGACCTGGAAGAGGAGGAGAATCTTCGAGGAGATTGAGAAGGGGACAAACCTGCTGGAAGGGACACTGCGCATTCGTGGTGCACATCTGATTGAGCCGAGGATCGGACGTCGGCGAGGGTCGGCAGACGAACTTTCGTTGGTTTCCGTCAACAAGAGTGCACTTCTCGCCGCCTGAGCACTCGTAATCGTAAAAGCATTGGATGGATCCGAGAGTGGCCGAGATGTCTGATTCGCAAGTCGCCAAATCTTTGCTCTTCGCCGTACACCTCTGCAAAGTGAGATGAGTAATGTTTAGTGCAGCAATCAAAGAGAGTGTGAAAATGGCGCCGGAAGCGGACGCATTGATTTTTTCCGAGCACGTACACGTGGGCATGACACGTCCCCGAGTCGCAAAACTTGGACGGAATGTACTTACTTGACCGGATAAGCAGTCCGAATGATAAATGCATTGACGGTGTTTCTTGAGAATGTCGTAGCGACAAACCGTAACATTTCTGTCGACAAACCGAATTCGACCGGAACAGCTCTCTCCCATCCGACACTGAAATGAACACCTTCTCTCTTCCAACTGCCTCACATTGTGCTCACATGATAATCGTACTGGCAGACAGTTGCCATCGGATCGATCGGTTCGTCCTCTTCCATCCCTCCAACCACTTTTTCTTCTTCTTCTTTTTCTTCTTCTTCTTCCTTCCGTTCCTCCTTCACAATCACCTTCGTCACTTTCACTGCTTCTCCGTCGTGTTGTCCGGCGACTTCGTCAGCAGGACTTTCCATCATTTTCATGTAGATCGGAGGAGTAGGCCCATTTGTTTTATCCGCTCTTTTCTCTGAAAGTTTGATTTTTAGCTGCGGATGCGGATGCCATTGCAAAGGGCACTTACGGAGGGAAGAGGTCAAAAGAGTTCCGGGGCTCTCGAAAACTGCTTCCGATTCTGCGAAAACTCCATTAGCTTCTGAAGGTGTGGATGTTGTGGTCCTTCTCGGAGCGGGAGTCGTCGAGGACACTTTCATTTCCATGGAAAGTTTGTGCTTGATAGGAATGACATAACCATCGGTCACAACGTCTGAAGAGCACATTCAGGAAGTGAGAGGGACTCACTATCAGTGGAAGAGTACCTCCATACTTGTAGCAAACCTTATCCTGCATAGCTGTACTGAAAACACAGAGATATTCGGTTGAAGGACATTCAGAATATGTCTCGCAACGGAGAGGAATCAAAGGTTTGATAGGGAACTGGAAAGAGGGAATTCTCAAATGTTCAGCTGCGCCAAGACTAACTCGACACATCATTTCCCCGAAGTAAAGTGTGCAAGCCAGTTCCTCATCACAATCCGCATCCCGCTCACATCCACTGTTCAACTTCCCTGGCTCTGGAGCACTTTTCGCAAAAATGTCATCGTTGAATTCTGAACGCGAGACTGATGTGAAACATTTATTGACACGGACATGTACAAGAGTGAAGAGAGACACGGACAAGTGCAGAGTCGATTAGCCGACAGTGATGCTGCTCGACGACGGATACCTGACCATACCCTGTCTGGCCGGAGACACGTAGCCTCCCGTCTGGATTTGGCAGCTTCCCACTCCGTTCGTAATCACACAAACTGATCCGGATTGGCAGTTGGCAGAAGTCTGGCATGCTCCGTTCCCACTCGGATATCCATTTCCTCCTCCTCCATTGCTACTCGACAAACAAATCTTTACGCCGTTCACGGAAGCGGTGCAGTAGAGTCCCGAGCGGCAGTCATTGTTCGTGATACAGTATCCGCCTTCGTCCTTTTGTGCTCCTCCGTTGCTTCCGCCTGGAGACACTCCTCCGCCTATCCCATTGTAGTTGTTGTTCGTGGACCCGCCCGGGTTGTAAGTGCCGCCGCCCGGCTGAAATTAAAAGTGAATCAAAGGAACCAGAAGTCTGGCAATCCCGCTCCACCGCTCTCCACGTGAGTTCTGTGCTAAATTGGGAATGGTCGCGGCCACGTGTGATTGCGGTACAGCGACATAGCCACATGAAAAGATATGCAAACCGTAAAGTGATATTACCTGTGTTCCTCCTCCAATCACATAAGAATCAACGAGCAGAGCAGCTGAACAGAGCACCACGAGAACCGGAATCATCGAGAGTGCGAGGGGTTTCTAACTGCCAAACTCTTTGCGGTTCCACCAATTTATATTTAGTGCTCCTAATGTTTGCCTTTCACACTTTTATTTTTCCAAGTGATAATTGAACTTTTAGTGAACTCGAAAACGCAAGAAATCAGCAGAAAAAAGTCAACATTCGAAGGAGAAAAACGCGGAAGAATGGGGGCAAACAGAAGGTATCGGTCATCCCCTTCTCACTCCAAAAAGTGTTTGTCTTCACCGTAAACGTTTATTTATGCAAATCAGTGGCCATTTTTGTGATTCATTCATTTCGCCTTCGGTTTCTTCTTCGAGGAGGCGCTCCGACTTTTGAGCGCCGTCGACGAACCGGCCTTCTTCATCGACTGTTTGCGCGCCTTTCTGGAATTTGGAAGATTCGGCCGTTTCGCGCCGTTGATTTCTCACCTGTTCTCGTTGTCTTCGCCGCCCCGAAGCACCGTCTCCAACGCCTTCACCGAAATGTTTCGGTTGTCGGCCGACTTCGCCTGCTGAACCATCTTCTCCACTCGTTTCTGCAACATTTCTTGTTCAAACACGCGGGAAAGTTCCAGACTGACCGTCTTGTTGGGCGCTTCCCTCGTCCCACTCGCAATCGTCGACACGCTGTTCTTCCGGCTGACCGCTCCTCTCGGTCTCTGTGTTCCCCAAAATGTGATGTATAGATTGGAATTGGCTAGATAATCGGCGACGTCTTTTGTGACCGGCTTGAATTGGAATGTCTCCTCGTGTCCGTAAGCAGGCGAATTCCCCGAGACTGTTGGAGTTTGAGTCATCTTTTTTGAGCCGAAAAATCGGTATTTGCAGCTGGACTTGAGGATTCTTCTCGGCAGACCGACCGCCGATATCACTTTCACTTTGAATGCAATGTTCTTCCCGACAAGTTGGTTCGGATTCTCCACGTATTCCCCTCGCAGCTCTTTCCCGGTTGTCGAGCACGGAGAGAGCCCGACAGTCAGCAGTCCCATCTCTTGTCCGGAGAGGTCGACGATCGGGAACTGCTCTTCCACGTCAATGAGATACGCGAGACTTTGAAGGAAAACGACGGAGGAGGCGATGAAGACGGGCGAATCGGGCGGTTCGTAGAAGGGGTCTCTCTCCTTCGGCATGTTCCACTCTTCGCTTCCGTCCTGCTTCGCCTCGTACATCTCCTGCATCCCGTAGTACCTGTTCATGAATCTCGACTTCTCCCAAAGAAAGTACGTGTCTTCGGAGACGTTGTGAACTTTAATCCAGATCTGAATAATACAAAACGAGTCATTTGAAGGGGAAACTTGATGTCATCCACCTCGGTCAGCCCACTTGTCAACCCGCGCATCTCCGGTGACACCAACACGATTTCGAATTTCACATTTCGTCTGCAAAGGCGTATTCACGTATTCAAATACTACTTTAGTTTAGTTTAGCAGGTCAAACACCTTGACTTACCCCAATTCGGCGGCCATCGCATTGGCTCTCTGGACCAGCGGGAGCGTCGACATGAGCTCTTCCTCGAGTATCAGGTCTCCTGAGAACAGAGGATTAATCTGAGTGCATCATGAACAAGGACTCACTCTTGGATCCTCCCCCGATCGTCCGATTTCCAAGAGCCGCCGCATGATTCTGTGCTATTTCCGCCTGTGCCGTGTCATAAGTGATATCAGTTTTCACTCCCTTCTTCGTCGGATTATTGAAAACATAAAGATGGTTGCCACCGAAGAAGACGCGATCATTTTGCTGCAATTGGGTCTCTCCATGCACCGGTTTTCCGTTAACAAAGATATCGAGGTCCTGAAAACACGAAATGAGTTGGAAAGAAAGGGATTCTACAATACATCTGAACAGGGCGACAGAGTGATTGTGTTGTTGTTCTCATTTCTCAGAATGACGTGTTGGGGAAGAATTGACAGACCGCTCATCTGAATGAAGTTTCCAGAAGTCGTCGGCTTGTTACCTGAAACTTATCTCGTTTTTTCTTTGCTTTCTTCCCAATCTCAACCAACCAACTACAGTCTCTCCGGCGGGAATGAAGTGCACAATGACATTCGTGAGTGCCGGATCCTCGTTCAGATTCCACAGATGGCACATCTTCTTCTTCTTCGTCTCCATCTCCGCCTTCTCGCTGGCGCCTCCCGCGTGCTTAGCCGCTTCTTCCGCAATCTTCTGCTGCCAACTCTTCTCCATTTCTTCCATCTCCTTCTGATTCTCCGCCAACTGCCTCCTCAGTTTCTCGATTTCCTCGTTGCTCGCGTCCCCAGCTGTCCCTCCTTGAATCTGGCCCTGCAGTCGGAGGTTCTCTTCTCTCAGCTCTCGTAGCGCCTTTTCCGTCTGATTCTCATTTACAACCGCGTTGGTTTGGATCGATTTGGCACGATCGGCGAATCTGAGTGTGGAGAGCGTTTCTTCAAAATTGATGTCGGCGGGCGAAATGGCAGCAATCTGAACGTTCTTTCCAGTTTTCTCAATTTCTTCTCACTTACCAAAAGTGTTTTACTGTTTCCTCCTAACGCATTCTTCAAAAGACAGGTCAGCACGGAGTCCCTGTACGGTATTTGCATTTTCTTCCCGCCCTTTGACTTCTGCGAGTCATGCAGCGCCTTTATGACTCTTCCGAGTGTCGTCAGGGACTGATTGATGACGATGCCCTCTTTGAGCCGATCCCCTTCCGTCCCCGCGGCCGATTGCCTCTCACTTCCGGCCAAATCAACCAGGTTTATCTCGCTCTTTTTCATCGAAGCCCCTCCAGCCTGCTTGCTCGACTTTTGGTTGAATGTGATCTTCACAATTGTGTGTGCTCTGAATACATTCCTGCTCGCTTCTGCTCTTTCTCTTCTGAATATCTCACCTGCTACTCGTCGCGTTCATCTGAGTCGCCGCAATCGTTCGGTTTTTCGTTCCCTCCTCAATCTTTGCTTCGATTTCTTTGAAGCTGTTCACTGGCACAGTCGTCAAGTTCTCCACGTAGAAGCCGTTCTTCGGATGCTCTCTTACTTTGAGCCCTCCTTTCGGCGGCGGAGTTGTGCTCAGCAGATCTCGGACTTTCTCGCAGTAGATCTCCATCATCGAAACGAACACTTCGAATTGCATATTCTTCTTTTTGTTCTCCGCAATCTGCTTGAATAGCTCCTCGCAGACGATTGGCACAATTCCTTTATTATTCTTGAATCCAACAATCGAATAACTCTTTCCACTTCCAGTCTGTCCGTAGGCGAACAGTGAACAATTGTATCCCGCCCATGCATTCGCCAGAACTCCTCTTCCAAGGTCTTCGAAGACTCGTTTCTGAAAATGAACCAACTGAATGAGTGACAATAATCCTCCCAAGCTGTCTCTCTATCCCGTCACACTCTCCACCTGATCAGCGTAATGAGGGTCAGTCGGTTCGAAGTATCCATTCTTTTTCTCGTCGAATCCATCATGAGACCAGTAGGAATGATCATAAGTGAATCGTTTCTCGTCGCCCGTTTTCGGATCCCGGATTACTGTAGTCTGCTCGTCAGGCATCTCAATCACCAGTTTACAATTCCTCGTTTTCTCCCGATCATTGAACGGCCGAACTCTGACGGCCACCACAATCGAATCGCCGCCTTTTGCCATTCTGAAATGGAGTACTATGAAAAGAATGTAAGAAAGGAAAAAGAATGATGAAATCGAGAATGTGGAAAAGCCGAGAGTGTAGTAAAGCGTGGAGAAGGAGCCGTCCGTCGAAGAGGGACCGAGTTGCCACGCGCAGTCGCCTGGCGACGTGCGGAAGGGGTCACTGCGTCGGTGTTTGGTGGTCCCTCAAAGGCTAAAGATTTCACGTTTCAACGAGAAAGTTTACGAATTCTTAGTGGTCAGACGCTTTTCTACTATGAAAGTCATCTTTGTTGGAAACAAAAGGTCATTCCTTTATTTGATGCGAATAAGAATCAAAATGATAAAGAAAAGAGGGACACACGATGAAATACACACTGATTGCAGCTTAAACAAAAAAGGGAAAAGATGGGAAATGGGAGACGAAAGGGTGTTTTGCAGAGAGAAACGTTAGACTTTTGGGCGGACGTTTGTACCGGTAGACAAGTTATTAAATGCGATGAGGGGGGTGATAGGAAAGGAGCACAAATTGAGCTAGGTGTGAGGGAGAGAAAGAGGAAGGAGCAGGGCGCATTGGGCGGGGGAGATGCTCGCGGAGCATCATTTCAATTGTAACCTAAAAGGGAACGGGGAACTCTGAATTTCAAGGAATTGGCATTGTGAGGAGAGTAAAATACTACATTTTAATCGAGACTGGCGGGCATCAACATTCCGGTCGGGTCTCCAGAAGTTCGCTGCTTCTGCTTCTTATCCTTCATCCGACGGTTCTGAAAACACTTGGATAGATTCACATCAATCAATAATAAACGGTGTACCTGGAACCAAATCTTGACTTGTCTCTCGGTCAGATGCAGGTACTTGGCCAGTTCCCATCGCTTCTGCTTGCTCACGTAGGTGTTGTACAGAAATTCCTTCTCGAGTTCCAACGTCTGCGCTTTCGTGTACGGCTTTCTCTTTTTGCGCATCGAGTGGCTGGACGACGTCCATTCCAGTTGACCGCCATCTGAAAATGAAAGTTAGATGGTGATTGCGGCAGAAGTGATCAACGTCCAACTTACCGCTCAAATTCACGTCGAGATTCGGCATCGAGTAGTTGGCGGCGAACGGATACTGCTGTCCGTATGGATATCCCCACGTGGAAGCCGCCAAACTGTTCTGGTAAAAGTCCGAGTACATCGGGTTGTTGACCATCATTTCGAAGCCATTGGTAGCAGGGAACCGGCCCGCATTGAATGGATACATGCCGGCGGCGGCTGCGGGCATCGACATACCACTGCTGGAAATGCGGAAATCAGAAGAATTCTAGGGAAAAGATTCGTGCACGAACCTCGTTGGGAGTGGCGGTAATTGGGGACTAGCGGCGGTGTCGGAGCCTCTCTCCGAATGATTGTCCGCCTGGTTCCTTGAAAGATTGTTCGAAGCCGAACTGCTTGATCCACTCGACGTCCCGGAAGAGCCGGATGCGGATTGCAGTTGGGCCACACTCGGCCAGAAGCAGGCGGAAGACGTCTGCTGCATGGCCACCGCCGCCGCCGCTGCAGAAGAAGATGTCGGCGCCGGAGAATCGGACCGTTTGACGAAGCCGAGGGGAGAATCGGAGGACTTGAAGACGTTCACGTTGGACGGCGAGCCATCTGGAGAATCGGAGCGCTTGATGAAGGCGGGCGGCATGTTCGGATTGTTCATCATTTGTTGCATCACCGAAATCATCACATTCGATGGAGCTGGGGAGGCTGACGACGAAGAAGAAGATGTGGCAAGCCTGCAAGAAAAGCACAATTTTTGGGGTGTCTTGGCAACGGGAAGAAACGCGGAAACGGTACGAAACGGTTCGAAAATGGAATGGTTAGAAAACGGTATGGCAAGGCCCAAAAGTGGTGCTTTTCTCTGTGGCTTTGCGACGGATTTTCGTTTGGCGGAAGGCGACGACGAAGAAGGAAGCACACGTGGGTGGAACGGCAACACACAAACGGACAGAGAAACGAACAACTTTATGGGTGCCTTGCCAAAGAAAAATTCAGTCATGGGTGAGGGGGGAAGGGGCCACAGACCACAGAAGGATTCGCGAAGGGAACGGTTGGGGACAGAAGACAATGGTGGGGGACGAAATGAATGGGGATGAACGGTGTCTAGGTACCGGTGGAGAGGAAGAGCGTGCTGCCGGAAAGGGCGTTGCACACTGCACCCTGTGCAGAGAAGAAGAGATAAAAAAGAGAGAGAGAGAGAGAGAGAGAGAGAGAGAGAGAAAATCGGAGGAAAAGTTAGAAAATGGTGAGAGGGGAAGGGAAACACTCAGAAAACAACAGGAATTAGAAATGTAAAGAATCGGGCGTCGAATGGAATTAGCTGCTAATTAATCAATCGTTCAAGACACGGGGTAACGGGAGCGCCGTGGGGGAACGGTCCCGCGACTCGTTGTCTGAGCTTTTTGTCCTTCATCCGACGGTTCTGAAATGAAAGTAGGTGCGAAAAGAGGGTTAGGTTAGGGTGGTAGTGGCAGGATTACGGCAGGATCTCCGTAATTCTGCCCAAAAATGAACTCACCTGGAACCAGACCTTGACTTGCTTCTCGTCGAGCACCAGTTGCTGCGCCAACTCTGCCCGTCTCTTGTTGTTGAGGTACGGATTGACCGAGTATTCGTACTCGAGACGCGAGATTTGATCCTTCTTGTACGGCTGTCTCTTCTTCTTGCCCTCCGAGTGCGAGTGAGTCCACGGAAGGGAGGCGGTCGCAGTCGGTGTGCTCGCAGCACTGCTTCCGGCTGTCGTCGGAACGGTCACATCTGAAACTGAAGGATTCGGCGGAAAGGCAAGAGGTACTGTAGCCGAGGGTACGACAGAAGGAAGCGAGCAATTAGCGACGACAGACCGAGCAGGTGCCTTCCGTCTTCTTCTTTCCTTCTCCGCACCCGGTCCAGTCGTAAAAGTGGCGTGTTTTGGGAGGGTCTGGAGGCAGAAAGAGAGAGCGGGACGCACATGCCGGTCCCTTTCAACTCTAATTAATTGGAGGAGTCGCCAGACGCTTGAGAGATTACGATAAAAGTGGGCGGAGTTTCGGAGAGCTTCAAACTTTGTGTACGCGCTCTAACGGTCCAACTAGATCCATAATGGGTAGACGCGGAAATCGTAAGATCGGAAGAGTCTCTGAAAAGATCCAAAGTCAGCCTAAGAGCCAGGTCCGTCTTCCGATCCCTCAATCTTTCGGATCTCTTCGGCATCCGTATCCGATTCAAAATTCGCACGCACATCTGTTTTGTGCAGTGTGTCTTCTGCTGTCGTCGCACACTTCGCCGATGCAACCACACGATGATTTTATGGGCGTCCCTGATCCACAGACCAGGTGTCAGCTCCACGATTACGCGAATGTTTTGCACCTAATACCAGTTTATTGATACGAGAGCATGCCACGTCTTGTTCCCTAATCCGTGCGTGCAAATGAATGAATACAACAATGATATACGATGATCCCGGTGCTGGAGCGCGACGGAAAAGGATGTGCTGGCAGGAGAAGTTTACTCCATTTTTACGATTTATTGATTCTGCTGATTCAGAAGACTCCACTGTTTGCTCTCCTCTCACTTCTTGTCCTCTTCTTTTTCAGGAACTCTTCCGACCTCTTTTTCATGATTTGCATCGATTTGTTTCGATTTGAATTCAAAATGAATACGGTAACTTATCTCGTCAGAAAATCAAAGAAGAAGAGGTGGAAGTGGAGGAGAGAAAGAACAAGAAGAAGAAGAAGAAGGCGAGTGGCAGCCGTCGACTATAAAAAAAGACATAAAATTCAAGACACAGAGGAAGGGACCTCCGTCGCCGACCGCCACGGCAGGCGGCGACACTTTGAACTTGGAAGCGAACAACTTTGCCGAAAGAATCGGATGAAGAAGTGAAGAAGATCACATCTGGCACCGGATTACGGTAGCTGTGGGACTCGGGCAGACGCCCAGACACTCAAAGAAGAATGAAATGAAAACTGAAACTGTCTTCGAGCATCTGGATAGCATGTAACTTTTCCGAAGCACAAGGTTGCCTTTCTTATCGCTGCTCTCTGCTCTCGCTCGCATCAGACTCCGTAATCCCCTTGGTTCGGCTCCGAACCGTCTGCCGCTCGTCGGAGGATCCCTCCGATGCTCCCCCTCAACTACCGTATCCACTTGCCCTTCTGCTAATTGAAATAGCTGGGTTCTGTGTGCCTTCGCTCTCCCATCGGGGGTTCTCCCTCGTGTTTTTAATCCGAAAATTCGCGCAGCAGTCGTCGCGACGCCAAAAAGAGTGCCTCTCTCTCTCTCTCTTCTCCAAACACGGGACGACGACGCTGAAGCGAAGCAGGCATGGAGTCGTAAAATGGAAGAGAGAAGAGGAGGAAGCGAGAGGAAACGGATCGGTTTGGCAGCCAATTTGTGAATGAGTGATATACGGAAGGCGAAGGCACAAGTTATCGCCCCGAAAAGTCAGCACGACGGGAGGAGGTGGGATATTGAGTTATTTTATGGGCCGCTGATTAGCTGTTCTTCGGGCGAGGTGATTTGTGAGAGACCTTCTGGAGAAGTCACCGTAGGGTGGGGGGCGGAAGCAGCGAACTTGTCAGCTATATTTGCAACAAAAATATATCAATTTCAGAGCGTCTCAGTCGGAAAAGAAGGATCAGTTTCCGTGCTTCTGCGAAGACGTCAATTCCCACCGCTGCCCATTACCGTATCATAAAACTGATGTAAAGTGTCAGCCACCACTAGTTCTGTTATCGATAAGTCTTGCCTTCCAAAAAAAGGCGAAGAGTGTGTCGTCAGTGTCAGATTGCGTATTGTCGCATGTTTATACACGACGACGACACACACAACTTGAAAGGGTCGCCGCTGGCGCCGCGAGTGAGTGCACCCACCCCAGATTACTGTATCAAAAGGCAGCAGCAGCAGCAATCGAAGAGTCAAAATGAAGATGATCGGAAGATAAAATGGGACAAAAAACGAGGGGGAGACTACTGTAGATCCCTCGTGACGTGGCGCATGATGACCGTATCACTATCGATCGATTCCCGATACTAATTGGGGGAGGCAAGAAAGGCGTAGCGGTGGAAACGAGGGAGAGAGACGAAATTTATGGTCGCCGAAGTAATTAATAATTTTATTATTGTTGTGCGTGCGGGGAGTGTGTATGAGCGCAAAAAGGAAGCCCGCCGCTTCGAAATCGGATAATTGACTGTCGCAGGAACGTGCTGATTGACTGGTCTGATCAGGGAGCACAGACTGAAATGGCGGCGAGATGAAAGCGAAGAAGTGATAGCGAGGAATGCGGAGGTGGGCGGGCAGACCTAGTACAAATGAGAGGACGGGAAACGGTGGAGGATCGACACGCAGATGATCATGAGGATCACTATGATTATGAACTGAGATTTAGGAGCACTTCCGCTTTTGCTGACTAACCTTTGAAGTCTCCTCCGTGCATTGACGGGTAGGCAGAAGCCGTGAAACCGTAGGCGGACGAGTACGGCCAAGAGGAGTACCCGGCGGCCAGACTGTTCTGGTAGAGGCTGTACTGCTGCTGAGCAGTGCTCGAAGAGAAGTCGAACATGTTCGCAGAGGGCTGGAGCTGGGTGGCGGTCGTCGAGGAGCCGAATTGTGGCGGGAGCTGGTACATCATCGGACTGGAAGGAATTTTAGATTAATTGAGCGTAGAGCAATGATTTTGAGTTGTAATAGAACTAACTTTGATTGAAATAGAACTGTGATGTATCTTATCATAGCCCGAACTTTATGTACATATTTCAAGTCACATTGGACGAAATGGTCATCGTACTTGAAGAAAGGAAAAACTTTATGTACTGCATTAGGCTTCCACGCCTCTCTGACTACAAACAATCACTAGATGAAGAAGTCTATGAAAATGTTCGAGCGCTTACTTGAATTGAAAGCTCGAGTCGGCGTTCATGGTGACGGTATGGGGCCACGCAGTCTGCGGCGTCGGAGAGGACGAGGAGTCGGAATGCGAATCGCTGTGGTTGAGCTCCTTCATCGGCTGATTCTGATCCCTCATTCGCCGCCCTGAAGAAAAGACTTAATCAATCAAAACAGTGGCAGCTCGTAAATCGACACGGAACGAAAAGGAGTCGTAAACTTGAGAGTTGATGTTTTGTGTTATTATTATTATTATTATTTCGTATTAATAACAACACTTAAAAAGAGTGGGCGGGCACGAGCGGGTCATAAATGAGAGCGGGAATATGGGGCAATAAAAGCCAAGAGGGTGTTGAAATATGTGTGGAAGCGGGCGGAGGCTGAGGGCACCGGCGGGTTCGAGGAGAAGTAATAAAGATTAAAGAGAGCACTTAAAAAGTTTTATAAAGCATTAAAAGGTGTTTTGGTTGTTAGAGAGGGACATTCGACCGGCGAAGAACATAGTGGAAAGGTGATGAGGAGGGCGGCGAAGGCGGGCACGCGACAAGCCCCGCCCACTTGGTACCGTAGCCGCCGACGAATTGGAGGCACGAAGCGGGACGGAAAGAGTACGGAGACCGAGAGGGACAGAGACGAAAATAATTCCGACTTGGTATGCTTTATCACAAATGTATTCTGATTCTGACACGGTGACATTACCGCGCCGAGCCGACACCACTTCTCGCTCTACAGATTCGAGCCCCCTCCCGGAGTGGTTCGGTGAGGGGCGAGGGCAGTCGAATCTTTGATTTTACGAGTCGGATTACCTTCTGGTTCCGATCGGCCGTAATATGCCTTTTAGTCGGAAGACAGAGGTCGTCGACGCTTTTTTGTTCATTCTATCCGATGTATAGTCATCCCGACCTCTTCCTTCTCCCTCTCATTTCTGATTTCGTAACAGTCACCCAATTTTCAAACAAAAGGTTTCGTGTTATTTGTTTTCTGCAGAATAAACCCATCCGCATGATCGTCATGATTCATCGAAATTAACAGTAATCGTCTCCCACTCAACTTATCTTCTCATTTCATAGAACATTCGAGGCGCCAGAAAAAGTTAGTGAAATGGAATTGTTTTCTAGGCTTGCTGATAATTTCTATTCGTTTTTTATCAGGCAATTCCACAAAAACGCATTAGGCCTTCGATTTATGATTATACGACACCCTAAAGTGTCTGAAAATGGACGATCGGATGGGACGAGACAGGCAGGAGACGAACTTCTCAGTGATTACGGGCCACGGAGCGGGACTTGAGTATGGGAATGCTCGACGAACTGCTCGGGTTGGACCTCGAGGTTTCACGGTTTATCACGGTTTATCACGGAGTAAAACGAGCTCAAACATTCCTAAGTGCGTGGGTCTCAGTCTTTTATGGGACTCTTTAGTTGATCGATGAATTGTCACTTCAAAAAGTATGGCTACATTTGCGCTCTATTGCGATTCTGGTTTATCAAGTCAGTGATCATTTTTGGGAACAGGGAATAAGCTAAATGTCTTATGCAGCCATTTGCAAGTTCTCAACGTGTTTCAGGAAAGTTCCAGAAAAGACCGCACCTCGCCCGCGATATTGTCCGTCTCTTGTTCATACACGAGACCCTACAAACATCGCTTATCAATCGGCAATAAAATTCAATTTTTGTGTGTCCCCAGCCGAGCGGTTCCCCTATCTCCCTCCTCTCATGGTCCTTTTTGTCGGTGTGGCTCGCCGACACAGATCGTAAAATGAGCACGTATAAAGATAAAGAAGGAGACATCACCATCATTGTCATCGCGGGCCTCCTCTTCGGTTCTGTTTGTGTTCGTTCAAAAAACTTGTGCCGTTTGGCGGCGCGATGGTGTCAAAGATTGACGGGAAGGTACGAAGATGCTCGTCGAGCATGATGAATTGTCTTTTCAGATGCGCGAGATTAGGGAGGACGGTCCCCGCGAGGAAGACAAAACACCTGGAGTGTGGGCGGTCTCTTTGGCTCGTGTTCACGCGGTTGTCATCAATTCCACGTGGCAAGGGATGTGGGATACTGGAGAGAATACAGTCAGAATACGTACGCACAAGGAGTCATACCGTAAATACTGTAATAGAAGGGCACTCCAAATACCGTTAATTCAAGACAATTTACTTCAGTTGCCTGTACGGATATAAAAAAGTGGTCAACAGAGAAAATGTGCAAAAGGTTTTAATAGACAATTTATTAGTGGACCACTTTTTGATATCTCCACCGGCAGCTTAGATATATTGTCTTGCAAGGCTGGTATTTAAGTGCCCTTCTATTGCACCATTTATGGTAAATGGAAATGCTCGGAAAACTGCTCGCATCGGAAAAATGTCGGTGGTATACATCGAAGGTCTTCAATCTTCAAAAAATGCACAATTTTTAACCACCCGAGAGAACTGCAGGAAAACTTTTGTCTGGGAAATATCATAGGGAACAAAACACCTATAATCGGATGAAAACACAGAAAACTTGGGGAGAAAGAGCGAAAGTAATTCGAATGTTCGTATCGAGAACGACTGCGAACATATCCATATCAATGATGGATGAGCGGTAATAAATGCCAAAAGAAGTGGTCCGTATCACACAAACTGGCTACTAGGTGATAATACCTACTACCAATATTGCGCCACTCGCACCACGACATCTGCGCGAGTTCCCAGAGAGCTGCTCCAGGAGCACAAGTTTGTCAAAGTTTTATACGTTTTTGAACAGCTCATTATCCCTCGCTGGGCGCGATAAATCGTCTCGCGAGCACCTCCACCTCGATCTTTTCCCCATAAATCTGCAAAGTGCGCGAAGTGGCTCCGCGCGACGGCTCTCCGTTTTCTACTAAATTCCGGTGATTTGTGACGAAATGCGGTTGAGGCGGTGACCCCGATTCGCCTTCTCCCGATTCATTTTTTGGGCCATAAAAATGGAAGAAACGGAGAGTACGGTAGAGCACATGATGATGTCGAAAAGAGAGAAATGGAGGTGGAGGAGAAGAGTTTATAGTCGTGTCGTCAAGTGTGCGAAACAACGGAAAACAGAAAACGGAGGATGGTTTCGAAGAAGAAGAAGCGGAGGCGGACTACGGTATAAAAGGAGAAGAGGGGGATCGAGAGCAGGGGAAGAAGAAGAAGAAGAAGGAGGCTATAAAAATGGACATAATTCGGAGACACTCTCGTCCATTTCATCGGAAGAAAGGACCGAAACGAGAGGGAGAAAAGGAGAATCACGGAGCAGAACGGGCGGTATGAAGGGTCAAGCTGAACGGAAAAAGGATGAAAAAGGAGCGGAGAGGAGGAAGAACATGTGTTGGCAGAAAGTGATGTCAGAGATTAGACTCTTGGGGGAGCCACGAAAAGAGAGCATCTTTACTTTAATTAAATTGAGTCCGGAGGTGAAGACCGAAAGCATGCCAATTCTGAATGAATGCCAATTCCAAAAGCACTTCAACTCTTTTGACGATCGAAAAATGGGCGGTATTAATGATTGAAAGTGAGGAATCTGAAGGACACCGACTGGCCTTCGATAAGATTACGGTAGCAATCACTCGCCCTCGTTTTCCTAGACGGTTAAAGATCTGAGGAGCGAGCGGATAACATGGGATTAGCTAATCCATTGACCACACAAGTGCCACGTGTGATCGATGACACCTTGTGTGCAAACATGCACCGCAAAAGGAGCCGACACCTTGTTCTGAACCCAGGTGACCCATCCTTTTCTTCCCAAAAGGCGCGGATTAGATGCCGAATTGCTAATGAGTTGTTAATGAAGGGATGTGTGCACTCACCGTTACGCTAACTTTGGAATCGCATCCGATGGCTACTGTATGCTTGATCCTTCTCCTTCAACTTCTTCAAACTCTCCTCCTCCTGACGACTACAGTATCCGACTGCATTCCGTGCCGTTGCTGTTTCCACGCTTTTATCATTTGGCTATTAAACGGCGTTAATGTTATTTTAAGATTACGAATGAGTGGTGGCCTCAATGATACTCGCTAACACGGACAGAGTCGACGAGGGAAGAGACTGAAAAACGGGCGAAAGAACTGGGAAGAATGGAGCGGAAAGCACGTTTTCAAAACAAATCAATAGAGGAGAAGAGTTGAAAATAAGAATGAAAAAGGGTAATGAGCATGCAGAAGGAGGGGTAAAACAAACAAAAGTTGGCATGATATATGGTCGCGGGAGGTTGTAAACTGGTTCGCGACAACGGCGGCGACTTCAAACGGACTCCACGCCGGTTATCAGCGGCAGGAGCAACCGGACGGAGGCAAAATAAGAGAGATGAAGATGGAGTCACTTCACGATATCGGCTTCCGATCAAGAGGAAATGACGAATCGAGGTGATGAAGCAAACGGAATCGATGAGAGGTGCTGGAAGTGTTCGCATCTGCTGAAGTTCTGATGAGCCTAAGCCTAAGGATCTTAACTACTTTTACCCCGGCTCCCTCTGCCACGTTATCAGGTCGGTCCACTCCATCCAGTTCCTTTCGTGCGTCCCTTGACCACCATCTGCATAAGCGTGTGTATGTGTGCTCAATTAAGTCGTTAAACTGGGACATCAACTCGCTGTTTCCGTCCCTTCACACCACGGGCCAGGGGGATCTTCTTCTTATTGGAAAACGAGACCGAAATCGAAATCATATCAGAGATGACAAAGCTATGACAAAGCGGCGATGGTCCGCCGAATTCTCTTTCAAGTTCGCCGCCTCCACTCATTCCGACAAACTTTTACGACTTTTTTATCAGGGAGCTCATTCGTCCCGACTCGGCTGTATGCATGCGGGCTGCGAAGAATGGAACTGAAGATATCGTAAGGGACTGGAATAAGGGAAAAAACAAAAGAGAGAGAGAGAGAGCGAAAGAAGTGAACACAAGAGAATCTATCATGCTCACCGGTTTCACAGACTAGAAATGGTGTTCCTTATCAACGTGAATACAATGCAACCAACAAAAACACTGTGAACCTCAGTCTATGATACTTGTCACATTGAGAGTCCTATCCAGATTCATTGCTTTTATCAGTTCGACAAACACCGTAACTGCCAAAATCCAGCGGTCACCTTGTTTTTGATGAATCACTCGTCCGTTTCGGCGGTTTCTTTCTGTTACGATGACTCAATCGGTCACTGATTTATGTGAGTTCGCATAGTATGCATGGAATGAACAAGTCGCTCTCCGGCCGACTTCTGAGTGTGCAACACGAGTTTATAGCGCCGGCATCCCTTTCTTCCCCGGGAGTTTATGATTGCAGCTGTGTGTAAACGAGGAAAGTTGCGCAAGGGATGTGACAGCAGCCGGACACAAGAGGTAACGTGTTCATTCGGGTGTGGACAGGTGATCGGAACACCCGAAAAGACTATAAAAACAGATGACTATCTGATTCTGCTCTTTTGAGGTGCCGGTTGCGTCGTCTGTAAAACATCTGGCACACGGGAGGAAGGGTATCAGATGCCGAGAGCAACTTTACGACGGGCAACAGATTGTGGAACAGATAGGCTGGATGTTGGACCCACGAATAGGAATGAAGAGAAAGAAGAGGAGGTGGCTAAGGAATTGAGAGGCATGCAGACGGAGGAGGGACCGTCTGGCGAGCGTCGGTTGGAGAGAAGCTTCTGACTAGGAATTGCTGAAGTCAAGTTATTTCTTTGGAACAAGACCTCTTCAATTTTAGTTCGTCAATTTTACAGCCGACCTCAGGGCTATCTTTTCCTAGTGAGCCTAGTCTTGTGCTAAATCTTCTAGAGGTGAAAACAATTTTGTTATCCAATCAGTGTCCAATCACGCGATTGGCAGGCTACTGTAGAAGTTACACAGCGACCATCCTACTGCTGAGGCAAATAATTTGGCGGGCAATACGAATAGTTGAATCTCAAGGGTTTCAGAGTTAACGTTCATCTAAAAATCGGATTGTAATACCTGACGAGCAGAGTATGTAGTCATTATTTGGGACTTCATGACAGAGATTGAATGCCTACAGTATTCCTCCGTTCGAACTGTGCCCGTTGCTATCCCATTTCTCAATCATAAAACGATTAAGAGATCCGTGCTCCGCTGACACTCTTGCTCCGCACCCTCCGCACGCAGGCAGGGCACGGTCCTCTGCAAGTTTATGGTTCATAAACCGGCGCTCTCTTGTTTCTTTTCCCATCGCTCATCGCTTTTCCGCTCTTTTCCGCGCCGGCTCTCCGCGCCCTCGCTCATTAACTGCTTGTTTGCATGTGTCGCCCGTGTCGGCTCACCCTCTGATGACTCTTTTTTTGCGGGCGGCTTGTTTCTTTTCGGAAACACGTGTAACACAGAAAAGCCGACAGGGAGGTCATAAAATACGAGGGGCGCAAACAAATTGGAGTAATTGTTCGCAGAGAAATGGTGACAAATGGAAGACGAAGGGACGTGGAATCTGAAGAAGTTGACGGCGACGAAGAAGAAGAAGATGAAGAGGAAGGAACCAGATTGAGAAGGGGTCAATAAAAGCGAATACCGTAATCCAATGGATACTCGGCTGTAAAAGCGGGTGCGGAAGCGAGAAAAGGGCGCGGGAGCGAAGAGGACGAAGGTCTCAAGATCATAAACCAATTGGGATTCATTCATTCATTATCAACAATATCATACAGCAAGGATGGGAGTCATCCGGAAAGAAAGGAAGGGATTTAACCGTTGAACGGGAAACTGTTAACTTGGAATGTGATGTGGAAGTTCGATGAACCGTTGGCTCCGTCCGAGTATTGCACTTTCGCGGTGCCAGGTGTCCGGCTGATCTGATTGGAAGTTCCAGAGACTCCAGCAGCTGCCGGATACGGAATTGACTGATTGTTGGCAACCGCGTAGTTGTTTTGTGCCTGAAGCGGAAGAGAACAGATTGTACGAGCATCTGAATCGAACTCACCACTTGACAGATCGGGTTCACTTGATCCTGGAACACTTGTCGAGCCTGTTGACCGTACTGAGCCTGCTGCGTTGGCTGAGTGTTCAAGTTGCAGTAGTTGTAGTTCTGCTGGCTCGTCGTGTCCCAGTTGGCGACCTGTCCCGTCTTCACAAAGTCTGACCACCTCTGGCCCATCTGATCGGCCACTTGCCGATCTTGAGCAGTGTAGTTGGAGTTGGTCCAGATTGTCTCCGACATTGTGATGAAGAACATGTCTTGTCCCTTGAACACAGCTGAAAAAACAATAGCTTGAATCTAAATCAAGAGGACCGAAAATACGTTTCCAATTGGATCCAGTATCTGGGACAGTGTTTCTTCCGACTTCCGACACATGAGTAAACTGATATATTCTGACGTGGCGGTCACCGTTTTGCATGTATGACTGGATTTGAGTAGTTGTGAGAGAAGTGGATTGATCCGAAGCGATCTCAAAGTTCGTTTGGATGATAATCACTGTAAAATGAATTGAATCTCACTTGAGTGATCGTTCTGAGCTGCGAGTAGTCAGTGATTCCATTGCCAAGTGTCTGCACTCCAGTAGTCGGCTGATCTCTTTGATACCCTCCGTTGTAGTTGTTGTTTCCGTTCGAGTACTGTGTCACATTCGTGTACATTCCACTGTTCTGGTACTGATTGTTCGTTTGTTGCGAGTTCTGCTGGTTCTGGTTCTGATAGACCGTTCCTCCGTAATTCATCTGATTCTGATTGCTTTGGTACTGGTTGTTCGTTTGAGAGGATCCTTGATTGTACTGCTGGTTGCTGTACTGGCCGCTCTGAGTTCCCTGGTTCGATTGCTGGCTGTTCTGATTCACTTGACCTCCATTGTACTGGTACTGGTTATTGTTGGCCTGAGATGACTGCGTGTTCTGATAAATTCCCTGGTTGTACTGCTGTTGCTGACTGTTCTGCTGGCTGTTCTGATAGGTGGTCTGTCCTGCGACGACTCCTCCAAAGTACTGCTGATTCGTCGTCGGATTTGCCTGGTACTGATTGTTTGTTTGCTGTCCTCCTTGGTCGTACTGATACTGGTTATTCGTTTGCTGACCTTGATTCGCCTGGTACTGATTGCTCGTCTGCTGTCCTCCACTCTGATACTGATTCTGGTTGTTAGACTGCTGCTGATTGCCCGTGCTCACTCCGTAGTTGCTCGAAATAATGTTCGACACCTGGCTCGTTTGCGTCTGATTCAACTTGTTCTTTTTCGCAAAATCGAATATCCAGTTGTCCAGATTGTTCGAATCGTCTCCCTTTCCGGTGTTGATCAGTTTGAACGCATAGTCGGCGTCCTCGTCCTGCACAGTTCCAATGATGATCGGGATATTCGGTCGTTTCGACGATAAACTGTCAATGGATCCCGGAAGGAATGACGTGTCCCTCACAATCATCCACGTGGCAGTCGCCCCATTCTGTTGATTCACGAAGAAGTCGACCGTGTAGTTCTTCATACAGTTCTGAATGTTCTGCGTCTGTCCATCATTCCATTGCGAGGGCGAGATGTTGCAGAGCGTGGCAGCCAACTGCTGGTTCGGATCGTCGTACTGAGCATTCGCAGAGTTGTAGGAACTGGTGGGAGTCGTCGATTGAGGCTGATAGCCGTATCCGTTCTGATATCCGGCATTGCCGTAACCGGTGTTCGCCTGATCGTACATTGGACGAGGCGTCGTCGTTTGAACGGAAGTGTTCGTGGGAACGGCAGGCGTCGGATTGTAACAGCTGTAGATGGATCCGCTCTGCACGATGGCCTGATTGAACAGATCTGAAGAGTTCGCAATGAGAAAGTAACGGGACGAGTACTCACTTTGACTCATCGGACTGAGAGTGTGGGCGGACACGGCACAGGCTCCGTCGTCTTGTCCGGCCACCGTTATCTGGTTCGGATTCCCTCCAAAGTTCACAATTTCCGTCTTGATCCATCTCATCGCTTGCACTTGGTCTAACATCCCCAAGTTGGACTGCACTGTGTTCGTGTAAGTTGTGAAGAATCCAAGTGCTCCGATTCGATACTGCAGGGTGACGACCACAATCTGTCGTTGGACCAAATTGGAAACTATTCCTTTTTCTTGACTTTGATCGCATCCTCCGTTCGTGAATCCGTTCGATCCGTCGATGATAACAAGAACGGAAAGATTGGCAGAAGTGTTACCAGCCTAAAGATCATCATCATCATCATTCTTACTATAATATATGGGATTGATCTCTTTTTTCGAATCTACCTGTGGAGTGTAAATATTGAGATACAGACAGTCTTCGTTCGTCGCAGTGCCCGCGTTGAGCTGTGGACACTTGGGTCGGAAATAGGTCGCATCGTGGAGAGTCGTGTTGAAAGTGGTCATCGGCTGAGGGGGCTGCAGACGGAGATTTCCGACGGGGGCCTGGCAGTACGGGATTCCGGAGAAGACGTTCGCCTGCCCATAATACAGTTGGGAATTGTCATTTCCTGAAAGTCAGAACATTTCATCACTATCATCAGGGGATGCTTACCCAAATCAACGGTCCTTCCTTGCACAGCACCCTGTGAACAGTTGACAGTCACATAGTTCTGCTGCTGCTGGGCGTCCAATAGAACAGTGGAGACGATGAGTAAAACGAGCCTCCGACACCACATCGCTCGGTCGAATGAATGAGAACTTCGGAGGAGCAATGGGTAGTAAGCTGAGCGCCAAACTTATCACTCTCGGACCGGTTACCAGTTATATTCGTTACTTTTTTCCATCTTTTCTCTGACTTTGGCATCCTATTTCGCACGAGTTGGCAAATAATTGGGAGGGGAGGGAATGGCTGACAACACAAAGTTTTAAAATGTTTTGTTTGTCTGGACGGGGGAGACGGTAGGAGAGAAGGAAGTGACAGCGGATAACTGACGAAGAAGAAGACGGAGAAGGAGAAGGCATGACTCATTGATCTCGGTGTGGTTCTTTCGATGATACTGTGCGTCCAAATAGTTTACTTTCATGAAAGCCCAAAAATGACGTCCCTCTCCAATCCTTTCCAAATCTCAAAAACTTTCAGTTGTTCTTTGATGACGAGCGTTTGAAAACATGATCAGAGTACAGTGTAGCAGATTGCCGACTGATAAGACAACATTGTTTCCTGCGGCCACCACACCGCGTCTTTGTTTTCATCATCTTTCCTTTCATTTGACTCTGTTTCCGACGAAATGAAAACGAAGAACGAGAGCATGCAACTTCCGATTCTCGTAGTGTCCAGTGGAGTTCTCCTGCCGGGAGCCAGTCAGAGAATTCCGATTAAAACTGCGTACAAGTGAGTAAAACTGTGAAATGAGTATTCTGTTTTCATAATGCCGCGTCCAAAGCTTTAAAAAATCCCACTTATTTTGCAGTCCAAAGTCGGCCGAAATTTCCTTGAAAAACGGGATGTGCCCAAGAAATTCGATTACCCAAGAACGTTCGTTCAGCTGTGCGCACCCCGTTTTTCAAGGAAATTTCGGCCGACTTTGGACAGCAAGAGCAGCGGAATTTTCGGTTTTTTTTAAACCTTTGGACGCGGCATTAAAACTCCCTACTTTTTCAGTATAAAAGCCATCGAAAAGCACATTTCTCGAGCGTCGATGACCAATAATTACGTGGTGATCGGCTACCGAATGTCATCGGACAAGATCTCGAATGTGGCGACAATCGCCGTCGTCAAGCAGACATCGATGTGGTCGTTCAACTCGTCTTCGCTTCATTACTCCCTGGATGTAGTTGGATTGCACCGCGCAAATATTGACAAGCTCTCGCATCCGACATGCGTCGTTTCGAAGATTGTCGAACCAGAGAGTGGGGGTACTAACTGAGTTTGGAACTGTGCCAACAACCTGTTATTTGTAGTCGAACTGGAGCACACGACCGTCGAGCAACTGCTGGGCGGGGCGAAATTGCTCGCTTTGAACTCGAACTCTGAGATGTTCTCGCGAGAAATTCATGATCTGATTGAGGAGCACGAGTACGGACGGCTTGCGGATCTGTGTGTTTCACAGATGAAAACGTTAACATTCATGCAACAATTGGAGTATTTGGGGACGAATGAAGTGGATAAAAGAGTGGAAATGTGCGAGAAATGGATGTCCGCCGCTGCTGGAGAGAAAGAGGTTCCAGAATTTGTGAAGACCATGGAATAGGCAGTCGTTTTGCAGGAGAACAATGCTCTGCAACTCAAGCTTCCGCAAAACTCCACAGCTCCAAATCAGAAGAAGTTCAATAGAAAGAAGATTCCGAATTCGAAAACGCAAGTTGAACAGCTGGAAGAGAAACTGAATGCGATCGAGTTCTCGGACGAAATATCTGTGAGCTGGAGCAAATAACAGTTCTTCCGAATGCTTTCGTTTGCAGGATCGTGTGTTCTCCGAGCTGCAACGGCTGAAAGCGATGAATTCGCAACAAAGCGAGTACAATGTGCTCATGAATTGGCTGGAATTGGTGGCCTCCCTTCCTTGGAACACTTCGACTGTGGAAGACATCGAAATAAGCAAGGTTCGGAAGAAAGTACTCGCCCCTTTTTACACCTGCTCAGTTTAGGCTCGAACTGTTCTGGCAGACTCCCACGAAGCGATGGATGATGTGAAAGTGAGAGTTCTGGAGCATTTGGCTGTCTGCAAAATGAACAATTCAGTTTGTGTTCTCTCCGGTTTTCTCTTGTCAACTATTTCCTTTTTGCAGGTGAAGGGGATGATTTTGTGTTTCACTGGACCGCCGGGAATCGGGAAAACTAGCATCGCAAAAGCCATCGCTGAGTCGATGGGAAGGAAGTTCCAGAGGTAAATACTGAAACATTGTCTCCCAGAAAACAGTGTGTGTGTAGGGTCTCTCTGGGCGGAATCCGTGATGAGAGTGACATTCGGGGACACCGTCGGACGTACGTGGCCGCCATGCCGGGACGAATAATCGAAGCGCTGAAGAACTGTAAAAGCAACAATCCAGTGTTCCTTTTGGATGAGATCGACAAGTTGTACGCGGGAAATAACGGAAGTCCGTCCGCCGCTCTCCTGGAATTACTCGATCCGGAGCAGAACTCGACATTCCACGACCATTACCTCAATCTTCCGTTTGACGTTTCCAAGATTATGTTCATCGCCACCGCGAATGATATTGAGAGATTGGAGCCAGCATTGAAAGACCGATTGGAGGTTATATCTAGACTGTTTCATTAAACAACCTATTTTGTTTTCAGATAATTGAAATGGATGGATATTCAATGAAGGAGAAGCTGAAGATCTGTGAGAATCACCTACTTTCCCGTCAGCTTTCGAAACATTGCATCAGCCCGGATTATGTGAAACTAGACAGGAGAGCTATCATTGCAATGAGTACGGGTGTCCCTGATATTTGAAGAAACGCTGAGAGTTCTTTCAGTTGAGGAGTACACAATGGAAGCGGGAGTCCGACAGCTCGAACGGAACATCGGAGCAATCTGTCGCCACATGGCACTCCGACTCGCGGAGGCTCTGAACTCCGATCCCGGAGCGGATGTCCTTCCGGACATGGAACTGCCGATTCACATTTCTGAGGCGGATGTGCATCGTATTCTGAAGATCAAGCACATAAAACGAGTGAGAATTGTGGAGAAAATGCGGCCGTTGCCGCCGGGAGTCTGCTTCGGATTGAGCGTGACTACGAGCGGAGGAAGAGTTATGCCCATCGGTATGTAGAGATAAATTAGTGAAAATATTGTGATTAGACTGAAAGTGATACTTCCAGAAGCTTCCAAATCAAAGGGAACAGGCAAAATAGTGACGACCGGTCGTCTCGGGAAAGTGTTGAACGAGAGTGTTCTGGTGGCGAAAGGATGGCTAGGCGCGAACGCAGAACGGTTCGGATTGGAGACGTTCAAGGAGAACGACATCCACGTTCACCTCCCCGCCGGCGCAGTCAACAAAGACGGTCCCTCCGCAGGCACCGGACTCGCGTGTGCTCTCGTCAGTTTGGCGATGAATGTGCCGTTGAGAAGCGATGCAGCAGTGACTGGAGAGATCTCTCTGACTGGACACGTTCTGCCCGTGCGTTCCTTTTCCGTCCTATCTGAATTACACGTCGAGCTTTCAGATCGGAGGAGTCAAGGAGAAGGTGTTGGCTGCTCAACGGGAAGGTCTTCGGAGAGTGGTGCTTCCGAAGTCGAACGAAGAAGAGTTTCTGAAGATGGACGAGGATATCCGACAGGAAATGGACGTAGTTCTCGCGGATACAGTCGAAGAAGTCATTGAAGCAATGATGGAGAAAGCGCCGGTGCTGGCTAAATTGTAGAATTTGAACTGTAAAATAAATGTTTTGTATATATAAAATTGTTTATTGTCTGTTCGCGCAGCTTCCATCACATGTTACAAAGTGTCTGCTCGTCATGTTGTAAATCAAGCGTTTCCTTCAAACAACTTCTGCCAATTTGCAGTTTGCAGCTTTCATTCTCTGCCATGCTCAGGAATTATAGCAGCACGTTTCGAAAACAGATAAAAATGTCCGTAGTATTGTATGTAAGTAACAACTTCCAGCCACTCACTAGATATCAGGAACATCATGCGAAATTGAGAGAAGGTTTGGAGAAACTGGCTCGAGTGGTGCCGCCGGACGTCCGAGGGAAGACCCGATTGCAAGTGCTCCGTGGAGCCATCAAGTGTTCTCCGATTCCTTTTTGAGCTCTATTTAAAACGCTAAATGTACAGCTTTAAAAAAGCAGAATAAAGTGGTTTCCATGCTGACTTCTCATATCCAGACCAGAACTTGAACCATTCATTTGAACCGCAGACGGATATGTGCCAGTCAGAAATATGTACAGACGAAAGCTCTCGGGGTGAGATCGAACAGAACTGACAAAAGAATCTAAAACTAGAAATGGAGACTAGAAACTGAGAAGAACCGTAGGCAGGAAAAGACCGATAACACGGAGAAAGACAAGTAGGAGGAGGCTGAGGGGACGGAAGACGTGGGATGCAGAAGGTGACTCTTCCTGGATTCCATCTGGAGACATTTCGCTTTGACGAACGAGCGAATCGAGCGGAACGATGCCGTTGTACTGCAGAAGTTCACGTCCGACATCTCCTGCAAACCTCGGTCTTCTTTCTTCAACCTTCTTCTTTTCCTCACCTCAACACTTGTCATCCATTTCATTCCGCAGTTGCATTCCAACGTATTCTCCTCAATTCTCGTCTTCAAGGCTTTCGACATGACGGATTCCGAAGTGTCCAGATCTCCGATAGTGTTCCTCAGAATCTTCAATTCTCCCAGATTCTCCACGTTGGCAAAAGCTCGCGCCGAAACGGTCCCCAGCTCGCAGGCGTGCAATTCGATCACTTGGATCGTCGACAGTCCGGAGAACGCATCTGGCGCAATCGAAGGAATTCGACTGTGCTCGATGAGCAACTGCAATCACTGAGGTTTGTATTTGAAGTATTTGAAATTAAAACTGACGTGCGAAGTGTGGGAAAGAGAGCTGAAAGTGTTCGGAGGAATGTCAAAGTGAGAGTTTTTGAAGTGAACCACGTGGAATCGAGTGGAGTTTGTGAAGATTTCGGGCTCAATGAGCACGACTCCAGAGACTGTCAGAAAGTCCAGCTGGAAAATAATCCAGTTGTAATTAGTTGTAACTCAATGAAAACCTGATTAATATTTGCGAAACAGTGTCTGGACAAAGCCAGCTCTTCCCCCGATATCATCAGTTCCCGAATGTTCTGTGCATTTCTGAAAGCGTGTCCGTCTATTCTGTGGATCGGAGTGCTCTCGAACACAATCTTCAATCCCATCTGATTCTGAATCCCACTGAACGCGTTCTTCTGAAGTTCTGTGAGTCCAGTGCAGCCGGAGAATTTGATCAGCCTGAAAACGGGAACAATGCGAATTTGAAATCAATTCCGCAGAGTCGGACCTTATCTTCCTGAGCCCCTTGAATGCCAACTTCTCGATCGTTCCCAGATTCGCATTGTTTTCAAACTCTATCTGAATCAGTTTTTCCATTTTCCGAAACGAATTCTTTTCAATTGCGCGGATTGAAGAGTTGCGGATGATCAGAGTCTGAAACGATTGCCCATCTTCATTTGCGATCGGATTTCAACGAAACCTCGAATCCAGAAGGCAGTCTATCGGGCAAAGTAACGAGTTGTTGTCCTTGGCAGACGACCTGCAAACAAGTGTTAAGCCGATCATTCTTCGCTTGTCACTCATTTGTCATTCTCCGTCAAAAACGATACCTGTTGAGTGGATTCATCGCATGTACATCCAATCGGACACGTGTCACGGACGGCTTCGCAGAGAATAAAGACGAAGAAGAAGATGAAGGTGTCATTCGGAAGACGCATTGATCGGAGCGAATTCACGTCGTCACGCAAGGAGTCATCGGACAGGATCTGAAAGGTTTTCAAAGATAAACTGGAGAACAGTCATGATCCCAAAATGACGAGTATGAGTGTCAATGTTTACACACGCGAGTTTTGGCAGCGAAAAGAACGCGGTGGGGGGTCGAGCGACAGCAAAAACAAGCATCCGCCCTCTACGAATTCGGGTCTCTCCGGCCTCAAATTATATATTAAGCGGCGAGTATTGGGACGGAAGCCTTCCGCATCAACAACGAAATGAATTGGTGTTTTTGAGAAGAGCATCACAGAAAGTTGATGAAATTATCTGCGAGGCGATGACTTTCGAAGAGAATCGAATTACATTGGAATGAGGTGAGAACGAAATGAATGAAGAGTGAACATTATCGTAATAGGCTCTGACAAATGGCTCATTGCTTCTGGAGCAATCAAAAGTTATTGGTTGTTTCGATGAAGCGAGCAGGCACAACTGACAACAACTTTCTCTTTTTGATAGGAAATTATAATATCTTGGGTTCACTTCCTAGTCGAGATCATTTTTGGAAGTGTGAGGACCACCCTCATAGGTGAGACCAAGTCAATTGGCACGCGTCCGGTGGCAACGGAGTGCGGAGTGATAAGCGAGATGAGAGAGAGAGAGAGGACCGGATGATAAACTAACATGTGCACTGAACACTTCTCCGCACTCTCGTCCCATCAAACACTGTCTCTTCACGGCAGAGTGAGAATGAAGTGTGGAATCGAATCGCTCGAGACGAATCGGTTTCAGGGAGGGTGTAAAGCGAGATGATAGGGCCCGCTGAGCCGAAGAGCAATTGGGGGCGGAGTCACTTAACAGAAGACACCGCCCGTGGCGATATTCGGGGGGATCTAGAAGAGCATATGGAAAGGAAGAAGAAGAAGGCGGCGGAGGAGGGGAAAAGCGAGAAGAAGCATGAAGAAGATGTGAATGAGTATCATATTTCAGAAGGGGAAAAGGAGACAAAACGAAAAGAGGAAGAGAGAGAGAGAAGAGGAAAAGGGACACCTGTCGGTGGAATCGAATGGATTTATGAGCTGCTCGGAGCACCGACGGAGCAAAAGAAGAAGCGGCAATGACTTCAGTTTGAAATATGTTAATGTACTGACGATAGATGCCGGGGACAAGTGCGCCGGAGCACATTTCAGATAAGAGCCCCCAATTCATCAGCAAATGCACGCCTACCAGTATTATGTTTTTCGTCAAAAATGACGTAAAACACAAATAATTGCGCTCGTTTTGAGCCCAAAACGAGCAGATTTCAATTAGAAATGAACAAAGTTGAATCGACTTGAATCGTGTGTCGAAAATGATATAATTACAGTCATTTCTTGATCTTTACGTGCTGATCCGAAGTTGCCCAACTTTCAAGCAAACAAAGAGCGTAGAGCTTCCGGTTGGCAAACATTACTTTTTCGAACTTCCGCTTCTTTTTTTTTTGAATATGATCTGTAACTGCGCTCGACCGCACTTTTTTCTGACGACTCACTCCTGAAATTAGCGTCATTCTGTTGCGTTTCGTTCCCAAAAATGTGTAGTTTCTTAATATTTACACATCAATTTTGTTTCAGTTCACAACAGAGCGAAGAGGTGATAAGTAACGAGAGAGAGAGAGAGAGGGGTTAGAGAAACAGAGAAAAAGGCACAGAAGGGTTCTAGATGGGCCAGTTTTCGAGCGATGAAAACTGGGAAGAAAGTGCGAGGTGAGTTATTAAATTATTATTATTAGAATGAATAAAAATCTTAATTCACAGAAAATGTGCATAGAAAACAAACGAGTGAGAGAGAGAGAGAGAGACGCAAAGAATGAGAGATAATAAAGCGAAAGAAACGAATTTTTGGATGAAAAGGGGGCGGGGCCTAGGCCTAGGATTCTAACTCAAAACCTAGGTGCGAAAAAGAATTACGGTAGCTATTATTATGAACCAAACCAAAAAGGGGGAAGCGAAAATTGCACAAAAAAGAGACAGACACGGATCCCTGAAGAGAATTTAGTGCGGGAGGGAGAAAGAAACGGTTCCTAGAATAGATAATACTCAAAAAGAGAGCTGGGAGAGGGGAAAAGGGGCTGAAAATGGGGGAAAGTTGAGAGAAAATCACAGATGTTTATGGTACTTTATGCTTGGAAAAAAAGAGGAATAAATAGAGAAACGGAAGGGCGCGGAGCAACAGCAGCAACAGCGGGGCGAGGAAAAATCATTGGCGAATTGAAGGAGCGGGAGGAGAAGAAAACGTCTCCGAGTTGAATACTTCCTAACTAGATCATCATGTTGTTGTTTCATTCAACTTCTCTTCGCTTTCCCTTCGCCCTCCGTCAATTCGCCACCATGATTTAATCGGAAATAAATAAGGTAAGGCACTTGTACTGGAAGAAGTCTTCGGCGAGAGAAAACTCTTTGAGACAAAAAGACATAGAAGGGAGCGGAAGTGGGGGGAGAAGATATCACAAATCGAGACGTGTCACAATCAGAATGAGAAAGGGAGAAGATCATAACTGCTGCAGTACCACCTGGCCCTTCATGTCTTGTGCGTAGCTGGGCGGCACGAACGGATCTCCGTTGTGCTCAAAGTCAAGATCGAACTTCGAGGGGTAGAAGTCGGATTGACCGCCTTGTCCGAATGTTGGGATGAGGTACGGGATGTCGAGTCCGTGCTGCGGCATGTGGGTCATCTGTCCTTGCGGAAGGGGCATCGGAGCAGGCGCTGACACTGGCGGCGGAGGGGCCATCATCCGGGCGTGGCCGTTCATCTCTGAAAGAACAATATAGACTGCTGGACGATTTTTTCAACTAAAAAGATAATCTTGAAGCTTGTGCAGGTGAATTGAAACGTTTTATTAATTGGATGTAACACTCTTACCTGGATAGGGATTCGGCTGGAACATCATCCTCTGCTGCTGCTGCTGTTGTTGTTGCTGTTGTTGTTGCTGTTGTTGATGATGTGGATGCTGCTGTTGGTGCTGTTGCTGCTCCAGATTCTCCGCATTCACGCACTCATTCTTCACGTGATGTACTCCATTCTGCTGCGGCGGTGCCTGTTGTGAAACTCCGTTCCGAATGGGAGACGGTCCTTGCGAGTGCGAGGAATTTGCTGAAAATGCGACGATTGAGAGATTGTTCGTTTAGTTTGAAATGCCTACAATTTGGTCTCTGCTGCTGTTGGGGCTGTTGCTGCTGCTGTTGTGGATGCTGCTGCTGCTGCTGCTGCTGCATTTGCATCTGCTGCATCATCTGTGGAGGACCGGTCATGTACTGAACCCGTTTGACGTCAAAGTGCATCTGAGGCTGCTGCACAACCGGACTGATCAACTCGTAACTCCTTTTCGGTGCTCGCTGCGCAAATTCCACAGGAGTTTGGGGCATTTGGGGGACGCATTCGATGCTTTGCGCATTGTTGCAACGCTTTTTGGCACACATTGCGCCCGGAATGTGTCGATTGTCGAAGAATCTGCAAATTGCTCATAAACTGACAGAAAATGTATCATTTGGAGAGTCAAATGAATCTTGGGAATCTCGTCGAAATACTCACCTTTTATCTAGACACACTAGACAAATTTGACAGTCTTGCATCCGGCAATCTTCACAAGCATTACAACCGACGCGTGCTTTGAATGTAGGAGCGTCTCTCTGAAAGTAAGCTGTTCGGGGTGCAAACGAGTCTTCTGAATACCTGAAGTCTATTCTCCAGCACCCGCAAACATCTTCTCTCTATACAACTCTGCTTCTTGACTCCCGGACCTCCGAATTGTGGGGAATCCTGGCAGTAAGTGCATTGTCCGCACGGTTTGCACTGACAACCTTTGCAGACGCCGCATCTGGAAGACGAGAACGAGTTGGTTATGCGGACGGAGGCGACGTGATTAGGGCAGTGATGATGGACGTGGCAGCTGATTTCGGACTAGGGATCCCTTCGGGCTTCTCATCTCCCCCACTAGGTACTCTGTCTCTGTGCGGGCTCTTCTCCAGAGTAGCTCTGGCAGAGAAAACCGGAAAAGGGCTTGAAGAGGAGAGAGGCTGTGTGGTTAGAGAAGAGTGGTGAGAGAAGCAATGGAAGCATGCGGGTTAGGAAGTGACGTGGCAGTACAGTAACCCACCCCCAAATATGTTTCCACAGAAAAGGGTCAAACTTTATCTGATCTGATCCCTTTATGGAAAGGGATAAAGGAGTTTGGAGAGAATGCGGAGACACCGTCTCTTCTTGTTTTTCCTTCTCTTCAACCTTCCTTTAATACCGTCCTTGTGTGTGTGTGTGTGTGTGTATGTAATGTGTAGAGTGCCCTGGGGTGCGGTTGTGTGCTAATGAGGAGAGAAGAAAAGAAGGAAAGAGAAGGACCATGCGAGAGAGAGAGAGAGAAAGAGACAGACCCTCTCTCTCCCTCTCTCTCTCTCATATAAATCTTCTGTGACCCTTGATTGTTATTGCCTTATCCCCTGGTATACCTTTAACCTCTATGGGAAGGTGAGTTAGTAAGAGAGAGTGAGGCGGTCAAAGAGACTCAGGCAACAATTGGATGTGTGTGACGTGACAAAGCGGGAAAAAAACTGATAGGAACTTTGTCTGGTGGGAGAGCAACAGTCACATTGGTGGTGGTGGTGGTGGTGGTGATAAAAGAAAGAAAAGAAGAAGAACTGTGACTCACCTGCGCGATGTCGTCGACCTATGCGAGGACATTTCCCTAGTGGATTGCGGACAAGAAGCTCTACTAACAGTTCACACTTATGACGTGGCACGTTCACCCGCGCTAGGGATGGTACTCACCTCTGCGATCGATTCATGCTCGACGGGACAGGCGGGGTTGCCGAGGCGGCCTGTAGGGGCGGAGCCTGTCCGGTGGCCGTGGCCGTTTGCGAGGACGAACCGTGCGGGAACACGGCCACGTGATGGTGCTGGTGGGGATGGTGCATCTGAAGCATTTGAGGGGGAGGAGGTCCCCCGTTCATAGGAGCACCCATCTGCATCATGTTCATTGTGGGGCACCTGCAATCAAAACGGAAATTAAAATAAGAAAGGGAACGGGAGAGCGCGAGAACGAGAAAAAGAAAAGAGCCGAAGACAAGTCACACGTTTTCCAGAAAAGAGGTTGGAAGGATGGAAGTGTTGAGAGGGTGTGAATAGGGGCACACGCCTTTTGGGTGGGTAATAAGATTGAAATGTAATCATATTTCATACAACATTCACTGGAGCAGAGAGGGAGAGGCACACACCTTTGGCTAGCTTCCCCTTTACTCCCTTAACTCACTTTTGGACACAACACTTTCTTTTGAAAGCACTTGGAAAAGTTTGAGAATCACAAGATTTCAGTCATCATCACTATTATCATAAGCACTTCATTTCAATGTTCAAAAGGAGTCTAGGTTCTTCTTTGGTGCTTCTCTAGTTATGTTATCATCACATACAGTGCAATTTAACCACAAAATCATCGTTCTTCCAGAAATCTGAATCCCTACTCTTTCTCGTCGTTCCTTGCCCTTTTCAGTCCGTTTAATCCAATTTCTCCCATTCTGATTCGATTCCGAACTCTTTCCAGCCTTTCCAATACCCGTTTCCTTCCGTACCACCCATCCTCCTTTTTCACCCCCCGATCTTCTTCTATCTCTTTCTCTTTTTTCTCCGATTTCTATTTGTGGATCGATAAAATCGGCCGCGCGCGCAAAAAGGAGAAGCGTCCGGTGGGCGATGTGATAGCGGTGATAAAAGAGAGAAATAATAATAATCATGAGAGCTCGAGGGTGGACTCTTTCGACCGTTTCGAAAACGAAAAAGGTGCGGCCAGCGGTTTTATGGACGACCGTTTTATGGGTAATGAACATTTTCGCCCCCGGCTTCTTCTCTGACAACCACCCACATCGAAAAGTTGTTGCTTCTGTGGAGATTGGGGGGGAGACAGGGACGGACGGGGAGAAAAATAGGAGTTGGACTGTGGAATCAACTTGAACTGTGAAAGAAGCGTCGAGAAGCTGGTTAAAGCCAGACTTGCTAATTTGGAACCGATTAGGAGAACAATTTATGAAGACGATCGGAATCTTTAGGGTTTGGCTGCTTCTACCAACAAGGCTCATTCTACACGAAACTGAAATTGTTTTCCACACCGTGCCCGCTACTTGAATACGGTAATTGTCATTCAGATCTAGAGAACCTTACTAGTTAGATTCGGTACAAGTACTTCCGACTCCGAACTTGTTAGGCTTCTGCCGGATAACTCTGTACTGTACGGAAGGGTTGCGGAAGCCTTGCAACATTTTGAAGTGTTGAAGGAAAAGAGGGAAAGAGGATTCTCGTAAGGACTGTAAGAGAAGAAGAAAGAGGCGATTGGAAGTGGGGGGAAAGGAATGAGTGTTTGCATTCTCTCGAAGGGGGTTAAAGGGACGGGCCGAGAGAGAGAGAGAGAGAGAGAGAGAGAGAGAGAGAGAGAGACTCCTCATTGTTTCACTCCCGATGACGAGTCGTTTTTGTGAGCCGACCTGACACAAATGGCCGGAAAATAGGCGGGCGCGGACCAATGAGATGATGCGAAATGTACAAGATACAAGCACTTTTTGATGGATTATGATGAGTGCGCGTGCGCGGGCGAGCAAGAAAGATGCTCAAATTGTGATCCGCGATGACAAATCGACACGACCGGATGTATTGTTGAAAAAGGCAAACGAAAGTTGAGTGGAAAATGATGATGATGAAGAAGCCGTCAGATGGGCCCGATGACAAGAAGAAGAAGAAGGTGAAGCACGAAAGGTGCTCCGGAGGGCAAATAGCACTGACGGACGGGAGGGGATTTCGAAACAAGAATCGATTACGAGCGTATTTGCGCACTGTCCACTGGGGAAAAGTGGGAGGGGGCCAATTCGAGGAGAAAACAAAGAAAAAGAAGGAAATTTGTATTATTTAGTTCAGTGATGATTGATGAGAAACGATCGACACTCGAGTAGTTGATGCGATGATTTGCGAGATCTCTCATGGACAGATAAGGATGAAGTTAGCGAGAAGAAGCTGACCTGATGGACAGAATTTAAAGTTAAAGTCCTCAAACTACTTGTTAGTACGCACTTGCTACGTCCTCTCATAATGGTGAATTTCTCAGATGGACACGGGCAACATCTAGGTCAAGTTACTTGAAAATGAATGAATTAGGTGGAGAACATGAGTAAAGTGTCAAGAACACGTATGATAAGCACGAATGACTTACTGTAACAAGTGGTTGCTGCTCCGAGAGCCCTCTTCCTCTCGCCATTCACTCATTATAAGATTACCGCCCCCGACCTGCTGTCAACCGGCTGAAGCCGCTCATCTGGCCGCTTACAACAATAAAAACCTAATAATAATAATAATGGGAATAACACAAATAATCGACGGATTCTTCTTCTTCTCCTTCTCCTTCTCCTTCTTGTTCACTCTGAGTTTTCCTCTTGACCCCTTGAAATGAATGGACAGAGAAGGGCACTTTGCGTACTAGTTTGAGGTCGTTTCCGAAGGACACAAAGTTGAAAATCAGATAAAAATTGGGGTGAGGAATGAATGAATGGAGGAAGAAGAAGAAGAAGAAGGAGAAGGAGGAGAAGAAGAATGGAACATTAATTGTGGATGGGAACAAGAACAACGGATATTTGGGGATCGAGGCTACTGTATGAGGCGAGAGAGAAGACAGACGAATTCATAGTTTATGATGACTTGAGTGATAGTTAGTGATAAGAATTCATCGAGTGATAAGAGAAAACGAGAAGAGGAATCAGAAGAATCAGACGAAATTGAAAGGAAAAAGAGAGAAGCTGACCGCACAGTGACGTGGATTCTGATACGATTACAAGAGAGAGAGAGAGAGAGAGAGAGAGAGAGAGAGAGAGAGAGAGAGAGAGAGAGAAAGAGAAAGAGCGAGAGAGAGAGAGAGAGAGAGAGAGAGAGAGAGAGCATGTGACGATAAAAGTGGGAAAAGGTTGGAAAGACAAAGGTCCTAGAAGGAATTTTTCCCTCTTGCGGTGCCCCCTTTGCTTGCTTCTTTGCTTCCCAAATTTCTTTCTGGATGTCTCTAATAAATGCGAGATGGGAACAACTGATGATGGAGATACGTGCGAGAATCCGTGATGAAGTAGATCACATTCCTGGAAAAATTACGATATTTCTGGCCGAATCTGGGGCAAAATACGAAAGAAGAAGAGGGAGAGAGAAGGGACGGACACGCATTAAACATGTATATTCATATTCAGTTCGAGCTCTAGGAGACCGTGAAAAATCGGAGCAATTGTGTCCGTTTTTTCATTGAATATTAACCAGATTTTGTTTCGTCTTCTTCTTCTTCTCCTTCTCCTTCTTTCACTTCCACTTCCACTTTCTGGAAGCTTCTGACGATCGAATAGTTCGCAACATTGTTGAAATGGAAACGAAAGTCAAAGTCACAACTAATTTCTGCGTGCTATCTTTCTTTTCCCTTCGGTTCGTGTGTTTGTAGGGTGTAGTGGAGAGGAGAAGGACTTGGAGACAAACAAATTTGGACGAGAAGTCAAGGAGGGTTTGACGTGGCAAGGATCAGAAGAAAAAATGATTGAGATGGCTGGGGCAAGGTGGATTGGCGAAAGTGTACGAAAAAGAGTGTGCGAGATGAAGGGGCGCAGACAGATCAAAAAGATAGATGGAATGAATGCACGGATTTTTTGATACAGAGGACAACTGTTCGGGTCAACCAAGGTCCCCTCCACAGCCACCTTTTGCACATAAATCTGGGTTGAACGCATTGAAAATGCAAAGGAAAAGAAAGGAAAGAAAAAGGAAAAGGAAGAAGGAGTAAAGAAGGAAAGATTCTTGAAAGATATGGCCAGAGACCGGGGGGTAGAAAGAGAAGACGAGCAGGCAAAGGTCGGGTAATGATGATCGAAACATCTCAAGGACATTCTCTCTCTCTCTCTCTCTCTCTCTCTCTCTCTCTCTGAATGGAAGAAGAAGACACTGCTGACGGGGGGCAACGAGAGTTGGATGGCAATTCGTAAAAGGCACAATTTGACACATGTATCAACCCGACAATTATCATGTGAGAGAATCGAAAAGATGAAGAAGGAGAAGAAGAAGAAGTGCTGCTTCTCTCTTATCAAAAAAGTAAATAGGCCTTGATGCGAGTAGAGAGCGAGAGAAACAGAGTTTCCCCAATGCACCCTGCAACTTTCATTAGGTTGATGATAAGTGTGGCGAAAGCGAAAAGGGCGCCACGTCACAGGTTCACTCGAAACGACAGTAGCAGCCAAAAAGAGTTCAGGGTCAGCAGGGGCACGTCTGCGTCTCTCGCCGGCCAGTCACATCGGATCTCTATCGGATTGCATGGTTGGGGACGGACGAGGACCAACCGAGACACTCCCTTAGGCACTCGTCGAGAGGACCTCTCTTGTCCAAAGATAAAAGGATGGACTGGCACGTACTAGGTACACTGACCGGCCACCCACGCACACAATACACAAAGGTGCCCGGTCGAATGGTAGCCACCAACCTGTCCGGCAGTCTCGCAAATGTTTCTTACAAGATTCTAGATTATGGGGAGACCTTGAGCTGAAGAAACGACCTCAAGATGTATCAATTGCGTAACAAAGAATGATTACTGTATGTTCGAGGTTTCCCTCTTACCCTGTAGAATTTTGCTGCAAAGGTACCGAGCCATCAGTGTGCTCAGAATCAGCGTGCCCTCAAACAAGCACTTGATCTCTGGCACTCACCGTCCCGCCACTCACAATGAGCCAAAACAAGAATGTGATCGATGAGACAAACACCGCCAAAAGGAAACAACTTTCCAGAAAAGTTTGACTAAAAGTCATCATTTTTCGGGTGTGCAAACAGTACCGTATACATCTTTTAAACTAGGCGTAAACATGCGAGTCAATGAGATCACTTGACTCAACTCAACTACAGTAACCGGAAACGGATACGGTAGGAGGATGATGATGATGATGAGGTGGCAACCGGAAGTCGACATCATCATAATCATTATGAGAAGAAGAGAACTACGAAGGGAAGGAGGATGTTATGAATGATGAAAAGAAAGAAAAGAGGGGGGGAAGGGATGGTTATTATGTGTTTTTAGTGGGTTTGTGTGGGGGAGAAATCAAATGAACGGGAAGAAGAAGAAGAAGAAGAAGGAGTGACCGAGAGGATCCTCCCAGCTTCTCCGTCCTACCGATCCCTCCAGATGGTTCCCAAAAAACTCTTCGGGCCGAGAAAAAGCGAGAGAAGGAGACGAAGCCTCCATTTATCATTATTTAATCGGTTTCGATGTGAAATGTGCATTTCGCATTGAATTTCTGATCGATGCAGAGGAGCAGAAATGTGGAAATTGAATGGGAAGCTGAAGGATTCAAACGGAAGGCTCTTCGAGTGTTCGGGGTACTGTAGAAGCACCAAGTAGGCCTTTTGAACATTGGTTCACAAATTCAGGTTTGAATTTGGCGTTTGAAATTTGAGATTTCGAAATTATGCAAAAAAGCGTTCTCTGGTTGCTCTGAAGCAGCGGCGCTCTACCGAACAACAACTCGGCCACGTGGCATTCTCTGCTCCGAAACTCTTGAAACAAGCGATTCTAGAATAGAAAAAAAGTTCGAACAATCTCGAAATTCGTGGGCAAAAACCAGTTTTCGGGTATGTGTTTGTATGTGGTGTACATGATGATGTGGAAGCGAAAGAAGAGTAGTAGCACACGAAAAAGGAGGAGAAAGGGGAATTTGAATAATCGAACTTCTTTCTCTCGTCCGTGTTGTGGGTAGCCGGCTGACTCTTGCAAAGGTCACTTTTTCTCGCTGTTCGTTCCAGGACCATATGGTTCTCATTTTTCGCGTCCCACAACGCCCCCTCACTCGCCCAACTTCGCTCTCCCCATGTCATTCTTTGAAATAATCCACTTTTATGGGCTCTTTTTTGTTGCTGCTCAACACAGTCACTCGAAGTCGTTCTCCGCTTTTTCTCGTTCATATACACAGATTATATGGGGGAAAAGAGAGAGAGAGAGATGTCCTGAATGACCTAGATTCAAGCGAAAAACCAGGAGAAAGAAGAAGAGGAACAGAAGGGACAGCACGAGGGGCGGATGGGATGGAGGAGAACGAAAGAAAGAAGAGGAGGAGAGGACGGTCAGGCCCTCAGGCGGCCTTGAACCAAAAACCTACACACTTCTGTGTGGGAGAAGAGAAGAGACAACAGTAGGCAGTCAGGAGGAGAAACACATCGAATCGAGGGGTCATCGCTTCTGGAGGTACGATGCAAAATTACCGTAAAAGCT